AGCCCGTTTTCCAAGCTTCTCCAGAGCGGATCCCTTACATCACACACGCCCTCTTCGCAAAAGCCTCCGCCGCCCAACGCCGCCGCCGCCTTTGCCTTTGCCTTTGCCTTCTTCTCCCTTTCTCCCTTTCTCCCCTTCTCTCACACGTTGCTCCACACACCCACGCACGCTTTCGCTTTCGCTTTCGCTTTCGCCGCCAAGTGCCACTCCAACATGCACATGCACCCCCTCCTCCTCCGCCCCGGACAGTGCAGCGACACCAGAACCATATAGCATAGCGGCTGCATCTCCCGCCCGCCCGCACGCACTCGCCCGTCGCGGTCGCGCAGTCACGTTGGCACGCCCGCCCGCCCTCGACCCAGCGTCCACCACCCATGCCGTGGCTGTTTGCGCGACGAAGCGGAAAGGCCGCCAAATTAAAAGAGGGTCGATCCGCTGCCGTCGCTGACAGGAGCCGGCATGTCACCGACCAAACCAGCACCGCGAAACCCAGCGATGGCCTGCTCACAGGGCCCAGCCAGCGCAGCCGCCGCCGCAAAAGGGCCAGTTCGCGCTCCACCGCCTCCCTGCGCCAGCTCGACAAGAAGCCGCCCGACTACCTACTGCCCCCCTCGAGTGTCGAAGACATCACCGCCCTCCCTCTCCAACGCTGCCTCGAGAACAGCCCCCACCTGCGTCCAGTCACCCAGGAGCCCGGCGCCATCCCATACAACTTCCATTCCGCCTCGCACGCGAGCCTGCCACCCTCTGCGCGCGATCGCGGAAAACTCCAGCGGCCCCAGTCATTGCGCAGGGATCCTGCCCCCGACTCCTCCCTAGTCCGCCGAAAATCCAGCAAGAAGCGAAAGGACCATGACCACGTCCGCGAAGAGGAAATCCGCGCCATGAGCTTCCCAATGCCACAGAAGCGACCCGCAGCCAACTCCGGCGGCATGCTGCGAAGAGACAGCAAGAAGGTCAAAGGTGCACTGAACCATCGTTTCGAGCGCCCCACCTCAAACGTATCCCTCCCCCTCCAAGACTCGATACACTCGTCCATGTCTGGAAACTCGGACCTCCGCGCCTTCCGCGTGAGCGCCCTCGACATGTTCTCGCCACGGCCCACGATCCGGTTTTCCCTTGGCTCACAGCATTATGGAGAACGCACGTCGCCCAATACCTACAGCGAGAAGACCGACTTGCGACGAGAACGAAGGCCCATCAGCAGCGGAGACGACAAGCAGAGCAAGAGGTCGAGCAGGATCGATGATCTTGCGGACACGCTTGATGCCGGGGCACTGCGCGAGATTTTAGAGAGAGACAAGAGGCGGAGAGAGAAAAAGGCCAAAGCCGACGACGAACGTCTCCGACGCAGGTTGGAACGACGGGCAGAGAAACAGCATGCTGCCGAAGTGGGCGGCACACCTGCCACACCTCGCAGGGAAGCCATGGGCGTCGTTGGCTTGGGCATTGACAAGGCGCCGCCGACACCCATGGAAGATGTGCGCCCATCAACACCACCACAGCCGCAGTGGGTGGAGACGCTTCCCGTAACTCCCAGCGGACAGGACAACACCCAGTTACCCTCCCCACTAGATAGCCCCATTGAGGAGCCGGTGGTATCGGATGCTCGAGCGATTCGCTATTCGCGTGGTAGCATCATCTCTGGGCCGGTCCACACCCGGGGGCCCTCGAATGTCTCACAGCTACCAGAGCTAATCTCGGAGAAACAGGCCCAGGAAACCCATCTTGCCTTCATAGAGCAAGCACACGATCCCACACGAAGCGGCTCGTTGCATCCCGTTGACACGGTCGACACCACAGCGACTTCGAAACGAGGCTCCATGTCAGCCCGCCGGCGCAGCTCCGAAGGACGACGCATGGGCGTCTTTGCATCCTTCTTTCGACGAGGCAAACGCAACTCGCAAGACCAGGGACGAACCACTCCGTCGGAAATCTCCTTCTCCAACACGTCACGCGAGTCCATGTCTCGTCAGCCCCTTCCTGCTCATTTGGTCGGCACTTCGCCCGCCACACCTCCCATCCAAATCCGAAGACCTTCTAGCGTACCGCGACGAACCATGTCAAAGTTTAGAGAAGATCTGCCTGAATTTCCACTTTCACCACCCGACTCGCGCGTGCAGTCGCCAGAAGTACCCTCGACCAGCGCCATCGCCGCGCGCCGAAGAAGTCAGGTGCCATCGGATCTTCGGGTCCAATCGGTAAGCTCACAAACTGGAGCTCGCTCAGATTCACCCGTCAGCCCAGGCGCACCGGTTGGCAACATCATGTCACGATCTCTCGCTTCAGTCGACTCTGAAGGCTCATGGCTCTCTGGAAAGCCGATAAAGCGAGCATCCAACCGATCCCAAATGCGCTTGAGCATAGCTTCGTCGGCCGTGCAGCCCAATCCAGACTTTAACAATTCCTATGAGGAGCTTGGCATGGCTGACGATGAATATTTTAAAAGGTTGACTCCACAACCAGACGAGCGACGTAGATCCGGGCACTCGAGTGACATACTGGGCAGGAAAGCAAGCAGCTCCTTGATGGCACTCGAAGTCGCCGCCGAATCCGACGAAGAGGTAGAACCTATAGAACCTACGTCTGCTCGGATACCATCTGACACGCACGAGGAGCTCGTTCACACCGTTATTGGCCGCCAACCTACCATCATACACCGCCAGCCTCGCGTCAAGTCTACCGAAGGTCTTTTAAGCATGTACACTGATGACAAACCATCTCTTCAAGAGAACACTTCCAGAGTCTCTGGTGCAGAACCCGCCACCCCAGAGTCACCCTCATCGGAAACCGAGCCCGTCTTGATACAACGCGCAAAAAGCGTGGATCTCGGGAAGCAGCACACTCGGCATCTCAGTGCAGGCTCGGCCAAACTTTTGGATATCCACAAACGATCGAGCGCAACCTCACACAGCAGAATGTCGGAACATGAGTAACGGAATTTCTTTTGGGGATAGTATTGTTTTAGAGACACGCACACTGCCATACCGCGCCATTCATTTTGCCTTTCCTTTGTTTACGTCGGTCTTTACAGAACCACAACCTCACTTTCGTCGCTCTTTAAACCTTTCTTTACTTGTCCTTGTTTGATTTTTGATTTGGTTTGGCAGTGTTGCAGTTTCTCAACAATCTATGATCTTGAAGGGCGAAACTCTTTGTTACACTTTCTACTGGTTGGATAGAGCGTTGGTGCTTGATTTAGGGGATTGCATAGCGAGGCGTTTATTCAGGGATTTGAGGGATCTCTTTCTTTTTCGACGTGATACCACATACAGGCTGCCAGGGGCGGTCTGTGATACTCTCTTTCCACATTTTCATCGAACTTTCGGGACACTCTGGCATGAACATAGACGGGCCATAACGTCAGGTCCCCCGGCTTCATAAGCCTATTGATAATATTGCACTTTCCGACCTCTCTGCATAAAGGCCTGGTGAAATGGGGATATTTGCAAGTACGAGGTCGCATCTAGCCTACATGGCGAAGGCGTTGCGTCCAACAGCCACGACTGTACTCTGTAGTTTCAACCTAGCTATATGGATCGATTTTGAACCACCGATGTATTGGTATCCCCTGCTTCCGTTTATGGGGTTTGTGTTACTAACAATTCAATACCTAACCTCCAACATAGTCTCGCCAGTAGAGAGCTAGGGGTACGCAATAGATTACCGAACCTTTAGGCCAGGCTATACAAGAATATCGATTACACATTACCACGCCACCACTACTCTCCCGCTCCAGAATCCATTCACAAACTTTCTCAAAGCTTTCCAATTGCCAAATTCCCAAGCATCTGCTTCCCGGTGATCCATGTTGTCCTCCATAAAGTCGGGAAATCCAACGTACTCGAAAACGCTGTTCCCAAGGTTAGTATTTTTATTTTATTTTTTTGCCTCTCCCTCCAAAGCCAGACATGGATACTTACTATCAGCATATCCAAAGAATAACATGGGCGGTATCCAACCCCTTGCATACTCTAGCGCAAAACATGTAGTTTCCATCCTGTACTGCTTCACCACGCCTCTCTTCATATGATTCACGGTGCCCTGTGGATATCTCTCCGGCTCATACATGCCCTTGCCTGGTGTGTAGGCTAGCTCCTCGCCGCGAAGAATGATGAAGTAGTCATCAGCAGTGTGTCGCCCACTGTGGCCTTCGGTGCCGACAGCGGAACCGAAGATGATCAGGTACTCGGTGATGGAGGCATGGATAATGTACATTGCGCCCATGGCGCCACCTGCATTGTTGAAGACCCATTCTTCGTCGAGATTCACGTACGCTGGATGTGTACTGCTCAGGGAAGAAACGATGTGAGACACTACCGAGGCGGTGTCGTTGCCGTGGAGAGAGATTGCTTCCAAGGATAATTGGTGGAGGTTGGAGGGCGTGAAGATGTAGAACTTTTCCAGGTGAGATTCCAGAAGGTACATTGTAGACGATATCGCAGCAATTACGATGCCGAGCATGGTTAGGAGACGCATTTTGAAGAACAGTACAAGCCTGTGAGGCAAAGTGTCTCTTGGAGAGAGGTAGTAGGCCTTCAAGATTTGTCTAGAAAAGGGTATAGACGCACGTGCCTCGCCGGAAAGAGGAAATCCGAACGCCCGGATTGTCAGCTCACATGCTGAGCTACCCTTTCTTCAGACCAAATGCGATTGAGATTGCATTGTGAGCCCGTCTTTGCCGAAGGATCCGCATGTGCTGAGATTGTGCCATGGCTAGCTCGTTGAATCCATCTCTGCGCCGTCAGTTCTCAACGTTCGAAGCTCCGAGCTTTGCCTCGAGGACCTTCGCAGTTACTCATAACATGATGAATGCTTCTCCAAAACGACATCTGTATCCCTCAACACCCTCTATCAGGGCTCAATATATCTTTGCACGACATGCCGCAGGCCTCCAAACAAAACTTTATCTCGACTAGTCAGTCAAAGAGGGATAGGTGAAAGTCTAGTAATAATAAATCCAGGTAAAGTGGTATAGAGTACCAGATCTTGTTCATCCAATATGCTTTCGCGCGCACATATTATCTCGCTGCTCTCCTTGATTAACCCTCTTCGAGAGCGTCCTACCCACGAACTCCAGATACTCGCATGCTGAACCTTGTTACAGTCATGCCTTTTCCCTTCCCAAAACGCCGTCGATCCATGCAAAAGACGCAGAAACATGCTTGAACGCGAATAACAGGATAATGCAGAATGAAGGTAAGACGCCAATGACAGACCAATCCGTACGTGCCTCAGCTCATTACCATCCGTCAATGAAAGTGATGAAGCTATCCACCATGTTAACCCAGTCCTGCCCATTCAGGGTGCCAATTCGTTTCTTCTCCCAAAGCCCCGCTACCATTTTTTCCAAACAGACCCGCGCCTTCTCGCCCGCCTCTTTGGTGCCATCATTTCGTACAAGCATCACCTTGCCACGCACAAACTTCTCACTCAGATCAATCTTGAAACTCGCATCCCCGTCCGGTGGGCAGTACAAGTCGACCTCATTTCCCGTATCCGCGGCACCGCCAGGAGGGGTATGGATCAACTGCCCGTGCAACAGAACACTCTGCGTATGCGTCCGCTTAGGCTTGAACAGCGAGCCGCGCACCGAGAAGCTGACGAGGCGGAGCAGGCCGGCGCCGTGACCGAGGCGGATGATCCAGTCTTGGAAGGCTTCGTACATCATTCTGAACTCGACCTTGATTACCCAGGTGTTGTAGCTGTAGAAGATGGCGAGGGCTTCGGAGCGGACTTGGTGGGAGACGGAGGCGAGGGGGTGTTGCATCTCACCATCAAAGGTGGAGATGCAGTATACGAGTGGCTTTTCGAGGATGAGGTTATCGCAGTTGCGGTAGACTTGGTGGCGGATCTCGGGCGGGAGGGTAAGCAATGTCCGTGGGACATGGCGGTTGTCCGTGGGTAGTGTTTCGACTTGTTCGAGGTGAAGAGCCTTTGGCTCTGGTAGTACAAAGGCAGCCCAATTCTGTTGCAGCGCATGCTTCTCCTCGAGCCGACCACGGGTGAGGCTGTGATTTCTCGAGTGTGGAGGCGACAGGGCAAGATGCTCCATACAGTCATCCTCCAGTCCTTCGCCAGCAGCGCTGAAGACACTCGAGGACTGCGAGTAGCCCGGCGTAGAGGGGACCGATGCTGCCATGCTCTCCAAGCCCAAGCCCAAGCCCAAGCCCACTGTTTCGCGCTCACTAGCCTCAGCGAAGACATCCGAGTCCGAGTCTGAGTGTGTATCCGTATCCATGTCCGCGCTCCCAGGCACATTCGTGTCTACATGGTGGAGGAGGGCCGCTCTGTATCTTGCAATCTTGGGTGGCAGTTCCAGTGACGGCGAGTTGGGCGAGGGCAGCTGCGTAGCTGAACGTTTACTCGATGTCTGCACAATGGTGCCCGTCTGAGCCATTTTCCGGCCTCGCAGCTGGTCTGCTCCGCAGCTGTCGTCGCTGGCTGCAGGGCCCAGCTTGGTGGTGTCGCTCCCGCCTTCGCAGAGCCCGCAGCTCGTCGTCGAGACGCTGGTATCAAGGGCCTCGAGTTTCGGGGAACGCGCTTTCAGGGCTTCGGCATCGTCTGGCGGCGTCTGGCCGGTGACGGAGTATCGTCGTTGAGCAACCATGGTGAACAGAAGGGCGTGGTAGGGCCAGGTGTAGGCAGGCTCCAGCAGAGTTGCTGTGCTGTGCTGCCCTTGATGTGCTGGCAGGCTGCACGGGGGATGGGGGCTCTAATCGGGGCCCTGGCGCGTCTATGGGCGGGCGAGCGAGCCTTGCGGGGGTGCCTGGAGCGTTGCGGAGCGGAGCGAGAGTGGGGAGGCTTTTTATCGATTAGACTCACCACCAGACGCACGCGTGAAAGCTTGAAGCGACGAGTGAGAGAAGAGAGCGCTAGGTGAAGCTGGAAAAGGAGGAGGAAAGAAGAAGAAGAAGAAGAAACCAGACTCTGTAACCGCACTGCGCTGGCACTGCGCGTTTCATGTAGCCAGGGCCTCAACAAGCACTGCCCCCTTTTCACCACACTGCTTGCCCTACCATTGCGTGCACTATTTCAACCTCAACTTCTCACATGTTGCACTCATGGTATTCACTCCTTCGTTGCTTGTCGAGACTTTGCTTGTAATATCAAGGAACTCAAACGCTTAACAAAACACCACCATAGTTCCTGTTGAAGGATCTCTAAACTATTCCTCCTCCCCTTTCACGTCCTTTCCAATTTGCACCTTCCTCCAAGCCAACCGTGTTGAAGCGGTGCTTTTCGTCTTGCAACTCCCCTCTTCAGTGACACCCTTGAAGTCTTACACACCGTTTCTCTTCTTATCCTGCGACACCGGCGCCCGAACCATGATGTTCAGCGGAATATTCCTCCCTCCTCGCTGCAAATAAATTTTGCGAGTCTCTTCGAAGCCAAACTTTTCATAGATTGGCACGTTGGCCCCACTACTCGATTCCAGGTAGCACGCTCTACCCTCACGATCCGCCAGCCTCGTCACATGCTCGACGAGCTTACGGGCATGTCCTTTGCCACGCCCGTACGGCCTAGTGCCGATGTAGACGAGATACCAGGCCTCATTCTCGCCGTTGCCGAGAGTGGCATGCTTGGTGTCGTGGAGAAGCGGTAGGAACTCGTTGAAGAAGCGGCGATTGCCTTCTGCCGAAAGCCGGTAGTTGAGACGCCACATGCCACTGCGGAAGATGGTCAGGTAGTCGTCCATGTTCTGATCCGGTGGCATCCTGCCGTCAAATCAGCATCAGCAACAATAGTCGTAGTAGTAGCTTTGATGGAAGGGCTTACCAAAGCGCGACCGCTTCGAAATCTCCCACCGTAGTCACCAGTCCCTTCAGGATATGAGCATACACAACATATTCAAAAATCTCGACATGCAAAGCCCACTTTTCCTCTTCAGTCCAGTGCTCACGATCAGGCACATCAATGAAGTAACGAGCAACATCATCCTCTGCAAAGGCCTCTGCCAAACAAGCAGCTGCTTCTTTGTACTCTGCAGCCGTGACAACACGGATACCATCAATCAGCGGAGGAACGACAGCAGCGGCCTTCTGGTGAAGAAGCCTGAAGCTGGTGGGGACATGATTGACCCTTATGTTAGCAGTCTTCAAGGCTGACTTCGGTTCAATGAAGTTGTAAGCAACAGGCGTGACGGTATTGAACGTTTTCGCCATGATTGCGGTTTCGTTTGTAACTCTCTACTAGTATTCAGGTGCGATCGACCGCTTCGTTTGGTAGTGAAAGAGACAGTCGTAAAATACGCCAGCGTGAAGGTGTTCCCGTAGGCTTGAAGCGTGCTCGCCAAAAAGGTTAGTCAGTTGAACAGAGTCTATCTAGCTGACGACGCTCTGTTCAAACAAGTCTACTACAAAGTCGATTAGTCTGGTTGTGGATGATGGTGGTTGGGCTAAGCAGGAGCCGTGACCATGGGTTGGCTGCCGTGGTATACCTTTTCGATTGTGACCAACGTCTACGTTTCAGCTGGACGGGTGCTATCTCCTGTATGGACTCTAGAAAGCTGCGATCTCGAGACGGTCTCGACTCGAGAAGGGTAGCGTAACGAAGTGAAGGCGGCTCGAAGATCAACCGACATCAATAGGTGAGGCTAGAAGAGCTCCCTTTCGGCTTTGGGTCTAGTATGTATGGCAGGTGGGAGACTGATGAAGAGAAGCCTCGTGTCCAAGCAACGATTGGCGTTGACTTGTGGCTGCAAGAAAGATTGGGCTTGCTTTTTGACTCGTTGGTGACTCCGTCACAAGATCAATGATGACAGCACTGCTGTACGATGCTTGGCTAGATGTATGACGGGAAACGCTGCGTATCGTGAGGGACTCGTGGAGCGAAATCCGGCTGCAGCGGAATGCGTGAGGCGTGGGGGTTTGACACAGTGTAAGCCTTGGATTGGTGCAAGGAGGAGGAGGAGCGACAATGGTCGGGCGAAGTGAAGCCAGCGTGCCTTTGTAGTAAGACAAAGATGGGCCCCATGGGCACCTTGATATACCTCCACCCCTACCCATGTCAACATTCCAAGCCCCTCGGGTGAAGGTGGAGGTCATTTGCAGCGGGAGCTATCTTGGGATCATCGGCTACGTAGCTGAGCATTCACCCTTCCTCATTCGCCCTCTCTCTCGCTCTCTCTCCACACTCAGCTTCACCGTCGGACCGATGCAGCTCGCTCACCATGCATGGCAAACGAAGAGGCGTTGTGGCTAATCGCAATTGCTGCACAACCGCGGTCAGCGCCCATCAGCTCCATGGCCGACCGAGTATACCATCACACGGAGATTGTGGCGGTTGGGGGAAAACTGTGGGGTGGACAGGAAGGGCTGGTTTGGCCTCGGCTGTACCTCCTCAGAACAGGCAAGAGCCGGAAAGCTTCCGCTACGTGATTGCTTGGAACTACTTTCCCTGCGAATGGTTTCTCGATTGAAAGGTTAGGTGTTGGTTGAAGTGTGTGCGGGGGCATGCGATGGATTGAATTGATCGCCTGCCACGTAATCGTCACAGAAAGACACTGATAGCAGAGGCGCACGTCAAAAACCCACTGCACCCCATGACTAGTAGGCGTGGGGAGCAATCATTTCTTCCTCGATAAGTAGACGCGAGCCGCAATTGTGGTATCTATGGCAGGCCGAGCCTCGACGGGTTTCTTCGCCCTTGAGTTGCGGGGTATAGCTCTTCTGGCACTCACATGCGTCGAATACCCGTCTCTCCCATGTACTTCTCCAGCCCGGAGTCGACGTGGTCCCACCATTCGAAAAGCATGCTCTCACAAATGAGCTTGAACCATGGTGTGAACTTGAGCGACTTGTCCTGGAACATGGCCTTCAATTCTCCCTGGGAGACCCAGCAAGAGTCTTTGACCTCGTTGGGGTTGATGTTCAGGTCGACATCGGCCTTGATGAACAGAATGTAGTCGACTAAGAAAACGGTAAGCCTTTGCGAATCAGTCATACTAACCAAGGAGACTCACTCTCATGCTCGCCCCATTTTCCGTCGCTTGGTGACTTGTAATGTATCCGTGTAAGGAACTTGAAATCATCAATGGGAACCTGCGAGGCCTTGATGCCCAACTCGTGGTCCAGCTTGCGCACCGCTGCGCGACGCACTCCTTGTACTGAGGCCTCCAGCCCTACGCCAGTCTCCCCGGGTATGCCTAGAGGATGCGAACAGCACGTGTTCGTCCACATGTCTGGAAATGTAATCTTCTCGGTCGCTCGCTGCTGCAGGAGGAGACGGTTCTCAGAGTCGAAGAGGAAGACGGAAAACGCGCGGTGCAGGAGGCCTCGGTCAATGTTTTCCATTAAATGACCTGCATCAGGTTATTAGACTTCCTAGTAGCAAGGCTGGTGTGCATCTCTTGTGCGAGCTGCCCACAGGTTCCTAGTCACCCACATAATTTCTTTGTCGCGCTGCCAATTGGAATATCATCGTTGTCAAGCACAATGCACACCTCGTCCATTAACCGTATTTGCTCTTCGTCGTAGCCTTCTAACGCACTATCGCTGGAGGCGGAGTTGTGCGAACCCCCAATGAGGGTAGTGTTCACTTCGGGAAAGAGGCGCAAAACATTTTCTGCAGTAATTGCAGGCTGCTCGGTGACAGTAACCGTCGTGCTCATGATTGCAAGCCGTGGAAGGTGAGAGTGGGTGCGATAACAAGTTGTTGCTGGAAACAGTCCAAGCCTACTGTCTGTGAGGGTTGTGAGGCGGCAACTGGGAAAATAAAGACGACCCGAGGGAGGCTGGACCCTGAGCGCTCACGTGCTTCTCCGATCCCACGCCTTTTACTGCCTCTACAAAACTCATCTGGAACCTGAACGAACTGGGCGTTAAGCGACATCACTATAGCATTGATCATACCATGCTAGTTGTCATCACGTCCTTGGTCTTGAGTTGTTCATAGATATTGAATATGCTCCATGTACTTCCATGAGCCACGCAGGCTTCATCAGTCCAAAGGTATCAAAACAGAACAACTTTTCCGAGGCCGGAACATATGCAGACATGCTGAGAAAGAAACCCAAACAAAGTGTATCAAAGCACGAAACGCCGGGAAACCCATCTTACACATTTTGTGCGCCTTATGCGACAGTGACAGTTCTTGTCTTTTTGGCAGCAGGAACCTCAGCCTCTGCATCTGCAACAGTGTCCAGCTCCCTCTTTTCCTTCTCGCCGCTCAGCTCCTTCTCAGCTTCTACAAACTTCTTCTTTTCTTCGTCAGTCAAACCTGGCAAAAGAGGCTTCTCCTCCTTGGCATGAAGGTTGTGGTGGTAGGTACGAATAATCGAGTCGGTGTCGTCCAAGGCGATCTTACGGATATCCGCAATAGCCTTGATCTTGGTGGTGCACTCCTTGTACTGCGCATCCGTCATCTTCAACCCGAGCTGCTCAGCACGGCTCTTGATGGCATTCCAACCAGTAAGTCTGCTGGCAAAATGTACATATCGAGACATGCCGAAATCCTGAGGGTTGATGATTTCATACGTGGATGGGTTGTTGAGGATAGCCTTCGCGTGGATACCAGCCTTGTGGGTGAAGGCGCAGAATCCTGTAATGTAGTTGTTGAAGGGCACGTTGACTTCGACAAGATCGGCGACCAGATCCTCAATCTCCTTGAGCTTCTTGACGTTGTACTTGCTCAAGACGTAGTCGCGGTCCGCAACAATCATGCGGGCCATTAAGCCACCGAGCGGGGTGATACCGTTGCGCTCCCCGATACCAAGCACCGAAGTGTCGATGTGAGTGGCACCTCCCTCCAACGCGCAGTACGCATTCGCAATAGCGCAACCAGAGTCATTGTGGAAATGAGTTTCAATGTCGCAAGAAACGACACCGCGAAGAGTTCGCACCAAGTCGTAGACCTGGCGGGGCGACGCACAACCCACCGTATCAGCGATACCGACACGATTTACGCCAACCTTGTCCACGGCACTGTAAATGGAGAGCAGATCCACTAGATCAGAACGGAAAGAGTCCTCGGAACTGAATCGGATCTCCTTGCCCTTGCTCTTGACGAACTCGATAACCTCTAGAGCAGTATTCTTGATGTAAGTCATATCCTTGCCATGACTGTGCTCACGAAGGTAGCTGGAGGTTCCGATGACGACATCAAGACCGTCGACACCCGTCTCGACTGCGATCTTGGCGTCTTCGAGATGGCACCGTACGTGGGTGAGAATCTTGGCTTTCAACTATGAACGGTCAGAGGCGCACCGACGGATCAGTCTCAGTGTTGGCGACTTACACCGAGCTTGCAGATGGCTTCACAGTCCCGTCTTGACTGTTCGGATGCAGCGGGGCTGGTCAATTCAATGTCTAAAACATGGGTTAGTGCTCGAGCGCGGTAGAGAAAGTGCCGCGGGGAATAGCCGTACAATCTACACCAAACTCGTCGAGTGCCCTAGCAATCTTGATCTTGGCCTCGAGATCAAAGTAGGCATTGGCAAACTGCTCGCCTTCTCGGAGTGTGCTTTCTGTGCGAGAGATGATTAGCAACTTGTTTTGTGCGCGTGGTGGTAATTGCAATTAAGCTTCAAGAGAAGATGGCCACTCGTGCGCAACTCGGACTACACTGGGGTAGCATGGGAGCTGACGTACCGATAATCTTGAAGCGGCTAACATTTGACAAAAAGTCGCCTACCGGCTGGTATGGGCTTTTGTGGGAGGGGTGAGGGTTGTGTGTAGAGCGCACGCCAGTAAAGCCGTCATGGCCATTGGCTCCGTTGGTGGCGCCATTGGCAGGCGTATCTTCGACAGGTGGACACATGGTGGGCGGTTTGTGTGGTATATGAATGAAGAAGTAGGAAGATTGGAGGGTGTAGGCGGGTATTTGAATGGCCGGGCTTGTAATTCCCTGGGTGAGTCAAGAAGGTCAAAATTTCTGGGACAGGCGATGATGAAAGCAGGCCGGGATCGGGCTTGGAGCCGCTAGGCCAGGTGCGCGCCTCTTGTGGGGGGGTGCTTGCGACGGCTGACCAACAAGCTGGCCAGTACTTGATGCAGGCCAAGCCCGAAGAAGTGCGCTTTCACCTGTCCTCCGCACACAAATCTGGAGAAAACCCGAGCAATGCCACCTCTTCCGTCGAGCAAATGACCGTCCGGGGATTGACGATGCGCTCGGTAGAATCTCGCCACCGCCCTCGTGACCCACATTGCCCAACGCTTTCATCTGGCATTGGGATTCCCGCACGCTTGTCCAAACAGGGAGCATGGTCAACATCTACTACATAGTCTTGCAGTATGCTGTCAACATGGTCTACAGCTTTGCCCTCGTCGTCCCTGTTGTGACGTGCTCTACAATGCTCAACACCTGTTTCTCAGCCTCCCACGCACTTCCCCATCCACTCTGATAGCCATATCCCGCATGGCCATAGTTGTGCACCACCCAACCCCCCCCAATCTTCTCCCTCTCTACCCTCGGCCCCCCTGTCCTCATCGGCCGCAAGCCCACACCATGTCTAATAACACTTAGCTCCGTGACTTTCCCCGTCTTTGGGGCAAGAGAGGGACACAGGTCGATGGACCGTTGCATGATACGCTGCGCAAGGTTGGCATCAGGCTGTGATTCCCAAGATCCGGCCTGGAGACAGCCGCCAAGAATGGTCCCGCCTCCAACAGCCCGCTGCATAATGTAGGTTGCTTCCTCTGAGCCGTCGTCTGTACCGCTCACGGTGAGCATGACGCCTGGATCGTTTCGCACTAGCACTATCTGACCTCGTCCTGGGTAGACTGTGCTATCCATAACACCGCCAAGTTGGGAGGCTAGGAGTCCGGTGCAGTTTACGATGATGCTGGCGTGCCCAGACGAGTGGAGGCCACCCGCTTCAGAGATGTGGGAGAGGATGCCTCTCTTGATGATGACGCCGTTCTTGACGCATTGGCCTAAAATCCAGGGGAGGTAGACGGCCGTGTTGATACAGACTGATGTGAAGACGGTGCCCGTGTCGCAGTCTGATGGGAGTTCTGACTTGGAGAGGACGCGGAACTGAAGGGCAGGTTAGCCAGTCGAGACCAAGTGACAAAGGACGTGGCATGGGAGATGGTTGCAAAGGGAAAGAAACCTACATTGGGCACGACATTCTTGAACCACGCGTCCTCTTTGGTCAGCTCTTCGAACCACTGGCCAGTGGCTGTACCAGCATCTTTCTTTCTACCATAGACCTTGGTCTCTTGGTAGTGGATGCCTGCTTCGGGCACCTCACGGCATAGTCTATCCAGCTCACTCCATGTGGCCTTTTCGAATCTCTGCAGGTTGGAACCCGGCTTGCCGACGGGAAAGTAGTTTGCTCCAGCCCATGGAGAAGCATACTCGATATCGTAGTCACCTGGCATATGCTTGCTCACGACAGTCACACTGAGGTTGCTGTGCTTGGAGAGCACCAGAGCGGTAGAGAGCCCCAGCACGCCAGCACTGCGATCTGGATTAGCATGGGTAGTGTGTGTGTATGAGAAAGAGAGAGAGCAGTCTCCCATGCTGAGGTCATGCGTCTACTTACCCGACGACGACGACATTTGTAGCCGCCATGGGTCACACAGACTTGAAGCATCTATCATCGTCTTCCTTTCTTCTTATATACCTTGTGTCATCAGGTTTTGGTGGGGGTCCATGACTTCTTCCCCGCTCGCTTATTGGCTCCGTCCGCACACACTTGACGATACAAGCACGAGTCGAAACGCGTGCGCACATGAGCTTTTGTTTACTGACCTGACCTGACTTGACACTTGAACAGCAGCTTGAGGCCTGATTTGACTACTGGTGGTGTTGATTCCACGCCTATATGGTCGACTCCTCCCCTCGCTGACTGATTCCTTTCACACCCGACCGCTTTGTCGCCAAACCTTTCCGGCGCGCTCCAGCGGCGAGAGAGGGGACTTCTCTGCTGCCGCCAGTGACATCATTGTTGCTCCCGAAGGTACGTCAAAGATTCGCCCGTCGTCAAACTCGTGCAAGCAAGTTGTGCACGTTAAACAGGCGCTTGCTCGAAAGCCTACCCAAACGCCGAGTTTGCTGTTGCGTGGTGCGTCAGGAGCTGACCGTCTTTCTTTCAGGCTCCCCAGCCAGCGTTTGAGCTACTCCAAGGGCGGTCATCGTTGTTTCTCCTGGCTCGCCAAGCGACTACAGCCTAGCGCCCTGGGCCCTGGTTACTGCATACAGCTTCGCGTCACAAAGATATTCTACATTCACGCTCACCGTCGAGGCCACGTCCGTATGGTGGCCGCCCAGCCTTCTTCTCTCTTGCACTGCTCGCCGTAGAAGCTCACCTCCCCCCATGACCGCGTCACCCCACCTGTGCTCCTCGTTGTACACCGATCTCTCCTGTCTTGCGACCTTGCTTCACCCGCCCTCAACATGGCTTCAGGCAAGCAACGAGCCAATAAGCCCGAGTTCCCTATACTCGAGGCCAATGCCTTGTATGCAGGCGAGATAAGAGGCGATGGTGGGCTAGCAACATTGATTTTGGTCATGACCAAGGCTAACCTGTGCAAGGCAACTGCCTATTCAACGCCTTGTCCGACCAGCTCTACGGCCACCAAGAAATGCACGAAGTCCTACGGACCGCGACTATTGAACATATGCGGGACAACTCAGACTTCTACCGCCAATACATGGCCGTGAACAACGTGCGCAGAAACCCAAAACGCAAGACCACGTCTGCATTGCCCACTCGCATTGACACTTCATACTATACAGAGGAGCAGCTGCAACACCAGTTCGAAGACCATGTTGAGAAAATGGGGCAGCCTGGCGAGTGGGCCGACAACATGGAAGTATCGGCCTTTGCATCAGCACTTAATGTCCATGTCCGCCTTTGGCAGGCTGACTATACCTACTTGTTCTCACCACGCATATACTACATCCCACATGATGATTCCACTGCTGAAGATGATAGGCAGACGCTACACATCGCTTATCACGTAAGTCTCTCACTACTCGGCCATACTCATCATGCTGACTCTATCCCAGAGTTGGGAGCACTACTCCTCCGTCCGCAACACCACAGGCCCTCACACAGGGCTTCCAGAAGTTCACATTCTACCAGAGATGATTTCAAAGAAGCGTCCTAGTCCAAGTGTAGATGGTGATGATGACGATCAGCTTCCGCGGGCCAGGAAGCGTCGATCACCGCTGCCATTGTTTGACTCGGATTCCACACCTGAGGGTACCGAAAGCTCATCGGACGAGTCAAACGGGCCCGTCTTCTCACAACAATCTCACCTCGACATACCGCACGAGGAGCAAAATGTTAAGCCCCAAAAGCTGACCATCAAGCTTCGCGGTCTCCGCACCACCGATCCTCCCATACCCTCCCGGGTTTCATCACCAGCACCCGCACCTACACCTCCACTCCTTCCACCAACCACCCATGTCTCCACATTTACGCTCGCGCTAAACGACACGTCGGCTACAACCTGATCATACAGGGTACCGACGCATGACATCAGCATCCGGCTGCGTTGACGCTACACCATTCAATCATGCATAACTTGGGCGCCTATTTTCACTGTCCTTATCTTCTTTGAAGTTGCATAGCATACGAGCATGGCACGGGTATATGTTGCATTTGCCGGATGGACCAAGGTGCCAAAGTGCTTGGGCCTGCGTCCTGTATCTGGCTTGGCGTTATTTTTGAGGCTAAAGGCCGCTTGATCTCTTGAGTATATGAGTGTTAACTAGAATACACGACTCATACTTCCCGTTCTAATCTTGCTGTTTTTACTGTATTTGATTACAACCCATGTCGGCATGGGAATCTCATGGATGTAATGAGCATGGAGAAATACGAATGCTGGCCCAGCCTGTTACCGATCGGAACAGGAATCAACGCCCACGCAATGCTGGGGTGGCCTCTGGACTTGGCAGATATACATGTTCCGTCTTCTGGCTTGGCTTGTTACTCAAACCCTTCGCTCTTCGAATCTACATCCTCCTTCCTCTCGAGCGCTGGACTAAGTGATCCAACGTCTATTGGAGGTGCTACAGCACCAATAAAGCTCTTCCTGTGCGCCCTTGGACTCGTGTCCAACGTTTCCGTCGCTACTTCGACGTCTGGACTCTGCCTGTCGTCCTCTTCCTGGCCGTCCTCTTCGGCAGTGTACCCTTGGTTTGATAGCCGAATACTCATAATCTGTTGCCTCAATTCATCGAAAAAGCCCTGCATATCTTCAAAAGGCAGCTTCACCATCCCGCCATCCTGGGTGTCAACCTGTAGATTGTACAACCGGAGTGCGGTATCCAGACATTTTTCCGCTGGGAATGATTTGTCGAGATGCCGCCAGTTCTCCGCTGCCAATACAGCCCAGAGCGCTGCTTTGCGCCTTCTGCTACCGAGTCTATATGTTCCAACGCCTGTGCGTATCGAGTAGCAAGCTGATATTCGCTCTGTAATGAGCACATGGCCTATTGGGCCAACGAGTCTGGTCTCTAGTATACGGGTTGCCCACCGCGCTGCATCATCCGCAGCACTCGAACCTCGCAAACGCAGGAGTTCGAAGGATAGCATGAGGGTTCGTAATGCGTAGTATGGTGCTGCACTGCGTTGGCGGTCCGTATATGAGTACGATGCAGCCTCAATCCACGTATCGATATTCTCTGACCGGGATTTGGACGATAGAGGGGTGGGTGCCATTAGAGTAGATAGAGCAGCCATCTCTGCAGCTCCAGCGTAATGCCTCCACGCCTTGTCATTCTGAAAGTCTGTTCTCAGAATCTCATACGTGCTCAACGCTAGCTTCCAATCCCTCAACATAAAGCAATAATCCGCCAGTCGCCTCATGATTGCCTCCGGTGCATCCGGTCTATAGAATCCCTGTAAGCTGTCGTAGTTGGAGTTTGGTGAGCTAGTGGAGGAGGCGGAGGAGTTTCGGGAGGAACCAAACGGTGTCCAGCGTTTGGAGAGGGACATGAAGCGGCCGCTGAGCCCCCGACGGCGGGACAGGATTTGCTCGTTCCATGTGGAAACGCTGCGCTCCATGTTAGGGATTATGGATTGGGTAACTAATTCGCGTATAAAGGTACGGAGGCTGCTTATGTCTGAGTCGGGGAAGTAGGGAGCTGGGTCGGTGATGTCGTCTGTGGTTTCTATGTTTCAAAAGTCAACGTTGGAACCCGATTTTAGTACATGTGGAAGATGGCCGCACCTCGTCTCTGAATCTCTGCTAGCTCTTCTGACGCAGACATCCATTCACAAGTCGGTAGCCGCACGCTGTCATCGTCAGAGGGTATACATTGCTGGCTCTTCAGTCGCAGTAGATGGCAGTGCAATCCAAAATGTCGTTTCATCGAATCGAACGTCTGGTTTGATTTTGCAATGTCTCCTGTTTCTTCGTCATGAATTAGCACATAATATCGTAAGAAATCATTTTCCACCCATTGTGGAAAGCGTAAATCTCCATCATGCTGTCTGTTGTACAAGGTCCGCAGTTCCTCAATCGGATGTGGGTTGCGCGAACTGATCGCTATGATGCCGGCCACTGGGTGTGAGAATGTCTCATGGGGTACGACCGGTAGTCCAGAGAGCAGTCGCCGCAGGTAAAGGGAGTAGAAGGGTGATGATGTGCTCTCAGAGTGTGCCGCCGGCTCGCCCTTGTTCAGGTAGTCGGACACGGGGTCATGGCGATTGAACTCGGAATACTGCAAGTGGCGGTCTACCAGCTCTTCGATTTGCGCTACATCGCCTCCCGTCCGTCTGGGCCGTCGCAGAGAGCTGGAGGACGTTCTCTGACCAACTGCATCCACACGTACATCTGGATAGGCATCGTCGACGCCCACGAAGCGCACACCAAAATCCTCCCAGCTCTTGCTTGCCCCATTGCTATCCCTTATGGTGACTTTGCCAGGCACTGATTCGCCAAAAGGTCGCAAAAGCTGTAGTAGTCCTCCCTCAACGCCCTTTGCCCGAACTAGTTCCTCGGTCTGCGCATCGGCCAGGACAGCCACGGATGGCACAAAGGCTCGTTGTATGAGCGTCCTGTACTCGTCTGATACGCCCGGGGGCAGGCTGCTCGGCGTCCCAGTCCCACCAGCCCTCGATCCAGGTGAAAACACGGAGCCGGGTACTGTGGTCGCAGTCGGTGTCGCGGTGCCAGAGGCGGAGCTGGGGCGCAGAGTCGATAGGCTCGTCGTGGATTCAAAGAGCTTGGACAAGCTTGGGTTGGATCTGCGATACGGGAGAGAGGCAAGCGAGGAAGCAGGCGAGGCGCGCTGTTTAGGCAGTATCATGGACGCCTCCACGTCGGCCGGGTACGTTGGCGGTTTCGGCGTGGCATCTTGCGGCGGCGTCATGGGAGGCTAGGGCAGTGCGCCCGCGGGGGTGTGAATGGGCGCGGATTGTCTGAGGCAAAGGCATGTATTCTGAACGAGCGTGTCTATTAGTAGCCGGCGTCTGGAAACGGGTTGGATAGGCGCATGGAGCTGCTTGTACAGTAGGTTTTACATGTGTGACCCTGTTGTTGCGTTGCGTCTAACGGCGGCCGAATCGTCGTTGCGGCCGCTGAGCCTTCTGACTGGACCAAATACGCCTTCTCCATCAACACAGCACCTCTTCCGCACCGCACCGCCTTCATCCCATACTGCAATTCTGGCTTTACCCTCCTTTCTGTCCTATAGGGTTGGAGTCTGCCCTAAGAAAAGCCAGCCCGACTTAGATGGATGCCTTTGATGAGTCGAGCCTGGCCTATCTGTTCACCACGAACATTTTCTCTGCGCTACAAACATAGCCTTCACTCACCGATATCTTGGCACCTCACAGTGCCCTCGTCCCCTCTCGCTGTGAATCATTCACCTCGAATGTCAACAACGAGATCCTCGCCCACGTCACAAGACCGGAGCCCCAAACGGCAAAAGATTGCTAGGTCCTCGCCTCGGCCAATCCCACCATACGGAACCATGTCTGAGCGAGCAAACACAGACCTTGTTCAACTTGAACTAACAGAGGTCGAGTCCAACCTACGCAAACTGCTGCTGGATGTAGCTGCCTACATCGACAATACTCCCCTGGAGGCGGAAGACACGGGCGTGCAGGTACCAGATGAGCTAGTGAGAGAGAAGGTTGCTCTGCGTTGGACGGGAGGATGGGTTCGAGACAAGCTGCTACGGGTGGAGAGCCACGACATCGATCTCGCCATCAACAAAATGACCGGTGAACACTTTGGTCTCAAAATGCAAGAGTATCTAGAAATCCCGGGGAATGCAGAAAAGCATGGCCTCATCGGGACGAGCGACAAGCGCAATGCACGTGACAAGACCAGGATGATTGCGCCTGGTCTTCACAAGATCGAGGCGAATCCTGAAAAATCAAAGAACCTCGAGACGGCGACGACAAAGATCATGGGCATTGACTTGGATCTTGTCAATCTGAGAAAAGAGACCTACAACGAAGTGTCTCGCAATCCGCAGATGGAATTTGGCACAGCAGAGGAGGATGCCATGCGCCGCGATGCTACCGTTAACGCAATGTTCTACAATTTGCACACATGCCAGGTTGAGGATTTCACCAGGCGAGGACACGAGGATATGGCAGCCAAGATCATTCGCACTCCGCTGGAGCCTTACCAAACGTTCAAAGACGACCCACTGCGAGTTCTTCGTCTCATCCGTTTCGCTAGTCGCTTGGACTACACAGTCGAACCCGAGACTGCGAAGGCCATGGGGAATCTCGAGATACAGGATGTGTTAAAAATCAAGATCAGTCGGGAGCGGGTCGGTATAGAGCTCGAGAAGATGCTCAAAGGCCCGCGGCCTCGCATGGCTTTGGAGCTCATCGACCGATTCGGTCTCTATAGGACTGTCTTTACTGACCCCAGCCGGGAGCTACTGGCTGAACCAGAAACAGCGTACTTCCAGCCAGCATATGACTTTGTTGAATCTGTTGTTGAGAAAAATGGTGAAATTCCCGAAACAGTCCCTGTCACTCTGTTACGAACCGGAGACGAGCAATACCTGGCCTGGGTCTGCGCGACGGTGATACCATGGGCCGATGCACCTACTGTCCCCCATCCAAAATCCGCTCAGAGGCCATTATTCCCGGCTTACCTTGTCGCTCGCGAAGGTTTCAAGGCTCCCAACAAAGTTTGTGACGTAGTTGCCGCTTCTCTAACCAACAGTGAAGAGATTCGGAGCCTTATAGCCCAATGTGCAAAGGGCCTTCGACGGCCTGAAACCATAAATCCAGCGAACGACTCGACCGCCCGGGATACGCTTGGAATGGCGATCCGTCGTTGGGGCTCGACCTGGAGGACGCAGGTCTTCTTCAACTTGGTCTATGAGATCGTCCTAGGGCGAGTCCGCAAAGAGGGCAAGTCTCTTCTACTCGAGCTTCTATATGCAATCACTAATCGTCTGCAGAACTGCTTCGCTCCTACGCTGCTTTTCTCACACATCTCACCAAGTTGAACATCCTCGATGTCGACACTTTTAGGCCTCTTCTTAAAGGCACAGACCTCGCAAAAGCTCTGAACACAAAGCCTGGTCCTTGGATGAAGGATGCACTCGACATTGTCATGGCATGGCAGCTGCGAAACCCCAATGCAACTGACCCCTCCGATGCGATCGAGGCCGTAAAGGTCTCTAGAGGCCAAAAGACTGACAGTGAGCTTCCCTTCTGCCTAGCTTCGCACTTTCTCCAGCTTACCATTCCACGTTTCTTCCCGCAGAATAAGCCCGTCCCAAACGCATTGGAAGCTTCGCGGCAGCCGGCTCCTTGGAAAGACGATGGGAATCAATATGCTCTGGATCTTTTGAAGTGGTCGATCGGTGCTCTGGATAGAAAGTCAATAGAGGCAAAGTGGCACTTTCTGGTCCCTCCGATACTCAAGATCATCGATGATATTGACGTGGAATGGAAAGCAAAGGGCTGCCATTTGCTTGGTCTATTGCTTGAAAGTCTGCGACAAGCACCAAGCGAAGACACGTCGAGCCAGAAGCCTATTTTAACCCGAGGGCCTTCAAACTTTGTCCAACGCACCGGTTATCACAACGTCTTTGCCGAAACCCTACTACCTCTGTTCACATACATACCCTCCCTAACACCCGAACAAGACTCGGTCCGCTTATTCCACGAAGTCTTTCCCGCCCTTACGTCTCTCTCCCTCCTCCTTCCCACCAACACCAACCAAACCGACCGTAGAGAAGCTTACGCCAGTGATTCAGATATTCGGAATCGTTTCCTAGACAAAGTTCTCCGAGAGGGCATCCTTTCCCCGCTTGCACATTTCCCAACACCATGGACGTACCCCAAACTCGCCACAACAAGTCTATCCCATCTGACTGATATACTGGGCCACATGGGGATCGAATCAGTCAAACATCTACCAGACGTAATGCCACTTCTCTCGGTGATTCTTCAGGAGCCTTTTGCGCTTGGTCACCAACCGCTACTTCTGTCCACTTTAAGAGCGCTGCAGAGTGTGATGGCCAATGCTTGGCCCCGAGTTGCGGGATATAGAGGCGAGATGATGATGGGGTTATGCTTGTGCTGGGGGAGGTGTGTGGAGGAGCAGAAGAAAGGTGTAAAGCGGGAAGTTGAAGAGGTGATGGATCAGGTCAGGGAAACATTTGCCATGTTGGACGCAGTCATGCATGCTACGGAAGAGGATGAATTGAGGGACGGATGGGAGAAGGAGAAGAGGGACGTGGTTCAGGCGTCGCCTGGTCATAGGGAATGGATTGAGCATAATGTATGAGCTTAGGTTAAGATATGGACGCCATGTGCGAATAGTCGCCACGATGCTCCAATCAGGCGTGGCCGTGTCGGCCCGCAGACGCTGTAGCAGCTAGGCCGTGATTGGACGACGATTTTGATGTGACGCGCGTCGTGTGTGTGCTTGCTAGCCAACAAGAGATGATGGGCAACATGTCCAAATCATATTGATTACCTGTCCCACGGGTACATTATTCAACGCACCAAGTCGCGTGTACAGTATCAAGTTGGTGGGGTTGTTTCCAAAATCCAGATAGAGGCTGCATGCAATGCAAGAATAGAGACAGCAGGGATAGGGCAATGCCGTTATTTTGAGCACACATTTCGCGTCTGCGGGCTCTACAGTGGAGTTCGCCCTAGGCTGTGCTGTCTAGTCTGCCGTTCTCAAGATTGGGGGCCCATCCCATGGGCAAGGCTTGGATCAACAAGTGCCACTCAGCCTTCCTAGAAGCGGCTCGCGCCCCTGGCTCCAACGACCTGTCCTGCACTGCACCGTCGCCCAGCCACCACCGCGCAGATAATAACCCTGTGCTAGGAATTGTCTTTAGAGTAGGCCTAGGAGGCGAGGATCATGGCCAGAGCGTATATCGCGTCAACCTCGACCACGACTACGACTCTTGTTAGCTCCTCCTCTTCCTCTTCCTCCTCCTCCTCCTCCTCCTCCTCCTCCTCCTCGACCACCTACACCACCTACACCACCTAGCCCCCGCCGTCGCCATCGCCATACGGCATCCTGCGGCCTACCTGACGACTATCGCGGACACAAGTGCAAGAAGCGCCCACAACGGCAGAGCGCCCGCATGGAGCTCTCCATTGTTCCCCGGGCGCATTGGCTCAGCAGACTGAGGTCGTGTCTCCGCCTACTCATCATCGTGCTCAGCGGCGCCGTCGTCTGCATGCTGATGCACACGCTCGAAATCTATCGCGGCAACAGATACCTCGACCTGCGCAGAGGCGAACTCCCCATGACCTGGCCCGCCCACACCAACCTCGCACCCACCATAATACTCTTCGCCATTGCCGCCGCCAACTTCCTCGCCTCCGCCGCTATCCTCTCGCTCTCGTTCAAGCGCTCCTTCCGCCGCCCATTCCGCTCACGAGACGTTTACCGCATTGTCGCTGGGAGCTTTGGCGTCATCATGTGGATCACTGCTTTGGTCGTATTCAATCTACTGGACAAGGCTAGCAAAGCCAGCTTAGGCCGATACTCGTGCACCAACGCGAATGTGCTGAGCAACGGGCGCTATCAGTATCGCGCCGTCTGCGAAGAGCAGGTGCGTTTGCATGCAAATGACGACCTGTCGTCTGGAACCATTGCTGACCTGACACTAGGGACTCGCATTTTACACTGCCATTGGTGCCACGTGTGCAGAAACCCTGACGCTCATCACCCTCGCCATATCCGCCATCCTCTCGGTCAAAAACCAGGAGCCTCCACCAACGATTCAGATCCGCGAGAAGAACAATTCCATAAGCTCCGGCTCCCAGTTCCACAAACCTCTGAAAAGATAATATAACCCGTCCACTCGTCCCTCTGTCCGCTCTCATGGTCCGTTTTCGCGTGTGTACAGTTTTCCTTTTCCTTCACTGCATGATACCCCGGATTTCTTTTGTTTAGCGGCACCAAAAGACAGGCGTTAGGGTGGTGTATCATGCCCATGGCCTCGGCCACATTTCGACGCTCGCAGTCTTTGGTCACCATACATTGCATTGTGGTATTTGCATATTCTGGAGTTTTTCTTGCATACTCGCATTTGGTATGACGCATCACGAGGATCTTAACAACTTAGAAGAAGCAAATAGGCAAGAGCTACGGCCGCATGTAATTCAAAGTACCTACTTACCAATCTTCAATTTCCGACATCGAATAGCTTCAACATGTTCTTCTCCTGCTTTGCTTCTCATTTCTCTTGCCCTTTCCGGTCCTTAGAAACCGAAGCACTGCTATCGGAAAGCCATCCAAGTCTTTCCATGTCTAGGTGCAGTTCCTTGCGCCTCATCATGCCTAGCCTTGTCGGACACATTACTCATTCAAAATGTGACTCCGAACCATTCTTCACTCTATGATCCCTGGTGGGGGTAGGTGAAGGCAGCGACTGATACATCACTTGCACACCGAAGACGTCGACTTTGAAGTTCAAAAGGTATTATTGGCAGTACAAGAGTATCTATCTTCGTTTCAATTCCGGTCCTAGGTTACGTCCCATCGTCTCCATACCGTTGTTCGCGTCCTAGCGCCGTAACTGGGGGTCAACGAAGGCCAGAGCATAATAGACCCGAAAGAGAACGCACCCCAATGTAGACATGGTTTGGGATACAGAAGAGATCCGAGTGAGGAAGAAGTGGGAGTGGACTGCCTCCCGAAAGAAAACGCGGCCATGTAACCCACTCAAAACGTTGTGGTACCAAGGCCGCAAAATCCACTACTGTCCAAAGAAGAGAAGAAAGTAACATCCTATGAAGTGATGCTTTACGCAGTACAAATATAGCTCAACCGAGCACTCCGGAAATCCCGTGTTAGAACAGCCCTGTATATGTATGACAGGTAGTGTATCGAGCATAGTGGCGTTTGGCTCTCAACGCCGTTTGCTGTTGTGCCCTCTGCTCGGAAAACGCTCTCTACGTCGACAAGCGAACGTTGCAAGGCGGAATTTGACATCTAGCGTCAAATAGTCCAGATTGCTCAAGTAACAGGTCGAGTAGTGAGCAGGTCTTCCCAGCCAGGAATGATGAGATGGTTTCTCAGTGGACAGGGGCAGCTGCACGCCTCGCCCAAGTCGTAGGTGGTTGCGACGGGGTCGAGCGATTGCTGCTTCCCCAAGCATTCGGTGCAGAAGGGCGAGGAGAGTTGTTCGAATGTTCTCCCTGGCCCTGTTGCGAAGGCTTACGCGGACGATCTTTGGGTCCGCCGGTAGGATAGCCGTTCGACGTGATATTCTGCTTCGGCTTGAACTGACTATTGGTCTTGGGACCACGGCGCTTTCTCGGCATTGACATGGTGATGGCATTGCGCATGTTGGGAATGTGGATAACGATATCAATCTTCTGGGCAAGCCTCTCGATATCGAAGACCTCAAGTCGGCGGATCGTGAATGGGTTCTCAAATCTCTTGAAGCGTGGAAACGGGTCATCCTTGGGAGGGTTTACTGCTGGATCATTTGCTGCAAGGTGAGGAGCCTTGGATAACCTCACTGTTGGAAGTGATCCAAATTCTCGATCCTCGAACAAAGCCTCGGTACCCTTGCGAGTGATGACTTCCCTGCCGCGATCATCTGCAAAGGTCCGGGTTTGGGGAGCGCTAGGTAAAGAGACAGTCGCTGGACCAGCAGCTCCCCGGACGTCAAGCGAGGCTTTCGACAGTGCTGCCGGGGCAAGTGCACCTGGTTTCGACGGTGCGACTGAAAGAGTAGCAGAAGACGCGTTACGGATGGTAGGACCTGGTACCGAAGTAGGTGCCGCAGAACCCGGCTTCTCGAGGAGCTTGTTAAACCGAGCCTGCCATTCCGGATTCATAGCCAGCGGTCGGGCGCCCAAAGATTGACCACGCGACGACATGCTTCCTGTGGCCTCAGTGTGTGCATCACTTCCTGTAGCAAGTGGAGGAAGTCGCACAACAGGTGAGGGCTTCGGCAGCCTCACCAACGGATGGCTGATATCGCCAGTGAATGCAGGATGAGTCTCTGTCTCGGGTGGAGGGGGTGGGGAATCAGCTTTGCTTGACGTGGTCGTAGTCGCCTGTGTCGCAGTCTCAGTCGGGCGGGGAAAGAAGCGTGAAGCTCGAGGGCCAGTGGCTTGCTGAAGAGGGGTGCTTTGTGTCAAACTCTGCTGAGGTGAGGGCCCTTCATGGGCATGCTTAGCTGCATCATCTTTCTTGATGCTACTTTCGGACAGAGCCGCGTTTCCGGCGACCTTATCATGCAACGTAGTCTGCGCTTGCCCCCGCTGGTCTTTGTAGGTCTCTCGGATCTCTGGTCGGAAGGCTTCACCTAAACGCTCTCGATCCTGTCGCGCCTTCACCACCATGTTTGCATCATCTTTACGGATATCGTCCTGGAAATTACTCCAGCCTTTCGCTAAAGGTGGAGCAATGGGCCCAGGCCGTGATGGTGCAACTACTGCCTGCACCGGCAACGACCCTGATTGTGGGTACATTGGTTGGGACGAGGGTAGCTGGCTCGTGGACTGTGAGGTTGCCGATGGCTGTGCAGCTAAGCCCAATGCGATAGGAGCTACTGATGTCGTTGACTGCACGGGATGCTGTTGCGGGCCGGGACGAGGTTGACCACGGTTGTAGCCAGAGTCAAAGGTTCCGTTGCCCAAAGCGCGTTCTTTGGTGGGCGGCGGGCCCCAAACCTGTGACGTCCAAGGGCGAGGTTGAGGTGCTGTTGCGGGCGACCAGGCTGCTTGGGGTACCTGAGGCTTAGGTCCTGCAGAAATCGCGCCTTCCGATTGGTGGGCAAGATTCTTCGATTGTTCGACTGGCTGTCTGGATTTCTCACTATCGCGAGTGAAGGTGTCAAACGACTGTGTAGAATGCTGATTTAGCGCCGGTGGTGCTCTTGCTTGATTTTCGGTCTGTGCTTTCACCGCCGATGGACTTGATGCGGGCTCTGTTCCTTTCACAGCGGTGGTATGCTCTATCAAAGACGGCTTCTTGACCGGCTGCGCATGGTGGACCTTCATCATGCCATACTGAGCCACTTCGCCGTCGGCTGTGGGGACGGGTGGCTTTGGCGGTGATTGTGCAGAAACGGGCACGGCTTTGTCTTTCTGAGGAGATTGTTGTGTAGCTCGTGAAGGCGATTGTTCCTTGGTTTTCGACTTTGGCTCCGGGGGCGGTCCCATAGCAGCGAGTCGCTTTGCGATGCGCTCTTTCCTTTCTGCCTCTGCTTTCTTTTCTGCCTCTTGCTCTTGCTGCTTCTTTAGACGAGCGCGCTCGATCTTGTCGGCCATCAAGCGTTTTTGAACCTCTACTGGGTTCTCGGCAGGTGCTGCATTTGGTGTTGGGAGATCATGAGTACCCGACGAGGTGACTGAACCGTAAGGTGAAACTGGATGTACATGTGCAAGGTTGGGAGACACAGCCTGCGTAAACGGCGGTTGTCGAGGCGCTCCTGGGTCCGAAAGTTCGATGCCGTTGACAGAATGCGATTCGCGTCGCTCGATGTTCATGGGCCCACGGGGCATGTCTGGTGCTCTTCGATCGATTGACATCCGTCGAACCTGTTCGCCGCTCACATTGGATGAATTTCTCCTCCTTCCCCAGGTAGGCATATCTGCGCTAGATCTGAATGTTTGGAACGCTGCTGACGGCTCTGCTGGGCCATCTTGGGAGGGCCTCTGTAGCACGGAAGGTTGCTGTCGGAAGCCGGGATCACGCACAGAACCTCGGCGCATATCGTTGACCGGTTCATAGCGACCACTATGTGAATTGTACAATTCTGGACGAGTTCCGCGGTCATCGCGCCATGAACGGTTGAAGTCGTCAGGAGCTATTTCCTTCGCCGGCATAGAATCGTAGCCATATGAGTCTCGCTGCGAAAACCGCTGTGGAGGTGGCTGATGTAGCGGAGGGTTGATTTGCACGGGAGGTAACTTCTCCACCGGAGGAAGTGATGCCCATGGGGACTTCTTCTCGGTGGCAGAGGGCTTAGCTACCAAAGTCGGTTTCTCTGGCTGTCCCTTCAGAACGAGGCTAGACTTCCCAGTTGTTGGCTGAGAGTGTGCTCCAGGCTTCAGGATTGTCTTGGCTCCACCGGTTACGCTCGGCTTGGGTGTGTTTGTAGCTGTGACTGGCGCAGTATTTGGGTTTTCCACTGGCGTCTCGGGCTTGAGAATCGTCTTTGGCTCTTCCGCCGGCAGTAGTTGGTTCTCAACTGCGGCGACCGAAGACTTGGTTCCATCCATCCACTGCACAGCTTCTGGAGCCCAGTCGTCCTCATCATCATCAATGTCGGCCCACTTTGCCTCCTTGCCAGCCTCATCTGCCTGTAAGCGTGTTGCGAGGTGAATGCCGTATTGCTGCTTTAATTCTTCATCGGTGAACTGCTTCGGTGGTGGCGTAGGAACCGGCTGGTTCTTATTCCAGACCTTGCTTGCATCAGGGCCTGAGCCTGCACCATTGACTTTTCCTAGCGCCCGAGGAGCATTGCCTGTACCAAGCTTGGCAACGAGGCGGGGCTTTGCGGTGAGGAGTGCTGAAGGGCTGGGTTGCACTGCAGGAGCCGTCTTCTCGCCCGGTCGCGCGACTGGCGTTGAGACAGCTGACTTGGCGAGAAACGTCTTCGTAACAGACACCGACTTGAAGGTGGACGGCTTCTTCACCGACGAATTTGTCCGCACATGGCCTGCATGGCGCTTCGACTGATCTACGCTACCCGGACGGCTGATGTCCGTGTCTGAGCTGCCGCTCGCGTCTGCGACAGCTTGTGACTCGCTTGCTGAGTGCTCGTGATCGCCAGAGTCGCCGTTGAGGAAGGGTTGCTTTGACTCGTGCGCAGATGCGTCGGTCTGCTGCTGCTGCTGCTGCTGTTGCTGCTTGCTTAAGGGCTATATCTGTTAACGCTGAACTGCAGGGACTCTCGCGTTCTGCTTACAGTCGCCTCGCCATGGGCCTTGTCTGATGCGCGTGCACTATCGGGCGGGGCTGCATCTGCGCTGTCGGCCGTCGTAGCAGGGTGGGGGGCTTCGAGAGGGTTCGTCTTGGAGGTCGCTGGGCCCGAGGGCAGCTCGCCGTTGACGGCGGGGATCTTGGTAGTTGACGCAGTGTCGTCGATGGGCGCGGGACGTCCCATCGACTGTGCTTCCTTTACCACATCGTTGGTGACCTGCTCTGCCATAACAGTGTGCGCAACTGTCGTGGCGCAAGATTCCTTGTCAGACTGGTGCTCTGAATCGATGAAAGACTGAGGAGTCCGAGGCGGCGACGGCTGCGAGTCGTGCCCGGTGGAGCGTCCATGCTCCTGCATCTGCGACACTGGGGGGGAGGGGGGGATGAAAAGTTGAGAGAATAATCACCTAATGTCAGATGCTGCAAGTCGCCACGGATGAGGAGTGAGCGCTTCCGCAGAATCGCCGTCTGCGTCTTCCAAGAGGGGGTTGCGGCGGCGGGTACGGAGGTTTCGGCGTGCAGGTGCAGTCGCTCGAGCTGGAAGCAGTCGCGAACAGGTGCTAAGTCGCGCTGGATTGACCGAACGGCGTGGGGCTTCGTCCGGGAGGGCGGTCGAGGGTAATAGGAGCCCTATGGTCGAGGGACGAGTTGCGTGTGTGATGGGTGTGTATAGGAGACGTCGGCCTCGCTGTCATAAGGTATGGCGTCGGAGGTGCAGGCGGAGCCTTGGCATGGCCAGAACCTCGACATGTCCCGTCTCTTTGTATGAGTGCGAATGCTTTGGGAAGCCCCACGTCACACTCTCACACTTGCAGCCAGCTGACGTGTTCACGCATGCACGGTGAAGAGGAAGGGCGGGTGAATCACGGTGTGGGCAGGTAAGTGCCTAACAACCAGAGGCAGAGGCAGAGGCAGAGGCAGAGGCAGGGCAGAGGCAGAAGCAGAGGTCACGTCAGGTTAGGTAAATGAGAAAATGCATCAGTTGAAGCAACACAACGTGAACTGTCTTCGCTAGGTGCTTGATTGACCATCTACACTCTATATCTACACATGCTGCCTAGTGACTCCCATCATCTCGTGAGCGCACCTGGTCCGTCCTAGTGCTCGTTGTTCTTGTGGTGGCCTAAAAGAAAAGTGAGTCATCTCGCCCGTCAACTTGCTTCGCTTGGACTTACGCAGATGGAAGTAGTAGTTCTGTGCGTAGCCAAACGCAATCAGGATGCCAATTACGTGCACGAGCGCTGTACTCTGTCAGATTCGATTCCGGATCAAGTACCCTACTATTCCCCCTAGGTACAACGTCCGAGTTTGAACGTATTGCAGAGCTTGACTTACGCCTTCCTGAGGGGTTTTTGCCAAAGTACTTCTTCTGGTAGCGTCCGAGGAGGCCCTTGGCCTCGGGCTCGGGAGCTGGGCCACGGGGCAGCTTCTCGTAGAAGCTCACCACCTTCTGCATGCGGAGTGCATTGGGAGAGGAGCCAATTGCCTGTGAGCTCTGTCAGCCATTGTTCCAATGCGACGACATGCGTGCAGACTGTGTCCCGAGGCGACTCTGCGGCTGCTGAAGGGTTTTTTGCGGTGTGTCCAGCGAGGTGCGCATTCGGTGCTGGCCATGTCGGCATCATCGGGGAGAGGACTCGAGAGCAAGTCTTACATTGGGAGAGGCAATCTGCATGGCAATGTGAGTATTATGCGCCGTGTGGAGGGGGGTAGATAGAGACATACCTTGGGAGGGATCAGGGTCGAAAGAGCGCGCTTTTGGATGAAGCTCATCTTGACGGCTGCCTCTCAATTAGCAATCAATTGCCCTCTACAGCCGGAGCTTGTTCAATCCGGGCGACGCACCTGGGCTGACAAGACGATGGAGTGGAGATGGAGGGAGGTCGCGAGGTCGGTGGGTGAGGTCGTCGATGAAAGAAGGCTGCGACCGGCTTCTGCCGATAGAGCTGCCAAGCATCCGAGCATCTTCTGGAGCTCCAACATGGGACATGGCCAACAACCATTCATTGCGCCACGACACTCACGTCCACCCCCACCATGTCTGCCCTGCCCAGGTCAATTGGCTCCAGGCTACTCGCGCCCACCCTACGGCCCTCTGCGACCAGAGCCATTACCCCCGGATTCCGCACGTATGCGACCAAAGATGCGGGCTCCGACGATGCCCCTGCAGTCCCGCTCAAGAGCGACTCTACCCAGATCCGGGAGGAAAATGCAGCCGAAGGAATGAGACATCAGCCAGACTACAACGTCGCTGTCGACTACCGGACCTCGTGCGTTGCTGCGGAACTCGACATGACAGAAGCCATCTACTAACTTGCACAGCAACTTCTCCCCGATTCCCAAACGTGTCATGGACGGAAGCGAGCCTGGCGAGAGTGTAGCTGCTGCCGTCCTCTCTGGTGCTCCAGTCGATCTCCAGGCGCGTACCGTGCGGTACGACCACCTTGATGTGTTCAGCCCCTCAAGGCGGCGCAAAGCTGACGGACAATAGCATCTATCGCCCCACAAAGTCGGCCACGCAATCCGGTCACTGGAACTCGTCACACTGGCTCATGGATTGGGACGTCCTACCCAAGGGCCACCGATGGGAGAACCCGCTTATGGGCTGGCAATCATCAGCTGATTTCATGAACGGCCACCGGATACAGTTCAAGAGCAAGGAGGACGCCATCAAATTTGCCAACAAGCAAGGCTACGAGTATTTCGTGCAGGAGCCCAACAAGCGCAAGTTCGTACCCAAGGCATATGCGAACAACTTCACCCACATTCCAGGCAAGTTGAAGGTTGTGCGGACAAAATAAGAGCATGTCAAAGAAGGGTTGAAATGGCATGTGTATATACTGGCGCAAGTGCACCTCTTTTCTTCGTTAAGCTCCAGTTTGCCCCCACTGTGATGTTGGCACTGCAGCGCGACCTTGTCTAACTCCTGATTGCTCCCGCTTCATTGCACACATGGCGAAGGTTAGCGAGTGACGTAAATGAGATCCCCAACTCCACGTTGGAGCGTTTGTAGTCCCTATCTATTCCATAGGCTTGCGTGGTGGAGTCACGTTAGCCCATCTAACCACTCGGTGCGTATCACAAGGCGGGATCAGAAGTAGTACGCAATCTTGTCAGTCAATATACAGTCACCCGTCTCTTTCTTCTCCCTTTTCTGTCTACTTCATCACGATGAGGCCGCCTTCTCACACCCGGCTGTCTTTGCACGCCAAGTTCATCGTTTCCTTCACCTTTGCTCAGCAATAACCCGGACACTAGACTTGCGTTCACCTCCACCTTTGACAGGCTTAGCCCATTCGTGGTGAAGCATAGTCTGCGAAACGAGCAGCTTTCTCTTAGATTCGATTATTGCCTTTCACCTAGACTTAACTTCACTGCAATAACAAGCTACAAGCATATATATAAATCCTCTCCTGTATCCAACCACTTTCGTCACGATATCCTGACTACCTCCAGTGTCTACCAGCTTCAAGCCGATACCGCGATTAGTGCCGCCAGCATGGGCCGTGGCGCATACGACCTAACGAATCCAGCCGCTTATAAGTCTTCGGCGGCCGCCGTAGCCATTACTATACACCAAGCCAAGGTAAAGATGGAGCAGGTAAGGCTTGAAACACCTCTAAGATTCTTCATTGAGATTGACACAATCCAGGCTGAAACTGCTGGAGAGCAAGCCGCGGCAGACTTGGAGAAATCGACTAGGTCCAAGAGGTCCAAGGGAATTGTGGTATGTCATCAGGTATTATTGTATATCTACTGGATATCACTGACCCGTCCATGTACAGGATGCCAGAAGGGCGGCCAAGGAGACTGCCCATGAGGCTGCGAAGCCCATCAAGCATGAGCCTAGGGATAACAGTGATAAAACGGTAACGCCGTGAAGGCTTCCCGGCCTAGCTAAGACGAGATCATTGGCATCGCGGCAGTACAGCGAAGCCACTCAGGGACAGCCCAAAATATAGCCAACGGGCCGTGCATCAAGAACACCTAAAAGAAAATTCGTGAATTCGTTACTCCCGACAGCATGCTTCTCTATGCTCCCCCGTTGGCTGCTTTGGCTGCTACCTCTCGCCTAGCCCACCCCGTCGTCCTTTTGCTCTTCAAAATTCTACTTGATCGGCCTACAACCTGAATAGCATTCTTGGTCGGCCCGAAGAACTTCTTTGCCATCTTCTCGCTGCCTACATCGTTCGGGTGCTCACCATCAGTGGTATCAGTCACAGCGTTGAAGTCGGCATAATTGTCAACGAAGTAGACTGGGGACTGGACGGTTGACTTCTTTGGTGCGTACGTTGCGATGGCGGAGTTGAGCGCTTTCATTCCCTCGACGCCTTCCTTGGGCCAGCGCGCGGGATCGAGAGGTAGCAGGTTGGAGAAGATGATCTGCATTCTTGCGTTTTTTGCGCGCATTTGGCCCAACAGTACATCATAAGCAGCGAGGATATCTTTCACCGGCTTCTTGCCCAAGAGGACATCGTTGGTTCCTAGCAGCATAATGACAACATCTGGCGGATTTCTGTCGAGCCAGACAGTGAGGTTTCCGTTCTTTGCGTAGTCGGTGGCCTGGGAACCAGAATGACCTTCATGGTCTTGATCGACACCGTTACCGCCGCAGTTTCCGCCTAGACTGCCGACAAAGTCGAAATTTCTAATTCCGTCGTTCTTGAGCTTTGCTTGGAGGTTTGCGCGCCAGCATTTCTAGGGCTGTGTTAATGGAACTCTTCTTTACAGGGAGCGAGAAGTTGAACTCACTGAAACAATGGAAGCACCGAAAGGCATGACCTTGACTGTGCGCTGAGCCAGCGCCTGGCTGGCAAGACTGATGAGTGCAAAAGCACCAAAAGCACTAAATTTGACCATGGTTGGGGCCTTCGGATGATCTCTTAGATTGAGTGGTTGAAGGTAGTTCGAGCCGAAGTCGCAAGTGTAGCACGTCGACTTAAATGAAGTAAACTTGTAGGTGTAATTCGATTCCTCTCAGCTCTTTGGGTCAAGGTTCAGGAATCCAAGTGGCGGCAGTAGCGCTGGTGTTGTAGAAAGAACGGGTTGATTATGTGTAGTGATGCTAACACTCAAAACCTTGATACAGAAACTACGAGGACAAAGTAGCCAGAGGATGTTATATGGTGTAAAGACTACCCTGAAGAAGATGTAACATACCAAGAGTTATTAGAATGGGAGTTTGCGACCTTTAAGACCCCAAGTAACAGCTAGTTCCAACCCTCGTGGGCTCAGACGATGACAGTGGAGCCAGACCCTTCACAGGCCAGGCCCCTCTTCCGCCCAAGGCCAAAAACGAAGCTTCGACCAGGGTTATGGAGCATGGTACAGTGAGCGTGAGTTGATGGGTCGGGCCCCCCAAAGGAAGCGGCTGTGCCTGGCTGGCTGGAATACACCCTGCGTAGCCTCATTAGGACTAGACTAGTCGCCCGGTTTCTTAAATAGTCATTGAATCTTGGGCGGTTAAAGATCACAGCCATGCTGTGTTGTGCCAGGCCTTTTTCAGGTCCACATTCGTTGTGCATGCTCATCTCACGCATCAGAACTTGTCGCTTTCGGTAAGATGGGTCAGCTCCAAAAGCCACCATCATCAGCCCCTGGTGAAGAGACTGGGCCCAATAGTTCGAGAGTCTAGCCGCAATCATCACACTTCCGAGACGGCGCATCGATTACGGGCCAATCTGCGCAAAATTGGAGAAACTTATGGCGCGGCACTTGAGCTTCGCAGTGCCCTTAGCGAGCAAAGGCGTCTCCGGCGGAGTTGCGTGGTTTGCTGGCTGAATGATGTGTTGGAACGTGTTGTGTATGGGAAGCCCCCCTGTTGGCTGCCCGGCTGATTTTGCTCGTACTGCCCCAGGTGATTGGAAAGCCTTCTAAAGACCCTAGTGACGCCCCTTTACAAAAGACAGCTACTGTCGGTGAGAAGGTACATACACTTGGTCCCGAGTTCGCATGCGTGCTATATGAAGGCAGGTGACGACTCCTCTTTGCGTATTGGTGCTAGAGGCCAGTGAGGTTCGACTCAGTGCTAATGGGGTTTTCTGATCTTACGCCATCTTCATACTGCCAATGCCTCGCCGGCGACGTCGCGAAGTCATGGTGTTTGATCGACATATTGTTATACAAGTAGGGGACAGCAGCGACGATCTGCCCGTGTTTGGGATCCTTTGCTCAGGTCGTGGGCTTAATAATAAGACTATGGATTTGCCCTTGGTGAGGAGGTACAGCCCACGTGCTACATCGCGGCAACGCTAGGGTTGTGCAACACCCAAACTGATCTGATCACCGCTCACGATGCATGGTGGCGCATCCTCGACAATCACCTACAGAATGTCGCTAGCCCTTAGCTCAAAGTCTGCACAGCTCACGGTCTACACAGCTCATAGTCTACACAGCTCACAGTCAACAATCCAAGAAGTGCACAGCTTACAGATTACAGCTTACCGCCGAACAATCGCTGACACTTCATCTTTCGCTTTCAGAAATAGAGAGACACCCACGGCTGACGGCATCTTTCCTCAATCAGCCTTGCGCCTACCGCCCGAACGCCCGAACGCCCGACGGGGGCTCTGCGGGCGTTCTACGGTGGTTTCCCGTACCGCTAATCAGCCTGGAAACCCGATCCGTGCGAAGGGGGCGGCGGCCCACAGTCCATGTTCGCATCTAGCCAAACTCGTAAAAGAAAAGCAGCAGGAAGCATGTCAATGTTTCCGAGTCGTTTTGTTTTGTCCAAGACAGCCGACGGCTTTAACAGACATCAACACTCTCATTCTGCATTATTTCCGAGATGCAGTGTTGCGGGTCGAACACGAAAACCCAGAATTAATTTAAGCTCAAGCAGAGGCTTAGATGTTTGCCCTGCCCTTGGCCTGTCAGCAACCGGCGAGCCATTTCTCATCCGCACAAACTTCCGCCGCATGCCTAACTCGTCAGATCCTGCATCCTCCTCCTCCTGCGCCCCAGCACCAGATCCTAATCCCCACAACTCATTTCCCTCATAATGTGATCACGACAAGGCATCGGAGGCTAGGCGGAAACAATCAGCCTACACGATCATGAAGCGATCACGTTTCACAAACGTTGGAAGAAGCTTCATGTTGTGGAACACAGAGCAAGGCAGGCAAACGCTTGGCAAAGGGTTCGCAGAGCTCTCTGCTACTATGTACTTTCGAGTCTCTTCGTATCCACGTGATCACAACTGCTGCGGGCATCATTCCCCAATGCTGGCGACTCTTAGCCTTTAACGATGCACAAGTATATCAAGAATCGAGGGTTGCAACAATTTAACGTGGTTGGCACTCTAGTGTTCACGAACGACAGATAAAGGTGATGTAAAAGTGTAACGTGGTGACTACGCGACATTATCTCGATCTCACAGTGGACGCCGCTATACCTTAGATCTCAACCAGGCAACATGGCCCGACATCGGATGTGTTACAATAAGAGTGCCACCATGGGCTCGCCTTGTCTACCAATCTATAGGCTATATTGACTGCACTGCCCACTCGTAGATAGTAGCTATTCCACCACGACCATTATAGCGCCAATGGTTGAAATCAGAGGACACCCCAATGATATAAAGAAGCCCAAGTCTTTGAGCTTGTTACAGTTGTATTTGATGCATTTAACGCGGTAGATACGAGCTCGAGTCGGTTTTTGCTGTGGGATATGTGCAATGAGTTCGAGCGAAGGTAGTACATACGCCTAGCTTATAGACCGTGTAAGCCAAGTCAATGGATGTTGTGAGATCAATGTCTCGATGGCTAGATTGGTGAAGAGGAACCCAAGACCGAGTCAAGGTCCATCGTTCTCCTCGAGGAGTATGAATACAGGGCCGAATCGCGGATATTGATTCGGTACTCTTCCCTTGTTGGAGCCTGCAGTAACTGCGAGCCGGGTCTGATAACACGCATGTATCCGGCAAGAGTGCTGGTTTCCCCAGTACCAGCCTGCTCATCATGGGTACCGTCGCTGCCCCCAAGACCGTATGACTGCAGGCGTTCCCCAGAGGTGTCGTAAAGGGCGTGATTGACCAAGGCAGTTTGACCCGACACCTGGCTATCCTCACTCGAACGCCTGTACTGTGAAGCCGAACGGACGGAGATTTCTTCGAGAGGATCTAGTGTGAGGTCGACGTCTAGGCCGTTGCTGTTGTTTTCTTTGTCGTCATGTTCGTAGTCCAAGGGCGAAAGTGCCATAGCTTCCGCTGCTAGCTGATCCTCGAGGCACTCTTCGAATATCTCGAACGATTGAGCGTCAGACACCGGCCATGAGTCCCGGTCATGACGGAAGTATCGATCGCCTGGTAACAGCTTCCACACATCGAGTCCCTCCTTGCGGCGGATGCCATGCGGTTGAGGATTAGCGAATAACGATACCGGCAAGGATGAATCTAGAACTAAATTTTACCGAGAATTTAGTAGATGTTTGAAGCAAAAGCTCTCGGGATGAAAAAACTGGCCAAAATAGACACGGCCTGTTTTGACGAGCTCGCTGTAGTACTCGGCCTGATCAAAATCCACGACGGAAGGCTAAGTTGGTTCTTGGGCTATGGGGGTCACTAACCTATCGTCTCCTTTCTAGTTGTTTCTATATCTATCTCGAAGCCCCGATCATCTTCGCCATCAATATAGTTCGAGCCAGTCAGGTCCAGAACCTGAGCATGTCTCTGATGCTGGGAGCTGGCTGACTTGAAGACTCTATCATCCAACAAAGGCTCAGCCGTACGCTGAAACTTCCGTCGCCCGTGGGCTGGAATGTCGACTTCGCTGTCATTGGTACTCAATAGCTTCAGATCTTCGTCTTGGGGGTGGATGCTCATATTATATGCTGTCTTCGGATCTGAAGTCTTTCGCGAAGAGCGTCTGGTAGGGCCAGGTGATTGGAAATGAGATCGTTTTCGCTTCTTTCCCATTGCGACCTTTCTCGGCGCCTCCTCAGGCTCGCTCTCATGGTCGACTTGTGTTGGACTATCTACCTCTCTGTCAGTATGCTCCGAGAAGAAGCTACTTGGAAAATCTGCGAGTAGTTGCTTCTCGCCGTGAACAGAGCGACGTTTGGCAGCCTGAGATGGTCGTATGCTATCATCCATGGGATGGTACCGGAGGTCGTAAACGAGCTTGTTCTGCTTTTCTCCGCGGTCGCGTAGCATGTACGAGGATGTAGGAGCGGGGACCGTGGTCTGAGACCTTCCAAGCAATAACTTCTCATCCTCTTTATTGTCAAAGTTTAGAAGGCCCTCTGGGTCAAAGACGTTGTGTAGATCGATGCCGGGAAGTAGTGTGGCGACACGATCTTGCTTGCCGTATGATTGACTGGGCAACCTCATCCTTGTTTTGACGGGCTCACGCAAATATCTACCCTTTTCCTTTGTATGGTGCGGGACATTGTTGCCGTGCATAGATCTATTGACAGAGTCGGCTTCGTCGTCCTGAAGCGGCGCTTGTTGATGCTCAGTTCGTAATTCGTTCGATCTCACGTCAGTCGTGAGCTCGGCGTGATGGTTTGGATGGAGCGCCATGGTATGGTTGTATTCTTGGGTGGGGTCCTACAGAGGATCAGACGAGGCAATATGCATGCGTGAAGTCTTTCAGCCTACTACATGACCCTCACTGCCAAACTCGCCAGAGGCATCTGCCATACCTGCCCGGGCTCTCAGTCCGTGTTTCCGTTTACTAGTTGACGCAAGGTAGAACAATGCTTGGATGTGGGCGGCGAAGCACTTCAGGAAGACCTGTCGCTTGCTTGATGAATGTAGTGTGTGGATGGCTCTAGAGACTCGACCCTGGGGAGAGAAGCGAGGTGAAAGAAGCGACGCAACTCTTGAAATCTCCGAAGATCACTAGACAAGAAGGTACGCGTGGTCTCCTCTAGGGTTCCTTCTCTCAAAACGCGCGCTCACATGACCCGTGCTAGAGATGGAAAGAGCGGTCGAAGTAGGGGGAGGGGTGCTGCATTGACCCACTTCTCGCCAACCCTCACGATATGCGTCTAGGAACGGGCCTCTATAATTGTTGTTAGCAGCTTCGCGGGTCGACTGCGTGTCAAGGTAATGGCTGGGGACGCTCGAGGCAGTGCTACATGTGGAGACAACGATGAGAACAAGGCGAGTGATACAACTAGTGGGCGAGACTTATAGAGAGGAGGTAACGAGCTTGAAATCAAGATGAATCACTAAACATAAACAAGCAGATGTAATTACAATGCGTCGAATGGTTTTTAGAACAAGCTTGAGCGAACGTGAAGAAGCAGAATGCCCATATCGGTACCTTTAGGTGCTTTTTTTTTTGGCTTGCTTTAATCCGGTTGATAACTCCAATGTGCGCTATATAATCAGACCTTACACCTATACCATGAAGACGCCGCAGCGCTGATGAGCTACTCGTTATAGAGCCGCTTTCATACCCAACGTAATGCAACCTAACTCGCATAGTTGCCTTGGATTGTCATACGCCAGTTAACCGAAAAGATGAACAAGACTTGCTAAAACGCGGACGGATGAAACAAATTTCGAAGATGTAATAAAAAAAAAAGATAAAATTAGGCCCTAGCCGTTAGCTGGGACGTCAATCGGACAGACGGCATGACAAAGTTGACATCTTCATCCTCTTCGTCATCATCTACCTCGATATCTATGATCTTCGGTGCTGGAGATGCCATTGTGATAGGCTTATCAGGAAGCATGACCTTCGGCCGGGCCTGGGGTTGATGCTTAGGGGGCGGTATCGACATGGACGGGAAGTGCTTCCTATACGAGGAGTCGATTGAGGAAACAGAGGTATCCAAATTATCCTGTGCCTGGACTTCTTGTGGCTCTTGCGATTTCCTTGCGTTGCATTTCATGACTTCAGTCTTCGCGATTTCGAGAATGTCGTCAAAATTCTTACGAACAACGTCCAGCTCTTTCCTGCAGTCGCCATCCCTCAGCGTGAGATGCGCTGCTTTCTCACATAGGCCTTGTGCATTTTCCAGTGTCTTATCTGTAGTGTCGAAGAGTTCAGCGGGTGTTGAACCACCGCTGACGCCAAGTCGGCCACCTCTTCTTGCTGTAGCCAGTGCTCGCATTGATGACATACGTGGGCGATAACTGATCTTCGACACGATAGCTTCTTCCTCTTCCTCGTCAGCTTCCTCTTCGTCATCACTTGAGGCTCCTGCTAATGCAGCCAGTTCGTTCATCTTGGCCTCCATCTTGGCCTTTCGTAGCATGTTGCGCCCTGTCCCTATTGACCGTACAAGCGTCTCGAACGACTTTTGCATATCGCCATCATAGCTTACGACAACCATTTGCTTTGGACGGTACCGCAAAGAGCCAGATGCGCGACCTGACAGGACGGAGAGCGTCTTTCGTTTGCGATTTCCGAGAGGATCTGGCTGGGCGCCATTCGACGGGGCGATTTCTTCAGCAATAGCGTCTAGCCTTGCTGGCTGTATCGACTCAGTAGACTCGGATTTTCTCTTTGCGAACGGCGACTGTGACACTGATGTCTTTGTGATTTGATCCTGCATGACGGTGACCTTGTCTGCTACCTGAGCGACATCCTGCAGCCATTGCGGTATGCTATCCTGCAGGAAGGTAAAGGACTTCTCAATGTCGGACATGGCAGGTGGGCATGCCATGGGCAGGAGCGGGAGTCGGCGGACCGTATGCCAAGATGACGTCGTTGAGGAGGGAGGGCCGGGGAATGAGCGTCGGCCAGCGAGCAATCGTGGACGTAGAGGTAGTAAGGCAGATGAGGTTATCGTCGAGAGCGATGGGTAGTGATGTGTTTGTAGCGGAGGGGAGCAAACCGAGTCGGCGACCAAAGGATCTGCGATCACCTTATGACAGGACACGGCTGGCAGGCAGGGGGTGATGCGTCTAATACAGGTTGTGATCAATAGGCCGCGCTCCGTCTGGCTGCCGACATGCGAGCAGGATTACGGTTGTACAAACTCACGGCGCATTGCATGAGGGAGGGGGCGGTCAGGAAATCAGAGAGGAGTGCAGCGGGTGCAAGGAATACGGCGCTGCAAAAAGGATGGGGTACCGAGTGAAGGGCTCAAGACGGGCCGGTCACCCTTGGCAGATCGCACTGGGGCGCTGGGCCTCATTGTTGCAGCAGAGCGGAAATGCCTCACTTTCGCCCTCGGGGGTTGCACAGTACTGTTTGTCGCTCTGTTGCTTTGCTGCTTGGGCGTTATATATGGCACATGGCTGGCCGTACGAGATGGCCTGTGAATGCGGGGACAGGTGCCGGCACATCGTCGTTACAGCGATCAACAACGAACCAGTGCTTGCTTGCTACTCCTCTCTACGTGGCCGGCTACGAACAAGCGCTGTAATGCGCCAATACGCTAATCTCTGCTTTAGCGCCGCTGCACATGATCTGAATCGGCAATGCCGTCCTTGGACTCGCAAGTCAACTGTCTGACGAGGACCCTGGAATCAAAGCCAATGTCATCTCGCGGCTAGTCTCCAATCAATTCATTGCCATGGCGTTTGCGTCCCGTACCGTTGTATACGCCTCAACCGAAGCAGCGTGCAGAGTCTACGGCCGTTAGCCTCTCGTTGCTCATCTACTCGTGAGCGGCGGCGCAGATACGACTCTGCGAGAGGCACTCAAAGAACCCTGATTTGGAATTTACACAAACGATGCTAGGCTAGGCAAGAGAGCACATGATGATTGGTACATGGTTGTAATCATGCTCCTGTATCACAGAAAAAGGAGGGACAAGCAAAGCCAGCGGTATTCCTCTCATATCACATGTTGCCTGCCTTAACATTCCTCACAGGCAGTCGTGAGCTGCACACGTGCGGGGTCGAGTCCAAGTATAGCTTCCCTCGTCTCTGACCAAGAGTCGCTCTCTGTAGGGAGCGGGGACGAACTAAAAACCATTAGATCGTCGCCAAATTGGACATTGATGGGATGAACTCGTATTGCTGCACTGCAAAAAGTACTTCAAAGGCCAACAGCTTCCATCAAGGCGGCAGCATTTTCTCCCTCCAGTAACCATCGAATGCCGGAGTACGCTAATATCCTGACCAACCACCTGTGCTTGTTCATACGGACAGTCCAGCCATGATCGGCCGTCTTTGCTCGCCCTGCAACCCCTGTCGGAACCCTGTTTTCAATTACATGCACATGATATTCCTAAATTGCAGGCTAGGGATCCCTATTCAATGCCACCTAGCTGACCTCCTCCCATTTGTCAAGTAATGTGTCGGGCTGCTCGATCAAAGGAGCGCACAGATACAGGTCACCAGAATAGCAACGCGACTCGACGCTAATCGCTTTGCTAATGTTTCCAGAGCTGTAAAACTTTGGAATAATGGATCGGAACCCAAGTGCTTCGTTTGTCGTGATGCAGACCGAGCGGGGTGTCAGCTGGCAATCAACCGACTTCGCTGCCTCGACAGGGGATATCAAAGTGACATGGGAGAACAACAAGTCGCCGACCTGAAACTGCGTCTGCGCACTCCATGTCGAACACTACATCTGTGTCGAGCGGATTCCCTGCAACGTGGTGCGAAAATGTGTTACACAGCAGCACCGCTATGCGACCGTTTTCGTGAAAGTCATATCGAATCCCGGACGCACACTCGAAGCAAAGCTGACGGCAAGGTGGGAGCGCATAGTAAAAGTGGCGGTGTATTGCATTTTGAGCAGTTAGACCATCTATTGTAGGCATCTAGGCTTCACGGCCTATTGGACCGAACGTCTATCATTCCTGAATACGAGCCTTCACGGCCAAAGCTCCTCTGTCCTCCAACCAGCATTCGCTTGCGTGCTCTCATCGAACGTGTACCTGAGTCTCCTCGACTTCGCAGGATCACTAAGATCGGTCTGCTCAACAGAGTCCGGCACAATGACGACAAGGCGAAAGTTCTGGCGCGCAACTAGATCGTGGAGATCATCTGTCTTGGAGCCGAGCTCAAGATTGTTTTTGTCGTAAGGTTTAGTTGTTGATTGCCCTGGAGGTGGATTCTTGAAGGAGCCTGCAAGCGTCAGCCACATCCTGGTGCTTACCATGTAAACGTCTATCTCTACCTTTGATACCGGGCGACTGGTTCCCAAAAAACCCTGTGAGTTCCTTCTGCCAGCTCCAATTCCTTTCCTTCTCGGGCTCCGCAAGGAACTTCATCCTCTTTCCTACCTCGCTCTTCACCGTCCTCACCCCACTGCTCTCCGTTCCCTCAATATCATCGGCAATCACGTACGCCCGGCCCTTGATTCGCCACTGTGTCCCAGTTTCTGTGATCCAATATACGGCCTCTACAGGGCCTCCTCCTCCACTACCCTGGGTCTGATCATTCTTCTCCGCGTGTCCTGCGCTCGCAAAGATCTGTCCCACCTTCTCCATACGCACGTCTGTAGTGAATGTTGGACAATCGCTCTCGTATACCCGAGGGTTGCGCTCCGCGTCGTTGTGCTTGTTCTCGGGTAGCTCAGCCCAAAAGCCGCGGAAGATGCAGTATCGCACACGGGGCACAAATGGGGTCGGAGAGCCTTCTGGGGCAGAATCGAGTGTTCCCAGGACAAACTCGGGCGATTTCATCTTAGAAATGTGCTCGTTAAAGAGAGACTTCCATGGTGCTGGTGAAGGGTTGGACGTTGCTGGCGCGGTGGAAGCCATGGTACGTTGAAAACGCAAAAGGCGGCGGGATGCTATGCGTGAAGCTATGATTGCAAATTTCGAGCGGTAACTTCTGGGACTATTAAGTGGTGATTGAAGGAAATGGGGGTTCTGGGCTCTATAGCTTCTGATCTTTGTTCGTCAAATGATGTCGTCATCTACTGATAGATGTCCCGGCGCAATCGTGCCGATTCATGAGATCAGTCAGTAACCCTTCTTGCCCAAGCGGTTATCAATCCTTGAGAACCGTCCCAAGTAGACAGATTTGTTTAGGACTCGAGCGTGTTGTGTGAACGAAGCTAGGACGGATGATGGTCTACGTGAGCTTTGCGGCATGTGCTCGGCTTGGCGCACGTAACCAAAACTGAGAGCTGGGATGCCACTATCAAGCGTATGGAACGTTTGCGATTTATAAATTCATATACAGGGGAGATCGGCCTTGGATACTATTTGCAGCATCAAATATCATCGACGAGATCAGTTAGGAGTCTAAGCCGGTTCGACTTTCCTTTGATTCAGCATGAGCAAAGTTCATAACCCACTAGCCAGGGCTATTCCCGTTATAGTACATACTTGCAAGTCACACAACAGCACGGGGACGCCGAGCAGTGCCACAAATCAAGATCTGTGTGAAACAATTTTCACGGGAAAGGGGTAGGGTAGGACAAGTCGGCGACTTGAATCGACATCGCTTGCAAACACTGAGCAAGCGATTGCCTCTTAAATGACCCACACATAAGCGCCAGTTCCACACCTAGTTTGGCATGGAGAAAATTGGCAAGGGGTGCCGCTTGTGCTGAAATCGAAGGGCGAGTGTTATGAGGATGGTTTACAACTTCTTTCCAGGTTGTGGCGAGCTTGGTTTGTTGTGTAAGAAGGCAATGTGGGGCGGGATGGATAGCTCAAGTAGGAGTTGGTGTTTGCTGTACACCGATATGCATCGCAAGCAATAATTATGGACTAAGAACAGTCTTGAATTTTGAGGTTGGTGTATCGTAAGCTTCAGCTCAATTCGCATGGTGTTAAGACGTATGTAATGCTGTTGCTCATCTGGTATCAAGCCTTCTTGAAGAAGCTTGCAATACTGCCCTGTCCCTTCTTACCCGCAGCCTTTCCTTTAGCTGTACTCGCTTGTTTGGTGGGTGCAGGCTTCAGCTTCTTGGGCTCTGGTTCGTCTTCTGAAAAGGACTCCCACGTAGCCTCTTCCTTGGTGACTACGAGAGGGTTAGCCGAAAGAGTTTGCTATGCACACTTTGCTTACCAAGATAGCCGTCCTCATCCTTGACCTTCTTCTTCTTCATTACTCTTCTTCGGCCGCGTCTTCGACCATTTTGGATGGTGACTATAGATTCGCCCTCAGCTGGCTCTATGGCGTCGGGAGTTCCTAATGTAGTAGCTTCCGCTTGTAACTCGGTTCCTGTCGGTGCATCGGGCATATCTTCATCTACAAAATGTCAAGCCGTTGTTCAGTCTTGTCTGCGTATTGGCTTACCGTCGTCCTCCATCATTTTTCGCAGTCGCTCTGTTCGCTCTTCTCGGACTTTGCGGGCTGCTTCATTCTTTTCCTCGTCGACCTTGACCTCTGGCTCGTCGTCTGCATCTCCATCATCCTCAGACATGCCCTGCATAGCTTATGCAAACATTAGAGCTGGCTAACCATGGAACGCACTACAAGTACTCACCATCCTCGATTGGTGCAGAGGCAGACTCTTGCGGCTTCTCGGCTTCCTTCGGTTTCGATTTGGACTTCGCAAAAGACTTGAAAATATCCCCTGCTGTCTTATCCTTCTTGATACCAGATTTCGAATCCGACCTCTTAAGAGTGCTTGTGCTCGCAGCAGGCTGAGGCGTTGATCGACCAGAGGTGTTCTCTACTCCGCTGCCTTTACGTGAAAGGACCGGCTTTTCACTCTCTTTCGCCTGAGCCATGGCATCAGGTTTTACAGGAGGCGTGGCGACGTGCTTGGCTATGGCATTCGAGTTAAGGCTGGAAGTAAGTGGGGTGTACTTAGCAGTCCTTCGCTTTGCGGCATTAGTTTCGACATGGTATGTACGAAATATAGAGACATTGTAGATACCTTTATGTACGGATTGTGGATCGACCCATACGTCCGCCATTGTTCCATAGGGTCTGCATGATCTATGGCCATCTCATGATTACATGATGACAGCACGTTCAGGTTCTGTTGTCTTTAGCTTCTCCCCCTTGGTAAAATACGCTATACGCCTCATACCTCGATTGGACCAGGCTCTAGGCTGTATATATGGATCGACGCCTCCTTTTGGAACTCTCCACGGGTTTCTAGACAGTGGTCAGACCGAGATACCTACCATGCCAAGGGTATGACGCACTCTCCAGCTCCTCCTCCCGTACCAGCGCTATCGTTGTTGTTTTGACGGGCTCTTCGGTGCGCTCCTCTGCTTCTGGCATGGAGCTCATGAATGGCGAGCTACGCATTGCAGTATCCATGCCGTCTCGGTCGTTGACACCATTGGTGTGCTGGGTTCTTCGCTTCGTACCCGAAATGAGGTATGTCGCGTGGACAGAGTTTGGCTTCTTCGCATTCTGCTTCTGTTGGAAGTCGAAGAGCATCCTGAAATGCATAAGCTAACATTCAACCATGTAGACGGGTTACTAACCATTTGGCCACATTGACATTGACTTTGAGAGCTCGGCTGAGCAAGCGGTACGTCACCTATGCGCTATCAGATTTCTGCGTGATTCGTAGAGATTTTGGTGGCATACAGGCTTATTCTCTGTGAGCACCCTCGCAGCAAGGTAGTCCTTGTACTCATCTTCTGCCATCGTGATCCTAGGGGTCCACGTCGTTGTCAGATCGTACTCGTAGTGGTGAGAGTAATTCCAAAGCCGTGCGTGCAACAGAGCGCGTCGCGCGATCAGGTGGTCGACGTGCTGTTATCGATAAGGAAATGATCCCACCGTTACTATGCTAATGTGCCCTTTCAGCTACCTCAGTCTAATACACGATGAGCGCCGGCGAAGACGATGACCTGAAACTGCAGCGGGCCTCGGCTTTGCTGCTGGCAGACTTTGAACAGCTTCTCCCCCGACTGCTTCGGAAACGCAACCATGACGGAACCCCGGGGCCGGTCCGTCAGCAGGTGCGCGATGTTGACATGTACAAAGCTTGTAGCCTCGTATGCTCCTCACCCGAGCAAAACCTCGATCCTCTACTAAATCATTCCCAGATTGAACCTTTCCAAGAGGACCCCCAGATCCTCGACACCTACCTCAAAGCTTTTCTACCACCTCTCGTTGCTGCCTATCTCGAAACTGTCGTCCAAGTAAACGAGAGAGAGAAGCTAAAGAAAGGCTTTGTCCCTCTTTCTTATGCCGTGTGTTATCTCTTGAATATCTTCTGCAAAGTTAGGGGCGAGAAGATCATCAAAGGTTTCTTCAACAATGAGCCCCGCTACCTTGAATTAATCCTAGGCGAGCTCGAGGCCGGGAAGAACTTCCACGCAAATGACGACGATGCAACTCACCAACAGCCTATTTCTCCTTGGGTTGAGCGCTACGTGCTTTTGCTATGGCTCTCCCACTTACTCCTAGCACCATTCCCTTTAGAATCCATGTCTGGGCTTCAACAGTCGGCAGAGACGTCAACACACCTTGGGGTTAGTTTACCTCGTGAGGTTCCTGGTGTTGTGCTGCGTGTTCTTGCCGTTTGTATCGAACGTCTTCGATCTGCGTCAAAGGAGCGTAGCGCTGCTGCAGACCTTCTAGTCAGACTGTGCATACGCCCAGATATGCAAAAGCTTGGTCTACTAAACAGTCTAGTCAAGTGGTCGCTGGCGTTTTTGTTGAACGCCTCTGAGAACCAGGCAGACATACACCAATGCCTCGGGGTGCTTTCATATCTGTCAGGACTTGTAGCGTCTGCTACTAACGATGAGATTGGCCCCTTTCTTGCCGCGATATACCGTTGTTGCCGGGGCATTCTTGATCAAGACAGCCTAGCTTTTGTCAAGTCTTCGGCCGTGGCCCGAAAGCTGGTTGTCAAAACCTTACGTAACATTGTCCTCCATTGTCTCCAGGCATCATCAACCCTCGCTGAGCTTGATCCAACCTCAGTCATAGAGGAAGTCATTGAGTTCCTTCTCGAAGCCCTCGCGGACGGCGATACACCGGTCCGATATGGAGCAAGCAAGGCGCTTAGCATCATCACCCTGAAACTGGATCCTGAGATGGCCGAAGAAGTGGTAGGAGCAATCCTTGCGTCACTCACCGAGAATGTGTATTGGCAAAACACCAGGCGCAATCTAAGTAGTGTCAATCCACTTCGCTGGCACGGACTCACGCTGACTTTGTCACAACTGCTCTATCGGAAGGCTATAATCAATAGCCACCTGCCCGATGTTTTGAATGCTCTTCTTCTGTCTCTGGGTTTCGAGCAGCGATCACCTACCGGTGGGTCCATTGGCACCAACGTACGCGACGCGGCCTGTTTTGGCATCTGGGCACTCTCTCGACGTTATGGTACGGCAGAGCTTCTTGCAGTAAAGACAGCGTCAATTCGAGCTACGGAACAACGGAAAGCTCTTTCTGTACCCCAGGTTCTAGCAATCGAGTTGGTCACCGCTGCTTGTCTCGATCCAGCTGGCAACATTAGGCGGGGCTCGTCCGCTGCACTTCAAGAGCTGATCGGCCGTCATCCAAACACGATTGAAGAGGGTATTCCACTTGTTCAAATCGTCGACTTTCATGCTGTCGGCCTTCGACAGAGAGCCGTGTGTGAGGTAGCAGTCAAGGCAGGAGCATTGCAACCTCTATATTGGGAAGCGTTGTTTGAGAATCTACTAGAGTGGAGAGGAACCGGGTCGTTGGACTCAGATTCGCGTCTTTTTGCAGCGAATGCTGTAGGCCTCTTGTCGAAAACTCAACCTTCAAGTATAGTACGACAAATGTCAGACCAAATATGCGGCAAGCTTGCCATTCTAAAACCACGAGAAGTCGAAGAGCGCCAAGGTCTTGTTTCGGCTTTGGCAGCTCTTGCATATACAGCGGGTTTACCCATCAGTTCTAGTGATTGCGAAGCTCCGGAAGTGGCGCTTCTCCATCTCTGGACGCTTCTCCATGAGGAGTTGAGGCTCGAGGACAAGGCATTTACATCTCCCACTCTCCGACCAGAGTTCACCGCGGCGTCTATCTGCAATTTTATCGGGGAAATGGCTACCCTTACTTGTCGCCTACCAAAAGACCACATAACACCAGACATACCAACAGCGGAAATCAGCCGTATCTTGAATATGTGCCTTGCCCGTCATGAAGAGTCTGTCCTTGAGGCTATCATGGGAGCTACGCCCGCGATACTAAGACTCCTGGCTCAGAGAGCAGATACCAATACAGATGAGATGGTTTCCTCATGGTTATCACAATTGGAGTCTAGAACATCATATAATGGGCTTCGATGCTCTGGACATGCAATTGCGCTTGGAGCAGCACATGCCGTGCTGACGAATGATCGGCATGATGGTACAACAGCGCCGAATCTTCAAAGGCGTATCATCAAAGTACTTACGTTCAGATGCACTACAGCTGTTGCAATCGAAGCTCGAACGATAGCATTGCGAGCTCTGGGCATACTATTGCGCAATGGTCGCGCAGTCACGGCCTCGAATCTAGTCTACTTGGCTGCAGACGTGGAGACACAGATTGGGAGTGCGCTACACGTTGCTCTAAACGACTATACGATCACCGAACGTGGCGATGTTGGATCGCTTGTACGACTCGAGGCTCTTAATACTGTTTCAACTGCATGGGACACCGATATTCTTCGAGACACGAATGGGTCAAGTCAACACATTTATGCGGATGTCCTTCGCCTTTCACTAGAGAAACTAGACAAAATTCGCTCAAAGGCCGCGCGGCTGTATCAGAGAGACGCCTTAACGAGCTTCACCAGCGCCAGCGCTACAACAGCGGACGATGTTTCTTCGCGTAGCTATTTCGCCGGAGCTCTTGACATGCTTCATCCCATGACGAAGACCACTATTTTTCGGGACTCCGTTTGTGTTGGCTTCGTAAGCTCCGCGGGTATGGGCTCAGAGTCAGTCGTGCAGAACTCTCGAGCCGCCCTTCTTGACTTCATCGATACCTTGCCCGACGAAAGTATTTCAAACCGTGAACAGTTCACCGCAACTGAGCTTGTGAATTGCATGATACACCTTCTGCAACAAAACCTTGCTGAGGATAGAGTTTTGCTTCCATTGCTAGAAGTTATAGCGTTCTTATTCGATATGCAGGTCATGCAACGTCTTATATCGACTTCTTTGAAGTGCGTATTTTCATGAAATGAATAGTCTCTTTGAGAAGAGAGTATGCGAGCTAATATCTATAGCTTTCGAATGCTCCTATCATACACGCAAAAAGCGCACTATAAATCCACCCACATGAAGAAGCTGCACCTTGCTCTCGATGTTTATCGCGGTTTGGGTACCATTCCCACAACTCGTGCCGACACGCTTGCGAAGGTGACAAACATGCTTCTACATCCATTCCCAAAGGTATGTTTGCCACTTCTTCTCTCGATAGGTTTTAACTGATTGTCAAAAGGTTCGCATCACGGCAGCAGAGACTTTGTGGGTCTTAACACATGAAGAAGGATTGAAGCTGCAGGATTGGAGCTTACCATCCAAAACGTTGAAGCCCGCCGTGGAAGGGATGAAGAAAATCTTGGTTGCAACCGCAGCACGATGAGATCTTACTCATTACCAGCAATCACTCTCCTTTCTTCACATGGATTTAGAGGTGCATACCGACATTTATACAGATGAGCAATCGCAATATGCGTTACAAAACCACCCATTCGAGCACTGCCAACATAACCTATCTTTAACACGACTCTGTATAATAATGCCAAATGTTAAAGCGTTGAATGTCGCGGTGCAACATGTGCGACCTAACTGCCTATAATGGTAGCATGCACGAGGCACTTCCACGCGTAATAAGCTATGGTAGAAATAGAGGCTACAAGCACTCCGCAAGCCCTTCTTTTCAGCAAGACTACAACAAAGCTGAGACACCTATAATCTTGAGTCTACAGCTATTGTCAAAAAACTACAATTTAGTTCTGCACAATCCAACTTAGCAAGCAAGCTGCATTTCTCATTTAAAAATAGGGAAGATTCTCGTGTCTGCTCGCGGAACATCGAAGCTCTCTGAAAGTCCCCATGAGCTGGGACGCTCAAGCAGATGAAGCACGCAATGAAGACGATCCCTCAGCGCCCGTATAGCATTCAGGTAGCCAGTGCGACCTGAATCAGAGAGGCCCACAGCTCATATAGAGTCCTGAAGCCCGTACGGATGCATTCCAGGTCGGTGCTCATCAGCGTCAGCTCAGCATTGTTATCCGCCGCTTCGATACATGCCATATCGGTCCTGATGGGGACCCAAGGGACCAGTATCGACCGTACCGTGAGGCGCAGGCGGTTATTATAGTTGCAAGTAAGGGCTATTGAGGTGGCGATACTCGAGTAAATCAAGAAGCTCGCACCAATCAGGCCATATCCAGCATTAGGGTCGAGTGCAGGCGTAAGATAGTCTAAGAAGGTCCCGATGAAGAAGGGTTGGGAGAAGGTGAAGCCAAACTGACTGCCGCGAGAACAACAAATGTGAGCACCAGGCATACAGGTCGTTGTTGCACCCTATACAAATGCTGAATATGCTTAACAAGAGATGACAAGTCATACTCACCCATTGATGTATTGGAAGGTCGGTATGCACGATGGCGAAGAATAGTTGCTTTAACTTGAGACTGATGTCAGACCACTTGCTGTCTTGCAGGTGGCAGCCTATCTTCCTTCCTGAAAGGCATGCTGCGGCAATGACGCAAAGGATGCTGTTGCTACTGAAGTGGGAATTGCAGATGAACGAATTAGAAACTAGACAATAATGGATGCCAGTTTGCAAGATATTGTCCACAGTGCTATGGTGCAGTACTGGCATCGCGTCACTAAACGATATCTTACTAGTCTAGAAGAAGGGATTGTTACGTAGAAAGGTGAAGGTAACATACAACGTATTCTCTGGGTTTACGCCTAGTCTATGCCAGACTACACAGAGGTTTCATTCTAGCTAGGCGGAAGACTATTTAAAGGAAATGGATGACCACCGCTGGCGGGAATTGCTCGCAAAGCCTCTGTTCGTGGTGAAGGAGCCAATCCATTGCTACAATACAAGTACATATGGCTATGTGTTGACTGACGCGCTGCGTAGTTGCAGTCTCGGCCGAGGGTGCAACTACCCACAGTTGATTTTCTGAACTATATATCAACCTCGCTCGCCAGGAGACTGCGACGTAGTAATTTGCGCACAGGGGTCATGTAGCTCTTCAGACACGGCTAGAGTTCTTGTGATCCCACCCCACCCCTTGGCTTTGTTCTCGATTTCCTCCTGCTCCAGCAACTTCCGTTGAAGTCACCGTGTATTTGGTCTCCTTTATGATGTTCCTCTGGCTATCACCATCGCTATGATCGGCTTCATCATTGTCGCCCAAGGTTTGGAAAGTGTCCATCATCATGACGCCTGAGTGTGATGGCGTCTTCCTACTATTAGAAGCCGGTGGGTATGCGTTGCCCGATGCAGCAGGGGTGTTGGAGCTCGTAGTGATCCTAATGCGAAGGGAGAGGAGAGGTCGAAGCGCAGGCAGAGAGCCAGCGATTATGCCGATGCCCTCTTCGAGCAATGACCAGAAGCCAATTTTTCCGGTGCCGTACACAAATTCACCGGGGTCGCTGTAGAGCGTAAGGTATTTGAGGCGAACGATGGTTGCGCAGGACGCACTAGAGATAAAGTTAGCGAGGGATACAGGTTGATCGGCCATATAGCAGTCTTACAAGGAGGCGAGTGCAAGCATTACAGCGACTGAAACCTTGACTTTGCCGTTCTATTTTGTAGGAGGGCCAGAATTAGCGCAGTTCTCTAGTGTGTAAGAGGAAGGTGAAGGTACTGCAGCTAGTGCAACGCCTCTTCGACATTACTCTTGTACTGCCTTGCATGAACCTTGTCCTGGACTTACCATCTGTACATTCCACAACAAAATGGCCGGCATTATCGAGAGACTAAAATCAGTCATGATCTCGATGGCCGAAAAGAACAAGCTGACGTCGGTGTTCAGCTGGAGGTTACATTTGCCTTTGGATTCACCCCATAAGGTGTCAATTGGATGGCCTGTTGGCGTTCAGCAGCGATCTCCATAATTGGAAGCCATTACACTTACAAACATTCGCAATGCCAACACAGAAAACAAGAGCGGCAATTATAGTGGCACCTATAAGTGCCCATAATGCCCATATGAACGGCAGATGAGCAGCAGCGATACGCAGAAGCGTTACTGCAACGCTGATCTTGATGAACATGGCGCTGACGGCATAGAAGTATTCCGCAATGTAGAAAAGCTGAAGGCAGTTAGTCCTGGGCCTCATTACTTGATATTAGAAGTTTGAGTAGCCATACTTTGATTCCTTTCGCCCTTGTTAAGGGAGGCAGATCACGAGAAAACTGACCGGAGCCATAGTAGCAACAGGCAATGCATAGGCCGGCTGTAACCGAAAAAAGAATCTAAAACTATCTGTTAGCTCACTCTTTCACCGCTCCAGCTGTTCAATTGCACACGTACGATTCCAACGGACATCAGATAGTCATCCATTCCAAAGGCCTTCCTCCATATCCGCACTCCAACACGCATTGAGAAAATAATCCAGCTTAACACAAGCAAGATAATCGCACCATAATAAAGCGCCATTCCGTCCCCGGCCACTTCGACGGTGCCCATATTTGCGGCCGAGTGGAATGGAATAGAAATAATCAGATATACAAGCAACAGCGAGAGTGATGAAAGATCGAGGGGAGAGCAAGCAGCTCGTTAGAGACTTATGCTTGGATGGAGGCGTCGAATCTATAAGAAGTAAGAAGTAGACATGGTCGTTCGATTGATGTTCTTACGGGGCGGTCACCCCATGTAAATGGTCAACCTCGGCGGTGGAATCAAAGCTTTCGACCCTTGGGTATTGCACATCTTCGCCAGATTCGACCTAACATGAAACTGGGCCCTACCAATACTCAAGGATCGCCAGAAAAGGGTCCAGAGGTTACCTGCACAACAAGTCGCACCCCAATATTCAGAGGACAGGTTAGCCGCAATATTAGACAGTCTTGGCCATCTAGTTAGAGAGTAAGAACGAAGTGTGACTTCGCGCATAAACGCGCTATACAATTTCTCCGAAAACAGCTGCTTCTAGAGCCAAAAGCTTAGTGAAGCGCACAACCAGCCAGCCCCTTACGCTCTTCATAATTTTTATCTTCTCGGCCCAGTCTCGGAGTTTTCCAGGCTGGCACGTCCTTCGTTGGGCTCTCGTGGGCCCCTAAGAGTTCTGTCGCAGGTAGCGTCGGGAAAGACTGGGGAACAGCGGCTCGACTCGTACAGCGGCACACCTGCATCACGGTATTGCCCGAGAAGACGTTTCTAGGCCCAGTCATGTTACGATGCCAAGCCTCCTCTCATAGGTTTCCTTAACTAGCTCAATGTCACATGGACTAATATGTAGGTAACCCAATTTGTCTTGGAAACCTAACTCCTTTCCTAAACCTTGCTTGAGCCTCCAATTATCTACTGTCAGACTCAATCATCTCAATATGGCAGAAGTACAGATCAACGATGGAGACCTGACCGGCTTCAAGGGCAAAGTTGCTGTCATTACAGGTATCTCTTGTCAATGTAATACAACGTCCACGATTAGAACTGACATTGTCGCAGGTGGTTCGTCTGGTATTGGTCTTGCGGCAGTCCAGCTTCTCGTATCTCTAGGTGCACTAGTCGTCAGTGGCGATATCCAAGCACCCCCAGCGACTGGCGATTTTCTCTTTGTGCAGACCGATATCAGGAGCTGGACCGACACGACGAAGCTTTTCAAGGCGGCAAAGGACAAGCATGGCCGAGTCGACTACGTATTCGCCAATGCTGGAATCGGCCCACGCGCCAACTACCTGGGCCTCGAAGTCGACGAGAACGGCGATCCGAAGGAGCCAAATAACGACACGGTGAACACCAATCTGAACAGCGTCGTCAACACTGCCACATTGGCCGCCCACTACATGAAGGACCAGGCCGAAGGCGGATCTATCGTGCTTATGGGATCCAGCACGGGTCTGCACCCTGTCCGAGCGGTCGATTACTGTGAGTGACCAATTCGCCATTTCTATCCACGTGGCCAGCTAATAACAATGCGCAATAGCAACCGCCAAAGCTGGTGTCCTCGGCTTCGGCCGCAGCTTTGCGCGTCTGGTAGAAGTAGCCGGCCTCCCCATACGAGTCAACACTCTCGCCCCCTCATGGACGGCAACACAAGTCCTGCCTGATCTGGAAAATCTCCTGGCCGCAGTTTCCCAGAACTGCCAGTCCACTGCTGTGGTTGCGCGCGCAGCCGCTTACTTGATGGCCGATAAGTCTAGACATGGAGACGTCATCTTTGTGTGTGATGGCAACTACACTGAGATTGAGAAAGCGGTGCTTGCCCCGGCATATGAGTCTATTAAGGGGGATACGCTTAGCGATGATGCTGTTTTGGCCAAGGTTATGGCGTTAGGTGGTTAGAACGAGCTTGATATCTAGCAGATAATTGACTGCATGTTCGCCTAAACCCCGAAACCCGTCCGTAACACGATAGCGACGAACAGACGTAATTTCTGCAAATGTCTTTGGCTTTGACGTATTACGCCGTGCTCGAGTATTTGTAAAATTACATCAATGCGCCCAGCACAGCTCGCTTAGTAGAGGGGGATTTCGCCGTGCCTGCCCTCGAAGCGAGCAACAAACTAGCAATCATAAGGGTTTGAACTAGGTGTAAAGGTATATTACCATCTTCTTCCGTAACGTCTAGCTTGCCGCCTAGATTCCTGAAGTAATCTACAGCTTCCACTCTATGTCAAGATTAGACGATTAAAACAAGCGAACTGCTCACGATGAAACAAGCAAACTACTCAGAATTAAACAAGCGAACTACTCAGGATTAAAACAAGCCAACTACCTAGACTCAATGTCTCCATGTATAACTACTACTACAGGCTACCTCAATAAATCACAGTCGTTGGTTCAATGCATGATACAGAGGCTACACTAATCCCGGCCTTTCACTGCCAACTACTTCCCTGGAGTGATAGAATGGTTCCAGCTTGGCATCCTTGCGCCAAAACACGTATCTCTTGACCCACCATGGCAGCCAGGTCTTTAGTTGATATGCGACGTGTTTCGCAGTGGGCACACCAAAGACAAAGTCGAGCTCCTCCAGCGTCCGCTTCATTGTTTCGGGGACCAGGAAGAAGATGAGAACAAAGGCCAGGATGTTGAGGCCGGCGTAGAAGCCAAAGGCTCCCGTTGGCGTAAACTTCTTCAGCAGCGAGGGAAAGGTAAGAACGAGGATGGAGCCAACAGCGTTGTTGATGCATATAGTGAAGGCTGCGCCAATTTCGCGGTGGGAGAGGGGGAACGACTCGCTGAAGTAGATGGAGGGAAGAGGTCCCATTCCTGGTCTTGTTAGCATGTGATGCAAAGGCAATCCTAACACGGAAATAGCTCTCACCTGTTCCGTAAAAGGCGGAAAAGAGAAAAACAAAGGTTGCGATGAGTGGAACACGAGCGCCGACATGGTCGTTGATGAGGAAGCAGAAGCCAGCCGCCAACAAACACCAGGCCATGTTTGGGAAGGTGGAAAGCAGCAAGTTGCGTCGACCGAACGTGTCCATGGTATACACGGCTGGAATGGCAAAGATGAAGGTGACGAGTCCGAAGCCCATGGAGACTAGTAGGCAATCCCTGATACCGTACCCAGCTTCGGCAAAGATGGTGGAGCTGTAAAAGGCGACGATGTTGATGCCACTGAATTGCTGGGCGATGACGACGACGGCGCTGGCAATGGTGGCGCGACGGAGTCGTGGCACGACGAAGAGGTCTCGCATACGGCGGGAGAGCGAGACGCCAGCAAAGGCGTTGCGCTCCTCTGCAATCTGACAGTGGGCGTAGTAGAGCTCTCGGGCGGCAAGGACTCTGCTGTTGCGGATACGGCAGAGGGCGGTGTAGGCCTGGCCGTATCGTTGCTTCTTCATGAGCCATCTCGGCGACTCGACGCAGAACCAGATGAAGATGACAATGGGAATGGCTGGGGCGAAAGCGGCAGCGAGCTGGAATCGCCATGCGTTTGGTCCGATGCGATAGAAGACGAGGTTGGAGCACTGTCCAATGAAGATGCCAAACGCGACCCACAGCTGGAAGCTGGTGACCATGCCGCCGCGAATCGAGGCCGGTGACAGCTCTGCCGAGTAGACGGGGATGGTGGAGATTTTGATGCCCATGCCGAAGCCCATGAACATGCGACAGATGAGCAGACCCTGCCAATTCTGTGTGAAGGCCTGGGCGAGTACCGGGAAGATGCAGAAGAGGCCAGTAGCAAAGATGGTGCCTCGTCGACCGAGGTAGTTGTTGACCGGATCAGCCGCCCAAGCACTGGCGAGGCCAAACAGCGCTGGTGCACTGTTGATGACGCCGACGAGCCAAGTATCATGCTCAATGCCGAATTCCTGAGGAAAGGACAGATTCGCGCCGTTGGCGCCCGTGTTGTCCCATCCCTGAACGGCGGATCCGAGAGAGCAGATGGCGATGGCATAGTAAAGGTCCTTGGGAAGATGCCAGCGGTGTGTCGTCTCCCTTCGTATATGGTATTTGTCGTCGTCGGTCAGTTCGGGTATGTCCTCGAATGCGGTTGGATCCTGCGCGATCAAAGCGCCTTTTTGGAACGACTCGCGCTCGTCCTGGAAGCCCCAGGACTCGCAAAAGGCATCGACCTTGTGGCGGAGTCGGTCTTTGGGGATGCCTTCCAGGGGGTTGACAATGTTGGCGTTGACATTGCGGACATAGTCGATGCTGGTGTGGATGTTCTCGGTGGTGACTATGTCATCCTCCTTGAGATCGGTGGTGCGGGCCGAGTGGATGGAAGCCATGCTGTGTGGAGCACGAGGAAGAAGGAACGAGGGAGGCGAGGGGAATGGTGGTGGTGGTGTTGTTGTTGCCGTTGCTGTTGTCCGAGTTGAGTGGCTTCCTGCTATGGAATGTGGACGAGGTTATATATACACGCATCGGGAGGGGCGGAAGCGACCAGGAACAGGGCGCCAGACCAAGAGAAGATGTGTGTATGAATCGAGCCGCTTGTGGTGGTCCGTAAGTAAGGAGACCCCGAGTTTGTCTGAGTGGGCAACGGACAATAGCCATGATGGGAATCACGTGTAGGTGAGCCCACAGGGGTGCGGCCTCTCCCCGGACCCATTGACAGTACCAGAATCCGGGGTACCCCGCGGAGCTCGTCCGGCTCTGTGGGACGCGGTACTGTTCTGTCCTGTCCTGTAGCTGATGGCCAGGCCGAGTTCGGACTGGCCAAGCCTCGGGAAAGGCAGTCCGCACGGGGTACCCCGCATGTCCCTGTGTGCTGCCTGAGATGCCCTGTGTGGTGGTGGCCTGTGTCCCTGTGTGGTGGTGGCCCTGTGTGGTCTTGACCCTGTGTGTTGCTTGTCTCTGTGTGGCGCTGGTCCCTGTGTGTTGCTGCTGTCAGCTGCTGCTGCCCGGAGCCGCGCCTCGAGTCCCCGAAAGGCTCTGCCCTGTGTGTGACGCCGCCCCCCGCCGTCCCTGTGTGCGCGCAAGCCCTACATGACGAGGGGCCCTGTGTGTGTGCGCTGTAGTAGACGGCTCGACATGCCCTGTCTGACCTCTAGGCCCACAATGTCCCATGTGTATACCTTCTGGCGATCCACTTGTCCTGTGTGCATCGTCCTGTGTGCATGTCCTTAGGTCCACTTGCCCACTTGTCCTGTGTGCACGATTCCATTGCAGCTATAAGAGTAGCCGCAAGCAAGAGCAATTGATCCCAAACACAACCAACTCGGCAACCAAGTCACAAGATTCATTGTCCATTCTAAAACTACACAATTCATCAACATGGGAAGCGCATCCACTCAGTCCTGGCTGCAGAAGCTCGAGGAGCAATGTAAGCCAACCCCCACCCTTACTTCCATCCAAACCGACATACACACCGCCAAATGGGCTAGCATGATTCGACACGTTGGCTGACCAGAGACAGTAAATGTCGATGTCGACTGGATGGACCCGGCCTTCTCCAAGAGAATGGCCAGCGAGTTTGGCGTCGTGCCCAACGACATGACGAGCAACCAGCTCTGGGTCAACATCCAAATGTCCCACCCAGACAACAAGGACCTTTTCGAGAACTCGGTCAAGGAGTTGAAGGATCAGGGATGGCTCGCCATCTACACGCGCATCGCCGTCGGCTTGTGCAAGCGCAACATTGACAACATCAAGGGACGCGTCGCCCTCCAGGTGAACCCTCACAAGGCCTACGATAAGCAGGCCGTTCTAGACCATGCTCGAGCCTATGCTCGTGAGTTTGAGAGAGCAGGTATCCCCAAGACCAAATACTTCATCAAGATACCCTCCACCGGCCCGGCACTGAATGCTGCTCCGGCCCTGGAGGCTGAGGGAATCCGCACCCTCGGCACCGCTCTCTTCAGTCTGGCACAGGCCATTGCTTGCAGCCAGGCTGGCATGCTGTACATCAGCCCCTACTTCAACGAGACTCGCGCCCATGACGATCTGAGCCTCTGGCCCGACGTCGAGGACCCTGCCACACAACACACAAACTCGCCACGCGTCTGGCAGATCCTTGAGACATACCGCCGCCTGTACAAGGAGACAGGCAAAGAGCAACCCCTGCTCAAAAACGCCAGGTAACTAATCCAAAACAATGCACCCAAATGCCGAGCGCTAACCATCCCAGTTTCATCACCCCGAAAGAGGCCATGGCAGCGGGGGAGATGGGTTGTCATTCCGCCACCATCTCGCCCACCGTCATCGAGCAATTGGCCAAGCTTCCCTACGATGGCACAAAGCAACCCGGCGCGGGCATCCCAAAGCCACAGCACGTCTACAAGAACGCCGGTCCGACCCCCGACCGCCTCAAGAAGCTGATGACCATCGACCCCATTGCGTCTGCCGACTGGGATGGCAAGCTCGCAAGCACCGACGTCGACTATCTCGCCAACAACGGGGCCGCCCTCGAAGAAGCGATAAAGAAGGACCCACAGACCGTCGCTAGACTCGCTGATGCGTTGAAGTTGTTCCAAGGAGGTATCGATGAGAGCCGAGCCAAGATTGAGGCGGCACTGAAGTAGTGGTAGCAGCAGCAGCAGCAGCAGCATTGGTAGCAGTAGCAGTAGCATTAGTAGCATTTTCGTAGGCATTGTGAATCGAACATGGTTGGAAGACATGTCTGTTTGCCGATTGTTCGTTCATGTCGTGATGTTGCCCCAACAGGTCGTCAAGTCCCGGGTTGTCATTCGAACCCAGAAAACAGTCATGAGGGAGTGCGAAGTCGAATACAGCAGACACGTCGTCTTGAGATAGGGTTGGCGGCGGGAGATAGTCAATGCTGAGCAGAGCCTCTTCGGCGCCTGGCAGCGCATTCGCAGACCACTCCTCTGCGGAAACCCCGTCTATTTCTTCTTGATACTGGTCGTCTCCCGAATCATTCTCCGGCGCATTATCCCCAAACCCATTCGGAAACCGTCCAGTTGTCTCGCCTTCGACCGTCATCAACTCGTGCAGCTGCTGTCCCACGGGCGCTGCTTCCCTAGGCGGAAGCGGAACGGCACTCGCTGAGCGCCATTGATTCACCTCGGCGAGCAGTTCGTCTCTTTCGGTGATGAGTGCCTGCGCACTCCGAGCGGCCGCGATGCAGAGTCGTCGTTGCGACTCGTGCCTTGCGATACTGTGGTCGACAATCATGTGCTTATTCAAGCGACGTGTGCCAGCCAGAGATGGAATATGCCTGGCAAGTTGCTACGGCGGTTAGACTGGACGGCGTGCAACACTGGAGGAGGGGGACCAGACTAACTATCATGCTGTCGTTGAAGGCCTCCCGTCTACACTTTTCAAAGACGCGGTGCGCGGCTCGCTCCTCCGACGTCCAAGTCCGCACGCGCTTCCTCCTGGAGGCTGAAGCGCCTGACATGTCTCCTGGGCTCCTGGGCTCGTGTGCTGACCGACGGCTGGCGGAAGCGAAGTGTACGCGGGGTGTTTGATGTTGAATTGTGGAGGATTTGTTGGAGAAGCGGGGAAAGCGCCGAGCAGCAGGCTAGTTATGTCACGTCACATGCCCGGCCAATCGGTAGTCGTCGGAGAGAAGATGGGCTTGGGAGGCGATCAGGGGCAACAACAGGGCATTCATCATTCGTTTCATCATTCATCTTGGGTGACAGATGCTGAGCAAATTCACGAGCGCGTGCTTGGTTGGTTGTTCTCCCTACGAAACGATGAGATGATGCCTGAATATGCGGCTGCAGAGTGTTTAGACTGTCTACTACTCAACTCAAAGACATTACAACGGGTAGACTACAATACGCACTTAATGGCCCACTGCACGGCACGTTTGGAAGATGATTCATTATATCATCTCGCATCTATTGAAAATCCAATCCGTCTCACAGAGTACTACCTACCAGGTAGCTACACATAGCTAGGAGGCGGCACAGCCCTGACGCGTGCGCCGCCGCTAGTGGGTCTTGCTTGACATTCGCCCCACCTATATACCTACTATACATGATTCACCATCATGCACGCAGCGCGTCGTGGCCGTTGCTCATGTGTCGCTTCGAGCTCTTGAGTCTGTTCATCAGATTCTTTCAACAGCTGGTGGCACGCACGCGCTAAGCCCCCTCGGAGGACAGCTCATTCGCCTTGTCCGCCTCATCAACCATGCTCCACGAAATCCTCCTCTCGCTCTCCGGACACCCTTCGGCCCTCTTCGATGCATCCCCGAGTTCCCCGCACGTGACGTCCACTGCCAGTCGCCTGCTTTCGCCGCCCGAAGCCGAGCTGTTGTCTTCTGTCGGTCACCTTTCCCGCCTGCACAGGAGAACGCGAGACCATGTGGCCAGGATTGCCACTTCACATCCCTCAACCGTCTGTCGGGCTGTTGCTACCTCCATCGCCTCACACCACCTCGACCAGTTCCAGCGCAAGATACTCGACGTCGAGAGCCGAATTCTCAAGCAAGATGCCTCAACTGTCGGTGCGTACAACATCGTGCCCCTGGCTGCTCTTGTCAGCGAGTTCTCGGAATGGGTCAGGGTCATGGGCTGGCTATGGGATATTACCAGCTTTATCCTATCCCCTGATGCCCCGACCCAGGGCGAGCAGATGAATCACAAAGCTGCCTCTGGAGCCGAGCTCATCGACAGACTGCGGACCGAAGCCCAAACAGGCTATCCTGATATCGAAGAGGCAGCGCGTGACTTGGGCAAGGTTGCCGAGACCTCGTGGCTGCGACAGTTATCAATTTGGCTACTGTACGGTCGGCTTCCCTCCTTTGGGGTTTCTGATTTCTTTGTCCAGCTACAAGACCCGGATCCGGATGAGCAGCTCTTCGTCTTGGAGAACAAGTTACTTCCCAAATTTGTGACACGGCACACCGCTTCTTCCATCTTATTTGTAGGAAAGTCGCTCAATCAGATACGCTCCCTACCCTCGGCTGCTAAAACACTGAACGCATCGACAACGATTTCAGAACTCGAACTATTACCCAAGCATGTGAAACAGCTCTCTCAAGTTACGGCCCCAATCTCTGCTGCCAACCTCTCGGAAGCTGTCGCGAGCATCCGGCTCTCACTATCCCAGAACCTCCTACAACACCTACTACCGCGGGAAAAGATTGTCGAGACTCTTGCTGTATTGCACCAATTCTTCCTGATTGGGAGGGGCGAGTTTGCAACAACATTGATAGCAGAGGCAGATGATAAAACATCATCCCACCACCGAAGTCTCTCGTCAAAAAAGTCTAGTCAGCCTTTGAAGGGTGTCTTACTCAAGGAAAATGAGATTAACCAGATACTAGCACGGTCATTTTCTGTTCTGTCGACAGTAGCCGGCGAAGATGATCATACAGACGATGTCCTGGATGTGGCGACACAGGTCCTGCATCTTATTGTGAACGACCCAACAGGCCATCGTCCTGGGACCCCTGGTCGCGCAAAGGATGCTGACTCTGCATTACCACAGCTTCCAAGTGTATCGTTTGATGAATTGCTGTTATCAGTGCCAACACTACTCACCATGAACATCCAGTCACCTCTCGATCTCTTTATAACAAGAGCTGATATCGAGGTTTATTCATCAATCAATGCTTGTCTCCTCGCAGTTCGTCGGGCCCATCTGCATCTCGCCCAGTTGTGGCGACATAGCTCCATTCGACGAGAGCATCCATGCCCTCCAGGCTACCAGTACAGCAACTCGGTGCACGGGAAGATGATCCTTAGCCGGCGGCGGCAGAGAACTGCCCGACGGACGCGCGAGATGCGGAAGGTGTGGGCTACATGTGCGGCTACCATCTTCTTCCTGGCTGAGAGTGAAGCCTACTTCCATGGTGGCGTCGTACAGCAATTATTCTCCCACTTCATTTCGTGGGTGACCATGCCACAAGACCTAGTACCTATTGGAACCCAGTCTGCACCTGCAACCCAACCGCCTACGCCCGGATTTCGCAGAACTACAGTTGAAAGCCACATACAGCGACAACACGACCCAGAAGCCCTTGCTCTTGCCCATCGTCGCTTCCTCTCATCTGTTGCCTACTCGCTTCTTCTTACCGATGTGGCTTTCACAAAAACCCTGCGAACTCTTTGTAATCACGTGGACGAACTCGTTGCATATATCACGCGCCTTACAAGCATTCAGCAGAATCTGGATCTAGAAGAAGATGACGGAGTGGAAGATTATGCGCAGAACTATACAAAGGAGGAGGCGGAAGTAAGTCTAGAGCTGGACCGTGCCAGGAGGCGGCTGGATAGCGACCTCAAGGCGCTGGTCGAGCGCTTACGGGAAATCGATAGCGAGAGGATTAATAACGCTGCGCCCATTGTAGCGAATGGGGTTGCAATGGAGCAAGGTACCTATGAGCCGCTTAGAGTAGGAGGTGTCGATCGATTACTTATGAAGCTGGACTGGGGTGGCGAAGATGAAGAAGAGGAACGCGAAGACTTGGTGTAAACTCTAATAAAGATAATGTGCGTGCCCTTGGGACTATAGGATAGAAACGAGTCTGTGCTGCGATGTGCTAGCTGTTATTGCTACTATGTATCGCAATGCTTAGGTCTATTAGAAATTTGACTTTACTGCTACAGCCCAACATGTCCACTCGCAGCCCTAACATCACATCTCAGTTCGTTTAAACCCAAGGTTTCTTTTGCGACCACTGGCATAAAACCATCAGGCATGCAATGGATATGAGGAGAAACGTATCGGCAATGGCACATGTTGCCCTGGTATGAGTATTTCCACGGAAACCCATCCTCTGGAATCGGAAGCTCAAACAGCCGTTGGACTCCACACACTGGGGGTCGCAGTTGGGTCGGATCCCAAGGTTCTTTCTCGACTGGCACAGCGCGGGCGAAAGTATAGCATACTTTTACCACTGGCTCATATCTACAAGTGCAGTGCTGGTAAGATATATTGCAGTTGCACCTGAAATAGCGACCTGGTCCTTCCTGCAAATGCATATCGAGAGTTTGCGCAACCGGGTGACTTTGAGCATTCGTAAGAAGGGGATCGAAGGTATCGTACTTCGCCCTATCCGGACTTGTTCGATGGGATTGGTTGGACGAACACTCCAGCCCCGATGAGGAAAGAGCTGTACTGGACTGGACAATCGAGGCACCTAGCGAAGCTTCGCTCATCGGATTGTTTGTAAGAGGGGCAGCAATACTCTGCTTAAATGCTGGGGTAGACGTTGTGTATTGGGCTGATGAGGCCGGGGCGTCGTGCTCGTTGTTGCCGCTGTTCATCATTGTCATATCGGAGGACGTGCTCATAAAAGTGGCGAAGTCGACAAGGAGGTCAAGGGCGTTCATTTTGCATAGTCGCGTAGTAATGAGGCCTTAAAGATGAATTGCAGTTAGGTATTCATTCAGAATAAAGTTCGAGGGCCTGACAATATGTTAATGGAGCGTAGTGGTATACACAGGGATTGAGGTCATACGAGCAACTCTCGACCTAACGAGTGAAAGAAATCGTTATGTTGCACCCCGTTACTAGCACTTTCCAGTCTAGTCTATCACACTCTCACAACGCCATGTAACAAGGTTGGTGTATCGATCTACGATATTTACTTATTTCCCCCCCCCTACACTACAGGCTTCCTATCACTTGTTAGGGTTATCGTATTCTTTTCTCCATATTCACCGTCGCCCATCAACATGAACCCACCCCAACCTCGACGAGCCTACCGCGACGATCGATCACATTTCTAAAATACGCGCTACATCGTCGTGTCCGTACCTATATTGTGAAGGGCATCGCACATAGATTGATGACAGCAGAGGACGAGCAGCCTGTGGGACGTAAGACGAAAGTAACTATCGGAACATAGCCATAATTGTGACCACATTCAAGCGACACGGGAGGATGAGTGTGGGAATTCCCCATTATGGGTTCATCCTTCAGTGACACGGTTAGAACGGAGCCCAACGCATTAATATAATAGATGAATTTGTGCTGGGAGTGATTGAGCAAAATGTTCTGGGACTACAACTCTAAGCCTCCTGTTCTGCTCTCAATGGCATACTTTCTCTACTCGCTAATCCTTGTGGTAACCAACGCCTCAATAATCCCATTTACACCCTTTTTTGAAAGCTACTTTGAATTCAGTGTAGCGCTTCCATGTTGCCTAGGTTGATAGCAAAAAGCGGATGAGGAAGCCAGCTTATCTGCGTACTGTAGGAGGAGCGAATGGGCATGGTGACAGCTGCCCATAAGCAGAGAATCATGGGAAAGCCCAATTAGTGGAAGCCCGTGAATATATCCCAGGGGTAGATCAAGCCGTCCTGATCGATATCCCAAAGATCGCAGTGGCGGCGGAGAGTACTGCGCTTTATGTTTAGTTCAGGCGGATAGTGATGTGGCTCAAGGAATACAATGGCGTTTCTTACGCAAAGAGTCCTTTGGGGACTTTGGGAAGGTCGTGCTCCGTCTTTCGTCTTATTGGGTCACAGCTTTTAACATTGCCCTCTGTTGACGCGCCTCGACCGGCCTCAACTCACTTTCCTCGTCTAGCAAAGTTTTATCGGAAGCTGATCTGGAAGAATGCCGCGATCTCTCATCGCAATCCCCTGGTTCATCCATTTCCACTGGTATCTAGCTTACGGTTGTTACCAAAGTCTAACCTATGTCTTGACGTTCGGAACGGGTTCCCCGTCGTATCCGAGCAGTGCTTGTAATTGTTTCAACGACTTGAGTTTTGGTACTTGCTGTTCTGGCTAGGGGGATGTTGGAGCGTACCCAATTTTAGCTCTGCTAAACCCAAGGTAGAGTGAGTGATGTTAGCTTCGAGTATAACGTTTCTCCCGGTGATTAGCGGGAGTAGATGTCAATTCAGACATGCTGAAGCGTGTTTTCTGATAAAGCAGAGAAGGGGTTGCCACTCAAGCGCTACGGGCACCGGTGACTTAAGGGCGTTGGAAAGCCCCACCAAGACCCTGAATAAAGCGGGGCAGCAGTCACGAATCTTGCGGACCACATTATAATCCAGATATAATGGGTACAATTCCAATTTTGCCAACAATCGGTCTAATACTGTCGTTGGCAAATGGTTTAATAGTGTAGTGGTTATCACTCCGGATTTTGAACTTCATTGTCGAAAGTATTCCGGCAACCCCAGTTCGAATCTGGGTTAGACCTCGATATTTTTTTGCATTTTCTTTTCAACTATACGCACTACGGCCAAAGTAGTATGCAAATGAGCAGCTCGCAACACGCTGTCATAATTTTTTTCGAAGTAAAGAAGTTTGATACAGTAAACTGTTATAGCCACATGGATTTTGTTGTATATGATATTGTCTAGATATTATTGAATCTGAGCGGGTTCAGTCTTCCTCCACGGTAATGCGCATCGTTGGTGGACTTCTAAGAAACCCGGGATAGGGTTTAGTCCCGCTATCACCTATCGATGATGCTTCGTGAATGGAGGCTTCGTATATGCTACCGGGCGCTACGTCGTATTTCGCCTTACACCAGTGTAGCATGTTGCATCTAGCAATGCAACTGCCACAAATGGCCTTGATGAAAGGACACACATTTTCTTACATTTCTAATTCTTTTATAATGCTTGTTGGATAGGGCATAGTATACTTTCTTTCTTTGGCGTGTAGATGCACGGTTAGCGTACTGACAAGTCACAATACCTACACCGCACAAGCAGGATTAGAACCTGCGAGTTGCAGCTTCTTTGCAGCTCAAGTACAGTAGGTTGATTATCCACGGGCTACCTCACGAGCGACTGTGAATTCGGAGCGCACTTGCAGGACGACATCGAGTGCTACAAATAGTCCATCCCAGGACCAAGCAAAGTAAATTAAACATCTAAGCTACTTCATCCTATATTGCTTAGAAGTCTTCCTTATTTGCCCACATTAATGCCAGCCAGAAGCTACCCGCTGCTACAGCCCCCAGCAACCCTACAGCCCCCAGTACCGCAGGAAAAGGCAGCAATGGTGGGCGTGTCTCCCTGCGCATCATTGCTTGGATTTCGGAATCTAGTCTCTCGGCCATTCTCTCTTTTGAGAATTCCAAGACCACCCTTTCCATGCCCCACTTGCCCATTTCCTTTAGTCGCTGTTCGCCATCGCCATCCTCCAAAGCAATACGCATGACTTCAGTCCAATCCTGCACTTTCCCAACGTCCCTCAGCCAGCCAGTCTGCCCGCTGATGACCGTCTCAGTGGGCCCACCTTCATTTGCTGCCAATACCGGTGTACCTGCCAGCATTGCCTCGAGTGGCACAATACCAAAATGCTCATTTCGTGGCGTGTAAACCAGGAGGCGGGAGGTCGACAAGAGGGTGGCTTTGACAGCGTTTGTAATGGAGTGGAGGAATAGAACGGAGATATCATCGGGTATGCGTTGGGCACTAATAACGTCTTGGGCAGTTGCATGCTTTAGCTTGAGCGTATCTACTAGCTGACATAGCTCAGTATACGTTATAAGATTCTCTGTCACTCTGGGATCGTATCCGCCTGCTATGACAAGCCGCACATTCTCACGTTCCTTGAAAGACAACCCTGCGTAGGCTTTGACAGCCAGCGCAATGTCCTTCTTCTTCTCGAAGCGGTTGATGCTGAGGAGGACTTTCTTGTTCTTCCACAGTGGCGTGATTTCCTCGACTGAGTCCTTCACGTTGGTGTCTACGCATGGGTAAACCACGCCGGGCTGACGGTGCTTTAGGGCCGGAAATGCCTCGCCGAAGACGCGCTTAGTAAAATTGCTATTCACCACGATGGTGTCGCTGCAGCCCGTGCTCCAGCTCTCGAGCCAGTCAAATGGACTTCGGTAGAGCGTCTTTAGCAGCCCGCCCTTCTTGGCGAGCAACTTGTCGGGAAAGTGGCAGTAGAAGGTGATGCGCGGGCGGGGCTGCAGCAGTCGAAGGAGCGGTATGCCGGCGCTGAGCTGGTCGAAGAAGAACGAAGTTGGTGCTAGCTGCTGGAGCTCGTCGGATAAGAGGGCAATCTGCAAAATCAGGTGCACCTGCCGCAGTATGGCACAGAGAATGGCGAAGCGGCCGAGGATCGTAGAAGGGACAATGGAGTTTCCGCGTACGCGCACGTCGAGGGTTCCTTTGCGTCAGGGTCAGGTCTCAGCTGCCTTGTCCATGCATAAGCGGTGGGTGGTCGTCAGGTGCAACGGGAGCTTACCATCGCGGGCCTCATCAAAGCAGTGTCGCGAGTCGCAATGTGACGTGAAGATGGTGACTCTGTGCCCGCGGCTCTGTAGCCCGACAGCAGCATCGATGACCAGACGCTCAGCTCCACCGATGCCCAGGTCGGGATGGAAGAAGACAGTGTGCTGTTTCTCGCCGGCCATGGTTTCCAAGGTTGTGTCCACAGACAGCTCTGATGTGTCGCAGATGCGCAGGTGAGGTGGGCCATAGTCGACCTTGCCGGTTTGGTCCTAGCGGCAAAACACCTTGCAGGTGCCTAGGTGCAGGTGCCCGAAGATGACCTCCAGTTTGAACACGACGGACGGCGCCTGATCAACATCTCCCAACTATCGCCAGCCATCGAGCAACCAGCAATACACATCTTTGGTTTCCAAGCCTTCTATGAGCAATGCAAAGAGAATAAAAGGAACCGCCTGATAGCAGCTCTCAAACATGTGGGCAAGGCGTCAACCTTGTTCAACGCCCTAGTTCACGTACTCGAATTGCCAACCACCATGGGTCAGGGCTTTTCCCTCACTACGCTTTCAGCTGGCTCGGCCAATATCGATGTGCCGGAGCTGGCTGATCTGCAATATGAGAAGTCACTGGGAGCCGCGCGTTTCATGAAAGCCGTTAGGGCACGGCACAAAGACGGCCTCGTTGTAGCACGCGTCGTCATGAAGCCGTACGCTCAGTTCGACTTTCAGGCTTATGTGAAGCGTTTGCTCCGTATGTGCTCTACGACATGAGCCATTCCTATGGATACATTGCTGACTTGTCAGATGAACGCAAAGTGCTCGCTGATGTTCCAAATGCTGTGGCATACCATCGCGTTATTGAGACTGCGGCTTGTGGCTACTTGGTCCGCCAATACGTACACAGCTCGTTGTATGATCGGCTGAGGTGAGGTCAATTTGATCCATCTGCCGGCACCGGACTAACTTCCTGATGCAGCACTCGTCCATTCCTAGAGGAAATCGAGAAGAAGTGGCTCTCTTTCCAGCTACTTTGTGCCGTGCGGGATTGCCATGCTAGGCACATCTTTCATGGTGATATCAAAACCGAAAATGTCCTGGTCACCTCATGGAACTGGCTGTACCTTGCCGACTTTTCATCGTCATACAAGCCAGCACATCTTCCGGAAGACAACCCTGCCGACTTTTCCTTCTATTTTGATCTGTCTGGTCGTCGGACCTGCTACCTTGCCCCCGAAAGATTCTTGGCTGCTGGACAGCAACCAGAAGGCGAAGGAGTTGTGAACTGGGCCATGGACATTTTTAGTGTTGGCTGCGTCATTGCTGAACTCTTTCTCGAAGCCCCAATATTCTCATTGAGCCAGCTGTTCAAGTACCGTCAAGGCGAATACAACCCAGAGCATTCTCACCTAAACAAGATCCAGGACGCAAATATACGGGAGTTGATTATGCACATGATCCAAGTCGACCCGAATTCGAGAATGTCTGCCGACGACTACCTCACACACTGGAAAGACAAGGTGTTCCCAAGCTATTTTTATGGGTTCCTACAGCAGTATATGTACTCAATCACCGACCCATCATCCGGTCGGAAGCCTGTTACCACCGGCGCTGAGCATCTTGGAGAGCCAGACGAACGAATAGAGCAGATTTACAATGATTACGACAAGATCTCCCACTTGCTGTCCAGTAACGGAGGGAAAGAGCTGTCGAGACCGCATCATTCACCCCCCAATCCTAACGCGCGGCTGTTTCCGCTTTTCGTCAACATTCCGAACTATCAACACCAAGCCTCACCTACTCAAAGCCTAGCTATCGACGATGGAAACTTGATCTTCCTAACCATTGTCGTCTCCTGTCTGAGGGGTACAGCAAGAGCCACGGCACGTGTTCGAGGACTGGAACTTCTCATGGCTTTTTCAGAACGCCTGACCGACGAAGCAAAACTGGACCGCGTGGTCCCTTACGTGTCTCAGTTACTGACCGACAAATCTGAACAAGTAAAAATCGCTGCTTTGCGCACATTGACACAGATCTTGGCGATGGTGCAGGTTGTCTCCCCAATCAATGCATACATCTTCCCTGAATATGTTCTGCCACGGCTGGAAGCCTATCTCCCAGATTCTTCAACCACAATCAGCCCTCTTGTCCGAATGCAGTATGCCTTTTGCATCGGTACTCTGGCGACAACTGCAGCAAGGTATCTCGACATGATTCAGGCGCTGCGAGCTGAGGGGTCTTTACCGGCAGCGGATCCAGAGACTGAAGACGACCTGTCTTCGTCCGCGCATCGAAACCAATTTGACTCAGATCGTCGTATCTTACTTGAATCATTTGAGAAGCATACAAAGGCCCTTCTCACAGACTCGGATGCTTCTGTCCGTCGGGCTATGCTTCGTTCTGTTTCCGATCTGTGCGTGTTCTTCGGCAGTCCGAGAGCGAATGATGTTGTTCTTAGTCACTTGAACACGTATTTAAATGATCTAGATTGGATGCTTAAATGCGCCTTCTTCGAAGCCATCGTCGGAGTAGCCGTGTTTGTTGGTGGCGCCAGCTTAGAGGGGTATATCTTACCACTCATGGTTCAAGCGTTAACCGATCCAGAGGAGTTCGTCGTGGAGAAGGTCATGCGAGCTCTCTCTTCAATGGCAGAGCTTGGGCTCTTTCAGCGCTCGAAGACCTGGGAGCTGGTCGATATTGTAGCGCGGCTTACGATGCACCCTAATCTCTGGATCCGGGAAGCAGCTGCACAGTTCATATCTGCAGCCTCTAGGTACCTATCCTTGGCTGATACGCATAGTATTTTGGTCAATTTGATTCGGCCTTATCTCAAGGTCGTACCATCCGATTTTTCGGAGCTGCGAATCCTCGAATCCTTGAAGAGTCCATTGACAAGGTTACTCGTGGAGATGGCCTCGAACTGGGCATTGCAGGCACAGAAAGGACTGTTCTGGGCTCCTGCCAAACAGCAGCAGACTTTCACATTTGGATCCTCAGACGATAGCTTACCAGCCATATCTGGCCGACAACTGGACCATAAAGTACTGCAAAGATTACCGAAGAACGAAGAAGATGATCTGTGGTTAAAGAAGCTTAGGAACGCAGGTATGACACTAGAAGATGACTTTAAGCTTGTGTCACTACGGGAATTTATCTGGAGAGTGAGTCACCGACGGCGCTCGGATAGTCTGGCATTACCGCCTGCAAAGTTCAATAGCATTGTAGCGTTGAAAGACCTTGGTGTCAAGGCACTTACCGTTCTATTTGACGAGGATGTACGCAAGACTGTGGAACAAGCACCGAAACCCGATTCTCGGCAAGATGGCTCTATGCAACCTAGGACAATTAGGGACGCGCTACTAGATGCGTCAACAACCGAAGCTGATGCACTGGCTGATCGAATGCCAACCGCTGAAACTCAAACCGGACGTTTGATACGTGAGGAGATGAGCACACGCCGCATATCGATTCCATCTCATCCGAACTTATCATCCTCTCCCGGCGATACGCGCTCCGCTCGAGATTCACCGCCATCTATATCTGAGACACAAAGGAAGTCTCTGCAAGCTGCGAGAAGCTCACCTACCGATGACCCCATGCATGCTCTTCTTCATCGTAGTAGTGTTTTAGGTCTACTCAGTAAAGGAGAGAATAAAGCACTAGCTGAGATTGGAACAACATCTGCTAATGCCTTTGGAAAGGTTGATGGAGCTCATGTGCGAGATTCGTCTCGATCCCGTCAGCCCATCTCACCACTTGGCATCGATCGACCTCAGGGAATTCCGCCGCGGATCCGGTTTCGAAATGCTCACAACTACACGGGCAATGATCCTGCAGTCTTGAAACTTCTTGATTCGATGCTTTTGGAGCGCTTCCCATCTAGCGAAATTGAATTTGGCCCTCGCATTCAGCCCCCCATTCGGCGGCAGCCAATCAGATACAAAGACTCCCACCAAACGCCGGCAGGTATTCCCTGGCGACCTGAAGGTACTTTGGTTGCGAGTTTTGGCGAACATGCAGCTGCAGTGAATCGGATACTGGTGTCTCCGGATCAGGGCTTCTTCATCAGCGGCTCGGATGATGGCAGTGTAAAGGTCTGGGACACCTCACGACTCGAGCGTAACATCACCCGACGGTCTCGACAAACCTACAGGCTCGGAGAAGACGTCAAAGTGACAAGCCTTGTGTTTGTGGAGCAAACTTACTCCTTCGTCGCAACTGGCAGTGACGGGAGTGTCCACGTAGTACGCGTAGATTACTACCATGGCCAGGACGGTAGCGCCAAGTTCGGACGACCTCGATTGCTCCGAGAGTATCAGCTACCTAAAGGTGATTACGCGGTCTGGTCTGAACACTACAATGAAGATAATGAGTCAGTTCTTTTGTTGGCTACCAATACCTCCAAGGTGATCGCACTGGATTTAAGGATTATGGAAGTCCTTTTTACGTTGCAAAATCCGCTAGATCATGGAACGCCAACTTGTTTCTGCGTAGATAGGAAAGCACATTGGCTGCTGTTGGGAACATCACACGGTGTCCTTGACCTCTGGGATCTTCGGTTTAAGCTACGTCTGAAGGCCTGGGTATACCATGGCGCTTCACCTATACACCGACTTTACCAGGTATTCCTACCCAAGGCGAAAAGGACTCGATTGTACATTACCGGGGGTAGTGGCCAGGGTGAGGTGACTGTGTGGGACTTTGAAAAGCAAATTTGCAAAGAAGTGTATCGCACAGGCGCCTGTAAAGACGTAGGGACAAAGAGTACTACGCTCATTGATCTCGATGAAGAGAAGCCGGGTGGCATGCTGGGCCGCTTTGCGACGAGTCTGGAACCTACGGCAAACTCTACGGCAGATCGCGGCATTCGCGCGCTTGCAGTGCACACACAGGCGATTGACGACAAGGGCGAATCGAAACATACGTTCCTTCTCACAGCTGGTCCAGACTGGAAGATCCGATACTGGGACACAAACCGCGCGGAATCATCTATGGTAGTCAGCGGGTTGGAAGCGGACGAAGCAAAGCCGCAGTACACTAGCTCTCAGCCGAGCCCAGACACCGTGGTCACAACAGAACGGCTTTCTCAACCCCAGATCCAGGGCTCAAACGGGCGGGACAGTAAAAGCTCTACTTCAAGCAGGAAGACACCACAAAAATCTCCCCGGTCGGGGCTGATCTCTTTACAACAACAGAATCTGCTCAAAAGCCACATGGACAATATACTAGATGTGGCGCTTATTGAGCAGCCTTACGGGATGGTGATTTCGGCAGACCGGTCAGGCGTCATCAATTTGTTCATGTAGGTGTAGCAGATGTAGAAAGAAGAGAGATTAGCGTATACCTCTGTGGTGCTTCGATCGCTACTTGCGAATTCCAAGCCCATCTATCACGCCGAGGCTTGTAAGTTGGTAGCTGATAGCCCTCAAATCTCACTATCAAAACTGCTGGTAGGTCTGCGAAACCCCTCAATGATTACGGACTACATGCAGTCATGTTATTCTATTATTGGTCCAACTGATAGTTCTGAATTTGCGATTGGACCCTTGGAGCCGACCGGTGAAAGCGAGCAAGGCTCTAGGACTCTCTTGCATATGCAGCCTTGCGTGTCTTGCAGCCGTTCGAGAGCATATATCTTGACACTTCAGCCGCTCTGCGTTGGGTAGTCAGTCAGGCGTAGCCTTGTTCCATTCCCATATTCTCCAGTACCTTATGCCATATTGCATTACCTGCGGTGCCTACTTCCAGGGTCGAGGAAGTCGATGTGTACTTCACAATGGCCATCGGCTCCAGGCCAGATGGCAAGATAGTTACAATTATTCAAGTGATTCGACGGACCCAAGCAGTATCCGATACCGTACAGACCAGCGCCGTCGCCCGCGCAACCTTCGCTTTACCAACGCCCACGAGACGGTCGACCAACTCAACAACCCCAACACTCTCGTCCACTATAACCACGGTACTCTCACCGTCCCGGACACCGCCCTTGCCCAGCCTCTAGTGCATACTTTCGCAACCCTCTCCCATGCCCACGCCATTTCGTCCTTGACCTACTCCATCTTACCGTCCGGCGGCCAATCCCTTACCGCAGAGGCCAATTTCGAGCGTGAACAATGTCGCGTTTGCAGGACTTGGTTTCCAGATCACCAGAAGCTGGAGTATCATCAGCGGGAGCTTCCAGTGGGGTGCGATGTACACGGGATCTGTATGAGGATGGAAGATGTGCACTGGCATGGGACAAGTGAGAGGCATGAACGGTGCTTTGTTAGGGGATGCGGAAGTGTGTATCGGATGGAGGGGGGATGGAAGGGGGGTGTTATCGAGGGACATGTCAAGGGATGGCATTGCTGAGCGTGTCTAGTATGTGACTTGAAATACAAGGGCTATACGGGAAAGAAGGTATCGCTAAAAAAAGAATGAGCGTACTAGTCAAAGCTTGCCTCATCGCTAAGAGCCCAATTACTTGGTAGTGATGCATATAACATGTCACATAGTTTGGAGAAGAGACTGAGGCGAGCATATTCTAGGTTCATTCGAACTTTATTCGGGTATCCGAGACATGCACTAGTATCATACAGGCGTGTTCATAGCGCCGCCCACTCAATCGAAAACGCCCTGACGGATTTTTGAGAGTCGGACTTGTCAATGCCCACTCCCTTGCCATGCTTACCCGCCTCAGAATCTTCACCACCAATCATATAAGCCTTCTTTGTGCCTGTACCCAGACGACCTCCTCCAACAACGTCCAGTAGGTCAAATTCTTGATCCCAGGCCATGCCTGTTGCCGCAAAGTGACTATGATAGCGGAGTGGGTCGCCAGGATAGACGTTATAGTGGCATCCGAAGCGTAGACCAGGCATGTGGAAGTAGCCGCGCGAGTGTAGGTACCGAAAGAGAGGGTAGCTGTTTGGCACGGCTGGAAGAGGAGAGGAGTCGCGCGATGGTGTTGGGAGAGCAACTTGAGAGGTCGTGGGGGTTATGAAGTGTTTTTGTACGGGGGTACTTTTGTGTATGCTGCGTGTAGCGACCGAAGAAGAGTCGAAGAGCGTGGTCTCAGCGGCCGACTGTTGGATATCGGGATACTTCGGTGCAAAAGAAACCTCGAAGCTGGACCCCTTCATAATGAATCCGAGATCTGACGCCTCGACGCTGGAATGATCTGGTTGAGCCGCTTCATCCGTTGTCGGTCTCTCAGGAACACTGAGTTCCTGCTGCCTCTCTACCATATTGACCCTCAATCCCTTCTCCTTCAGAGCCCTATCCTTTCTCTTCTCTGCCTTGTCCGAGTGCTCCCTCGCAACCTCGTCTCCCCTCCGGTCCATCTCCTCCAGATACTTCAATCTATCTTGCCTCGTCATTTCCCCAAATCCCTTGCGATGCACTTTTACATCGTCGACGACATAGGCTGCGCCGCTCTCTACGAGAACCCTTGCCTCCTCTGGCATGAGCTCAAGCGGAACACCAAGGAAGACATTTTGCTGCGATAGGTTTGGGATGGTGCCGATCAGCACACCGCAGATATTGTGGACGCGCCGGCAGTGCGCGATGACCTGCACATCGAAGAGGAGGTAACGACCGGCGATGCAGGATATGGGGAAAGCTTCTGTGACTGTGTCTGGAGCCAGGGCTGGCGCCATATCTAGTTTCTATGGCAAGGAGCTGTTAGCCTTGGATCGGAAAGAGAAGTGCGGAAAGACTGAAAGGCCAAGGTATTAATCATAGTGTGAATACAAAAAGTTTGAATCATCAAGAGCCCCTCTTGGGGGAGTCAGTGGATTGACAGATTAATTTGTTAATCATATAAAGGTTCAGAATCATGTAAACGAATGAAGTGGCTTACCTTCACTTGTGTGGTTTCATGATGGTGGTCAATCATGAGAGGAGGATAAAAATCAAAGCTTCAGCGCGTTGATTTTTGTAGTGGCGCTTAGTCATACGCGATCACCACTGTCAAAGCTCCCCGAACGCGAACTAATACAAGACAGTGACGAGACTCGAGACAGCAAAGGCCACAATGGCGACGACGAATCGCGCTTCGACTGCGAATGGCACACCTGCCGCCCCGGAGAAGTCGTACTACGAACAGCAGCGCGAAATGCTGGTGACGGAGATCGCCCAAGTATGTCTTCCGCAAACAGCCCCACCTCACTACCTCTCTACCTACACAACATCTCGCGAAACTCCAATTGCCTACCCTGCAATGCAGCAGTACTGACGGCTGATTTTAGAGTCTTGAGCTTGTCCTCCAAAACATCAACAAGCTAAATCGCTCCCTAGAGGAAGTCACACAAGTCGGCAATGAATTTGCGCCCGTAGAGTCCCTTTGGAGTCACTTTGAGAATGTTATGGCAAAAGATCCGAACGAACAGCAAGGGAACGCACAAGGCGATGCAACAGAGCACGAGGGTGAGGAGACGGAAGCTACTGAGCATCACAAGTGAGCAGGGAATATGGAAATGACAGCGAGATGCATGGTACGGCGTTACGGTGCATAATTCAATGATACCCAAGACTTGGTCGATTGTAAAAGGAATGCAAACCTAGGCTGTATACACGATCGCACTATCAGGAAGAGCACGATATGCCAAAATTTACAGATCAGCAATATGCTTTCATGTACTTCATAGGCGCAGGTGACTCTGGCCTACACCACTATGCGTAAACACTAGATACCGAATACAGATATGAAAAGGAAAATGCTTTGCTATTGTAGGCTCTGAAAAATATGCCTCTCTGTATCAACCGTCGCTTAAAACAAAGCCAGAAACGCCGCCAACCGTGTACGTGTAGATTGCCCCCTATAATAAGTGGTAGTGAGCAACAAGCAACAAAGCTGAGACACTGTCTACGCTGAGCCGCCGTGATGAGAGGTGAGCCGTGCTTGGTCATTAAAGCATCTTGATCGTGTCGTCCAGCGTCGTAATCTCGATATAGCCGCTTTCATCATTGTGCAGAATGGCAATGACACTCGAAATCCTTGGAAACAAAGGGAGACAATTGCTCAGAGCACCTTGCAACCGCTTCGCTTCTTCTTCTTGCCGCCTGTAGGGAAGGTAGGACCTGTGCCTCTTGATGACGATGATGATGGGTTGGTCGCATGCGGTGTCTTGTACTCATCACCTACAGCCATTGTAACAGCCATGTCGAAGATGTCCTCGACGCCGTCCTGCTCTTTACTACTGCACTCCATGTACATGGCACCCATTTTCTTGGCCACGGCGCGGCCTTGTTCGGGCGTCACTGGCGTCAGGCCCTGTGTCTTGAGGAGTTCGATGCAGTTCTTCTTGTTGCGGAGATCGGATTTCAGGCCAAGGAGCATGAGGGGGGTTGTGGGGCAAAAATGGAGGACCTCTGGGTACCACTTGGAGCGGCTAGTTAGTACATGCCAGTGCCGAGTCAGTCCGAGAGGAAGTCGCTTACCTTGTCCATGACGTTTTCTAGCGAGTTGGGGCAATCAATGGCGAAGCAGACAAAGATGATGTCCGTCTCGGGGTAGGAGAGGGGTCGTAATCGGTCATACTCCTCCTGTCCAGCCGTGTCCCAGAGCGCAAGCTCGACCATCTTGCCCGTTGGGGGATGTGGCGTGTGGGTGATGTAGTTCTCAAAGACGGTGGGTACGTATTTCTGGGCTCTGTTAGTACTTGGCAAGGCGATGATGCATGGAGTTGGGCAGGAGAGACGCCACCTCTGGGAAGTTTCCGGAACTGTAGCTAATCAACAGACATGTCTTGCCACATCCGCCGTCACCCACGACGACCAGCTTCTTGGAGTAGGTTGGCGGCTCGGTAATGGTCGTGTCGCGCGTGGCCGTCGTGTCATAGGAGCTCACGGTGCCATTGCTGTTGCGCTCGCTGGGGGTGCGGACGGGCTTGCGGACGGGCGTGATGGACGATGTGGGTGCCTTGGTGCTCTGCTTGCGGCGTAGGTAGTCGTAGTTTTGGGAGGGTGCCGTTGGGGAGGCCATTGTTGACGTTACTTTTGTTGAATTTCCTCACAGTCTCTTTCGCGCTGTCGCTTCGTGTTTCTGCTCACTTGACGAGGACTTGGATGGACGAAGAATGACAGAGCGGGTATCAATAGGGACGGCAAGATGGATGGGAAGGTTGCAGATGGGTACGGCGGCGGCTTATGTGCGAGGTGTTGATTGTTACCAGGGCTGGGGGCTGTCGCGAAGGGCAACCACGCCGGCGGCGGCTCGCTTCTTGCTCTCTAGCGTCCCCGTACCCCAGGCCCATCCATGACGGCTTATTACACATTGCATGTATCAGACAAGACGAGACAACAAGCCATTCGACACTACAAGCCTGCACCGCGACGGCGCTGGACATGCACGCCAGTCTCGCCTGGAGAGCTCCCCTCTGCCACCACTGGCATCATGTCTGCGCAACATGATGCGCCGCCGCCGACGGAGCCGAGGCTGGATGCGGGCAACCAGCATCATGACCACTGTATGTGCTGCCCTCGTCAAGAATAGACAACGAGAAAGGAGAAACAAGAAACGAGAGAAGCTCGTCAGAAAGACATGGCCCGCTAATGGAATGCGCTCGACAGACGCCCAGAGACTCCCCAAATGGCGCAATGCACTGCGCAATCGTCTGATCCCCATCATACGGTGCGAGACACCATGGCTTGCCCTCATGCAGGACAAGATGCGCTCGCCAGCACTCGACTCGTACTTTGCCTACACGGCCAACCTAGGCACCCATACCTTCTTCATGGTCTTTCTCCCGATCCAGTTCTGGTGCGGATATACCAGTCTTGGTCGAGCGTACGTCAAAAGACTCGTCACGCACTCGAGCGAGTGCTTCGTCTGACATGCATGTCTAGGACCGTCTTCATGCTTGCCGCAGGAGTCTACTGGACTGGCTTCCTCAAGGACCTGCTCTGCTTGCCCAGACCTCTGTCGCCGCCGCTTGCCCGCATCTCCATGTCTGGCTCCGCTGCGCTCGAGTACGGCTTCCCCTCGTCGCATTCTGCCAATGCCGTCTCGGTCGCCTTCTACGCCATCTACATGCTACGGCAATCGCCCCATGAATACCACCCACACGTCAGCATGGCCCTGCAGGCCTTGTTCTACTTCTACGCCCTTTCCATCATCGTGGGCCGCCTGTACTGCGGCATGCACGGTTTCCTCGACGTCATCATCGGAAGCACAATGGGTGCCCTCATTACAACCTTTCAGCTGGTCTATGGTGACTGGATCGATTCGTGGGTCTTCAGTGGAAGCTACCAAGACATACTGTTGGCCACCTTGGCCATCTGTCTCATGGTCCGCATCCACCCCGAGCCTGCTGATGACTGTCCTTGTTTCGATGATAGCGTTTCTTTCTCCGGCGTAGTCATTGGAATCAACTTTGGGGCATGGCACTTCTCCCAGACGGGTTACGCGCTTCAGCATGCCTATCCCTCCTCGGTTCCTTTTAGCCTGCACGAGATGGGCATCATCAAAGCAACCATGCGCATTCTGCTCGGCGTCATTGTCATCTTCGTCTGGAGAGCCACCATGAAACCTGCCCTTTTCAAGATATTGCCGCCTCTCTTTCGGCTCCTGGAGCACGCGCGCCTGAATCTGCCCCGCGCCTTCTTCCTGAATGCGTCCAAGTACACTTCTATCCAACCCTTTGCCGACGATGACAACGTCATTCCACCTGCTTCCGAACTGCCGCATATGCTCAAGAACCTTGCACACCCGCGCACACGATCTGTGTCAGTAGGTCCTCAGTCTGCCGCCGATGCCTACGAAACACTCGCCTACCGCAACAGACGAAGAAGGGAAAGCTTCAACTCACTAGATGGTGTGGTGCCCGAAGAAGCAACCATCGAGAATGCTGAACCGCTCCTAGGCGCCAGTCTTCTACCCACACCCATAGCATCCCGGGTACATTCCTACGAACAAATGATGGGCACGGGAAGAGTGTATACGGTAGAAAAGAACACACCGCCACCAGAGAGTGACACGGACGTCGCAGGCGAGGTCCTCCCGTTCATACAATCATCTACGGAAGAGGAGAACGAGAAAAGAGAGATCTTCATGAAACTTACGAAGCCACGTGTCCGCTATGATGTTGAAGTCGTTACGAAGTTGATTGTGTATACTGGTAGGCGTATAACCCGCATATAGACTCCAACCACACCACTAACATTCAGACAGGCATTGCATGGATAGCCGTAGACGGCAACCCTATCCTATTTGAACTGGTTGGTCTGGGCATGGGTGTCCGGCCATAACTGTCCCCATACCTATGCGCATCTTCTTGTTTCTACTTTGCTATACATATTCCCACATAGCTGCCTAATAAGATACCCTGAGTTATCTGATCCTTGTCTACTCTTTCGTTACTCGCGTATACATACTTGGTATTGAAAGGACTGCTTAGTTTCAAGTCTAGCTGTGTAAGGCTATCAACAACTACCTTTATCACTACGATGCTCCGGGAACATAGACGTCAAAAACGCAGTGCACAACACCCGGCGCATACATCTTCACTCTCTCCACATGCTCTAATTTGACACACTTTCCTCCGTCCTTCTCCAGTCTCTTCCCTCCCCTTTCCTCTAAAAGCCCCTGGAATGTATCCTCCAACTCTCTGCTTCGGGATTCGATATCTTGCACGCCGACATTTTCGTGCGCGTGAATCCAGCCGCCGCACTCAATGTCGAGTACTCTCATGGCAGTGCGCCAGGAACGCGTAGATGAAGGGAGAAGACCGAGGTTGACGTGTCGGATAGGTAGGACAAGCGGCGGCTCGGGAGTTGTCAGATGTTGAATTAAACCACCGGCGAATTCGTTGCTCATTTGGAAGATCCAGAAATCCTCGTCATCTCCCCTTTTCTCTAGCTCTCGTCTCCAAGTCTCCCAATCCACCTGCGAGACCGGCATCTCATTCTTACCCCAAATCCTACACGTCCACCTGTTCATCTCTGCGCCTCGTCTCAGCCCCTCCACTGACCATGGGTTTAATTCCCAACATAATATTTTCTCAATCCCATTCTTCCTGCCAGCTCCACCCTTTTTGTAAGAGAACGCAAAATACCCTATCCCAGCATACAAATCGACGGCAGCAGACGGGACATCGAAGTCCATAGTTACAGAGGGTAGAGTGAGAAGTCGTGTCTTCTCACTGACGTTCTAGAAGAATAGGTACGAGATCAGTGTATGTCTTACATGCAAATCGATCATGGCCTTGCTTACCCCTCGGCTGAACATTGTGTATAATGGCGCCCACGTCTGGTGGATGCCGTTTTGAATTGTTGTTACCCACAAGGCGTTCTTGAAGTCGGCTTCATTAGGAGATGAGAGGGTCTGTGGTGTCGGTAAGGGGCCGAAGTCACCATATATTGGGGCGAGATTGACCGGACTGCGGAGGAAGTTTTCTTGAGCTTGTGATTCTATCTGGTCCTGGGCGGCGGCAGTTTTGGTGCTTGTTTGCAGTGGTATGGGTGAGTTGACAGCGATGTGTGTTGCGCCCACTGCTTCGGCAATGCGCTGCCATACCGGTCGTAAAGAATCAGAATTTGCCGCATGAGCGGACATGAAGTTGTTCCACGCGTCAGAAGCAAACGCGTTGTGCGGAAGTAGCAACATGGGTCTGTATACTGAGTACGAATCCGGAAAGGAAGAGACAAGTCCCTCAACCGTAAGACCTCGCGACATTAGGATTGACTGTGGGAGAGCCTCTAGAGCTTCCTTCAATGCTCTTTGAAGCGGATTCTTGTGCAACGTAGGATCCAGTGAGTCGATTGGTATGACCTGATGTGATATTGATATGTCATTAAAGAGATAACCTAAGGCCAATTTCTTGAGTACTTTTGACTTGAGTTCGTCCTCTTGACGGTTCTGTGAGGTATCGTCCTTTATGTGTCCATCCAAGGCGTATGGGATTGTGGTGGGAATACGCATGCAATGCTCTTCAGCTGCTTCGATACTTTGATCTTCCTGTCGTAGTACCGCTGGATCCACGTATTGGCCGCTGACTGGGTCAAACTTTAGGACTGGTACGTCGATACTTTGATCTTCCTGTTGTAGTACCACTGGATCTACATATTGGCCGCTGATCGGGTCGAACTTCAAGGCTGGGAATTGCACGGGAGCACTAGGATCTTTAACAGCTTCAATACTTTGATCTTTTCGTTGTAGTACCGCTGGATCCGCATACTGACCGCTGACCGGATCGAACTTCAGGGTCGGGAATTGGGGTGTAGCACTGGGATCTTCAACAGCAATGATTCTTTGATCTTCCTGTCGTAGTACTGCTGGATCTACATATTGGCCGCTGCCTGGGTCGAATTTCAGGACCGGGAATTGGGAAGTAGCCGCTGCGTCTTCAGGCAAAGTGCCAGGTGTGGAGGTCGCAATGCTGTCCTGCAGAAGGTCAGAGTGGATGTCATCTCGTGCGTCTAATTGTTGCTTTCCGGGAGCTCCGGGTATAGCAGCGATACTGTCTCTCTTCGTTCCTGGGGCGATTCTGCGTGTTCGGTCCAATTGGCCAAATTTCTCCAAGGCTGACTTGACAGTCTTGACGTGTGCTTTAGGTACCTCGAGAACAACCCTCCTCTGGGCTGATTCTTCCCTTGGTTGATCGCTCATATTGTTCTGCTCCGGGTTGACACACAACAGTGTTGTAGTTCAGGGCGAGATGGGATGAGAGCCGAAGAGCCGTGGTTCGAGCATTGTGGGTCGCAGTGGCTATGCTAGGCAGCTACAACGACGGGTGATAAAGGACGCACTTGACGCCCCTGAGCCTTCATAAAAATTACCGTAAAACCAACCTGGGTCACCAGAAGCGTAATAAGCAAGTGTCGGAAGTCTCCTACTGCAGCATTCTCGAAGCTCAAGAGCCGTCCTACGTTGTATTACCCCGCCCCCACCAAGCCTCCGACAAGCTCCATAGGTCGCGTATGACGCAGCCTCAGAGCTAGCCCGAGCGCTGCCGCCCTGCAATTCTTCACTCTACACCCACCATGTCCCATTCCAATCTCGATCTAGTCAATCAGTGCGATGGCTTCCCCTATCCCGAGTCCAACACGGAACGCTATCTCGCCAGCATAACGACTTACTACCAACTACGCGTCTCGGGCCATGATTATGCCTTGGGCTACATGCTCCCCTCAGTTGCTGAAGTCTTCCGCGGCATTCCAAACTGGGAACTAAACGATGACGAACGTACCTTGACACTCACCGGCGGGAAGAATGCAGAGGAGCGGTCGAAAGCGGTCGAGACGACGCTGTTGGCCATGAAGGAGACTGGGCATTTCAAGGTCCTGAGCAAGTGGAGAGGAGAATTGTACGCTGTGTATGGGAAAGGGAAAGAACTCTTGTTCAATGTCGAACGGAGTGCGAGTCCGCTATTGGGCGTCGTCACATACGGTGTGCATCTAACAGCTTATACAAACAAAGACGGACAGCTGAAGATCTGGACACCACGGCGCGCACGGACAAAGCAGACATATGGTGGCCTGCTCGACAATGCCGTGGCAGGTGGCATCGCATCTGGAGAATCCCCCCTTGAGAGTTTAGTAAGAGAATGTGGAGAGGAAGCGTCGCTGCCTGAAGAGCTGGTCAGATCAAAGGCCGTTGCTTGCGGGACATTGTCGTATTGGTACATAAGGGACGAGAGAGCAGGCGGCGAGACAAATCTCATGCAACCGGAGTGCCAGTACATCTACGACCTCGAACTTCCAGAGGGCACGACACCGAAGCCCGGTGATGACGAGGTAGAAGAGTTCTATCTGTGGTCAGTGGAAGAGGTGCAAGAGGCAATGAAGAACGGCGAGTTCAAGCCAAATTGCGCTTTGGTAGTGCTCGATTTCCTCGTCCGACACGGCATCTTGACAAGTGAGAACGAGACGGACTACATTGAGATTGTGAGTAGATTGCATAGAAGGCTCGAATTTCCTACGCTCTAGTAGGAGGAGCAAAAGAAAAAGTAGATCTGAGGACTCCTTTTGGGGGTATCCGGACGCCGTATGCCAAATAGACCAGACCAAATGGTACCAATACCACTACCTATGCCACCATAACGCCGTCCATGCCTGTTCTCTTTTGCTTTGTTATGCGCACGACCGGGTTGACCTATGAGTGCTTGACAAGCATGTAGATGTTGTCGATTTTCAGCCCGCCCAGTTTTCTATACGGACCTTCCATATACAGGAGCAATCCGCCGAAACTCGCATAGTACTTCCTGTGTTCCTGTTAGCACCTACACGGCCGAGTTATGCGCGGGCGATGAAGACTTGCATCTGATCTCCATCCCCATCCTCCATGCGATAGTTCTTGCCATAGCACACGTAATCGTACATATCCGCAAGAGTTGTAACACCGTGCTTGCCCACATTCCTCCACATGGTCTCGTTCTGCTCTTTTGAGGTGCCGTCTAGGGACAAGGTGGTGGCTAGGACCATGTTGAGCGTCTCACCCGACTGCACGGGAAAAAGTTCGTGATTGATGTCGAGCGTCATGGTGATTTGGTTGTCGGTCGAGGTACCGAAAATGCGAGACACGCGGTCGTACTTCTCATTGTTGATAGACGTTATGCTAAAGGTCTCTTCGAAGACTTGGGCGTCGGCCATGGTGACTGTCGCAGTCACACTTTGTAGTTGCGGTGGAGGTGGGTGCGGGTTTGCTAGCAAGATGGAACGCGCAAGCTGTGGTCCTTGGTATGGAGCAGGAAGTGTGCTGGCGACGGTTGTTCGAATCTCTCAAAGAGAGCTTGAGAAGTGGTGAAAGAAGCTTGAGTCGGCCAAAAATTTGGTCGCTGGTTGGCGCGGCCCAAAACCGATCGAACCGCCGGTGCTCCTCCGCGGTCTAGCACGTCCCAGCCTCGCGCTGTCACTCTCCCTCGTTTCCTAACCGCCGCTGCTAGGAGAGCAGCTGTAGCCTACATCTTCTGCAGCTGCCAATCTCTCTTTCCCCTACACTCAATGAGTCTGTTCGCGCTCCTCGACATGGAGCATGCGTCGCCCTCAGCGCAAGGCTCACACTCCAGTCGCGAAGGCAGTCCCATGAGCGCTTTCGATCCGCTCAATCTTCCAAGGCCTAGAGCCTCCACGAACCAGAACAGCCTATTACTCAAGCTACCAGACGATATCTTCAAGTGCATCATGGACTATCTAGACCGAGATGCAGCATGGAGTTTGAAGAGGCTATGTAAAGGTATGGCAAACAGCGAGACAGTAAAGCAACTGCTATACAAGTATCCGATACAGCTAGTACGTGACGTCCATGTAAGAACTCCATGTGAGACATAGACTGATCTCGTACCAAGGCCGAAGTCCGAGACTTGAGACTAGGAGATTGGAAGTATCGGAAAATGGGGTTATCACGCTGGCAAAGCTTCCAAGAGAGCATCAACGACTCGAATCGGAAATACGTACACAAGCTGGCAATGTCTCACTGGGCGAGCATCGATGACTTTCGCTGGATACAAGACAACCTACCTGCTTTGACTGGTCTGGACATATCGGCTATCAAAGACTTTGTGTGGACACCTGAGGAGACGTGGACTTGGAAGATGCTTGCAGAAGCCTGTCACACGCTGTTCGCACGACTCGAGGAGCTGGAGGTGGCAAACTGGGCAGACTACACGGCACACTCACGTATCGAGTACAGCTATGCATATAATGACTATCGCTTCAAGCAGAAATTCAGGATATCGAGGCGGAGAAATGGTGGATCCATTGCTAGCATGATATTCCCCATCTGCAACAAACTGAAAACGCTTGCGATACGAGAGCGGTACTCCGGCTTCCAGTAGGTTGACTGACCCCATTCCCTCTTTGCGTAGGGAGACTAACCTCAACCTCAGCACGTGGAATGAGTGGGAGGTCCACCAACGGGTATGCTGTTTAGTGGATGGCGTGCAAAAGTACTGTCCACCGAGCATGACAAAGCTAAGGGTACACGATTATGCGCCATATCGATCGCTTTTCTCCACCGATGCTACATCATGGGCGCGCTTAACCGACGTTGAGATTGGTCTCTACAGCTGGATGGAGGACCGCCGCGACAGAGATGTCATTGGCCCTATTCCATACAGAATCACACAGGGACACCACCACCGCGACGAGGAGGAAGCCTTCGATGACAAGACCTTTGATGCTTGCGCGCGTGACCACATGGTCCTAGGAAATCATGTTGTCCAGGGCGTTGGCGCCTCTTTCGAGGACCTACTCCAAAGTCTCCAGACCATCAGCAACAAATATCCGAAAATCAACATCAAACCCATCCGTAACCTCCAGAACATCACATTGCATCCATTCCACCTTGTCAACGTCATGCAGCGCCGACATCACTTCGGTCAGATCACGCAACAGAACAATGACCAAGCATCAAGTGACCCGAGTTCCAAGCCGGAGGTGCAGGAAGCGTTGCGCTGGCTGGCGCAGAAGTGTGACTGGAAGCCGATCCTAGCCTGGGACTCGATGATGTGTGATGTCTTCCCAGCAAATCTCGAACCTCGGACCTTCCTTTCGAAACCTGACGTCCTCTCCCGCATACAGACCATGGTCTCTACGCTTCGTGGCTTGAGCATACCAATTCGTATATCCATTGGCGATCGTACTAACACTTGCCCTTCCTCTGGTCTGGACGGTTCACTATATTTTGGTGACTACAAGACATTCATTGGCGAAGATGATGAAAAGCGTGAAGTGCTTGTTCCCACACAGGCCTCCTTCAACCTAACATCGATTGCGTCCATGGTCGACGAACTTACTATCCAATACCCTGTCGATGTTCCTGGTGTAAGCGGTTGGCTGCGCGCAGCAAAACGACCAACTCCAGCAGAAAAGGCCCTTATGCAGCGCGAGATGGTAGGATGGCGCCGCTTCTGGGCCCGCTACGCATCACAGTTCAAAAATCTTAAGAAGCTTACCGCAAACGTACCCAATGATATTTATGAAGACTGGGGTAAGAGTGAGCTGGCGGGTCTGCTTGTGGATGCACGATGGCAGATGCTAGAGGTAGAAGAGCAGGGTGGCGATTACGGCTTCTTCGGTAGCTACTTTCCATTTAGCTCGAGCTCTCTCCGCTACAGCTTCTCCCGCAAGCGATCCCGCACCAAATTCGCTCAGCGTGTATTTTTTCGCCTAGACGACGAGCCGCTTGACCTCTCAATACCCAATGTCGAGCTATGCGAACAGGAGCGTGAGGAGAAGGAGATTATTGATGAGCAAATCAAGGACAAGGGGATACTCCCCCACCGCTTTTGGCTGACGAAGGACGAAGAGATGGGCGGGAAGAGGAAGAGACTAGAAGAAGGGCAGGAGAGACAAGACGAGCAGATTAGTAAGAGGATACGCACAAACGAACTCACCTAGGCGGCTACGAGGGCGATGGGCATTCATGAAGTCCTCCCGGCTCACCTCTTGGTCAACCTAGAGCGGGGGTATCCAATGCTGTTCTGTCTGTACTCAGTTATCCTGGTCTGCGGGCCGAGTAGAACTAGTCAGTTCACAATATGCATAAGAAGATATGTCATAACAAATTAACATTTCAACGGGTATATGCATACAACTGCTCGATAGTACAATTCGCAACGTTGTATAAGCAAAACACCTCTGTGAAAAAAAATGTCGAGTCTCACTCCTGGGAAGGACGACCCTGTCCGCCCGCTTGCAAGGTTCCAAAACGCCGAGTCCTGTCACTATGCTACACACTAGAAATGCCCCTGACTCCCTTCGTTATTCGTCTAGCTACGCTTCCCTCTCTTTGGACTACTGGCTCTACTTCTTATCCTCTCTCTGCTATCAGTCCTCGACAGTAAACCATTGCGATCGAATGCACTCTGTGGCCCCAAATTCAGCCCGACACCTTGGTTGAGCAGGTCATTCCCCGCGCCACCGACGTAACTTGCTGTACCCGTCTCAGGCTTGATTTGCGGTGTTGCCCAACCCGATGTCCTTCCAAGCCTTGAACCGTCAGAGGAGTCGGAGAACTCGTTGTCCGAAGAATCAAGATATGTCTCCTCGAGTTCGAATTCATTCGCCGCCTCTCCATCCTCGAGGTCAACACGCTCATATGTCTGTCCTAAGGAACTACCGAGGCCGAAGAGTTTGCTGGGAAGGAAACCGCGACGGCGACGGTGTAGTGGGTCTTTCCCGTGTTTTCGTGCGAATAGTTTGCCGATGGACTTACGTGCCGAGGCCCTCTTCTCTTTACCTAGGACAATGCAGAAGATGAAGATTATGATAAAGATCATGATGAAAAAGCCAGGGACACGTCGCGGATTCTCAACGAAGAGGCGATGCCAGTCGTTTTCGGATTCGTAGGGGATGTGACTGCCGCCTGGGTATTGAAAGTCGGATGGTATCCCAGGCACATTTGAGCCGAAGCCTACAGCTAGCGCTTGTTCTGACGGTATAGGGATTTCGCTAGAGGCATATAGGACCATTTTCCCAAGTGTCCAGCTTACTTCTACGTTGTTGATCTTATTGACAGCTTGAAACGGGTCGAGGAAGCCTTTTGCTTTGGCATTGTCGAGGACAGCTTTGGTGGTGTTTTTGCTGCCCTTTAGGTCTTCGATGCCCACGCGTGGAACTCCGATCCCGTCGTGCAGCATGTTGATAATCCAAGATGCTTTGAAGCAAACATCTCGTGCCTTCTCTTCATCGACTTTGCCGCCCCATTTCTCTTTCTTGAGACCTTTCTTTATGCTCTTCCAATCCTGACTGCAGAACTCATCTACGCGCTCTTGGTAGGTCTTGAAGTCGTAAGCCTTGTCCTTGTGCCCCATTTCGAATATGTCGTGTGTTGTATGCCAATACTCTGAGACGCCTACGAAGTGATTTACGTCGAAGTCGATCGCTGGTACATGCTGTCCATTAATCAGACAGGGTGAATCCGTACATTCCTTCTCTTTCTCTAGCAGAGGATATGTTTGATGTAAACATTCGGCGAACTTTCCGGTGCCAACCAGCTGCGCAGCCGCCTTTAGTTTCGGTTCGTCGCGGTTGTCCGAATCTAGATCAAGAAACTTGCCGTCTTTTGTCACGTCAACGGTCAGATCGGCGGGCAAGCATGGATCCGGTAGCTCGACCGATGTACTCGACTCAATGAGAGATTTGACATATCGTTGCCTTGCCTGATTGACGCCAAATCCTAGCCACGTTGTCACGAAGACTTTGTACTCTAGAGGTGTACCGTCAATCGTCCGTAACCGTAGGAGCGTCAGATCGTTGGCGTGCTTCTCGGCTTCGGTAGCATTTGGCGCAAACGCAATCTGCGCGGATGCGCCCCCCATGTCCAGGAATCCATATGTGCTATGCCCCTTGCCATGATTGTGATGGTTTGGGCGGTCGAATCCTCCGAGTAGGTAGTTCGCCGCTATCCAGCCATATAAGCCCTCTGTCTCGCCCGGTATGACCTGAACATGTACTTGGCAATCCGGTAACTGGAACTTGGTAGTGCTCTGTGCAAATTCGCAGACCTCTTTCAAGAGTGCCCTTTGCTGGGGCAGCGGGAGTATTCGCATGCCTGCGGTCGCAAGCAGAAAGAGCGGCGTGTTCGGGACATCTTCGATGGGGATTTTTTTGAGCGCGTGACTGAGGAGTTTGTCGAGATGTTCTGGGCCGACTTGGTGAGGGTGTTCGCCGAAAGTCGAGATACCTGGGCATTTGTGTGTTAGAGCAGCCGGCTTGCGCCTCGTGGCCGTGCTGCAGCTACGCACCTGGGTGTATCTTCTTGGTCCACTTCTTGTCCGTCTCGATTACCGGTAAAGTGTGCAGTTGTGCGTCGGTCGCTTGCTTGCGAGCTGTGTCGCTGTTCAGCCATCGGTAGATATGGACGCGCGTCCCCTTTGCTGGTCAGCGACAAGCCTACTATGGATGCGATATTTGGTCGCCAAAACTCACCGAGGACCCAGCATCCAGAACAACACCATATCTCCCTGTACACCCAGTCTGGTCAGCATCTAGAATGTATTGCAAAGGGGGGGGGCCCAAGGGTGATTGCGTACACTTTCCCATGAGGGATGGCCAGGGTCCGGAACAGCTATCAAGCAAGATGCATGCAGCAACGACGGGTTTTGGATTAAGAGAGTATATACAATGTAACAAAACAGGTATTGCTACGGCGCAGCCGACGTCGAAGAAGAGGTGGTGTCTAAACGAGCGATGTGGAAGGAGGCATCCTGGTCATCAAGAGAGGAGGATTCGAGGGAGCCCAGCAAAAGGTTGAGAGACCCTGGCGATCGGCACCCCCACGGCCACGCCGCGCCGTTTATGGGGTCGCTCCACGCTGCGAACAGCCTACCCTACCTGGTGTACACCATTGCACCTTCAGAAGCGTATTACGGGTCTTGCAAAGACTGCGATATGGCTATTTCCAATCAAAAATGACACCTTGGCGAGTTTCTATATCGCATCCTACCACAAAGTATCACACGTCTACCACACAGGATAGCTGACATACATGCAATGAATGAACAGAGATGGGTATACCGTAGAAACACACCATCTCCACGCCATGTCTAGTGCCAACCCTCAATCCTCAAGCAGAAATCTTAGAAATGCTTTCGCGATAGTTACGCCATCATGAGGCCTCCCAACTCGTTCCAGCGCATCCCGCGCCTGCTCATCCTCGAAGATGCCCTGCTGCTGCCTCATCTTGACCAGATGCGTCACGATGCCTTGGTTGAACTCCGGATGCCCTTGCACAGAGATGAGTCTGCCTTTCTTGTACATGCCTTGAACGAGACAGCGTGGAGAGCCGCCGAGCTTCTCGACACCTTCAGGATACTCGAACACAATGTCCTTGTGCATTTGGTGGATGGCCTAGAGTAATTCAAGGTTAGGAAAACAGCCATGGCGGAAGGAAGTGATTATCAGCCACGTACAAGGCTATCTTGCTGGAAGATCTCTTTCCCCTTTGCGGTGAGCTGAACGGGTAGAACTGAAATCTCCCAGCCGTCGTCACTCCGTCCTACTTTGACGCCTGCAGCTCTTCCAAGAATCTGGTGTCCGAAGCAGACGCCGATGATTCGGATCCGATCCTGGTTCAAGAGTTTCTTCGTGAAGTCGACAAGCTTTAAGATCCATGCCTCGTTGTCGAACGAGTTGTGTTCTGCATCGCATGAGTAATGAACCAGTACATCTTGCACGCCCTGATAACATACTTGAGCCAGAGATGAGAACAGCGTCTATGTTTTCCAGATCAGGATACTCCTGTGCTGTGACAACATCAAAAGCGCTCAACTCAAGATCTTGCTTCGGAGATAGGCCTACTCCCCCGGCAGCCGTTTCGAGCAGTGTCGTGAAGATACGGTCGTATTTGCCATACTCTGCAATGACATCCGGCGGCGGCGTGTCGCATTGAAGGATCGCGATTCTTAAGGGTGTCTTCATCGTTTCAGATTGCCAGAGCCAAAGTGGAATTTGTGATCTGCCGCCGTTGACATGGAAGGGTGGCGGCGATTTCGGGAGTGCTAGCAGTGAAGAGGTTAGAGGATTCGACAGCAGCGCCTCGATGTACCTACATCTTTGATGCAAGCAACTCTGCATCCCATCCATGACTTTCAACACCATCTTCTTGGCTATCTCCTCCATTCTGTTATATGACCCTCTGCGGAGAAGCGTATCCAAAGGGCAGGAGTCGTTGTAATGCCCTCAGGTGCGCGCGCGAACGGCCGATCATCGCATCCTTCCGAGCGAACTCCGCTGCTTCAGTCTACCTCGGATTGTCAAGAGAATCATGTTCAATCTGTAGAGATAGCAATACATGGCGAGGGCAGCGTTCATCAGTCTCCAGATTTGGGCAAGACCAGAAGTCATCATCCACATGTTCAGCTAGCCTTACCCGATGATGATGATGATGATGACACAGCACCAAGAGCGGAGCTGGAGAACTTGGTGAGATTTCAAAACAACGGGAAACTCGAGGGGGTTGGCAAATGGAAATTTAGATGTGTGTTCGGCGGCATCCTACTAGGATACTTCGTGAGTCGGGCACTCTCATACAACTTTCCTCTTGGAAACGGATATCGCACGACAGATCTTGCTGACCTACTCGTTGATTGCCATGTTCGACTCCACACTCATGGCGTCTAGTCATCCAGTTATCACATCGTACTTCCATGCCTCAAACTCTGCATCCTGGCTTTCGACTGCCTTTCTACTTACATCGACATCGCTACAACCGCTTATGGGTCGGCTGTCGGATACTTTTGGTCGCCGCCTACTGTATCTCACCGGTCTCGTGCTTCTTGCAGCGACGACGGCTTGGTGCGCTCTCGCACAGAGTGTAGGGAGCTTCATTGCTGCAAGAGCATTCTGTGGGATCGGTGCCGCTGGTGTGCTCTCCATGGGTAACGTCATGACCAACGATCTTGTCAGTATCGAAATCAGAGGAACCTACCAGGCCTATATAAACCTCTTCTACGGCGGCGGCTCAGCATGTGGTGCCGCATTTGGCGGTTATTTGTGCGACAAACTAGGATGGCGGATGACTTTTGCGATTCAGATTCCCATCCTCCTGGTCCTTTTACTCAACGCTATCTTTACAACACCGTCTTCGCTCGGACCTAACCTAGCCAAACGGTCAGGACTGGGTATCCGAGATTCTATGAAAGGGTTCGACGTTGCTGGGTCTTTTCTATTAGCAAGTTCCGTTGCATTTTTAATCCTAGGGCTCAATCTAGGAGGCAACATCTACCCATGGAAGCACCCCATCGTCATCGCTTCACTCATTGTTGCCGTCATTTCTGGGGCCATTCTCATCAGAGTCGAGTCAGGAGCAGCAAGAGCAGTAATGCCTCTCCCAATGCTCTTCAGCAAACCGCGAGGGAACCTCGTCTTCAACAATTTCTTCGCCCAAATCGGAATGAACACGATCCTCTTCAACGCACCTCTCTACTTCCAAGCGGTCAAACTCGAAAGCGCATCCGTTTCTGGCTTTCGTCTTGCAGGGCCATCCGTCGCCCTCACCATCTGTGGCGTCTCAGCAGGCTTTATCATGACAGCTACTGGGCGCATGAAATGGCTCATCGCTGTGGGCTCTCTGAGTATGCTTGTAGGAGCCACATGTCTCTCTTCAATGTGGGATGATATTCCAACATGGCTTGCGACCATGTTCCTTGTGCCTTCGAGTCTTGGACAGGGTTTGAGTTTCCCAGCTACGAGCCTTGCGGTACTTGCGACAAGTTCACAAGAGGATCAGGCTGTCATGACGAGTACGTTGATTCTGTGGCGCAGTTTAGGCATTGTGATGGGCGTTTCGTTCAGTAGTTTGATACTGCAGAACGCCTTGACGGAGTATCTGGAGCAACTCGTCACCGGTCACAACAAGGCTAAGGTTCGTACCACAATCTCGCCTGCAACTGCGGAACTATCATCCAATGTCTGCTTAGTATCATTACGTCTTCTCGAGACTGTCATTGCGGCCAAGCTGCGGACCCCCAGCATCTCACACTTTGCCTCATCTTACACATTCCCGACATCTGTTGTCCCGTCTCTTCTTGTCCGTCTTGCGCAACAATTTGCAAGCCGTGAAACATGTCGTTCTTTCCCGATTCTAATGACAATTGCAGGTCATACAACGCGTCCGCAAGTCGGTCCGAAGCATCATCGACCTTGATCCGGAACATCAAAGCCAAGGTACGGACTTAGCACGCTACAACGTCACACTTGTATCGTCGATATACATACCCGTTTTACCAACTCTACACAGCCTCAGAAACTAACGACACCCAGTAATCGATGCGTACATGCAGAGTTTGCGCCTTGTCTTCATCTCGGCGATGGCCATGTTCGTCGTGGTCAATATATTGGTCTTTGCGATTGAATTGCCACACCTGAAGAAACGGAAGAGAAATGACGATGATGGCATGGAAAATGGTTCGTAATCTGCGGCGATCAGTCGGTGTCACACGTTCGGTGTTGCGCAGGCGGAACGGAGCGGCGGGGCTGTGCAAGATGGGATATTGGGGGCGAACGACGGCTCCTAGGCGTATTTGGAATCTGCCTATGATCGTTGTAATAAGAGAGTAAACAGTATATCGATCTGAGCGCAATAGTATAGAGAAAGACAGAATATGCACGCAGTATGCAATGCCGCAAGGCGGACTTCACAAGATTTCATGTATATCATGAAAGCAGTTAGACATGTTCAGAACGGTTAGGGAAGTCAAGGCGCTATCGTCAAAGTTGTGTGGCAACGAATGCTATAGCACTGCGCCAAACTGAGCTTGCATACGTGATTTAGGGCCGGCACCCGCCTTGGAGTTGTGACTGCATGCTCGTGAAGCCATGTTGACTTTGTGAAATGGGTAGGGCGCATCTTCGCTCGTTGGTCATATGGCTTCTTCATTAGCTTATTGTCCAACAAACTCTCGACGAATCTGTCATTCGCGGGATTATGGCACCACGGCTTCAGGTACAAATCCTTTCTCATAGATCGAATTGTGTTGGTGAGGTTATACATTCTGGGCTACGCCATTCGCTTTTGAAACTCACGCGTCAATTTCCCCTGTGTTGGCCTGTCCTCAGCCTCCAGGCCAAGGTCGTGTTAGAAACAGCTAGAGCGGATTTCGCCGGGTTACGAACGGTCAGAGTAATGACGGTGGCGGCCAAGAACGGTAATTTATCGAAGTTGTTGAATGAAGTGAGGGAGGTGCCCCATTTTAATTTGCCTGGTTAGGAAAGGTGGCTGCCCATTTGTTGAAGATCCGATTTGTATTCAAAGGCAAAACACAATATACATGTTCTGAAACTCCGAAAAGCTCGACCAAGATAATGCACATACGACAAAGCCGTGCGTACTTAATAATACCATGGAGTGCAATATCGAAACCGCAAACGAACAAAGATTGACATTTATCAAAAACAGTGCTCAACCAAATCAACAGTCCCAGGAAAGCGTGCCCGTCTCACCGAGATGGCGAATTATGGCCTCGCTAACGGCTTCTGCGTGGTCGAGTAGTCAAGGCCTTGAAGTTTTGAGGCACTACAGTCCAACCGGGGGTGGGAACTTCAAGGTTGTTGATGCTGTGCGATATCGTATCTTGTGGGAAGATGCGATGCGCGATGTCTAATTCTAGAACAGAAGCAAAAGTCTCCGAAGCAGAGATACTATTTCGATATCTTTGCGAATAGATTGGTCGCTTTATGGGGGTTGGACATGGAACCTATTTTTGGACCGAGCGTGAAGTACGGGGGGCCGACAAGGACATAGGAACGGTCGACTTCAAAGTAGCTAGAAAATAGGGCTCAAGGCCAAAAGATTTGGAGCATGCCAAGCTGATAGGCCGGTTCCCGACGAAACCCAGTAGTATAACACGAATCTGAAGTTGTGGAAGAGCGAGGAGATGTTCCATATTCGTTGAGAAACTGCTGACACGCCTTGTCGTTTGACTTGTTTCTTCTCATGATTAAGCGAACCAGTCGTAGTTTGGTTTCCGTACAAGATACGGCATCGGGTTTTGTGGCGCGCACGTCGATTGGGTGGGATAGGTAGAGAAGCGCTTAGTAAACGCCAGTCCACTGTTTGCGGTGCTGCACATCGTACAACTAGAGGTAAATGCATCTCAGATTAGACCAGCCGGGTACGCATTGGGTCAACTTTGCAAGTTGAATAGAGTTGATGTGCTTTCGAGGGACCGCCGGGAAACAAACCAATGGTAGCGTTGGCATTAAAGAACACGCGGAAACCGGCAGAGGGAAATATAGCATTACGTCGTGTTGTTCTTAGAGGGTGAGAGCAGAGAGAGTGGTACTGGTAGTACGGGGTTCGTCCACGGCCCAAGGTCGCAGAAAAGGTCATCTGCTGCAGCATTGGCGATCCTCTGTGTGGCAAGCCTCAAACTGGAAGCTTGAGTCAAGCTTAGCCGCCATAGATTAGCAATTGATTGAGGGCAATCGGGTGATCTGCAGACGACGCTGTCCGCAGAGGAAACCCAAAATATCCGCCTCGAGTTCTCTGATACTGAAGCAATGCTGGATACCAAGAGGCAGGGTAGGTTTTGCGACAGTCAATGCTGAATACGACAGCCTCTGACGCATAATGAACAAAAGGTGACTTGGACGCGGGAGATGCGCCTGGTGGTCTTGCACGACGCAGCCAAGGCTTTGCGCTCTTGGCTTCATTGGAGATTCACGTTTTCCTCCATGCGGCGCTATGGCTATGATGGTCAGGCGAGCGACAAGTGGATGGCTAGTGATTAATAAGATATAGTCGCCCAGAATGTCGCCCGAGGGTATGCTAGTGGTGATTAAATGGGGCGGGAAAGGGGCGGCCAGTTGAAGCAGGAACATGTGTTATTGTTGGGTGCTGGTCCCAATGGACGAGTCTTGGCCGAGCACAGGGGAAAAAAAGAGACGAGAGAAAAGTCGTCGCTATAGCTGGGTGATGACGCTTTGACACGGCGCCGTGGGCGTAATCTTGGCTTCATCTCCATGGTCGTCGGAGGCAGCTCATTTGGGAATGCAGCCTGGTGAGGCGCTTGTTGTATTGTTCGCCCTCGTTGCTAAGGAGACGACGGCAACGAAAATGAAAACGACAACGACGTCGACGACATGGCAGGCTGCACTCGTAGATGGCTGCGGGAGGTGAAACGGAAGATGCGATCGCGGGCAGGGGGCAACATGAGCCTAATGAGGCACAAAGGCCGCCAAATGTGAATGTGCACTTAGCCGCTAGCCTGCATGCGGACAAGGCCTGCCAAGGAGGGCTGTGTAGGCCCCGAGGGCTTGGAAGCATCGTCTACAAACAAGACGTTCTCGGTCTGGTTGCGCTGGCCGCCCCAGTGCCTTCGTCTCCTCCCCTGCCACCCAAACCAACAGTCGATAACTTGGAGCACCCCTCGGTGGCCTCGTCTTTCCTTGCCGCATCTCCTAATTGCCTCTCTCCCATCTGGTACCTGGGTACACTGGACTGTCCATAGCCACAGCCTCGACCTCAACCACGAATGAGCATGCGCAGCGCCGGACACTGCCACAATCTGTCCAGCACCAGACCGCTGTTCAGCTTCACCGTGTCCAGTTCGCCTCCTTCCACGACGTCTCCCAAGACCCCATCCAACGGTTCCTGGTAAGCTCCCCTACGAACGGAGACGCGCACACCCAGCGAGTGAAGTCGTGGCGCAGCTGGCAAACGACGGCAGGCGCGAAGACGTGTACTGACTAGCGGTTTGCTCTAGACTCTGGTACATGTCCATTGCAGAGACAGCTCAGTCGCTTCTTACCTCGTTCTGCATCAACGCGCAACCGTGGACGGGAGTCGGCAAGAAGGACGCTCAGCCTCGAAACTCGCCCCAGCTTCCTTCCCTAACCTAGCCTTTAATAACCTGCGTGCACATTCCGCATGCAGCACTTCTCCTAGCCCGCAGAGCTCACCGGAACACGCCTCAGCTCACTGCACCATCCCTACGACTCGTATCCATCGCCGCCTGCCCAACACACAGCCTCGCCCTCTGACAATACCCGCAAGGCTACCACCATGGCCGACGACAGGCATACTCCCTCACCGGGCCCTTTACGACCACGGGCGCCCACCATCACCATCGACACATCCGCTACCAACGACATGAATATGGGAGAATCAGTACCTCTTGGAGAATTACAAGATGATAATAATAGGGCATCAACACAATCCAACGCGGATAATATCTCACCGACGCATACAAGGCAGCCGTCACAGGAGCTGCGCAATGTGAGCTCCTTCGATAGTAAAGAGAGTAGACCAACGAGCCCTCATAATGTCTCGTCGCCAGTTCAGGGATGGAATAACGCGGGCCTATTGAGTGTGCCAGGTGCCCGCTCTCGAGGAAACTCGATGGACTCTGCGACCGAGAATGGAGAGTCTAATTCTAGTGGTACCTATGTCACATCTACCAACGGCGATCACCTCAGAGGAGAGATGGCCCCGACTGAGATTATGAACGCTAAAGATGCCTTGAAGCCCGATCCTGGCACAGAAGCAGACTTCCAAGTCGAGAACAACAAGTTTGCTTTTACGCCTGGCCATCTAGGAAAGCTGTACAATCCGAAAAGTCTTAGTGCCTTTTACGCCCTCGGAGGACTTGACGGCATTGAAAAGGGTCTTAGGACTGATAGGAGGGCTGGTTTGAGCGTCGACGAGCAGCACCTAGACGGCGCAGTGACTTTTGAGGAAGCTACCACGGCTAGCACGACACAGACCTCCCCCAAAATCGCATCTAATGGCGTTGGAACCACTGATCCCACGCCTACCGGAGAAAACACCTTTGCGGATCGGAAACGCGTCTACAGCGACAACAGGCTCCCTGTTCGTAAGCCCAAAAACATCTTCCAGTTAGCATGGATGGCCTACAACGACAAGGTTTTGCTTTTACTGACTGCGGCGGCCATCATCTCACTTGCACTTGGTTTATACCAAACTTTCGGGGTCAAACATAAGCCTGGCGAGCCGAAAGTCGAGTGGATTGAAGGTGTCGCCATTATTGTCGCCATTGTGATTGTCGTCGTCGTCGGTGCTGCGAATGACTGGCAGAAAGAACGTCAGTTTGTCAAGCTTAACCGGAAGAAGGAAGACCGAACGATCAAGGTCGTTAGGTCAGGAAAGACGCGCGAGATTTCCGTCTATGATGTCTTTGTTGGCGACGTTGTCAATCTGGAACCTGGAGACATGATACCTGTCGACGGTATCCTCATCCAAGGTCACGGTATCAAGTGTGACGAGTCCTCGGCTACCGGTGAATCTGACCTGCTCAAGAAGACGCCTGGAGATGATGCCTTCAAGGCCATCGAGAGGCACGATAATCTGAAGAAAGTTGATCCCTTCATTCTTTCTGGTGCAAAAGTCTCGGAAGGCGTAGGATCATTTCTCGTCACCGCTACCGGTATCAACTCAAGCTACGGAAAAACCATGATGTCTCTGCGCGAGGACAGCGAAGTCACTCCGTTGCAGTCCAAGTTGAATGTACTCGCCACATACATTGCCAAACTCGGTGGAGCAGCTGCCTTGTTACTCTTCGTTGTTCTCTTCATCGAGTTTCTCGTTGGCCTCAAGAGTAGTGGTGCTACGCCTGCGGAAAAGGGCCAGAACTTCCTTGACATTCTCATTGTTGCCATTACCGTTATTGTCGTCGCCGTTCCTGAGGGTCTACCTCTCGCTGTCACCCTCGCGTTGGCCTTCGCTACTACCCGCATGCTCAAGGACAACAACCTAGTCCGACTGCTCCGATCCTGCGAAACCATGGGAAACGCAACGACCATTTGCTCCGACAAGACGGGTACACTGACGCAAAACAAAATGACAGTCGTTGCTGGCTCGCTTGGGACAGCCCTCCGCTTTGGAGATCACAAGTTGAAGGCTTCTGGAGCACCTACTCCTATAGACGACGGCAACAAGGGTCAGGATGTTGTGGAGTCGCCCGTGGAAAACCCCAATGACGTATCGGCGACCGAGTTCGTGTCTACTATCAGCAGAGAAGTCAAAGATATCCTAGAACAATCCATCATCCAGAATACGACTGCCTTTGAAGGCGAGACAGGAGGACCTGATCCCTTCATCGGCTCCAAGACCGAAACCGCCCTTCTCGGCTTTGCACGCGATCACATGGGCATGGGCAGCGTTGGTCAGGAGCGCTCTAATGCCAATATCGTTCAGGTGATTCCCTTCGACTCGGCAATCAAGTGCTCAGCAGCCGTTGCAAAACTCAATGATGGCCGTTACCGAATGTACGTCAAAGGTGCTTCCGAGATCCTTTTAGGCAAGTGCGACAAGATTGTCACCGATGCAGCCAAAGAGCTCAAGGAAGCCCCCATGACTGAGGACAACCGCGAGGCGCTCGAACAAATCATTACTACATACGCCTCCCGATCACTACGCACTATTGGTCTCATCTACCGCGACTTCGAGAGCTGGCCACCGACCGATTCGCGCAAGAATGAAGATGACCCGAGTCAAGCCATTTTCGAAGACATTTTCAATAAAATGACCTTCCTAGCTGTTGTTGGTATTCAGGATCCGCTACGAGACAGTGTTCGTGAAGCTGTCAAGGACTGCCAGCATGCCGGAGTTTACGTCCGCATGGTTACCGGTGACAACGTCATGACAGCCAAGGCTATTGCCGAAGACTGCGGTATTCTTGTTCCTGGCGGTGTTGTCATGGAAGGCCCTACCTTCCGCAAGTTGTCGAAGAGGGACATGGATGCCGTGATTCCCAAGCTTTGTGTTCTTGCCCGGTCCAGTCCGGAGGATAAGCGCAAGCTCGTCAAACGCCTCAAAGAGCTCGGCGAGACGGTTGCAGTTACCGGTGACGGCACAAACGATGCTCCAGCACTCAAGACCGCCGATGTCGGTTTCTCTATGGGTATCGCTGGTACTGAGGTTGCTAAAGAAGCATCCGCTATTATCCTTATGGACGACAACTTTGCATCTATTGTCAAGGCCCTTCTTTGGGGACGTGCTGTGAACGACGCTGTTAAGAAGTTCTTGCAGTTCCAAATCACAGTAAACATTACCGCTGTCATGCTCACGTTCGTCTCGGCCGTCTCCAGCAAAGACCAAACCTCCGTTCTTACTGCCGTTCAGCTTCTCTGGGTCAATCTTATCATGGACACGTTCGCCGCTTTGGCTCTTGCGACCGATCCTCCTACTCGAAGCCTTCTCGATCGAAAGCCAGATCCCAAGTCAGCTCCTCTGATTACGTTGAGAATGTGGAAGATGATCATCGGCCAGGCCATCTACCAGCTTGTAGTTACCTTCATCCTCTACTTTGCCGGCGAATCCATCCTATCTTACCACAGTGACCGAGAGAAGGAGCAATTGCCTGCTCTCGTCTTCAACACCTTTGTCTGGATGCAGATTTTCAACGCTCTGAACAATCGCCGCCTCGATAACCGCTTCAATGTCTTCGAGGGCATTACCCACAACTGGTTCTTCATTGTCATTCTGCTCATCATGATTGGTGGACAGACCATGATTATCTTCGTTGGTGGTGTCGCATTCTCCGTGACCAGGCTTAACGGAGCTCAATGGGGATACTCGATAGTCTTGGGTTTCCTCTCCCTCCCCGTAGGTGTGATTGTTCGGTTGATTCCCGACGAGCTCATTGAGAAGTGCATTCCCAACTTCTTCAAGCGCAAGCGCACTCCAGAAGTGGTCGTGTCCGATGAAGATTATCAATGGAATCCGGGTATGCTGGAAATTCGCGACGAACTTGCCTTCCTCCGCAAAGTCCGTGGCGGCCGCCTCAGCAGCCTCAAGTTCAAAGTACAACACCCTAAAGAGATCTTCACCAGGTCACGATCGAGCCATTCGCTGCCCGGCACTCCGAACAACGGCGTCCAACAAGACGAAGGTTCGCCTGCTCCTCCTACACCCAACAGCCGCCGCCGCGGAAGATCTCGCTCCAACTCCGCCTTTGGTCCTGCAACTGTTATGGCTGGTATTGTTGCAGGCAGTGTAGCCGGTTGGTCGCCGATTGACCGTGGCACTGGTGACAACGACTCCCTCAAATTCGGTCGCAACATTACCAAGCAAGACATGGAAGCGCAAGAAGGTGTTGAAGTGCATCCTGACACGAAATCGACTGATCAAATCTTGGCTTCTAGTCCTCACGACTACCGCGGTCCCCCGAGCCAGAACACGGAGACCACGCCTAATTTCGTAGTAGGACCTTTCGCCGGCGAGTCGAGCGACAAGTCAAGATAATTTTCAGGCGTTCTCCTTTTTCTGCCTACATCGCATCACCACCACCACATCTGATTTCCTTTTGTCTTTCTTTCTTTCCCAGTACTGTATATTGCAATGCATGGCAAATGGCGTTTTCGGAGTACCAAGAACAGAACATGGAACAGCAGAGGAGAGCATTTCAGGCTTCTATAATACGTTTGCCACCGCTGTAAATACCCCTACCTCTCCTGCCGTATCTCCTGGTGCTGGTGGCTTCTTGTGAAGCTCGCTCGCTGTATTACTCAAGTCTTTTAAGTTTCGTGCGATAGAGAATGAGAAAGCGGGTTTGTGGGGTTTCTCTTCTTCGAGCGAGGCTGGTGCGATGGAGCAATGGGTTCGAGTGAGCATTTGATACCTTTATCGTTAATTGTTTTAAAAGCCATCAAAAAGCTCAAACTTATACTTATCCATCCTTCCATGAGTGGATATGTGTTCGTCATTCTATTCCTACTGATAACAGGCATTGGTGACTTCAATTGGCATCTTCAATTGAACGGAATGGGCAATTGCCCTCCCAACTTCAAACCACGCAATCGAAGTGTGTCAAATGGAGGAGGGTGTTGTTCATTCTCGGCTCATATGCACCCAGGTATTCCTCGGCTCGCGTCGGATTAACGACGTCATATTAGAAATCGTACTTGGCATCAATGGCGACACTTTTGAGTGACCAGAACTGTAAAATCTGCCCTTGATTGACTTCCTCTTACACCACAATCTTTACCTTTGGTTTACACGATTTCCACGATTCAACTTGATTAACTCACAATGGCTCCACATGTGCTTCTCATAGGAGCTCACGGGAAAATCGCTCAGCTCTTGACTCCTCTTTTGCTAGCTAAATCTTGGAATGTCACTGGCATGATCCGCACCGCTGAGCAAAAGGCCACCATTGAGAAGCTCGGGCAAGGGCAGCCGGGTAAACTAAGCGTACTCGTCAGCAGCGTTGCGGATGTGAAGAGCGAGGCCGATGCGAAGAAGATTCTAGATCAAGTCAAGCCAGATTGGGTGGTTTGGAGTGCTGGTATGTTATAGTGCACGCTCTTTCGTTGCTCATCGATTTCTTGGCTGAAGCAACATCATGAACTGCGTCGGCTAATTGTTATTAGGCGCTGGGGGCAAAGGAGGTCCCGAGATGACGTTTGCCGTTGACCGCGATGCGGCCATCTCGTTTACAAAAGCGAGCACCCACACACCAAGCATCAAGAAATTTCTCACAGTCTCATATCTCGCCTCTCGCCGAAGCAGGCCCTCATGGTGGTCAGACAAAGATTGGGAGGCCGCCCAAAACATTAACAACGAAGTATTGCCCAATTACTATAAAGCTAAAGTCGCTGCCGACGAAGTTCTGACCATTCTCTCAAAAGAGCGCAACGATAATGAGGCGAGAGATTCTGTTCCTGTCAAAGAGCGCTTCACTGGGATCAGTCTCCGACCCGGAACACTGACTGATGAGAAGGCAGGTGGCGTCAAGGTTGGGAAGATTGGGGTTGGGGATAAGACAAGCCGCGCTACAGTTGCGGGGGCTATTGTGGCAGCCTTGGAAACTGAGGGTGCGAAGGGCTGGATCGACATTATCGATGGGCGTGATGATGTTAGTACGGCGATTCAGCAGCTAACCAAAGAAGGCATGGATTCCGTAGATGAGGAGGACTTAGAGACGATGATAGAGAATATCGCCAAGTTGTGAGGGTCGCGCTGAACACATACATCGTGACATTAGACTAAATCGACGAAAGGTACGCACACGAAAGCATGTGAGACTAGAGCCAGTATAGCAGCCCTGGAGTATGAATTGACACCTAACATGACATCTTAACTTTATGCTTCGATTGTTAACATTATTTCCCCATCAGAATCTTCATCTCTTCCTCAATTATCTTCACTTTCAGGCACAGAGGGACTACGTTTCAGTAGTAATGTATAATCAGACACTGTACCTTACTCGGTCTGATTAGTGGGGGCCCGTTAGTCAAGACAGAAAGAGCTTAGTCACTCGAAATCTAGCGTCTTGGCGTCATGCGGTACCTCGGGCTCCCGGCTAGTGATTTGAACTCATCGGCCGCAACTTACATCATCTCAAAGCCTTAGATATCAACATTACTGGTTATTCATACCGAACCTCTATCACAAATCAGATTATTGCTGAGTATCGATCCTCTGCTTCACCTAAAACGATGACTATCCCACGCTTGGGCTACGAGATTGAGCAAGCCATGTGAAGGGGTCTCTGGAGAAAGCTAACACCCATCCTCTCAACATCAGGGACGAGATGCCCAAATCCGTGTCAAACATCAAGCAGGCTAGGGTGCAGAAAATATGCACCTTATGGACCCATGATGATAACTTTTCGAGGGATGACATTGTGTTCAACGAAGAGAAGTTTCCTGAGCTCCCCACAACACCCGGATCATTACTTCAAATTGTATCCATAAACTCTGGTACTGCTGTCCGGGATTTCCAATCGACTCATGAGAGCACACAGAATGATACAGCGCGAGCGAAACCGGAGAGTGCTGGCAGGGACACGAATGCCGATAGCCATGCGAAGAGGACCCGCCGAGGATCCACCACGATAACTGTTGATGAAAACGGTTCAACTATTCCTGGCGGACGCGATATCGATACCGAAAAGGCGTATGTGTTTGTCTCCAAAGCCCTCCCCATGGACCTTAAATCCAAGCACCCAAATTTACAGGTAAGTTATGCTTGATAAGGGACCTTTGCATTAGATTTGACCTGTGATATAGGTTTCGATTGCTGAGAGGATAGCGAAAGTGTTCGGGTTTCGTAATCGAATGCAAGTCGTAGTGACAGAGGTATGCAACATAGTTTCCAAATATGGTTCAGGAGTTGACAAATCAAGGCCGATGAAGACCGACATGAAGCCCACCATGTAGAACTAGTCTTTCGCGACGAATATCTCGCACGCGCAGACATGTGGCGTATGGCGATCTCCGAGCTCAGTAAACGAACTGTTTATCGGAACCAAAAGTTGCTATTCATGGGCACGATCAAAGCAACCATCAAGCACATTTACATCGACGGGCAGTCCGTCCACTCCGGTTATTTCTCGCCTAAAACAAAACCCGTATTTCGCAGCGAGTCCGCACGATATGTTCTATTCATCCAAATGTCTCGGGAAATGTGGGATTTTGACGCTGAAGGCGCCGGCGAAATCATGTTCAACAAGGTCGTCAGTGGTTTCCTACCAGATCTGTTCAAAAGATGGTCAAAGATCAATGCAAGACATGTAATCACGATCATCCTCTTTACGCGGATGCAGTACGATGGCGAGTCTCTGTCCGATCGCCCCGATGACACGACGAGTCATATCTATTCGGGATCTCAATCCGGAACATTTAGAGACTACTACCGAGTTGTCGTTAGCGATATGGCTAGCGGTGACTGGATCAACATTCTATATCAGCTAAAGAAGGAATTCCGGACGTTTCTTCGAGAGGTGTCATTGGTTACCAAATCTATAAATCAGACATCAAAATGTGAGAAAGGAGAACACTCGGTATCAGACACTATCGTTGCTGGGCAGCCGTCTCCTGCTAGTCAAGGAAATATCCTCGAGGCAATCAACCTGGCTGCATCTCAATTTGCGAAGGACTACATCGATCGTGATCTCGTTCGAACAGGTATATCTATTATAGTTGTCACTCCAGGAACTGGCGTCTTCGAAGTCGATTACAACATGCTCAAACTGACCACGGATACTTTGATAGGCTCGGGGATAGGCATTGACTTGGTATGTCTGTCGCCGATGCCACTTCACTCTGTACCCCTGTTCAAATACCGTACGCCTCGCTCAATATCAAACTTAGAGGCTATGCAGAGCGAAGAGAGGCGCGACCCAACAATGGAGTACATGGGAAAGGAAGACGATAAAACACCTCGACAGCATCAACCCAATTTCGGCTCTATGTTACGCACATCATCTGTACAGCTAGGTGGAAATTTGATACAAGATCCAACTCTCTCTTCTTTAGATGCACCAGATGACTGGAGATTCGCGATGCCTTACTGGGTCGACGTGTCATTCTGGTCCGGGACATCTGAAGAGATCTTGGAACTGACGAAGCCAAGGAAGGCTGACAAAATTGTCAAGAAATCGCGCAAGAAGGGTAGGATCTTTGCTCTCCGTTGCCGTCTTTATGAATTACAAATGATGGGCGTCATGGAAAATGAGTTGGGCGATATCTCTATCCCTTATCTGGAAGAAGATCCCATGTATCCACATTACTTGCGCCCAGCTTTCGAACACCCTCAGAACAAGAGCCATAGCAAGGCCCCTTTACTGAAGACTTCAACGATTGCGACAGGCTCCTATTCGTCCGGGGGTGATAAGGATTATAGCGATGACCAGCTTGACGAGAGTAGGACGGCCCACAAAACCTGGATGGAGGCTTATGACGACGGAGTATTCTCTCTTCTTATAGACAGACCCTCGGAAACCGAGCAGCTTCAAGTAGATCGGCGAAGGTCAAGTGCCCATCTGTCTAGTGGTTCCGCAGGACTATCTAGAGGATCATATCTATCAGCTTCCTTCCGCAGCATGGCACCTTCCTTTGGCAAGAACGCCCGGCCAGCATTGGATGCTACCTATCCGCAACTAATGCGTGAAACGTCGAGAGATCTTGAGAGTCACTCTTCACGAGACAGTGCATATCGGCTTTCAGAGAGCAAGGTACAGCTTGCCCCACGAGCCGACGTCCTACAACGACAGAAAACTCTAGCGAAGAATAGTGTCGATGTTGGTCGTTCAAGTTTGCATCAGCGAGGTACATCGGAAGACTCGGAAGATCAACCAAAGTCTCTACGATACACCCCAAGACAATCTCCAGCTCCCAGTCGAGTGCCGTCCCCTCCAAGGCGGGCTGGTCTTCCTTCTATATCTAGTACTAGTAGTGTACCATTAGTCACAGCCGAAGTGAACAGGAGGCCATCGAATTGGTTTCTCAGACAGATCAGCTTCGGTGGGAAAGCAGCAGCAGCAAAGCCAACCATTGCAGATGCAACTATTGACATAAGCCAGGGCAAAGTGAAGCCTGCGATGTTGACTGTTGAGAAGAATCAAAAGGGCGCCATTGCCGAAAGGTTAGCAAGTACACGACTGACTACCACGGAGAAACCCTCTCAGCCCATTGCAATCAGAACTGTGTCGCGGGTGGGCCCTGCTACTGCCGAGTCGCTTTCTTCTGACCAAGCGAGCCGATCTGTCGAGACCGTCAGGGGTATACAGCCCAGACAGGCGTCTATACCCTCCCATCCTGGTTCCGTTATGAAGGATCCAGGGTCTACGTTCCTCCTCGCTGGGGCGCGAGCACTAGGTGACTATATTGGGCCCAAACCAGATCTATCCTCCAGTAGCGGTGCAAAAGAAGTCCCCCGGACGTTGTCGCCAACGAGCGCGATCGCACCGTGGGCAGTTCTAGTGAACCCTTGCAATCCCAAGAAGAACAGCATCAACTCTAAGAACCAATACCGACGCTGGCATCACGTCTTTCCAAGAGCTCTGAGAACGGGTACGATGAAATGGAGATCGCTTTGCTCACCTGCGGCCGTGCCGTTAACCCACGAGTGGTTCCCTACAGCCGATCAGGTGGCAACAGAATATAATGAGAGCCCTTACAAAATCACTCAAAATGATGACGACGATATGCTAGAAGCCCCTAAGAGTAGAGAGGCTTTGATAAAAGAACTTATTGCCTTTCGGCTCTCCCATGGCTTTCAGGTTGTTGTCGGTTCATCTGTCGCAGAATTTTCAGGAAGACATGAGAAGACTCTAGCGAGCATTTTAGACCCCGAGTACATGTCAACTGACGGAGATACTGTCTTCATGAGCGTAGGCAACAGCATCCACCAATTGGTGTGCATGGCCGGAGGGGAGGTAGAGGTGCGTCGATACAATCGAAAGCCTATCACGGCTCTGGAGTCGTCTGCTGGCATTGACACACCGTTCCCGTATAGGCCGTACATTCGCACAGCGTTTGAACAAACTTACGACCCACGGGATGTCATCTTGCGACCTCCGCGAAAAGAGTATAACTGGAATTTCATCGACACATTTTTGGCAGGTTATCACGATGAATTATCCGAAATTTTACGTTTTTGGAGAGCTCGATTTGTCTTGATCCCTGTCGAAATACCAACTGTAAATCGACGGCCACTACCCATGCTTACCGAAGATTCCGAAGAAGAGATTCGTCTAGAAGGTATCAGGAAGTTGACCCAGGTGTGGCAGAAGTTCCGCTATGTTCCCCCAGAGGAACGCTACGTTCAGCCTGCAACCTCGACAAAGCAAAAGGATCCCAATCCGCTTGCTATCGAGTACCACACCCGGGATCCTTCGGCGATTATAGCAGCTGGCCCTGACCCTGGATTGTTCGATGATGCCGATAGTGAGTTTCAGGCCTCCCTCTTCTCCGATGCAGAGAAGCATCATACGTCGAATATCGATATCAAGAAGCTTGCCGAGGATTTGCAGGGCGAGAAGGGTATTCAAATGTTGGATCGGCGCTGGCATTGGAAGTTACACTATAACTGTTTCCTTGGATTCGACCTCACAAACTGGCTATTATCCAACTTCAAGGATATCGAGACCCGTGATGAGGCGATAGCGCTTGGAAACGAGCTTATGATCAAAGGCCTATTTCAACATGTGCATAGGAGACACCAGTTCCGTGACGGAAACTTCTTTTTTCAGATTGCAGCAGAGTACAGAGCTCCTCGACCAGAGTCACGGATGGGCTGGTTCGGTATGCGTAAGACAGACAAGTCGGTCCCTTCGACCCCACTAACAGAAGTACCTCGAACATCCCCTCTTGCGACAAAGAGCACCAAGTCTCGGCCTAGTACAGGCGACTCTTCGTCCAGTAACTCTGGTTCGATACAGGAGGGCGGGAGGACACCTACCCATGCTGGCAGTCCCAAGCGCCAGGTCGTCTTGTCGCGCGTCATGCGGTACGATGTGGACCCTCGCAAACGGTCATATCGCCCGGAAATCATCTCACTACACTACGATCGTCTCCACAACCCTGATAATTGCTACCACATTCGCATCGATTGGATGAATGTTACCGCGAAACTAATTGAAGACGCGATTGTCACCTGGGCTACCAGTGTTGAGAAATATGGCCTGAAGCTCGTCGAAGTCCCTATGGCTGAGGTTGCGAACATAGTCGACCACCATCCTTTTCGATCGCCCTACTCGGTCAAACTTGCACTGCAGCCTCCCGAGCCTCAACCTGAAGCCGTCTGGGATGCAGCACATCTGTCTCCACAGTACTCAAAGACGGATAAGTTCGCATACCAGAAAGCTTTGTTACGAAAATTGAATTTTGTACTCGACGTGGAAGCCGCTAGTGCGTTTCCTTCTGACGTGGAAGTCACTTACTCTTGGGGTAACCCAGATTACAAGTTCACTCAGTTTATCCACCGTAGCGGAACTCTACTTGTGCAGATTACAGACGATGGTAATTTTATATTGCTCGCCAATCGTCTGGCGCATAATCGCGCAAAGGATAACAGCAGAATCCGACAAGTAGATCCGTATGAGCATAAAAAGGCAACAGCAGACGGCAGTCAAAGCAGTAGGCTACCGTCCACACCCGCTGAGCGCGCGAACCCACATCGAAGCCCGTTTGCTAGTCCTCTTACACGACCTGTCCAGGACTCGAGTCTTTTACACACCGCTCTAGCCTTGCAGGAGAAGCCGCAAGCGGTTACGATACCACTTGCAAACGCAACAATGGTAACGCCAGAGCAAGTCAAAGACGAGTTCGAAGCGTTTTGCTCAAACGCAGGTCTGCTTTCGGCTTTTTACAACGAAGCTTTCAAACAAACTCCTTCGCCCTCACCTCGCAGTCTTCCGGTACTGGATGATAAAATACCAATTCTAGGACTGCCACCTGCAATCAGTATTCGCGAAGCTAGTCCAGCGAATACTGGATGGATGAGTTCGCCACTGATGGGGAGAGGTGAGCGCGGGTTTGCTGGTGGGGTGTCTGAAATGAACATTGGCACGCCGAGTGGCATTGCTGCTCGAAGGCAGGGGAGCGAGGGCAGTACGTCGACTCTGGGGAAAAGAGGGAGTATTGCGGACACGATTGGGGAAAATTCACCCAAAAGGCAAGATAGTCAGGGGAGTTCAGGCGGTGCCACCTAGCATGCGGGTACAGTTGAAGTCGATGGGTTGTCTGAGTTGGGTCTAGAGTGAAGTTTTCTGTTGCAGTCTGGAATCTCGGCGTTGGGTATGAAGACACATTTGTATGTATTCTTGAGCTCCTTGTGCTCGTTGGTCTTGCATTCTGCAGGACGAAAAACACAACTGCTCGCCCGGGGCGTTCTGCTTACCGGGGTCAACAAGTCCTTGTACTCCAAGTAGTTGTCTGTACGACGATGGGAATTCATGTAGTATTGCCTTGACGTTGTAAATTGTTATCAGCCGACACGAGAAATCATGGTTCGTAATCAACGTCAGCCTCATGCCTACCAAATTGTCGGATTTGGTGCTCGTGCCGTGTTCGGAATAGCACATGGTAGATGAGTTGGTGGAATCTCTGCTGGTGGCTTTGGATGATTTGAGCTTGGCTAGGAGGGCCGGCCATGTCACAGTGAGCGTCGGGCGAAACTACCCAATAACGTGAGCCAGTGAAGACTGAGGAGTGAAGACTGAGGAGTGAAGACTGAGGAGTGAAGACTGAGGAGTGAAGACTGAGGAGTGAAGACTGAGGAGTGAAGACTGAGGAGTGAAGACTGAGGAGTGAAGACTGAGGAGTGAAGACTGAGGACTGATGAAGATTGAGCAAGTGAGAGCAAGCTTTGAATAGCAGTGTAAGCATTGCTATTCCATCTATCCTATCCTATCCTATCCTATCCTATCTTTCTAGCTAGGTAGGCTGATGCCCGGCACGTCGTTGGTCGATGCGCTTCCCCATGGGTCCTCACCGCCTTTCTCATCACTAAGCACCGCGGAACCGTCTTCGCTAGACACCACCAAGACTCCCCTCCACCTTGGACGACACGACGACCAACGCAGCCCACAAGACAACAGCGCGCCCCTCCTCCCACCCCTCGGCACGCGACCACACTCGAAAAGTGCCTATTCCTGCCTACTGCCTCGACAGTGCGCACTGGGGGTGATACGACGACAACGACGACGACCGCAAGCAGCCACTTTGGACGCAGGCACCGACTGGCTGCCATGGGTTATCCAGTCCGCCAGCACCTAGTTCGAGCCCTTCACATGCCCCACGGCTCTCTGCACCCCCAATAAGATCAGCAGCACGCCATCCTTCTCTGGATGGAGGAATGCGCCCGTTGCCAGACATGATCGGCCACCTCTTCAGCACCCGCAAGGCGGCGAGTGCGTCGCAGCCCCAACCCACGACTGTGCTGGACTCGGCCACGGAAGAGAGCCACACGCGACATTTGCTCTATCCTGAAACGAGCACCCTCTACCACGCCGACGGCCAGCCGTATCCCTTGCACGCCGCACCCTTGACCCCCGGGAGCGGCCATGACGGGCCTCTGCCTGAGATTGACCTCGACTACCCGCGCGACTGCCGCATCATCATCGCCCAGGATGAGACGCCCGCCATGCCCAAGGCGATTTTGTTCGACTCGAAGCCTGCCCCACCACGCGCCGCCTCTCCCCCACTGCCAAACACGCGGCCACGCACCTTTGGCGCCAGCAACGCTGTTGGTAGTCTTGGTCAACCCACCGCAGGCCCGACGACCTTGGGAACACTGCACGCGCGCACCTCGTCTCTCGTAACAGAGCCAACCGCACCCCCCTCGCCCACGGTCGGCGGCTTCACTCGCATACGCACCCGTGGTAGCTCCATTTCGTCCATGCCCAACATCGACGAGCATGCCCAAGTCCGGGCCAAGGCGCAGGCACGAGCCAAGGAGTCGACGGACCTGGCCAATGTCTGCCTCGATTGCATGTTTGGAAACCTGGCCATGAACTACAGAGGCAACTCGAACAAGATACACATTGTGCCACTAGATACCAAGCCAGCGGATGCTTCTCCCCTGAGTACCAGCGTACAGGACGCCACAAGCTCCCTAGGACGCGCCGAAGGTCTTCGTAGGAGAAGTAACCTCGCCAAGTCCTTCACGCCTGCAAACCTACCTCTGGACATCCCTCGACGCGATTACAACGACAGCGCACCCAAGGAGCCCAAGCGACGCACCATCTTCATCACACGCATGTTCTCTGTTACCTTCCCAGACGACGACCACGATGCCCGTACCCCAACCCCACAAAGCTCACTTCCAAAGGGCAGCGGCTTCCCCTTTCCTTCCACAACTAATAATTCAGCCGCGCCCAAGCCGCTGCCTTACCCCTCACACATTCGCAAGAGTCCCATGTACGCCATTACCATCATCCTCCATCTCCCCATATCGCACACTTCCTCGACCCTGCGACCCTCTTCTAGGGGTGCCAATATAAGACCTCCAGCTCACCTCTCTACTTCTGTCCCTGGCCAAGACTCGCTTGGTTCTTCCTTGGACTCAGACCGACGCGCGGGCTGGGCTTTTATTGATTCGAACCTCGGAGTCGAGTCCCTTTTATCATCGTCCATGAGCAGCGATGTTGATGACCGTGTGGACGTTGTGGGGCAACACTGGGATGTCATCATGCGCGCCCTCACTAGCCTGCAATATGTTGTCCAGGAGCGCATCTTTGCCCACTTCAAATCACCAGACGCCGTGTCTCCACCACAACTCCATCAACATCGGCACCAGCCTTCGCGCACCAGCCTCAGAGACGCATCCTTGCACCCAGCACGCAGGCCTTTGAAACTACAGCCAAACGCTCTCATGATGGATAAGGAGATACAAATTGCCGCGGAGCTTACTGGCAACCGTGTCGTCAGCGGCATGAGAATCCCTCGCGTTATGACAGGTCAGGGGAAATGGGGCGTCTGGCGGGAAGAAGCTAGATGGCTCGGTCGATGGGCCGGCCGTCGAGAGCAAAACTTCTTCTTCTTCAACCTGCTGACGGCATTTCTTGGGAACCACACCGAATGGCTCAACGTACTGGGTCCGAAATGGCACCGCAAGCGCCATCGCGAACAGCAGAAGGCGACCGCTGGCGAGAACCTGACAATTCCTAATCGTACTGTCATTGTGTCCCCTGACAAGATGGCTGCGCGGAGATTGATCTACCTGCTCGCGGCATTCTTACCACCTAGTGCACCCACTGTTGGCGAGAGTGCTTCCTTTATGCGTCCCAGTACTTCGACGTCGCTCCGTGCTTACTCTCAGTCTCCTCCCACCAATATGCCACCTTCAAGGAAGCAGTCATTGCGTCGTCAGATCAATCGACGACCGAAGGGTAAGCAGAGCATGACCAACATGCGGTTGCAGCCCTCACATCCTCAGAGCATTCATCATTCGCCCAACGACGCCTTGATCGAACGCTCCGAACCTGGAGTAATTGAGACACCTGATACAGCCAGGCCAGCTAATCACTCTCGTCGGTCTTCTGCGCACTCAATACGGTCAAGTCTCGTGATTCCGTCCATGTCTGACGGGCCAACTACCACAAAGAGCAGCATGTCTACTACATCAACTGCTACGCCTCAAACTGCAGTACCCGTTGCTCACTTTACGTTGCCTAGGACGAAGTCATCTGGACCCATGCCAGATCAAAGACCTGAGAGCAGTGATAGTCTGGCATCCGTAAATCTGATCCATACTCTGCAGAAAAGTGGCACGGGACAAACTAGTATAGCCAGCAACGACTCGAGCAACACCAGCCGCTGGAGCGGGTTCATGAACTTTTGGAGCGGCCGACGGTCATCATCCACCGATCAAAGTGACTATTTTCAGACAACAGACGATGGGGTGGGCTATCGTGGCCAAGAGCGGCCTCGATCTCAACTTGAGCAGATGGTGCAGGAACTCTCCATGGATCGCGTTTTTGAGGGCGATGGGTACGATTTTCCAAAGCTGAATCATGATATAAACGACAACAATCTGCCTGATGTGTATCCAATCGGCGGTTCTAGCGGTGTACCAGCATCGGCAGCACGCCCAATCCCTGAGCGACAGAGAACTTTTGATACTCCACTGAAGTTGTCAGTAAATGAGAAGGATGGTGTCATCGATGTCGATATACCCCTCCCTGATTTTGGATCTCCACTCCAATCCCCACTACTCGGAGGCTGTGGCTCCGCCTCTAGTCAACATGGCTCTAGTTTTGGCGAGTCCTCTATCCTTTCGATGCCGTACTGTGAGCCTGAGCAGCCCGTCAATGCCGCAGGGTGGTTGAGTCAATTCCACCCTGATTTTGCCGTCCAGGCCATCAAGCCCTACCAGGAGCTCGAGCGCGATGTCAAGCGGGCGATGAGTGCGGAACCGACGCCCCTCAACTCTGTCACCACTCCGAGCCTTGAATCAGGCCCGCTTGAGCGTTGGATTGATGTATGCTCGGCTCTCATCGCGGACACGGGCGCTTTTACTATTAAGCGCATCAGCTTGCGGCGTCTGGTCAAACTGATACCTACGCCGACGTATCAGCCTTCTGCAATGACTCCAGGTATTGCCGGAATGCCACCAGGCCGCTCACAGTATGGCAACCCTTATACTGCCGGCACTGTTGCACCTATGATGACTGAGGTGCATCTTGCTGAGAAGTTCATCGAAGAACCAATCATGGATTTTGATGCAACACTTATCGATAGTGTGGATCGTGTACTGGCACAGTCCGGCGAGGCTACTCGCGTCAATTTGACTGATTCGTCTCGATCAAACACCAGAAGAGGTAGGCGCGATACGCGGCCTGACACCGATGCTATCCCGCACGTAGAAGTGTCTCAGACTGACTGCAAGGGTGTCATCTTCGATGCATTGGAGTCGATTGTCAAGAAGGTCACTGCGGAGCGTAGCGGGAAGGATGAATTGAAAGAAGAGGACGAGAAGAAGTCCGTCAGGACAGTACAACCAAAAACCGCCACAGATTCCTCCCTCAAAGAAGGAATACGACGCTGGTTGACTCTAGTAGAGTAACGCCACGGTCCCTGGGGTGCTGCAGCTTCACTTCATCATCACGTTGTTCAAGTTCCAACCACCTCCATACCTTGCATGGTATATCGGGATCGTTAATTTCTTTTGCTGCAACTTAGCGGGCGTTGGCTGTTTTTGTTTTATTACATCTTGGAATCGACAGATTTACAGCAAGCAGCTGTAGATTCGCGCGATGAACCTTTCATTGGACATTGAGCCAGGGGAGACTGGTTGACGGAAGCTATAGAGAAGTGTGATGAGTATTGTCGGCGTGGCGAGAGGGCCAAGGGGATAATTGTGTCCCTTCTGAAAGGGTTCGACGAAAGGGGGAGCACTTGCATTTTGGAAGATACCATCTAGAGCGAGCGATGAATGTAGTGCGTTGTCCACTGTCACTCGAATGTTCCCACGTGCACAAGCAAAGCTGGTCTTTACAGGCGCGTTGGTCAGACCAGAGGTTTGTCAAGCTTTCCAATGCTGAGTAACCTTCGGAACGGTTCCACTACGTCGGAACGGCATTGAGCTATGACGAAAGCGGGGCGTGTTAAGCTCTCTCTCCATGAGGTGGGTGGGTAGCTAGCTCGCAATGACAGCTACATAAAAAGCACGACGCTTCCACATCGGCCGTTCCATCTTATGTTGTTTGCGACCTTGCGATTCGGAGTATTCTCAAATCACCTTACACGCTCGACCATTTCCACACGACCATTCTCTGCAACATCCACCGTAGCCATGGCCATTACGGATTGGGTCAAACCCAACGACAAGAGCGGCGAGTTCAAGAGACAGCAAAGTGTGTTCAGGAACTGGATCGAGAACAAGCCCGAGGCTGAATTCCCGGCCGAGAAAGGTCGATATCATCTCTACGTCTCATATGCATGCCCATGGGCACACCGGACGCTCATTGTGCGCGAGTTGAAGGGTCTCCAGGACATCATCTCATACAACAGCGTACACTGGCACATGGCGGAGAAGGGATGGCGGTTTGTGACATCGGATGAGAAACTACCTGGCGAGACAACACCGGACCCGCTGCACAAGGACTTTACCCATCTACGCGACATCTACTTCGAGCAGAACCCAGATTATGAGGGAAGGTTTACAGTGCCGACGCTTTATGACAAGAAGACAAACAGGATTGTGAGCAACGAGAGTAGTGAGATCATCAGGATGCTTTACTATGCCTTCGATGACCTAGTGGAGGACAAGTACAAGGGATTGGACTTGTTCCCTGAGAAGTTGAGAAAGGAAATTGAAGAGATGAACGACTGGGTGTATAACGACGTGAATAACGGCGTGTACAAGTCTGGGTTTGCTACGTAAGTCAAAGTCGTCGCTGTTTTTCAAAAGGAGAAGAAAGCTAATAGCGCGCTCAGTTCCGAAGAAGCATACACCAAAGCCGTAACACAGCTCTTCAGGTCCCTCGACCGTCTCGAATCCCACCTCTCCGAATCCTCGACGCCGTACCTCCTCTCTTCCCCTACCGTGACCGAGGCCGATATCCGACTCTATACTACCATTGTGCGCTTTGATCCGGTTTATGTACAACACTTCAAGTGCAATATCCGCGATATCCGCTCCGGCTATCCATATCTTCACAAGTGGCTCAGGCATCTGTACTGGGACTTACCCTCCTTCGCAAACACGACCGAATTCGAGCACATCAAGAAGCACTATACGAAGAGCCATGGGCAGATTAATCAGTTCCAGATCACGCCGATTGGGCCGCTACCGGATATCTTGGGCAAGGAGGATGAGGTCCCGTCTGTAAAGGCGGCATTGAAGAAGGGCTGAAAGTAGGTAGTCATAGTATCAAAATCAGAGTAAAAGAACATGGAGCCAGAGTATGCCGAGTTGTTGTTAAGTTTCATGGGTATCTAACGCTTTGGAAAGGACGGCCCTCAGTGCATGTACACTACAAAAAAAAAGCCAATACTATGCACAGATCCCAAAATCGTCCCTTCATATCATTTCATACACTGGTCTCCAGTCTACTCACGGTGACTTGCATCGTACGTCCAGTTGCGGCTTGCCCTGCTGTTCAGAGTAGAGCCGCTCCAACATTCCCGAGCGTCTGCTTCGTCACTTCGTCCCTGACCTGTCCCACCTTCTTTGCCGAATCTAAGATTGCGCCCTCGATGGCTTTGAGTGCCTCCACCAGCTCGCGTCGCTGGTCGCGTGGCCCACTCCTGCTGCCTGTTAATTGTTGAGCCTTCTCCAGGGTGCCGGCCTCCATAGTCCGAAGATGCGCTTCGATCTCGCGGATCTGGCGCTGATAGACATCGAGCGTGCTGCCTAGCTCGTCGGTTCGACGGTTGAAGTAGCCCATCAGGTCCACAGGCTTCGTCGGATCGTCTTCATCGAGAGCTGTAGTAGCCGGGGTCTTTGCGCTCGAGGCTGTGAGATTTGCACTATTTCGATAGTGAAATTGGGCCGGTAGTCGCTGGTTCTCAATGGCGCGGAAGCTGAGCGTCGCGTCTTCGGCGTCCTTTTTGACAAGTCCCTTCAGACGGGCGATGTTGGCCGAGTCGTTGTCTAGTCCTGCTTCGACTGTGGAAAGAAAACTCCCGATGTAGGCAACGTCGGGTGCGATGGTTGCAATGTCCTTCTCAGTGGAGGGCAGTGTTTCGCGAATCTGATTGCAGTAGCTGATCTTCCGTTGTATGCCTTCGTCAAACTGCTGGATCAGCGTCTGTAGTTCCGGGTGTAGGTCGTTGAAGCGCGTTGTTCCTCTGATCGAGTCCAGCGTCATCTGAACAGGCTGCGCACTCGCGCCCAACTGTGATGCTCCTAGCGTAGAACCACCAAGAGCAGCCGGTCTATTCTGGGTGTTCATGCCGCCGAACAGGGTATTTTGCTGCTGTGGCTGTGGCTGAGGCTGTTGCATGGATCCAAATAGTGAGGGTGTTGCTTGACTCTGCTGGGGATTGGCGTTGCCAAACAAAGACGGGGTCGTTGTTGTCTGTTGTGTGGATGAACCGCTAAGCAAGCAGTTAGCCTTTGTGCTACCGCGCGCAGCTACCCTTACTTACAAGAGCGAGGGTTTTGCTTGGCCGCCAAGTAGGCCTCCCGACTGGGTAGTATTCTGAGCCTGGTTCTGTGTGTTTCCCCCCAGTGCGCCTCCGAAAAGTCCTCCGCTCTGGGGTTGCGTGGGTTGGGCCTGAGCGCCAAACAGCGATCCTGACTGGGGCTGTTGAGGCTGCTGTGTTGAACCAAAAAGGCCTCCACTGCTCTGGGGTTGAGTTGTCGTCTGCTGTCCCTGAGAGGCATTGTTCCCACTGACAGCAGTTAGCATCGGGTTCGCCATGAGCAAGACATGACCTACAATAGACCCCCACCCGTATTGATGCTTAGTGAGTTGGACCGCCCAAAGCCCGCCATTGTGCCTGCAGCTGCCGCGTTGGCTCGTGTGGGCGTCTCGTCTGCGATGTACAGCTTCGCCTTGTTGTGTAGAGCGTAGGCAGTGATGGCAGCAGACACCACAGGAACACGTCTGCGAGCTCAAACAAGGTTGATACAATGCGCGATGGGGAGATGGAAGATGGACGCTGTTTGTGTTTTCCCACTCTGCATATGCATGCGAGTTCCTGAGTACCGCGCGAGCACAGGCCAGGCGCGCGCTCCACCCGGCTAATCATTCCTCGGGACTCCGTCAAGCGCAAGCGCAAGCTCACAAAGTACAACCAAATACGCCAACTTGCTTCACCCCAAGGAACCATGGCCGATGAATCAGACGATGACCTCTATGGAGACACTACCGCCGAGCAAAAGGACATTGGAAAGAAAGAGGACGACGGTTCCAGCGGCGACGAGCCCATGGACGAGGGTCAGGATTCGGGCGACGATGAGGACGACGATAGTGAATCGGTACGTCGCCTCCTCTATATCGCGCGTCGGGGAGATACATCAAGGCTAATCAAAGCTGTAGGACCTCGAGATTATCATCGATAAGCCAGCAGTAGCGCCCAAGCCTGCAGTGTGAGTCCTGTTCAAGCTCCTCTCCTCTCCTCTGTACCTCGTTTACAGGCTAGAGGCTAACAGCGCACCCAGTCAACAACAACAGCCCCAAGCATCCAAAGCCATAAAGATCGAGGCACCGCCGCAGTCCTCCTCTGCGCCCTCACAAGCCCCAAGAACAATAGCAACAGGCACAGTGCCCCAGCTCCTGCCAGGCACAGCCTACCCCGCCCAACGCACCTCCAACATTGATGTCAATGGCAACCCCGTCTACCCACCCCACGCAAAGGAAATCCTTTCCGTCGACATGGAAGCGGATATGGCCGAAGAGCAGAAGATTTGGCGGCGAGCAGGTGAAGACCAATCCGACTACTTCAACTATGGCTTCGACGAGTTCACCTGGGAAATGTACCGCCAGCGACAGACATCCATGGCACAGGCACTACAACAGCAAAAGAACGACATGGTACAGATGCAGCAGATGATAGGGCCGATGCCGACTATGCCCAACATGCCGGGACCGGCCCAAGGCGGTGCCCCAACGGGTGCGCCGTCCGGGCCTGGTGGAGGTGGAGGTGGAGGCGGCGGAGGCGGAATGGGCATGAATGAACAGGCACAAATGGAGATGATGTTCCAGCAAATGGCGAGTCAGGGCATGGATCCAAGCCAGATGGACTTTGCCTCTTTCATGCAAATGGCAGGGCAGGGCATGGGTGGTGGATTTGGTGCTCCCAGCGGACAGCAGGGAGGGGGCTTTCAACAAGGCAATCATGGTGGCGGGGGTAGGGGCGGAAGGGGTGGAAGAGGGAGAGGGTGGTGATGAATGCAAGCGCATTTTTTTTCAATCACTCTTCAAGGAAGGCTTGTCTAGGCCTGGCTGGTTGGGATGCAAAGCATCAATTGGCGTTTTCTGTGTACTACTACTCCTACTACGATACCAAGGGCCGGAAAAGACTTCGGGCGCAAAGCAATGAGATGATTTGAGCTTCACAGACAATTTGGCTCCGTGTGACTTTGAAACAATGATCCGATTCGGGTTCCTCTCTGCTGAACGTTTTAGGTTGATCCCTTGCAACCAGTAATCCTGATGCACATGCATTGCGCCCAAGAACGCTGCACGCTGTATCGTGCTTGGGTCCTTCCCGCGCTCCCTTCTTTCTTCTGTTGTTTGAGTTGAGTAGACTTCAAACTCTTACCCCAGGCCTTGTCATTACCCCACGCAAGGCACGAGGTTTTCCTCTGGTAATCATCCCTCAACGCAGTTCACCACTACGTCTCCATGGCATCTCCGCCCGTCAGAATATGCTGAGGAATCCGGCCTTCGGCGAAGTCCTTTTCCAGCTTCGCCATCTCTGCCAGACTGCTTGCGTTGAGAATAGCAGCCCGCATCCGCCGCTTCTCGTCGTCGGTATAGATGCGGTCCTTGGTGGAGTCGTCGGCACCATTTGTGAATGTCGGGACAACAAAGCCCTTGGACTTGACGCCCATGATCTTACTCGCATTTTCGGTCGGCTCCTCTGTCGTGCCAAAGAGATCTATCGCCTTTTTGCGCTCAACATCTCGGACCTTGACGAAGTCGAGATAGCGCACAGTAGGGCAGCGCCATATCACCCAGTATCGATAATTCTGCGTACTGTTAGCTTCGTCCTTGCTGCATATTGGTCTCTTCCGACCCTGCCGTGCCCCGCTCTAGCCACCCTCTGATTAGGCTAGTAGTAGCTATCTTCGAGCGCTCGTGTATGCTTGCCAACATTAGGCTCCAAGAGTCGAGAGACGACGCAGTAGACGCACCTCTTTGCTTGTGACCGGATTTCCCATTAGTGTCAGATACACCAGCTTCTTAAACCCCGCTAGCGGATCAAGGTCCGTCAGCTCTGCAATCCTGTTCTTGGTGAGGACCAGCGTTCGTAGGTTCGGTATGCTCGACGAAAGGTTTGGCTGGATATTCGAGATGCGGTTCTGGGCGAGGAATAATGTGCGGAGGCGTGGCTGGAGCGGAAAGTTACCGAGTTGCGCGATGTCGTTGTCGGTGAAGTCTATGGCGTCGTTGTCCTGTACACAAGTCGTCAGACAGGTGCGATAGATGCATAGTAGGGTGGGTGGGACCTACTCGTGCAGCGCCCATGTTCTCAATCGCAGAAATCTTGTGGCCTACATGTAAAAATATTGATATCAACTCAGCTCCCAAGTGCAGTATCTGTTCTCTTCAACGTACCTCGCAGATCGAGTTCACGCTCCGTAAGACAGTTGATGAAGGAAAGGGAGCTGTTGATGAGGTCTGTCGTTAACCTCATATTGGCGTTACTGGCCTGTCGCGTCCTTCGGTATGGGTTGTATTGTTGATGATTGGCGAAGCAGTGCGCGTAGGATTAATCGTAGTTGCGATTATGTGCCCGCCGCAGAGAGTCGCTGCCCGCGACTGACGAAATTCTAGCCAAGAGTTCCAGCCGCTAGCGCCCTTCCGGCCCTCTTTCAACTTGCAGTTGCTGGTTGTCTGGAAGAGTGATTGGAATCCCTTCAGTTATAAAGGGTGTGATAATTGAGCGAGGAGCACGATCCGTTCCATCTAATAGTACAGCTAGTTTTGACTTCCATCTGAAATCATTACTTCTAGCTATTCACTCAATCTCTTCAAAATTCCAATGCCTCCTTTGTCTTCTCTGCCATACCTTCGTTACCATCAACATCAGTCTTTGGCCCCTTACCCTTCCTCCACACCCTCTGATCCCGCGGATCAAATCCTCCATTGCCCCATAGCGCCCACTCTGGAGTCTCGTCACCAACATAATCTTCCGGTCTCCAGCCCACAATCTTGCCATCCTCAATTCTAGATCCTTCAATCTTCCCCTCGTGTAAATCAAAGAACCTTTCAAAATCAATCCTCGTCGCCCACTTGCCACCCTTCTTGAACCTTGTGCTATCAGCAAGCAGCACACAGCATGAATGCGCATGCTCAGCGCCAATACCATAAGTCATTCCTCTTGAGCTCAACTCCTTCTCGAGCTCGGTGACAAACTCTGCGACTTCTTCGTAAAAGGGTACGTTCTGCATGGTCAAGCCCGCTGAGCCTGCAGCGCTGGTACCGCAGTATGTTACGCCCTTGACCTCAACGAAACCTGGAAGTGCGCGCTCGACTAGGTCCGCATATCCTTTGACTTCCTCGGCCATGTTGAATCCTTTGACGAGGGTGAGGCGGAAAACGGTGCGTTGCTCGAAGCGCCTGTTGCGGAGGATGTCAAGACAGGCACAGAAGCGCTCCCAGAAATCGCGGTGCAGCGGACGGTCGATCTTGCGGAGGGAGTCCTTGTTCGACGCATCGATGGAAACATACAGTTGGGTGACCGGGACTAGAGACGCAAGCTGAGCTGGATGCTGTGCATTGCACACCAGGAACGTGGATATCCGGTTGCTGTGCATGATGGTCAAAAGTTCATTGATATGCGGATAAAAAATGGGTTCGCCCACTAAACTTAACGCACAATGCCGGATGCGCATCGCTTCCGCAAAGCGGTCTGCCCGCACTCCCGGTACGCCTTTCATCATCTTGATCTTCTTGTAGTGTGCTGTGGTTATACCGTCGAAGATGAGATCTGGTGCATCAGTGATCCAGCGCCAGGTCGTCCCGACCGGATTTGTACCATGGCGCCAACAGAATACACACTTGTTCGAGCAGGAGAGGGATGGTGTCGCTTCCATGCACAGATGTGATGCGATGCCGTAGAAGGAGAATTTGTAGCAGGATCCGCGGCCTCTGAGAGCAGATTTTGTCCAGCGGCAGATCTTTACGCCGGAATGAGAACCTATGATGGAGTAGCCTTGCTTTGTGAGCGCTGCGTGTGTTGGCGAAGAGGTTGGGACCATCTCTTTGGGCGTAGCTGTGGGCTTCAGTTTGGATCTAGGCTTGTAGGTTGTAAAGTCGACGGGAATAGGATCTAACGAAGTGACCATCGATCCCAGGTCTTCGACGTCGTCCACACGTGTAGTCTGGCCGATACTGTCTTTGTCTTCTATGTCTTCCTCGTCGCTTTCGGCTGCGTCTCCGCTTCCAGGGACGCCTTCGCCCAATCCTCTTCCCTCTGCAATCTCAACCAGCGCTTCTTGAACCCCTACCCGCCACTCTTGTAACTGTTCTTCGGCATCGCTTTTGACATCACCCAAGCCCAAAGGATATGCTCGCTTTTTGCCCGTCAACCGCGCCATCCACTTATCCACCTCCCTAGCCTGACTACAAAAGCCTTCCTCTTCTGTGGGCCATCCCTCCTTATCACCAAAGCCAAACACTGAGTAGCCGAGCAGTCCACTCAAGGGCGCCGTATCGATTCTGAAGTCATTGTGTGTCTCTTGCAAGCTCTCGATGAAGATGTCTAGACTGGTGTCGATGTTGTAGCTCGGTACAAGAATAAGATAGAAGTGCTTAACGTTCGAATCAGCTTTAGGCGGACTAATGAAGTAGTCGTCGAGCTCGATGTAGGAGAGGTCCTGAATTTGTGGTTCTAGAAAGATAGAGGACTGGTCACAGCCGATGGTCCACTCGGTGAGAACTTTGGTGAATTGTGCAGAATAGCCCTCGGTAGTGCCAGAGAGTGACTGAAAGAAGATTAGAGGCTGGATTTTGTCCGTCTTGTGAGCAAAGGTGGAGGTGGGTGCTGCAGTCTTCTTCGTTATCTTCTTGCCCTTGACAGTCTTCGGTCCTTTTCTTGCTTTTGCCATCAAAGCGACGGCATTTGTATCCTCCTCCGCATGGTTATCAATGTTCAAGAGCGACGGAATGGTGGTGGTGTTCTCGGGAAGCCATGCTGGCTTAAGTTCCACAAGGTGCTTCTTGACTGGCGATGACGGAGCCGGCGATGCAGATACCTTTTCTCTTCGGTCGCGTAGGTATACCGTGAGGCGCACGAGTGCCACCAAAGACACCGCCGAGAGGAGGATTGGAACTCGATAAGTGTGCCATATGTAGAGCAATTCTGTGTAGCGTTAGCACTTTGCACTTTTGAGGTACCTGTGACTCTCACCAGCTGGTAACTGCCCTAGGCCATCAAGGAGAGCCATGGTTGCTGCGTCGCGCAGGAACAGAACGTATGCAGTCGACCTTTTGGCGAAATGATCGCGGGCGCGTGGGGTCGATTAGTGGGGTGAAAAGCACTTCGTTTCATTGGTCGACTACAAGCTAACCGCAATCTCAACCATATCCTTTATTACATCACTCTCTGTCTTAGGCCATAGAATAATCACCCGTAGTGGATAGATTACAGAATTGAAACCCGCTGATTATGATTACATATGAGATTAGTCGATGCGGCTTTGAGATTAAGGCGTTCAATCGGACACGAGAGCCTCACTGTAACATCCTGGGGTGGTTTTAGGGCATAAAGTAGACAATTAGACGGCAACTAAGGAAGTTAGGGCACGGCAAGAAGGCCCTGTGAGATTCAGGTAGAACCGCGATATATCGTCCATTGTCAGTTCGCGCACCTATTCACGGCACAACTTGTATGTAGGTTACAGCAAGAGTGTGCGTAGTACATGCTTAGCTTCTCAGGGTCTTGAAGACTTTGATGGCTACGACTCCCCCAGAACATATTGAGTGCCTTTAGCTTGGCATCGTGTCGAAGGCAGCTTGGGTGACAAAGAACGCGACCATACAGAATGTATATCGTGGTCAGATTCTGATGCAGTCCTGCTCTATGACGCTGCAAAGAGCAAAAACACTCGATGGTTATTTATAGGAAGTAATCCGGGGTCCTTCGTGATACCATCGGCTCGCCAGCTCGCGGGCAGGGGTCGAACTGCAGGCTGCGGAATGTTAGAGACGGGCGTTGAATGTAGCAGAAACGGACATACAAAGTGTATTTGAGATGTTCGTCAATCTCCATGATTGCGGCCTGATTGCCACATCTGTAGCAATAGTTTGGTGCTATTTGTGTGAGTAAAAGGAGGCATAGAACAGCAGTGGGATGCTCACCTGAGAATATCGTCACGACATTCCTGTCTTGCGACCAGTTATATCCCTCCATGACAAGCTGATGAGCTCTCGCCACAAGGGTCAAACCGTTGTTGTGATTGAACGCTTCTGAGATGTCCTGGCCGAAGGTGTATCCTGCACCGCGGGGGGATATACCCCAACCACACCTATCATCTGGATCGGACCAGAGCAGATCACACATGGGTCCCTCATGCGGTACTTCTTGTATCCGATCAAGCGCCCTGATGTTATCGAGAGTGTCGATGCTGGGAGAAAGACCACCGTGCAGACAGAAGATTTGATTGTCGATCAAGGCAGTAAGCGGGAGATAATCAAAAAGGTCTGTGAAGTACTTCCAAACGTTTGCGTTTCCGTACTTTCGGAGGCACTCGTCGTAGAAGCCATATACCTGGGTGATTTGGCGGGATTCGTGATTTCCGCGAAGGATGGTAATACGCTGGGGGTATCGAATCTTGAGAGCGACTAGCAGGGTCACAGTCTCAACGGAGAAGTAACCTCGGTCAACATAATCACCTGCTGTGGGTCAGTTTACAACAAGAGCGCTGAGGCGAAGAACGCACCCATGAAGAGGTAGTTCGTGTCTGGGTTTGGGCCGCCAATCTTGAACAACTCCATCAAATCGTGGAATTGGCCGTGAATATCGCCGCATACTGTGACGGGGCATTTCTGTCATGTTGTTAGGAGGGTAGGTCCAATGCAGGTGCGTTGGAAATGCACTCACCACTGGCTGTACGTTTGACTCGTCCTGAAGCACCTCACGGGCCTATCGCACGATAACGTCAGAACATGTCGTATGCAGGACTCAACTGTGCGAGCAATTGCATCTCTGGTCGCATACCTTGTCGCACAGTCTCTGCACGTCGCTCTCAGCCAGCTGCTTGCAGCTCATGAGACTCTCAATCCAGCCGTCCAGGGTAGGAATTGTGGTTGGCTCCGAGGTGGGGGCAGACGACAGCTGCATGGGTTCTGGCATCTTCACGTCCTCCATGTTGGTGTCCATGGTTGCGTGGCGGCGGGAGCGGTGGTGGTGGTTGTGGTGGGTGGGGTGGGCGCTTGTTGTGCTGGAGAGCTGTCGAGGGGTTGTTGCCCTTCAAACTCGGCGGATGACGTGTGGCGGGCGAGAAGGCAGACTGCAGATGGGGGAGGCGGGCCGCCGACAAAGGACCAAGAGCAGAGAGGGTATATGGAGCGTACAGAGGGTTGTCGCAAGCAGCAGCAGGGTGGAGCACTGGCAAGTGGAGTGAAATCAGGACGCACGACACTGGCACCGCTGCACCAGCGTCGTCACATGACGCGGCGCTGGAGGAATATGTCGCCGCTGCGTCATGTGACAGCGCCTTGACGTCGGGCTCGGCTTACGTGGGGCGCTTGGCGGGGCTGCCCGGAGCTTTGTCCTGGCGTTCGTCGCGACTTCTCTTCCTCTCCAACACGGCGCACCCCCATTGTCACCGCGCATCGCATCGCACCGCCGCATCCACCACTGCGACCAGCAACTGCGACCATGTCCAAGCGCGCGTTCGAGTCCGCTTTCTCTGCCAGGCCTGGCGGCTTGCTTGTCACAGCCGATGGCTTTGGCGCTCTCCAGCCCCAGGTGGGTTCTCACTTACAGCTGTTCACCTAAACTCGAGCTCACGCGACAGCAGGTGCAGCAGCTTCTCCCCGTCTCACGCGAAAGCGAGACTACCTCTACACTCCATGTTCCTGGTCAATGGCCCTTGGAATCGCAGTTCACCGAGTGCGACGACGCTCCTACCGTAGGCGGTGGCTCCTTCTTCACTACCATCGGAACATGGGCCGCGACCGTCACCAACATCACCAACATCTTCCAGCTGCCAGCTCGATTGGCACAGCGCTATCTCCGCCAGCAGACCATATGCGCTGTCCCAGTTGTACGCAAAGACGGCTCCATCAAGAAGCGACTTGTAGATGCTGGACACGCGGATGAGCCAACGACACCCTCACCTTCTGCGCGAGCACACGCGAACCTGAAACGTCGCCGTTTCCCCCAAGCCACCACACTCTCACCGGACTTATGGTCGCCAAGTCCGAGCCCCGTGCAGTCTGGCGAAGGCGTCCTGGCCACCTTGCCTGCAGTCAATGATTTTGACGACGACGATAGCCTGGAATTCTCATTTACCGATCTTCTCACTTCAACTCCTCCCCGTAATGCCCGAACTGGCTCTCCTATACCATGTTCATGGGACAGCCCGCAGATCCAGTCCACTACTGGCTCACCCTCACCCTCACCCTCACCTAGGCACGAGGGCCTCACCGGTCTACCCGCCGCTCATGAGAGCCCAAATGGCCCTACTTTCCAGCCAGCCCCAGTCACACCCATGCGCCGACACCTGCTTAAGCTGCAGCTGCGCGCACATGTTGAGCACCAGGATGCTCGGGAAGAAAGAATCGCCGATGCCGATGCACAGACACCTGAGCTTGAGACGGCCCTCTACGAGGACTCTGAGCTTCCGATCCCACTATCATCTCCCTTCCAGACCGACGTTTCATCTTCTCCTTTCCAGACAGACGTCGAGTCTTCGCCATTCCAATCACACATATCTTCCGATCAGCCACCTGCGTATGAGAACGATCTGTCGTTTCTCTCTGATGCTCCCTCCCCCCCGCGCAAGAAGTCTGTGCGATGGGCACAGCACGCTGGCGCAAAGTCGTTCTTTATCGACGAGAGAGTCAGCGAAATGCTTGACTCCACACTTGAAACCATCACATCAAGTCCTGTGAGAGCCTCCTGTCAGGAATATGACGAAGCCGAGGACACCTCCGATGATGAGGGCCAGACTACGTCCCTACACTCTGAAACTTCCGGCGAAGGCGACTCTCAGAAAGACTTGTTATCCAGATCAGTCGACTTCCATGGCGTTTCCAAAGATACATTCGATCGTTCAGAAGACGCTATCGATGAGTCACAGATCTCCCTTGAGCTCCTCGAAGACCTCCAGGAAGACCTCAAGAAGAAACTGGCCCTCGCTCCACCGCCGTCTCCGCCTCCACCGGTGAAGCCTCTTGTGCTTCCCCTATCTTCAGAAGAGCTAGATGCACTTGATGCCGTTGTCGCTCAAACCGACCACGGTCGCAACGCGAACATGTACGTTATCCCGGAGAAGTTATACGCCCGAGACTTTGGTACTCTCCTTCCGGAGCAATTCAATGGCGATCCGAAAGCCTGGCTCAACGACAATATTGTCAATGAGTACCTAGCCATTCTTGTGGCCCATAAAAAGAAAGAGATTGGATTTGCGCACAAACGCGGAGGGCCAGCTCCCCCAGTTCACGCCTTCTCTTCGTTTTGGTATAGCACTATCAAGGACCGGCCGAAGTCTGTCGAGCGATGGGCTTCTAGGTTCCAGCTAGGTGGACGCCAGTATTTGGATGCCGACCTTGTCCTATATCCAATTTGCGATGGGGGGCATTGGCGTCTGCTTGCGGTAAAGCCGAAGGAGAGAATTATCGAGTACTTGGACTCTTTGGGCTTCAGTGGCCAGAAATACGTGGTTAAGCTCAAGGAATACTTGAGCAAGGAGCTAGGAGATGCCTGGGTTGAGGAGGACTGGACCACTGTCGAGCTACAGCGCAGTAGCCAACAGCTCAACAGCAGCGACTGTGGAGTTTTCACGCTCCTGAATGCGCTGACAGTCCTTCGAGGAGAGGAGGCCCAGCGAGTTGTCGCTTGTTGCGGCATGACAGATGCTAGGGAGCGGATCGCTACTACCCTCTTAGCCGGTCACCCAACTACAGAGCTGGAGTGAGAAGTTTTGTTGGTTTTTTGGCGTTTGATTTTTGTTGGGAGGGATTCATGGCTGCGTGTCTTGCTCTTTGTTCTTGTTGGCGTTTGGTTTGATTGTTTGTGCCGCTTGCATAGCGATGGTGTTCAGTCGCTTAGGAGGCCTACGGCTCACATGACCTTGATACCCCCCCTGATGGCGCCCATAGAGGCTTGATTTTGTACTGAGTTGCGTTCTGTAGAGTAGCGATGAACATAGCTGTATCGTTATGGAAATGATTACACTATATTGTCAAAGCATTCAAGTACTACTCTCATGGTGAATAGAGCTACGTGATTCAGAGTCTGATGGAGTTTATATTTGCCAGTTATCTAAGTCTGCGAAGCGATCTAGTCTCCACTATGATGCTACCTTGATAGTGAGCTTTCCGAAATGCTTCTGATCCCACATGTATTGATACGCCTCCTTCAAATCCTTGAGCTCAAACACCTTCTCGTCTACGACAGGGTGCAAATTGTTTGCTTCGATGGCAGCACACATGTCTTCCATCTGCAGCCTGGAGCCCACCAAGAGACCCCGCACTGTGCAGATGTTGCTCAAGCAGTCGAGGAAGGTGGGCTGGTCCTTCTCTGTGCCGCCAATAAAGCCGATGATGCTGATGACACCATCAATGGCGGCAGCTTTGATAGATTGCGCCATGGTTTTAGGTCCGCCGACTTCGACGACATGATCAACGCCGGTGCCGGTAATTTTGGCAGCTGTCTCGCCCCAATTCTGGTCTTCCTTGTAATTGATGACATGGTCGGCCCCAAGTTTCTTCAATATCTCGGCCTTCTTCTCTGAGCTCGTCGTGGCAATGACACGTGCGCCTGCGGCTTTGGCAAACTGAAGTGCGAAGATGCTAACACCCCCCGTTCCTTGTGTGAGGACGGTTTGGCCAGGTTTCAGTGCGCGACTCTCGAGGCCGTAAAGAGCATTCCAGGCTGTGAGGGCAGCGCAGGAAAGCGTGCTAGCTTCAAGGAAGTTGAGGTTTTGAGGCATGGTGATGAGGCCAGCTTCATCGAAAACACCGTATTCGCGGAGCGTGCCTAGAGAATGAGAGCGTTAGTAGGACAACAAACGCAAAGAGCTGGCAGAGGACGTGAGGTTACTCTAGGAGTATACCACCGGGTCACGTACCATCGATAACGCCACCCAGGCCAGTTTGTATGGTCTGTGCGTTGAGGGAGCCGGCGATGTGGCCTTGATTGAACAGGGTAACGACTTTGTCTACGAAGTGTCAGTGTCTAACTCTGATATGCGTTGGGGATGGAGTCCTGTACCTCCGGGCTTGAATCGTGTGACCTGCTTCCCAACCTTCTCAACGGTACCAGCTCCGTCAGATCCAGGGACGATGTTGTCTTTCATGGGGAATGGGTATTTCCCCTTGGGGATGATCAAGTCGCGGTAGTTGAGGGAAGCGGCGTGAACTGGACCCGTCTTAGCATATTTCAAGAGGGACAAGGGAAGTTGAGTTGATTATGCGTACTTTTGACGAGCACATCTTTGTCGCCTACCTCGGGGACAGGGGCGTTCTCATTGAAATTCAAGGCATCAAAGCCGGTATTTCCGTCGACCGTCCACTGCTTGGTTGTTGAGGGTGCCATTGTGTATGTGGGTTGAGCTGCGATTTCGAGTTTGAGAATTCAGTATGTATGCTTGCAAGAAAACAGCGTAGGTACTCTGCCTTTTTACATGTTTGGCTATGGCGGCGACCTCCACTATAAATCGGTAGATCGCGGTGTAGGTGTGGGGTCGTCTCAAGGTCCGATTTCATGACGCAAGACAGACCCGCGAAACTAATATACGTCACTCCTTTCTTCGTACCCGACTAGAAAGAAGAACCAATAGCGACTCCGTTACACTGGTCCTTTTCCGCTCGCATCGCATAATTGCATGTGGAGCGGGCCAACGTCACAGGGCCCAGAGACGGCCTCGCCGGGGATCGCTCGGAGGTCCGGTGTTCTTGCAGCATGAAGGACGTGGCCCAGTATCTTTTCCTTTGCATTCTTGCAGGGCTACTGGACAATCTCGGCAGACAAGTTGAAGTACCAGGTACCACAACGTGCATTTGTAAGCCGGGAGTGGGTCTAGTAGGAAGCCAGGGCTTAACGTGGTTTTCTTTTAGTCAAAATTCTCCGCCGGCCCGCCTGTGGACCTCGGGGTACTTACACGACTTGAGCCACCATGCCAGCTGACGACCACATCAACCCTCTCGTCCATCATAGCGGCACACGTCGCGATGCGTCTTGTTCGAACGCCGGTAATCTCCGTATCAATTAGCCGCGTAGAAATCGAAATCTACAGCCAGGTAATATCTCTCCAATACGGCATAAGTTCATGGCGACCTTTATCTAAACGCACAATATCAGTCCTCTAGACATTGCATCTGTTCGAGTGCTTTCGTACCATGACAATTCCGTGAAATCTAATCGGAACCCCTGTAGGTTGAGGTGCTGTGCGAGCATCTTGTGGTGTGCTACCTTTCCTAGCTGCAGTCTTCCAGAGCTGCGACCCTACCTTCGTGCTTGCCATATCTCCTCGGAGACCATACCAATAGCATGATAGGGTAGAGTTTAGAGTTTGTGCATAAACTAGAGGGGCATGTCTGGAGACTATAGTGTTGTAGTATTAGGCTCAAAAGCTTACTTCTATCGCTCATGGCTAGCAAGTCTCATGGGCAATCGGACTCGTAAATTATTATCCCAAATACAGCGGTCAATAAGTAGTTGCCAAACCACCAGCTCCGCGCTCAATCAAAAAGGGGGGTATATATAGCCCAAGCATATACATGAGAAAGAAGTGACAAATCCCGGCCAAGCTTGGCCTTATATCATAACCATTACCTCGTCGCATGAGGGTGCCAATTTGTCTTTTGGGACTCGATCCATTTGCCGTATAACAGGCAATTAGATAGGGTCGCGAAGCTGTTTAGCACTCAGACTAGCACTACCGCTACTAGCAAACACACGCACAACCACATATCGCTTGAAAGGCGGCTCGCCGCCCCCTTCTTACTTGTCGAGGGTTGCGGAGGTGCGCTAGCCGTACCGCTTGGGCTCGTGTTCTCACCACCGGGGGTGTTAGACCCGTCGTTCGCCACGATAGTAAGCTCTAGGTTCTGTATCTGCACTCCGGTAGAGCCATACACCTGTTGCTTGACTTTTGTCTCAGTGACATCTACTAGCTTGCCGTTCTTCGGGTTCTTGATGCCGTTGTTGATCAGATCTTGACAACCAGGGCAGACGGCCGGAATCGTGAAGTTTTTGCTAAATTTCTCCGCCGAGATAAGGTCATCATTGCACTCGGGTGCTTTGATCTGGGTAGATTGCGGCTTGGTGGACTGGATGAGACTGATGTCCAGCTTGTTGAACTGGTCCTGCAAGTTGTCGTAGTCTTGCCTGAGGCTCACCGACCCGTTGCTGTTGAGTACTACTAGGCCGTAGTCTGCTTCTTCCTGGCTGTACTCGTACACGAGGCCACCACTAAGCGACGTCATCTGCTCGCCATAGAGCGCCGCGACCTCGGCGAAGACACGGGGCTGGACCTTGTTGCAACCGTACTCACTGTACTGCACACAAACAGCGTTAGGATATGTAGCAACCTAAAGACCTTGGCGGGGTCTACTTACAAAGACAGGGATGGCTGACTGATTGAACATGTTCACTAGATCGACGTAGCCCGATGTCTGGAAGGTGGCGTCTGCACCGCACCAACTGTACGAGTTGAGGCCGAAGAAATCGGAGGATGAAGCGTCGTCCTTGTGGGAGCATTGCATGTATGCCCACGTGTCCTGGAGGATCTCACGAACGTCGGCAGCGGAGTAGCCTACAGGAATCGTTCGAGACGAGTGCTTCTTGATGTAATTTTTCAAATCGCGCTGGACAGCCTGTACTTGGTCAGCGTTTCATTCGTGAGGGAACACTGCGAATGGTGTGCGTAGCGACTCGCAAGGCCGTTTGTAGAGTCGTGCGGTGATTGGAGAAGGGGACTAGGACTGCCTCTTACCCGAATATACTGAGGATTGAACTCGGCGGTGCTTAGATCGTTCATGACCTCATTCGCAGCGAAGAAAGCGAGTGTGTTGGGGAAGTTCTTGAAGTTCTCGACAACGCCAAAGACTCGGTTGAGGTAGTCTTTGTTGTACGAGGTCCATGGCTCCGCGCGGTTGATGCTCTCCCCCGACAAGGGCGAATTGACATCGAGGATCATATAAATTCCAGCCGCATTGAATATGGAAGCACATTTGGAGTGGTCGAGTGTGGGATCGACATTGTAGACGCGAATCGTGTTGACGCCGAGCTTTTGCATAACCGTTGCATCTCTCAAACAAACATCCGCATTGGTCAAGGCATCTTGGCCATCCTGGGGTTTATACCCAGCTTGACCTCCAGGCTGATAGTCGACCCCAATAATCATCAACCGCTTGTTCGAGACGCTGTCGACAAAGTCTTGGCCGCGGACTTGTACAGGGTGGACGGCATGCGCGATGGTCGAGAAGAGGGCGGGTAGGAGCGCGATGGCGCGAATGAGCTATCAACCGTTAGCAGGGCCCACTAGTTTGCACCATGGATTTGGTGGACCGCCGCTGGGGAGTTGGGGATCGGCACGTACAGAGGGCATAGCGAACGACTGCCACCAATGTGACTGTGACTGTGGACAGCGTCGAAGAAGAAAAGAAGTCGTCGTCGTGGAGTACTCGACCGTCTTGGATGTCGCGACAATAACCTGCCTAGAGCACCAAACTAGTGGCAGGGAAGGGGACTAGTGGAGGAAGTCGAGCCCTGTGAGTAGACGCTAATGGAACGAACGGCGCGCAGACGGTTGTCCGCGGATGAAAGAATGACAAGATGAGTGAAGGGAGAAGAGTAGAGTGGGGTAGAGTAAAGTAGAGAAGAGAAGAGAAGAGAATATAATCACCAGTCCATGTCGTTTGGTTCGGGCAACGTGCGGCAAGTTACAACCTTCCCTTCTGGACATCGTAGGTGCGCCCCTCAATTTCGGTAAGGATTACTGTTCACGATAAGCGGGATGAATAGCGTCAGTGTCAGCATCTGGCGATTCCTACGAGGCGCAAGCAAGGTAGGATTTGTTCGAGCTTGCACCTAGCCTGCCAATTGCACTCTCTAATATCTCGAAAACCCATCACAAAGCAGAGGTTAGCTCTCTCATCAAACTAATTTCCTGTGTTAGAGTGCTAGTAACAAGAGGAATGTTGTGACACCATTCCCCCGAAGGAAGGGGACAGGGATCGCAGGAGCCCATGGGCTACAAATGTTTCGCACCAATCGTTCCATCAACACTTCCGCGCCATATTCTTGGCGTGAGGTAGAGCACCAAGTCACTGGAGTAGCCTTGTAGCACATGATTCGTTTGGTCTTTGTGTTTTCTATTCACACTTCTGTTCGAGGAAATAGACTCTCAAGACTAAGCAGATCGCTTTGATCAAGGCTTTGTCTCCAATGCCCTGTTTTACACGCTTCTACCGCATGTTGAAAGGCCGCAGGAGTACACATATGTGCCAGATTTTTGATGCTATCTCAAACGCCAGCCCGACGCGTGTCTTGGACCCTCCGACCAAAGGAGAAACGTCGTCGAACAAGCTTGCTCTTTTGCCGATCGAATTCAGGCACTGGAACGCTTGCGAGGCTGATGGCTTCCAATTCGTCGTAGTATGAGCGACTGGCCCATTCGACTTGGCCTCGATGAGTATGGGAGGAGCTCGGGCGACTCATCCGCTCATTGCCCTTCAACCAGTCATCTCAACGTCCTGCGCTTTTCTCTTCAGACCACTTTCGTTGCCCTCCATCGGTCCCTGAAACTTTGCTTGGAGCGCCTCAAGTAGGACTTCCTTGACGACCGCTAGGCTGCCAACCGCTGCGTGCGTAGCTCCCTCGACCAAGGCATTGGGATCAGCCCCAACATCTCCCTTCATCCATATCTCTGTGATTTCGTCCCTGGAAGCCAGATATCCAACCGCACATGCCGCAACAATTTCCTTGTGTTCCGCGGGACACGGGTCCAATATTCTGACCAACTCTTTCTTATCCCTCGCGGCCGGATCCCGCGTCAACGCTGCCACTCCACCACATACCACGTCCACACAGTCGATTCCTGCGTCCGTGATCGCGGCGCTGGCAACCGTTATACATCCCGCTAATACGTTTAGTAGCCCCCAACCACCTCTATTTACGCTCCCGTCGTTTCCAGAATCACCCCACCATCCATCCTCATCGCCTTCCAGAATCGTAATGACAACCTCTACGCCGCTCTTCGGCCAGCGCTCACCAATGATGACACCTCGCAGTGCGGTCTCGAGGTGAACGCCGAGATCCCGTTCTATGGAGTCTCGGATATAGCCTCGTCGGTGCCGGGTTGCGAATGGTGCAAACTTCACAGTCGTAGTGAGGAGGAGCGAGGGGCTAAAAGGCACGCTACGGGGGAGGGGCTTAGGCCCTTGGACCGAGGCAGTAATCTTTAGAGAGGACGTTGGTGGTATGAGTGTCGATTTGGAGGCGGGAGAAGACGAGGGAATTTCGAGGTAGGCGGAGCCTGAAGCAGAGGGAATGATTGAGGTTTGGAGGACTGTTGCAGTGATTAGCAAAGAGTAGTCGGAACAGCCATTCTAATCGACATGAAGCTATCGGATAGCGCGAGGAGGTCGACTGAGGCAGATAGTAGCAGTCACTAATGCGCAGAAGGCAATATAGAAGCACGTACAGATCTTGCGGAGCTCATTCGAACCTCTTGATCTTGACGGCCTCAAAGTCTGAAGATATCCCGGCTCCTTGATCGTGCGCGCGAACACGGGCGCACAAGTCCCGCCGCTCGGCGCGTTGTTTCTCCTTCTGTCCGTATTCATCGTAGTGGTGTGTGTGCGGAAATGTTCGTCGCGCCATCTCGAGCGGTGATCTCATGTGGGTGACTAATCCGCCAAGATTTCGTTGTCCTGCTCAATTTTCTTTCGCTTGAGCTCCTACTTTCCTTCCACCTCACTTCCCGCGCAAGGTATGTTATCATGTCCCTCTTTATTATCTCCTTTTATGATTGATACCCCCTGAATTACGTTCTCGTGATCTTTAATGAGCATTGAACACATGCACCACCGTCTGATCTCGACTTCTCACTGTTCGGTTTCGCATTTCAGCTTCCGACCTTTGACTGACTTTGCGTAGATGCCATCGAGCACCCCAGCGGATGTAGAATGCTACTGCTAGGTCATACTGCATCTTCAGCCGTCTGTCGATTCGATCATAGACCATCGGGCTTCCCTCACAGCCCGTCGCCGGTTCTCGGTTCATTCCCAAACCATGGAGAATGGGTTTTGGCGTTATTCTGGCAACGCGGTGTAGGCGAGGGATAATGCTGCATGTCTAAAGGGGACACGCATTCGGCAAGTATAGTCGCATTGATACTAACTCGACAGCTTGTACAATGAGACAACTGACATCGGTAAGTGAGGATCCCTCTCTCAACGACTGCCCTTTCCAATGATGAACGTATCATTTCAGTTCTGCTACTGAACTTTATTGAAGACAACACATACCGCTTACCTTTGTCTGATCTTGGTTTATTTATTCTACTTGGTTAAGAACGTCTTGGAAACGACATTGCTGACGTGTTCTTCTAGGTCCACCTACTTGGCTTGCGCGTCGTCCTTTCAAATGGCAAGGTAAGCACTTCGATCCCTATCCCCTTCGCTAGGAGGAAAACCTAGTCTATCCATTCAACGACATCTGCCGCCGGGTCACCCTCTCGCACTCTACTGGCTTCGGCCGGGATGACGGGTTGTGGAGTTGCACTGCAGGCTAGTCCAGCGGTGCGTAATTGTGGTCTTTGAGCACGAGGATTGTGGCACTCCGTCTTGGGCTGCCCCATCTAAGGCCGGCGGTGGGGAGTGACTTAAAAAGGCTGTCTGAGCAAGAAGCGTTCTTTGCTGGTTCTGCAACATGGATGTGCGAATCTCGCTAACCAGCTTCTCAGGACCCGTTGCCTCAACCAAAGTTGCATAGCGTTGGCCGTGTACGTGTACAAGTTCGGGGCGACATGAAGGTGAAGATTTGTAGAATATGAGGCTCTGCCCAGGTGAGCCGGCTGGTACTTCTCCCAAAGAAGGCCAACTCCTGGGCCCTATGCCCGTTTAGTCAACATGTAATTTGCCCTGCAATCCATACTTTCGCAATCTATGCCATGTGCCAATGTGTTCTTCGAGCGTCTCAGATTTGGACTTGGCCGTATCATAATTAGGGCGAGGTACCTCCCGAGGTCTGTCGTCACCCACCAGGGGCGGCGTCGTGTGCTGCATGGAAGCCACAGCCTCAAAGACGGTGAACTTGCGCAAGCGCAGCAGGTTGAATCATCCAGCAAAGAGCTCATTGTCATTGTCACCAGCTTGGGAAATCAGCACTCCTGCACATGATTGCTCTCTCGTTGACGCGCCCGAGGAGGTCTGAAACGTCCATCTTAGGGGCTTGGCATAGCATCGCACCTCAGCAGGTAATCTTGAAAGCTGGCCATAATTTTTCCTATCACGAATCTGCATCTCACCAGCCCTGCTTGTCGAGTCCCTTGACTGGCCTTCCCGCATCATAAGACGCCACTTAAAGCCATCAGGGCCCCTTTGGACGTCAACGGTGGCCTTAGCGAAATAAATCCTGGGCCAAGCCTTTGTCTCGACTTCACCAAGACGCGACAACCTCCCCAGAACGCTCGTAAGCCTCACAAACGCAGACTCTCACGCCGGACCAACCTGCCCTGCGACTGCTGTCGCCGACCGCAATTGACCTTGGTGAGATTAAGAGAGCCAACGCAGCTTCAGAGGTGTCGCGCGCTTCCAGCGAAGTGGTGATCTGGCGGGTCCAAGTTGACCGGGGGTGCCCAAGGGAGACCTCAGTGCGTCCCGAATCTGCAAATCGTCTCTCTGAATGTTGCCCTTACATTCTTCGTCGAAAGGGAAGATGCACCGCCAGGCCTTCTCCAACGGGGCCTATCCCTCATCCGGAGGGAGCACTTTTTCTATTCAACCTCACAAGTACGTTGTTCCGCAGGCGCAATGTTCAGCGCAGTTTTCCCGCCGCAGCTTCCCTCGCGTCTCCTTTACCACGACTCCAAGAAGCATGACTCTAACTTCCATTGCCATTGCAGATTTCAACCGCGATCACAACCTGCGCTGAGAAGGCGGAGACAGTTAATACAACGCCTGCTGCTGGCCGCATCGCTCTTCCTCACAGCACTGTTCTTCTTCTTCCCCGACCTGCGACCAAACCTGGGCTCCGGCCCCCTGAGTTTCATCACCTCGAGTGATGACTCGCAACTCGAGACGGTGCGATATTACGACCTAAACAATGTACAGGGTACCGCGAGGGGATGGGAAAGAGAGGAGAGGATATTACTATGTGCTCCGCTACGTGACGCCGCACCGCACCTGAACATGTTCTTCAGCCATTTGAAGAACTTGACGTACCCGCACAATCTTATCGACTTGGCCTTCCTCGTCGGAGACTCAAAAGACAATACAATCTCTCTCTTGACGCAGAAACTGGAAGAGCTGCAGGCTGACCCGGAGCCAAAACAACAATTCGGCGAGATATCCATCATGGAGAAGGACTTTGGACAAAAGGTCAACCAGGATGTTGAGAGTCGTCACGGCTTCGCAGCGCAAGCTGGTCGTCGTAAATCAATGGCCCAGGCGCGCAATTGGCTCCTGAGCGCTGCTCTCCGCCCGACGCACAGCTGGGTGTACTGGAGAGATGTTGATGTAGAAACAGCACCGTTTACCATCCTGGAGGATCTCATGCGACACAACAAGGATGTCATTGTACCAAGTATGATGGAGACGATGCGACCTGAAGCTCATATCACTAACAATATTGTCTAGATGTCTGGCGACCGCTTCCCGATTGGCTTGGAGGAGAACAGCCCTACGATCTGAATTCATGGCAGGAATCCGAGACTGCCCTCGCCCTCGCGGACACGCTTGACGAGGACGCGGTCATTGTTGAGGGATACGCAGAATACGCTACTTGGCGGCCGCATTTAGCCTATCTTCGCGACCCGTACGGTGACCCAGATATGGAGATGGAGATTGATGGTGTCGGCGGTGTCAGTATCCTCGCCAAAGCCAAGGTGTTTCGCTCTGGTGTCCACTTTCCCGCCTTTAGCTTTGAAAAGCATGCCGAGACGGAAGGATTTGGCAAAGTGAGTTGTCTCAATCTACTAGCTATTGTTTCAGGACTAATCTTTCGCAGATGGCCAAGCGCATGAAGTTTTCCGTTGTGGGTCTTCCGCACTACACCATCTGGCATCTCTACGAGCCTAGCGTCGACGACATCCGACACATGGAAGAAATGGAGAAGGAACGCAAAGCCAAAGAAGCTGAAGAGGAGGCGAAAAAGGCTCGGATGGACAAGATCAAAGAGTCTTTCGATGAAAAGAAGACCGACTGGGAGAAGGAGAAGGCGGCCGTCCAGGACCTGGTCCAGAAAGCCAAGAATGAGGAGAAGGTGGAAGCCGAAAAGGCAAAAGTAGCAAGCAAGGAGGAGCCCAAGAAGGCAGAATCAAAAGAGAAAGAGGAGAAGTGATGGCTTTCACAGTACGTCCGAACTGAGATACCGGGGAGCGACGTCTCTGACCCGCAACCAGATTGACGATTTGGGAGATATAGCGGGCTGGGACAGCTCCGCAACGATTGTACGATTCTGTTCTGAATCTTGGAGACAGATCTGAGCCGTGTAATTTTCCGATTTACGACCTGCTTACAGTGGAGCCTGAAGGACTTCGTGGCACATCGCCAGACCTACCAGCATACGCCGAGCGGGTCTCTTTCTGGTGGTATCCGATGCGTGTTCTTTCTAGATTGATGGGCGTTTGAAGATTTGGAGGATTGTATACATTAGACAGCTTGTTGCATTACGGGTGTTGTAAACTAGCTCGGCAGCAAGATGTGAGCGTTGCGTATGTTAGCATATGAAAACCGACTGTTCTATTGCTAGACTTGTCTCTACTTTGAATCGAAGTGGCCGTTTGATCCTCGCTCTGACATCTTGGCACTCCCAAAGTTGCGCCCCCGTGGCTGTGGCGGCGTTTCGGACCTCCGAAGCTACGCCCAAATGTTCAAGTCGTCCAAACCATACATCATCTATCTACTGCTGTTGCCTGCCGTCCGGTGACACTTGTACAAAGGACACGATACACACGGTTTTACCCAACTAGCAGAACCTTCTTCGTCAGCAGTTACAGCTCGAAGGATGCGTGTCCTCTCTTAGAAGTTTTGAATTGGACACTTGGCTGTCCATGGTCCTCCCACTACAATAACGAACGAACGATACCATTTCCGCGCTCACCACCCCTTTGTCGCATACCACCAAAGAATACGAGCCCTACGTCGCCATGTCCAGCAGCGAAAGCGAAGACAATGTCAGCCCAACCCTTACAGACACGACGGCAAGCCTCGATGCCCGACCCATTACCGTCGCAGTCAACCCGGTAGCTCTGGTTGTCACAGAATGTATTACTGTCACGTCTGCGATGCGGAAGCATGCTCGCTGGGCACATTCTTCCGTATCAGCTATACTGGGTAGCTCTTCGAACAAGACTCCCGCCGTGCAACGGCGGGATCGAACAGGGCAGGGCATTGTCAACGCTGGCGAACAAGAGGAAGCCGTACCTAGCAGATGGGGTCTGAGAGGGAAGAAGGGCAAGAGCCTACAGGACAATCCTTTGATGTCTGCATTTGCGCGCCTGAGAAATGATTTGAAGGGATGCAAAGGTACGCATTACGGTCAGGGTAGCGGTCGAGTTGTACTAATGCTACCAGTAGATATCAGGGCCTTTGATACGCCCTCCATGCTCCACCCTTTCCTCCAAGTCATCCGCTCCTCGTCGACCTCTGCGCCCATCACTTCGCTTGCGCTCATTGCTATAACAAAGTTCTTGTCGTACGGTATCATCAGCCAGGACTCTCCGCGATTGCCAGAAGCTATGCAGCAACTCTCGTCTGCTATCACACACTGCCGGTTCGAGGCTAGTGATTCAGCAGCTGACGAGATTGTCCTACTCCGCATCTTGAAGCTTATGGAGGGCATGATCTCAGGCCCTGGCGGACAGGTACTCGGGGACGAGAGCGTCTGCGAGATGATGGAGACCGGCTTGAGCATGTGTTGCCAGGCTAGACTGTCTGAACTGCTCCGTCGGTCTGCAGAGATTGCTATGGTGTCCATGTGCCAGGTCATATTCCGGAGACTGAAGACACTAGAGATTGAGTCGCCGGATGAACTTCAAGCGCTAGACGGAGAGCTCGAAGGGCAGGACGAGCAGGACGGCTTAAAGATGGACCCAACGGCGAACGGCGAGGGGGCGTATGCACAGCACAAAGTCGAGGCACCCCAGCAGACGAGTGGCTCAGAGAACGGCCAAGTCGATATTGACAGCACAGTAAATCCCGCAAGCAGTACACTTGATCTCCCTATAACAGCAGATGGTGAACCACAGCAACCTCTAGAGATCAGACCATACTCATTGCCTTCCATCAGGGAGCTCTTCCGTGTACTGGTAGATCTTCTCGACCCGCATGATCGACAACATACAGACACTATGCGCGTCATGGCATTACGCATCGTTGATGTGGCACTCGAGGTCGCAGGGCCGTCAATAGCAAGTCACCCAAGTCTTGCGAACTTGGCAAAAGATACACTATGCCGACACATTTTCCAATTAGTCAGATCAGACAACATGGCCATTCTGAACGAGTCATTGCGTGTGGCAGGGACTCTGTTGGCAACATGCAGAAACGTGCTCAAGTTGCAGCAAGAGCTATACCTCTCCTACTTGGTTGCATGTCTCTTCCCGCGAGTTGAAATTCCAATTGAGCCTGGCATCGAGCCTTCCTTATACGAGGGTGTTCCGCACGCACCCAGTCTCGTCAAGCAACCACCACAGCAGAATAGCAGCAGTGGTCGATCGACACCGGTTCCTGTCAAGGACCGACAAAAGCTTGGACTAGAGGGAGGTGCGCGGAAACCCGATGCTCGTGAAGCCATGGTGGAGAACCTCGGTGGTCTGGTGCGGATACCATCTTTCATGGCTGAATTATTCGTCAACTATGACTGCGAGATCGATCGTGGAGACGTCTGCATGGACATTGTTGGCCTCCTGTCTAGGAACGCCTTCCCAGACTCAGCCACCTGGAGTACCGTGAATGTGCCACCACTGTGCCTGGATGCCTTGCTTGGATTTGTGCAATCGATAGCAGATCGCTTGGACGAGGAGCCCGTGACGGAGGGCTTCCCAAGCGCTGAATCCCTTCGTGAACAGCGAGCCAGAAAGGCGATCATCATCCGAGGGGCTACCAAATTCAATGAAAAGCCCAAGGCCGGTATTGCGTATCTAACCTCCCAAGGCATCATCAGAGACCCAGATGACCCCAAGTGCATCGCCGAGTTCGTCAAAGGCACGACAAGAGTGGATAAGAGGGTCCTCGGAGAGTTCATCTCAAAGAAGGGGAGTGAAGCGATACTGCACGCATTCATCAGCTTGTTTGACTTCAAAGAGCAACGACTTGACGAAGCGCTCCGACAACTTTTACATGCTTTCCGTCTTCCTGGCGAATCTGGACTCATTGAACGCATTGTAACGGATTTCTCCGAGCAGTATTTCAAGATGGCGCAACCTGAAGGCATCGCGAATAAGGATGCTATCTATGTCCTCACGTACGCTGTCATTATGCTAAATACTGATCAGCACAACCCAAATCTAAGAGGCGACAAGCGAATGCAGTTGGAAGACTTTGCAAAGAACCTTAGGGGGGTCAATGACGGTAAAGACTTTGATCCCGAGTATTTGAAGGCCATGTTCGAGTCTATCAAAAACAGAGAGATCATCCTGCCTGAAGAGCACAACGACAGAAATGCCTACGATCATGCGTGGAAAGAGCTGCTCGTTAAGGTTCAGTCCACCTCAGATATCGTCTTTTGCGATACGAATATCTTCGACGCAGATATGTTTGCCGCAACTTGGAAGCCGATTATAGCAACGTTGTCGTACGTGTTCATGTCAGCTACGGATGATGCTGTCTTTTCGCGTGTGGTGCTGGGCTTCGACCAATGTGCCCAAATAGCCGCAAAGTACGGACTGAGCGATGCATTAGACCGTATCATCTCATGCCTGTCATACATCAGTACATTGGCGCCTGATGTTCCTCCGAGCACATCGCTCAACACGGAAGTACAAGCCGACAAGAAGAGTGTAATGGTTAGCGAAACTGCGGTGCGCTTTGGGCGCGATGGCAGAGCACAATTGGCGACCGTGGTGCTGTTCCAGGTCATCAAGAGCCACGAGGCTTCAATACGGGACGGGTGGAATCATGTAAGCCTTCAACGCTACTCCAGTACTCATTCGCTAACATTGGCAGCTCATCCGCATCATGGTCAATCTCTTTGTCAACTCACTATTGCCCCCATACTTCCTCTCTTTCCAAAAGACCCTTGCACTACCCCCGATACCTCTGCAAAACCCTGCGCAAATCATCGACCGCGTTGAGCGACCTGCTGATACTGGCATTTTCTCGGCGTTGACGTCGTATGTGTCGAGTTTCGCCAATGATGAACCCCCGGAGCCATCAGACCAGGAGATTGAATATACGCTTTGCACCGTAGACACAGTCAAGGAATGCCATTTTGAAGACATTCTAGCGAACATCAGTCAATTACCCGTGGAAGCACTACGGTCGTTACTAATGTCATTGCTCGAACACATACCTGAGGATGGCTCACCAAGAGTTATTGTTGTCAAACCAGAGATCCCGGGAGCGAATCCGCGACCGAATGGCACCAGGCAGAAGGGTAAAGGCCCGCTCTACGATCCGGGCCTGGTTTTTGTCCTGGAGTTGGCGACTGTGTTAGCACTACGGGATGATGAGACTGTCAAGGAGCTTGCGAAGGATGTGACAGATGCCTTGTCAAGTGTTATCCGCGACGCGACGAAACACCACCATGTCGTGATTGCGCGGTCAGTGTACTACCTCTTGAGTCTACTCAAGGCTAGTAACGTAAGTCTCAGCTGACCTTGGCACTGGAGCTCTGCTAACACGTCTAGGACTATGACTTCATCCGCGCGCCTGTCCTCCTTCACACGTTCTCAAGCTTCAATGATGCGCTACTGCAAGAGTGCTCGCAGCCAATCCTCAAGGGTCTGACAGACTGCTGCAAGGGACCAAATGCCCTCCGTAGTGAATTGGCAGGTTCGCCCGACTTTTGGACTATTCTGAACAGATTGTCTGGAGTGCCCGATGTAGCAGGAGACGTCTTCCAACTCGTCGAAGACCTTACTACCTCCATCCAGCCTGGCATTACCGCAGACAACTACGAAGCTGCTATAGCGCTGCTGAATGAGTTTGCTACAGCAGCTCAGGTAGGCGCACGGGAAGAACAGCTTCACGATCAGGCTGCAAGACGCGGCAAAGGACCGAAGACGAAGAAGCCAGAGAGCAACGAGATTGTGATACGAGGAAGCAACGCCATGTCCATCGTATTCCAGCTATCGAGTAGAGTGCCAAACTTCATCGAACAGTCTCATCTAGAGACCACTGAGGGTAAGAAATACAACTTGCTTCATGCTGTTGGCTTGCTAACGTTGACCAATAGCTTGGACAGCATATTGGTCCCCCATCCTCAAGACCCTCGCGCACCAATGTCTCAACCCTTGCCGCGAAATCCGGCAACAAGCATTCTCTTCCCTCCAACGCACACTACTCTCTAACCACCTTGCCTCCCCCGACCACAAAGAATGGATTGCTATCTTTAGTGAAGTGCTCGTTCCCTTGATTACACAGCTTCTCAAGCCAGAAGTCTACCAGTCGGACCCGCTTGGTATGAGCGAGACGCGTGTGCGTGCTGCAACGCTGCTGTCAAAGGTATTCTTACACTATCTCGTCCTACTGAGTGGGACGATTGATTTGTTGGAATTGTGGCTCAAGATCATCACAATTATGGATCGGTTGATCAACAGTGGACAGGGGGATAATCTGGTATGTCTCATCCTTCTCCCTCTTTTCCACTTTTCATCAATTTCATCAATGTAATCTGAATGTCTTGCTGATATGATGCAGGAGGAAGCTGTATCCGAAAACCTCAAGAACATGCTCCTCGTAATGTCCAACGGCGGATACCTCGCCCCACCTGATGAACATCCTGAACGACAAGAGCTTTGGAACGAAACGTGGAAGCGCATCAACCGTTTCCAACCACATCTCTTCGCCGAGTTGTTCCCTGAGGAAGCCGGAAAGCCGGTGAGACCGAATGCATCGAAGGATGAGAGTGTGTCAAAGGAAGCCGACGTGGCGTTGCAGAAAAGCAAAGAAGAGCAAGAAGGTATAGAAAAGACAAACGCAGACGGAAATGTGCAAGAGAAGACGGGGGAAAAAGAGGGTTAGAAGCTCCTTTTCCAAATCGAAGTCGTAAAGGAGTTTGATGTTTAGGCAAATCACATGTATTCATTGTAGAAGTGGTGAAGCAAGTCGCGTATGCATGATGCGTAATGCGAGGGCCTGTGAGTCCAAGAATAGCGTTTGGTATGGAATACGCAACCAGTACTATGGAAAAAGACTCCTGAGCAATAGACCATCTCCGCCAACCAGTAAGGAACATATGAGTGAGCATCATGAAGCCCTTCAACCTTTTCAGGCGGCGTCGTAAAGTTCCACCCCACACTACGCCTTGTTTCCTCGCATGCAGATGCAAAAACCACTCCACTAACTACATGTTCGGCCCCATAGCCTCCTTCATCACCTCTATCACCATCTCACCAGCCTTACCCTCTCCTTCTCCCTCGTCTATACAATCACACCCGTACTTCTTCCGAAACTCGTATGGCGGGAGCCCATCCAGCTTCTCCAAGGCCGCATGACTCGCCCTGACACGCGCATACCGACCGCTTTTGCCCAAAGAATAGAAGTGGACCTTGTTATGAATGATTACCATCGCTGCAATCGCCTTGTGTTTGCCCGGGATGATTGTCTCGGTCTCAAGCGCCCCCATACGCCAATCGCTACAGCCAAAGGTGATGGAGAGAAGACGACTGAGGCGTGTGGTAGGGTGGTTAGAAGCGAAGGTCTCATACGATTCGAGGGTCATGTCAACGAAAAAGGGCATAAGATGTAGGTCGAAAAAGTGCTGTACAGTGTTGAAGTCGAACTCCGAGTCCACAAACAGGGCTGCGACATAGGCTTCGATCACGTCGGCAAGGCACTTGGGCGGTTCGCTGACCATGACCCAGTAATCTACTGCTCCATTGGCTTCGCGCTCGGCTTCCTCGACTTCCATGACGTAGTCGCGGATCTGCGTACTGAGGATGGCAGTGTTCTGCTTGAGGTGTGTATGCCACCCCAACTTGACGCAGACGGCGCCCAGGAACCTGTTGGATACCATCGGTGTCTTGTGCTCAGTGAGCCACTGGGGATCCTTGTCCGGGTACTTGTAGAAGAGATGCATGATGAAGGCCATGTCCAGCAGTGAGTCTCCTAGAAACTCAAGTCGCTGATAGTTGGGAATATTTTCGAACATGAAGGGGTAAGAAGGGTGGGTGAAAGCCGACCGAACTAGACGTGGGTACTTGAAGTGATAGGAGTGCTTACTCTCAATCTGCCGAGCCATGTCGACCATTGCGGCCGTTGCATCGGCAACTTGGTACTTTGGTTTGAGGTACGCCGCGTAGTAATCTGTCCACTTGGACATGAGGTGATCCTTGCTATTCACGAATAGCTTCACGGCTTTGACGGCCTCGTTCCAATCACTTGGACTCCATTGGCCACCTTTGTGGTGTTCCATGAAAGCAGCGCCGATGAAGGCTTCGCAGACGTCGGCAATGCTCTTGTCACCAAGGTTGTGTGTGAGCTTGAGCCAATCGTCTTCACTCTTGTTCATGCCTTTGCCTTTAATAAGCTTTAAGCCCTCCGGATACCAAGTGCGACTACTTGCTATTAGCATTTCGTTACTCAAATCATCGTAGCACATACCGAGAGAATGCTTCCGTACGGATGTACTTGTAAATTTGCAGGTCACGCTCCGGGTCGTCAACGGACCCACCCTTCTTCTTACCCACGGCAGTCTCCATGAGGTTCTTATTGCAGAGCATCTCCATGCGGCGAACGTGGAATTCGAATTCGTTTTCGTCTGGCTGTTGGACAAACACCGAAATGGAAGTAGCCATTTTGAGAAAGCAATCACCTAAGAACTCACTGCGCTCATAGTTTGGCCCCATACCGCTTTTGAAGTTGATCTGCTCTTCTCCATGCTCCTCAGAATTGTCAGAGTCTTTGGTCAAAGCCTCAAGTGCTAGAGCCGGGCTGATCTTCAAGTCAAGAGCCTGACAAGCTTCGATAGCAATGAGATAGCTTTCGAAGCGGTGAATGACGGCTGGCAGCACGTAGCACATCACAACAAAGGAAGTGGCGAGCTAGATGAATGTTAAAACTTCTTCGTTTATACAAGCTATGAGTGACTTACATTTGATATTCGCAAAGGTTGTGGGCAAATATAGGCCTTCAGGTGGTCAAGCTCCTTGTGCTCTTTGTCTTCGATGCGAGCAAGGTGATTACGGCGGAATGAAATCCTCTCCACCTCAAGTACTGGTTGTGACTGATCCCATCTAGAGATGTCTCGACTCTTGAGCCATCTACTATCAGTATAGTCTAGGATGCTGTTCATAAACTTGTGGTTCTGCCGAGGAATATGGGTAGGCACTGGATCTTGGGGTCTGAGGTGCGGTGCCAGGCGATCCGAGTAATAACGTCGACCTCCATTCATGGGATCCACAAAGTACCTGTCAATCAGATCTTCTGCTTTTGTTCCGGATTCCCATTGCCACGTAGGCAGCTTGTAGACCTTCCATATTTGTTCCATGTCCAGGATCTGTTCGAGTTTCGTGAAAGGTGGCGAACCTCGACTTGGGAGGACTGGGACGAGCCAATACGACATTTTGCGAATATCGTAATCATATACCTTATTGTATACATCCTCATAGAGCTGCAAGGTGAACTTTGTGAGAACATCCAAAGTTTCCGTGGTAAGCGGAAGAGGTGTAGCACAGGGCTGAGAGACAATGTTCGAAGCTCTACCGTCAGTGAGGTAGACGGGGAAGCTCGGTAGTTGCGGTAACGGATTTCGCGTGAGAATTCCCAGAGGCTGGTGGAATCGGTCCAATGCATCGAGGTCAACCACGGTGAGATATAAGCGTTCAGGGACGCTATCGCGACTCTGCTTCCAAAAGCTTGGTTTGATGAGCATCGGAAACTTGCCCCTATGTTTCTCGCTCACTGCCCAACGTGCATTTGCATTGGTCGGAGCTAGTTTGTAGTTTGAGGGAAGTAGGTATTCATTCAAGAAGCCCTTCCGACGAAGTTCGAGGCACATCTCGAAAGCCGCCGAGCACCTGGCGATTGCCTTCTTCCCCTGAACTTCCCCTCTAATGGATGTGACAGGTGAGCCCTCTGGCAGTATAACCTCGCATACAAAGCCTCTCCGCTGAGGGTCACGATGATCGTGATTAGCTTCAGGACAAATGACGTAGTTTGGCTGTTGCATAGTTGCATGGTTCGGGTAAGGCCATGTCGCGACGAAGTGGTTAAGAACGGATAAACTTGAACAATATGTCAGTCTTGCACCGGACTCAGGATCCGCAAAACTTGGGAACAATTTATCCTGGAACTCCAGTAGTTCGCTGCCATCCGTGTCGTACTCAACAGTATTGCGATCGTTTGAGAGACCCCTGCAAAAAGTTCTCATCACTTGCTCGTCATACCGAACGTCCATAACTCTCTGCCTGTGGTCGTTATTGCCGGCTTCGAGCATGTGCAGGTACTTGGAGTTATAATGACGGGCTCGGCCTCTAGATTGCACATATGCAATCATAGTTCGATATAAGTCGAATCTAACCACTAGGTTACATTTGGGTATATCGAGTCCCTCCTCGCCAACTGATGTAGCAAACAAACAGTTCAAATCTCCGCGCCGGAATTTGGCTAGTGTCAGGATCTGATTCCGTAGGGACACGTTTTGCTCGCCAGCGCGATTGTTGACGCCAACCAGAACGTCACAATGGAGGTTGGGGCCACCAATATGCCCAAATAGGAGTTTCAGCAACCGGGCCGTTTGTCGTTGCTCGACGAAAACAATACATCGAGCCTCGTCACTTCGTTCGTAGTATCGATTAAGCCAGTAGTGAAGTTTTTGGACCTTTGAGCTCACATCCTGATCGCTGAGGGTAGGTGAGCCGAAACTGTGTTGCTGGACGAACTCCGCTGCCTCTTGTAGTCGCTTAATTTTGCGGTCCCAATCCTCCTGAGAGTCGTCCTTCTTGGCCTTATTGTACTTGGATTGTTCACGGTTCTGAAGTTTGGAACTCTGCTCATCCGCAAAGGCAAAAGACCAGTACATGTCGGAGGCCCAGCACCCAAGATCACTGCCAATTCGCTTGGAAGCTATAAAAAACTTCCGGAAAGCCGTCACGTCACCATACCTAGCTTTTACTTCTTGGTGAAAAGGGGTTTCGTACTCGCTTTGCAGCCTTGCATAAACTGCAACCTCTTCATCTGGTCGACTAATGCTGTTCGAGGCAAGCGTGCTGTCGGTGGCGGTGGCAATTTTAGCATGAAGCAACTTCTCAAGGTTGCTAGCTGCTTCTCTGATATGTTCAGATGACAATCCTTTAACGTCTACTGGCGAAGCAGTCATGCCGAAAATTCGAGGTCGGTTTCCAGTGTCAGGATTCTGCGCATAATAGCCTTTCATGAGGCGAGCATAGGGGTGGTTGCTCTTCGCGTGGTGGGCTTCATCAAAGATAAGAAGGTTGATCTTAGCCATGCTGATAAACGAATGCATCATACACTGAACAAGGACCTCGGCCGTGCAGATGATAACCATGTTGTTTGCAAAGTGCTTTTGCCAAGTTGACTTGCACCACAAGGATGCACCCGTGGCTCCACAGATGCCTTCGACGCTCTGGTCGAGACCGCATCGCAGGACGTTGGCTTGCTGGAATACTAGGTTGACCGAATCGACCTATCTTATTAGAAATAGAACATAGTGGGTCTAGGAAGTCTTACAAGGAAAAAAGCTGTTTTGTGCATGCCGCCTCTGGCTCGACTTTCAAGCTCTTCATCCAGGATGTGTCTGAGTAGGAGAGTTGCAATGTGGGTCTTGCCGGAGCCGGTATCCAACACCGCGATGATGTTCTCGCCCTTGGCTCTCTGAAAGAGCTCAGTCTGGTAGTCACGGGGGTTGGTGATACGGACGGTCGATTCCTGTTTCGCAAGGATATCGCGGATAGAAAGTTGCTCTTCGTTGCCGCTCTTCGACGTGGCTTCCTCGAACTCTTTCTGTGTTATGTGAGAACTAAGGTTAGCGGCAAAAGCTCTCATCAACTCGTTCTGTGCTCTGCGCTTCTCTGAAGTCGTCTTGGGGCCATGTGCGCGCGGAATGTCAGCGTCCACGTCGGACTCGTTGTCTTCATCGCACCGTTCGTTGTCCATGGTGCACTTTTCCTCATCTCCCGACATAGAAGACACATCCAGCTCGTCGCATGAGAAGAAGTCATCCTGCTCTTCGTCCACCTGGGCCCAAGCCATCTCTGCGTAGGTCGAGATGTTGGCGATACCAACCGTAGTGGTTGACGAATATTACCGTTCTAGTTCTAGAGCGAGAAACTCTCTTCAGAGGTGCAGGAGTTAGGATCAAGTCACCAGGCGGTTGAAAGTAAGAGAAGCCTATTGCTGTTTGTGCAGGTCGGTTCGCGTCCCCCACCGAGCAAACGGAGCAAGTACCCGTCGCCGCAAGCTTGGGCGGTGAGTCGGGTCTTTCAAGCTCCTATTACCTCAGCATTGCAGAGACAGTATAGATTTAAAAATATTGTCTACCCTGGATGATGAAGGCCTCGAGCAGTATGTGTGGTTAGCAACATTAGCGCACAAGACAGTGGCTGAGTCATCCACGCTAACTGAATATGTCGTATCCTCAGCAGCGGATTCCTCAGCATCTCCAACTCCACTACCTACTACACACGCTTTCTCGGCCATAATCCAAGATGGCAAACGAACCGCAAAATATACGAGGGCTGTTTCTGAGCGCCGAGAGAGCACGACAGGAGCTCTCTTCGTCATATGAAACGAGCAGTCCTACCTACCAAGAAAACCTCATTACCGCCATCGCCACCTACGAAGAATGTCTTAAGCTTGCTGAACAAGTTTCGCTTTTCAGTCCAAACGAGACCTTGGAAGACGTAGCATCCTCTGATCTGCAGTAGGTCCTACGCCCCCAATACTCATCATCTATGATTTTGATCTTCTGCGTACTGATTCTTGGCTTACTTATTGCAAGGTATATGGCCATCAATTACCACCTAGCAGAACTTGTGCAAAAGGTATTCAGTACAGATATTTCCATTAGGAAGAGCAATCTGCTACAGGCACGGGGGCTCTATGAACGATTCTTGAAGCTCTTGGATTCTTACGATCTGCTTGACAAGGCGGGCTCAAACCTCTTTGAAGCGTATACCGACGATAAAGACAACTTCTCCACGGCTAGTACGCGGGATGCCGCGGCAAGGCGGGATGCCAAGATCACCAGGTTTCGAGAGGAGAAGGAGCTTAAGAGAAAGCTCGAGGTATGTTGCGCTAATATCTATTTCATTCCCGAATTAGGGGCTAAGGCACGAGCAGTACCTTCAACAACATCCCAAGCTCGCGGAACAGGACGACCAAGTAGTCCGAGAGCTCAACTTGACAAATCTGGCGTTCATTACGCATCAGACCTTTCAGACCCTGGAGTCCATAGCGCAGGAATTGCACATCATCTCGCTCGCTCCACCCACGCCTACATATGATCAGAATGGACCCACGCCAGACGGTCGCCAAGATGGCAGAAACAAAGACAAGTACTCGGAACGTCTTGATGGTCAGCTTGCCGGGCTAAGATATTCCGGGCCCATATTGAGCAGTGATGGGAAACCAATGCGGCCGTTTACTCTCCTAGATAGCCGGCAAACACTGACGAAAAATGTGTTTCGCCCAGACCATAGTCTCCCAACCATGACCATTGATGAGTATCTCGAAGAGGAAAAGCGACGAGGTGGAATGATTGAGGGCGGAGGTCCCCAGTCTGAAGTTCGCCCTGAGCCTGACGAGGATAATCTCGTCCTGGCCGATGAAGAGACCATGAAGCAACGCGCGTGGGATGAGTACGTCGAGGCAAATCCCAAAGGATCAGGAAATACTCTAAACAGGGGATAAATAGAGCCTGCAGATACCCATAGATCAACTTCCGGACTTTACAGCGTCGTTATGATCCAAGTTTGTCCCTTTGAGATGGACAGAAATGGTAAAACATAACGTAATCGGGTACAGTAATGCCAATGACAGATGCTATAGTCGTTCTGGCGCTAGCTCCGGCCACTGTCTCGTAATAAGTCCAAACAGCGCTTCGGACAGCACCTTGTAGCCCTTGACATCCAAATGCAATCCATCAGCAAACCACCCCTTCCCAAACTGCTTCGCTCCCACCAATCCACTTCCTGGTGGTAGCTCTTCATCATATCCAACCCCGTCGCTATCTGCATTCTTATCTCCGTTCAAACGCTCATGTTCCTCCAATCCTGCGGTGACTACCGCCTGCCAAAAGTCTAGCCCTACCACCCTGCCAGTCTCCTCATACTCACTCGCAATCCGCATAATACCCTCTGCATATCTCTTTTTACTCATATACGTCTTGTACCTCGGTGCTTCTCTCTTCCATTGGTTCGCATCCTCTACTTCCTCTTCTGTCATGCTGCCCCTTGATGAAGCCGGGCTGTTAATTGGCGGCGGCGCAATCAATACGATTTTCGTGTTCAACATGGCATCTTGGGTCAGGATGGTTTCGATGAAGGCGCGGATGTTGGCTTCAAACCTTGGCCAGGGAACGTATTCGGAGTCCCCGATGACTAGAAGTAGTAGTAAGTTCAAAGAAGGGTGTGATTCTGTATAGGACAAGATTTAAGGTAGGTTTTCATGGCTGTCGCCTGATAGCGTCTTACAAAGAAGGCAAATCACTTACTATTCGGACGTTAGCAAAGCATACGAACAGTATTCGTGGTAGATCTTCATACCTGCAGGCATCGTTTGCGCCGAGGAAGATCGTGAAGAGAAGGGTTGGCGATGCGTTGGACGCGGTCGCGCGGCTTATGATGCGGTCAAAGTCACCTGCTAGTGCTGACGAAGTATATCTAGATCGCACCATCAACGACCCTAGTGTAATTGTATGTAGTCAAGAGAAGTGAACATACCCTGCTTGACCTATATACACACATTAGTAAACTTTGTTATCAGAGGATTCAACGAAATTAGTACCTTCATTCACAATATTCACCTTTCCAGTATATTTCTTCTCGAGAAACCACCCGAAGCCCTCTGTTGCCTCGCTAAAGCTCCATTCGGTGAGCGAGTCGCCAAATAGAATAAAGTTTGGTGGATTCTCAGAAGATGCCATGGCTGCCAGATACTTTCTGATTCCACACACCGTCGCTCTCATTAATGTTATTCCAGGGTCGATGCGTGGACGTTGTTGCAAGACTTTGAGGTGCAAGGCAGCAGCGAGTGTCCAAGTCCGACCTAGCTGGCACGCTAAAACATGGGGCACGTGATACCAGCACAGTTGTCGACCGATTGCGGGGAAGCCCAATAACCTTCCTTTGCAGACCAACACACATGAACCTCTTGATGGACTATGCAAGCGTGTAGATGTATGATCCACCCAAAATAATTGGCTGTAATATGTTGAAGCGGTCATGATGACCTCACTCATCTGTGGCCAAGGACGCAATTTTTGTATAAGTCTCCTCCGTCAAACGTACTGCCGCAAAGATTCCCACCTTGTGGCTAGGGAAAAGAACACACCAACAATTGAATTACTACCATCATATATATTTCAGAATGGCCTACCTAAGATGCCGTGCTCTTCAGCAGCTACACGTCCAAAGGTCCCTGCGGCATTTCGGCACCTCTTCCTCTTACTCGAAGACTATGGCCAAAAATTCAGAGTCCAACTTCGCAGACACTGCAGAGAACTCATCCGCCACACCAAAAGTTTGTTCTGACACTCCGAGCACTGATCAGCAATCGTCTGCCTCGGCCGAGGAACACAAGAGTGGAGACGACCACCCAGCGAAGCAGCCCGATTACCAGGCACAGCCGACTAGGAGTACGGGTATTGGTGGTGATACGGAGGTGAAAGGTGGGAAAGAAGGACTTGAAGAGAGATGATGAGCAATAGAGCGCGAGGAGAGGAATGGAGCCACTCCTAGTTTTGTTCTGCCAGTACTCCATATTCACGCGCGAAGGAACAAACAAAGTAGAAGCATCATCCCGGGAACTGCGGAGTCAATCCACAAGTGTACCGTGAGGTTGCTACAGGCGAGCCAGCCGAAGCATAGGCGATGTAGAGTTACCATCTAAAAAGATAAGGGATATTGGAATGTGCTAAATCGCTCTTGTTTTCTTGGGTGTCCTTGCCGATAAGTGGAAACCATCGTACCATCATCTAGGCGAGGCATATATAAAGACAGTTGATATAGATGATTCGAGCCTGTCCGCGTAAGTTCCGACAGAAGAGACATCTAGCAACTCCATTGGTTGACGGGTAAAAACAGACCGTGAAGCCCCTTGCGACTGCGTTGGGTCTTACTGTATCCGCTAGTCGGAGACGGTGTGAAACGTGATTAACGAATGGTGGGCGGTCTCACACACGCTGGATTCCCAGCATCCAGGTGATTGAAAATATTTATTGATCAGGTTGGAAAGTGCAATAGAGTCGTGAGTAGCTGGCTCGGGGTTACCCTTGTAATAGTCTCAACGCGGAGAATGCAGGCACACGGCAGGGTTTCCAGAATGTACCGTGCTCTCGGGGCCGGTGATTAACGACGAGCTGGAATTAACTTTCTGGCGGCGCATTCCGTTTATTTTGTTTCTGCAGAGCGCGGTATGGTACTAGGGACGAGCCTAGAGTGCCATGCCTTACCTGTCTGTGCATTTTCGAAAGACATGGCCCGTGGAACAGAGATAACGGCGTGGGTGAGACAAATGTAATATCGAACATGGAAGAGCGATAGTTGGTCAATATGAAAGACAATAAATAACCAGGGAGCAATGGGTATGATACAAACGACGGTCTGCTACAGTCCAAAGCTTTCTTCGAGACCACGCATGGATGTTGATATGAAGTTTGGGTTTTAGCAAAAAGAATGGCAGAAGACTCGCCCGTCGGCGCAGGTGGGACGTCAGGGGGTTCCCGCCGTTAGTGGCGCACCGAGGTCTCTGCGCCTGGGCCATGGCATGGCATGGCATGCACCTGTGGACCCCGGCCAGCTTCACTGCACCAGAGCATTTGGTCCGGCAGTAATAAGACGTATCTTTCTTTTGGCGCCGCCTCTAGGGTGAACAATAGCGTTCCTAGGACGCGTGAGGATACTTAGGTATGCCGCCACCACAAAAAGCACAACCAAGTATGAGCTACAGGCCACTGGAACTCCCCCGTCGATCACTATCCCTTCATCCACCACCCCACGCACTCCCGCTCGCGAACGCTTTGGAGTCTTGGACTCGACCTACCGTAAGCGGTGACATGCCCAACACTTCCAGCACCTAGTAGACTCTTGTGTAACCTCTGTTTGGAACTCCCTGCTGCCACATTCTACCTACAGCCACCGTGAAGAACTCTTGCGACCGGCCGGCCAGCCTGCCAATGACCATAGCAACCTATCCGTAGTAGTCCGAAGTGGGAGATACGATACAACCATGTCCGGGTAAGCCCAACCGTCGCATTGTTGCGCCCTGGTCGCACAAGAAAGTTGTCAAACGGGTCCTCTGACAAGCTCTTCCAGGTCTATGCGAGAATCGATCAAGGCCCTCAACACCACCTTCTCCGCAGCCACCGGGCTCTATCCTCTACCCGACGAGCTTCGCGCAACCATAGAGAGTTTCCTTGGGCGCTATGGCGACATCGACGATCACGATTCGCAGCGTTTCCACGAAGACCTCCATGCGCTATACCTCCGGCATGTCGCTGGTAGCCCGGAGAAGCATGGTGCCTTCCTGTCTGCGCTACGCATGCTACGACCAGCGATCACGGGAGAGACCCGCTTGACTACGTGGTGGGATCTAGTGCTGAAACCTACAATCGATGGAATAGGGCATAAGAGGCACGAAATCGAAGACGCGAGAGACTTCGTTCAGAGCATACTGGTATACGATGTCGATGCGGATCAAGATGGGGAGCGTGCGCGTCTGTCGAATGTCTTCACCAAGAAGATTTTGGATATGTACCTTGAGAGGACTAGCATTCCTTCCTCGCTAGAGGATACAATGTCTCCGGGCAACGAGTTTGCGTCGCATGAGCTCGAATTAGTCCTGGTGACTTTTGGCCGTAAGATGCCCAAGGTTAGTCTTCTACTCTGCACACGAGGCTGTCGACTAATCAAGACAGGCGCTGCTCCTCGCGCTTGATGATCTGTTCGTCCAGAAAGAATACCGCATCCAAGCGTTGAACCTGTTGAGCGCTTTCGTTCGGCTTCAGCCACCGCATCTCCATCTAGTTCTCGAAACCTCTCTCATTCAGCACCTAGAGAAATGCTTGCTCATCGACACCTCATCGACTGTAGTCGAGCTGGCCCTTGTTGTCCTCATTATGCTTCTACCTCACATCTGCGGCGCTCTGACCTCCGATCACCATCTCCAGAAACTGTTTCTCGTATATACTAGGGTCCTTTGCTGGGATAAACTGGGAAACGTCGAAGATTCCAGGTCAGTAGACAGTGATGCACATTCTACAGGCGAAGAAAGTGGAGACGACGATGTAATAGATGACGAGTCCGAGCACGTTTGGGAACAAGTGCAACAATCCACGGACTATCCAGATTCTTCGCCACCAGCGCTCATGCATTACTATACCTTTCTCTACGGCTTGTTCCCATTAAACTTTATGAGCTTTATTCGGAAACCGAGGAAATATCTGAAGTCGCTCAACTTCCCAGGCGCACGCGACTTTGATCTGGACCAGCATCTCATCCACAGCCGGACCGAACCATATCGGAGAGTCCATCTCCTCCATCCAAATATGTTTACTACCACTGTTGAAGATGAGTTGAGCGAGAATAGGTGGCTAAAGAGCGATCCTGCGGATGTGGTCACAGAGTGCATGGATCTTTGTGTAGCGATATCGTCGACTCTTCATAACCCTGGGCCACCACCAAATATCAAGCTACCGCCTCTGCCAGAAAGCCCAAACGACTTTACATTGGACGTAGATGGCACTATTGCGAATGGTTCAAACGAAGGCTGGAGGAATACACAATCAACAATGTACGTACCTTTAGGTGAAGCTCTGGAACTACCGCAAACCTTTGAGACATTACCGAGACCCAAGTCAGTCAAGTCAGTGAGGTCCAATCAATCAGCGGCTTCTCCGTTGCTAAAAGGTCGCGATATTATGGACTCACCGACACTACCACCTATGAAGGACAAGAAACAAGACCTTCTTGGCGCGCCCGTAGTTGCTCCTCAACGATTTGTGTCTCAGGAGCCAAGCCTAGATAGCTTTGTACAGTCAGTAGCCCGATCGAACTCGCCCGCTCACAACGACTTCCACAACCAAACCATGGCCTCTCTACAAAGAGAAATTATGCTACTTCGGAATGACCTGAATTTCGAGCGGTATCTGAAACTGCAGCATTTGGCTCATATTGGCCAGCTTCAGCGGAAACACATCAAGGAGGCAACAGCGGACTCGGAGACTCAGAATCTAATTAATACGAACAAGACGTTGAAGGCAAGGCTAGCCAAAGCTAACGAACTATATACCCAATTGAAGAAGGAGACGCTTACCAGCCGAAGCCAGTCGAAGAAGTGGGAGACTGACCTGAACGCTCGAATTCGATCGTACAAAGAGAGCGAAAAGAGCTGGCACAGTGATGAAGGTACTCTACGTTTTGAGTTGCAGAGGACACAGTCGGACTATGAGCATCTCAAGAAGATTGTGGAGAAGGCAGAAGCGGAACAGCTAAAGGCTCAGCAAAGAACACGGGCGCTTGAATTTGAACTTGAGGATTATGGCAACGTTCGACGTGAGCTCGAGGCTGCACAGGAGAAGATGATGACGTCTGAAGCTCAGAGAAAGGAACTCCATACACTCTTGCAGGAGCGCAATGAATTACGCAACGACCTCGAGATTGCCAATATGCGGTTAAATAGTCGAGAGCAAGACCGGGAACGCTCGATCAAGGCCTACGAACGCCGCATAATGGAGCTAGAAACACGGTTGCAGATGACCGAGAGGAACGTGGGCAAACCAGGCCAACTTCCCTCCTCTGTCCAACAAATTCTTGACTCGGCACTTGCGGCCAGTAACGCTAAACTGCAATCGTTGAAGAAGACTCATTACCGCCTCCTCGAACAATACACGGAGCTGCAGATGAAATACCATGATCTTGAGGGCGAGCAACAAGCCGAGTTGGGCCGGCTGTACGCTCAAGAGAAACCCAGTCAATTTGACTACGGGAACACACGTGTCAGTCGCAATTCCAGTATGCGCCAAACAAATAGCTACAACTCGAGGTATCTGCCACCTCTTTCCACGGAGATTTCACCTGGCGAAGAGCGAGAATACTACCTTTCCCCGGACTCGGTGAGCAGTCCTACCTCGACCGCATCACCAGCCCGGCCTGTTAGGCTCGAGTCTTTGCAGACTCAGAGGCCCCAAAGATCTCAGACGACACCCTCACCATACCCTGGCTTTGGTGGCGCTTTCGGACCTGACTACTCTGCGACGTACGATGCCTCTCTTAACAACCAAGCTCAGGCGCACAAATCAGGGAGTGCCCCTCAATCTAGCGGCAAGAGCACTTATTCTGTTGACACAGAGGGCAGTGCCGGCAAAGATAAGAAAGACAAAGTGGATGCAAAATCAGAGGTCCGAGTATACGGTCGTGGTGAGTGCCAAGTTCAGCGACACATGATTATAATAGCTAACACGCAATAGGTGGCGCTCAGAACATTGGGAAGAAGGTCAAAGATAAAGACCAAAAGAAGCCTGTGTCTTCTAAAACAGGAGGCTTTCGAGGATTGAAAGGTATCATGTAGTCAAAGTGCATAGTATACAGATGTGTCAAATCCATTCCCGGAGATCACTTTGACACATCTCACTCAGCTATGTTCATCCCAGATGACGAGTTACCGCCTTATTCACCGAAGAAGAAGTCATAGATAATTACAAATACTGCCATGACTAGACTATTCAATGGTCACATGTTTCCTTTGTTGATTTGTGACGCATCATGGAGCTCACTGCGTCAAGCATTAGAAGCAGTTGAACTTGCATGACATAGAGGTTGTGCGATTCATCAAGCAGATGCGTGTACCCTTGAGCAAAGATAGGCTACTTGCAAGCTCCTACAAACAGCTCTCGCATACCCTTCAAGAAGCTCGCAAGATCCCTCGTCTCGTTCAGTCGCTCGATGACCCTATCGATCTCTTCCCTCTCTACTTTTGGCCGCACTTCTAGCACCTTGTAGTCGCGTTCAGAAGTGTCTAGCTCAAACCACGCCTCCCGATCCCACTCGCGCTCATCCACATTCGTATACACGAACTTGAGCCTATCATCTTTACCTAGCCCCTCAATTCTCATTCCGAGATAGCTTTCCCAAAAGTCCAGCTCTGGCTCGTTGTACCGCGACTGGCCGTCGAGATAGCGGCGGTGCTTGAGTTGGGCTTCGCGGCGCGCTGAGATGCTCTTTTGAACTTCAGCAATTTGGGCGCGTAGGGTGTCGCGGTGGGCGAGGCGCTCGTCGCGTTGTAGGGTCAAGGCAGAGATGGCTTCTTGCATCTCGCTAGTTTCTTGAGATTCTTTGGAGACGGTTTGCGAGTGCTGGGTTTGTTTGAGTTCGAGGATCTCAATGTCGCGCCTTCTCATGCGCTGGTCCTCTAGAAACACAGTTAATACGAGTTCCAACGCTAGAACAGCCGGGAGCTGTTTGTATGCAGAGAGTCAACATACCATGAAGCTCTGCAACATTCATGCGAAACTGGTTGCGTTCTTCTAGCACTCGTCGCCTCCCATTTTCGATGAAAGCATCAAAGCGCGCAGTGAATTGATTCATGCGGCTGCGTAGGTCGTCGAAGCCAAAGTTGATCGAAGGTAGCTGGTCGGCCATGGACGGCGCATCGTGCGGAGAGAGGCGCATCGTGGTGCTGAGGGAGGGCTCAAAGGTTGTCATGATGAATTGTCAGCACGTGCGAACAGGTCATGTAGTGTTATCGAGAGTGCAATAGGCGGGCGACGTGGTGTGCGGTGAGGCGTCGGGAAGAGGGAGGGGGGGGAGCGTGTTGTCGACGGTTGTTAGGTAAACAATGGGGTTGTGCCAAGGCAGAACGAGCGTGGTATGTATGTGAGCCGCCCAACGTACCTGACGCGCGCTAGCGGAACTTTTTGATCCCCGCTGCCCTCTTCCCTTCACCATCATCGCGTTGAGGACTCAAGTCAGGGTTTCTCTGACATCTAGGAGCCAATCCTCGGCTTCAATTGCAGTGTGCAAAGGATGATTCGACACCCTCACGCCACCACCGACCGTCAACCTCTGCTCAACCCAAATGGCTGACCAAACGCTCAAGCATCTGAACTATGGACATCCTGGTGCACCAACCTACGACCTTGAGAACAGGGAGTGGAGCTTTACCAGACCGTACACAAAGCGACAACTGAACCAAGTGCCCTCTTGGAACATTGCATACGCTCTTCCGACACAGGCAATACCTGCATCTGCACAGCTCCCCACTTCGCACACCTCTGCGAACAGTACAAGCGTCCAGAAAGACGTCAAAGGTCTCGTGCGCGACTGCCCTCAGCTAGCACCGGCTTCGCAACAACTCCCCGCGCTAGCCCGTGTATCCGCCGCCATACAAACCACGACGTCGACGTACGACCCCCTCATCGGTAGCCTCTTGTCTTTTGGTTCGATTACCCTTGGGGATAAACATGAAGACCCAAGACGAGTTGCTGCGTTACCTACTGGAGAAGCTGGTAACATACTGCGGCTGGCAATCTTGACTAGGGAAAGGTGTGGCTGGGGTACGGACCGAAGCGTGTGGATTGAAGGTCCCTCATTCAAGGATGCCGAGAGTGGGTATTGGAACGAAGAAGCAGCCCCTATACAGCAAGTCTGTTTTGCACAGTCTGAGGATAGAAGTTCTCTCCTCGCTGTACGACTTCCTACAAGGACTACCCTCTTCCGCCCGGTCTACCATCGACACCGTCGAGCGGCGACTCCGTCGCCGTATTACCACCTCCCCACTTCCATCATCAATGCGCACCCGATACTGAGCATAGGAGTGCACCAGACTGGGGGGGCTCCTCACGCAGACGTTACCTTTAATCCAGAGTTCCAACTCCAATTCGGCGTCGTTGACCAGAACCACACTTGGAGTGTCTGGGACATTGAACATGGGCGCAAGGGCGACACATATACCATGTCATGCTTGATCCAAGGACACATCGATCCTTTGGAAGATGCAAATACGGCTGGCGAGGACGGCTGGGCGAGAATACTCTGGGTAGGCGACATCAACACGCTTCTAGTTTGCAACAGGAGACAGCTCAGCATCATTGGTATAAAAGGAAGCTCATTCACATACCTCCCGTGTCCGGCGCTTTTCACTAAACGATCTACCGAGTGGATTTTAAACGTCAAACCGCACCCACGTTACAGAGGTCGCTTCTTCGTCTTGACGTCAACCCGTCTTATCGTCATGGCAGTCACTACTTTGAGCGAGGCTCTGGACGCAACCGCAGGCAAAGCCGGGGTGGCTATTCTAATGGCATGGAGACACTACCGGGGTACAGAAGACTTCACTCTTGACTTCAGCGTGCAAATGCTCGCCCATGATGGTAATGGTAGATAATCCTATCCCCGAGACTATGACTGACAGCTTGATAGGGGCGTGTGTGTTATTACATTCTCGTCTGAATCATCTCATCCAAATGTTTACCTTCGCAGAGCACACATCAGGTTCCTCTGCGCTCATCTCGACTTCTGATCCTAGCATGCTGGACTTTCCGATCGGTGAACCCGAGCATACAACTCAGGTACACATAGAGTCTATGCAGTACGGTGGCATGGAACAAGACGCATACCCATCTAACCAGGGTCGCTCATATATGGAGAGGGGTATACAGTTCTATCAACTGTTCTCAATCCAGGCAGACCTGAGCGTCCGCGAGACCGTCGTATACAGTCAGGAGCTTGGAGCAGCTACGTCGGTTCCCGCTCCAGTCGTTGACGAGTTCGAACGTTGCTTGATTAGGCACCCTCGGCGGCGAGATGGTTCTAGAAAAGAATTAATCAACGAGGACGAAGACTTCATTGTTCCGAATAGTCTGAACGCAGTCGAAGGCCCCATGTCTAGAACTGTGTCACAGGAGCCAAAGAGGGTTCAGAATCGAGACCACCGTCCGTTCTTGCAACGTGTGGTGGACTATAGGCTCCTATATAGTGTTCTGATCCGATCGGACACTGGTGATCAAGGAGCGTCCGAATCAGTAGATATCGCGGTCGTGACAAATCAGCTGCGACAGATGCTTATTGATGAGTCTGGTTCGTTCCTATTGCCACTTGGCACTCTGTAAGTGACACGAGTGCACATTAACTGAGCATCGAAGGCTGATCAAAACAGCATGGACTTTGCAGGCATGAAGATCGACGTTTTAGATGTTGACAAGGCTTCGGAAAGTCTACAGAGACTATTCTCTTCAGGAGGTCACGGAGACATCGCCGGAGTCCAACGCATTGCATCAGAGCGTATACTTTACCTGCTCGAGTACGAGGAGCCTACTGTTGCAGATATATACGATACTATCCTCCAAAATTGGGTTGCACCTCTGCCACCGGACGTGCCTCTTCGCGTTCGGCAACACAAAGAACGTCTCAGTCGGCGCATTGCTGCAGAGATTATGCTGGCTAGCACTCGCATACGGCAGCTGGAGATTCAAGAGCTGCCTACTGGATCACAGCGTGGTCCAAGTCAAGATGGCTCAGTGTCCCTGCCTGTCTTGCCATCCAAGCCTGTGGACGGACAACAAACGAGTACACCTCAGTGGCTATCTTCGCAATCACTACCGACGCCGCCACACTCCTCTATTCCATCTTCATCCCAACCTGCTTCATCCCCCCCGCCGTCGCCGTTCCCTCCCTCCATTTCCTCCGATCCTCTCGCTCGGCTAAGCAAGCATCTACAAACCAAAGAGTTGTTGCTGACCCCTACAATCATTCCACCAAATGTTACTCAACTCCTCGCCCACTGGCAGTCCGGTACCGACCCGAGCATCTACGACTGGGAGGCTACCGAACTCGCCCTTCGACCCGAGGAGCTCGACCCAACTAGCCAAGAACAGCGCGACAAAGCACGCAAGAAGAAAGAACGCAGAGAGAGAAAACAACTGCGCGAAGACGAATTGATGAGAGCGAAGGCAGCCAGTCAGCCAATGGTGTTCCCAAGAAGCTCTCCTGGCCCAATGTTCGCAAGCAGTAGTCAGGTACCAGCCCAGAGATACAATCAAGTGCCACTACCAAGGAGTGAATTCAAAGGACCGGGAGGGCTGGACATTTTAGCTCCGATGAGTCAAGTCGAGCCTGGGAGGTTTGGTGGAAGGCCGGAGAAGAAGAAAAAGAAGAAGGGAAGGGTTAGTGGATTCTGAGTGAATCGGAGCGTGGAGACTGCTTACCACTTCATCCGTAGAAGGCTATTTGGTCATATTCTGAAGCGGTTCGGATGAATAAACAATTGGTGTGGGGTGCCGTCATTGGGGCGGAAGAATGGGGCGCCTCAAAGTGGGGTTGGAGGGGTAGCTTCCTTGATATAACAGCCATAGCGTAACTCTACTCTTTGATTCTGATTGCATCTTGTCTTGTGGCCCTGGATTAAATCTAGCGTTATCCTTCTTGTTACCTTGACCCCTTCAACACCAGTATCAAATCACAGTAGTCAAGATGTCGGGATTCCCTTCTCTCCTGCCCGCTTTCACAGTCCGTGTCGCCATTGATACGCCTATGCAAGTCGGCGGGCAAGCGGGATCACAGCTTGTCATCGTCCCAATGGTCTCTGGAACCGTGAAAAGCGAGCCTGGGTTTGAGCCGAAGTTGGATGGCGAGTTGCATGGTGTTGGGTACGACTATATCCACAATGACGCGGGAGGTGAAAACATGAGATTGGACGTTCGGAGCCAGGTCAAGTGAGTCCCCACCAGTTCTCTCCCTAACCCGTCTGATTTCAATCCTTTTCCCATCATATAGTTTCTAAATTCTTTTGATCTGACACCGGATAAGAAACTCAGATGGAACCATACTCGCTATGTACTACAAAGGCACTGTTGCCGTGACTAGTGGTGTCCAAGCCATTTTGTCTGGATCTCCGGACGCCAAGACTACAGATTATGGTAGAACATCCCATACACGCTATAAGAAACACATACTGACTCTGTATCTTTTACCTTCAAGGGGACTCCTTTGTCACCTTCACTTTTGAGACGGGCCACTCCGCGTACAAAGAGCTGCAGAATGGGACATACGTGGCTGCGGGCCACTTTGTGAACGAGCCTGGTGAACCAGGAGTAGTTGTCGAATATAAGGTTAGCAAGGTTGTTTATCAGGGATAGTTGGTCAAATGCGACAACGGTAAGTTGCTTTGTGCTCTTGCAGAAGAGGCGCGGAAATTTGTGGAGTCCGTGTAACATGCTACGCATAAATGGCATACACTTTAAGACACATCATAACATGAAGTATATGTAGGTCCCCACTTTCTGTGGCGTCTTGGGACGCACATACAGCATAGGGAGTAGAAACCCTACCGTGATAATCGGCGGTAGACATCATCACCACCCGCTCCGCCCTCATCACCTCGCCCCATTCTTAATCTTGTAATACTCTGGCGCATACTCTGCCAGCCAATCCATATCTACAGTCGACAGGTCTCTGATGTAAATCTTATCTCTTGTCGACAGGATTTCGGTGTAAATCACCCAATCCGCCTTACGGTGAAAGAAGACTGAACTTGGGTGTGCCCATAGCGTTGTTTTGCCGTCTATGGTGGTGAATGAGCCATCAGATTTCATACGTGCTGCGTGCGCAAAGAAGCCTGTTGTTAGGCAGCGACGAACGCGCTCAGCGATGGGAATGCCGCCGACACTAAGTAAACCAGATGATGAGGATGCGAGAGCAGTTTCTTTTACACCGAATCGGTCAAGATATGCGGCGAGTTGTTTGCGAACGCTGGACGCCTTTACCATGCTTTTGTGGTTGAGACAGTTTTCTCGACACCATTGTACGTTTTGCATGCCAGCTTTGACGAACGCTTCGTACACGTTATATAAGGTGAGATGGTCTCCTTCCGCGACGGCAAACCTTCTTCTCGCATTGTCCAGCTGCTTCTTGTTTCCGTCGTGCGAGACGAAAGCGTTACCCTGTAGCGTCATCATCGCCGCAATGGTAAGCATCTCGCTCAAGCACCCAAACTCCGGGTTTGCTGCTTGTAACAGTGCTTTAGACAGCATCGGCTCGAGTGGGAGCTCCGCCATCCTTGCCCCTAAAGGCTTTGTAAGTCGTGCTGTTGTGTCTAGGGCGCCGAGAGAGTAAAGCAAGTCCAAGGCCCGGGTGATCAGAGACGAAGGTGGGGGAGAGAGGTAGTCGAACCGCACCACATTCGTAATGCCCAAGTTCAGTAACTGCAAGACCACTGGGGCGAGGTTCGAGCGCTGGATCTCAGGGAAGGTTGCTTCCTCCAGTCTCTCAAATGCGACCTCGGTGTACAAGCGAAAACACTTTCCAGGCCTAGTTCGACCTGCTCGACCCGCGCGTTGAGTCGCACTAGCCTTTGATACAGGTACGACGTTCAGGTTCTCAATACCGAGATGTGCGTCATAGTTTCTTAATTTGACATAGCCACTGTCTAGTACGAAGACGATGCCATCGATTGTTATGCTTGCTTCAGCAATGTTTGTGCTGAATATAACTTTTCTTGTATTTGCCGGCGGCTGTTGAAAAACAAACATCTGTTCTTCTGATGGTAGGCCTGCGTAGAGTGGTAGTGGCATGAGTTTTTGAGATGTGGAGGGGAGGTCTACGATCCTGTCGCTTATCATATCGATCGCGTCGTCTATTTCTTCGCGACCGGTGAGGAAGACGAGTACATCGCCTCCTCTTTCGTTCTCGTGGATGGACATGACTGCTTCGACGGCTGCTTCGACGTAGTTGGTGGTAGGCTCGAGTAGATATTGCACTTCAACTGGGAACGTCCGCCCCTCAATTCCAACAATCCTGCCATAATCCTCCCTGCTCTTTCCAAAAACTTGCTCGCCGTTTTCAGGGTTAAAGAAATCGAGGAACCGCCCCGCCTCCAATGTCGCACTACTCACAACTACTCGTAAATCCTCTCTCTTTCGCAGTACCTTCTTTAGCAAGCTAAGTAAGATATCAGAGCTTAGGCTCCGTTCGTGTGCTTCGTCAACCATAACGACGGAATAACGTTTGAGCAGCGGATCAACGAGCATTTCGCGCAACAAGAGACCATCCGTGACAAACTTGACTTGCGTAATCGCACTCGTGACATCTTCGAATCTGATTGAGTAGCCAATTGTTTGTCCAAGGGGCGTGTCTAGTTCTTCTGCAACCCTTGCAGCTACGCTGGTCGCCGCTATCCTCCTCGGTTGTGTAACAGCGATTTGTTGTCCATTTTTGCACCACCCTGTCTGGAGTAGAAATTTTGGAATTTGAGTTGTTTTGCCTTTGATGATGGGAATATAAAGTCAGTGGTTGTCTCGTGGAATTACAATTTAGAAACCTTACCGCTGCCGGTTTCGCCGACTATAATGGTCACGGGGTGAGCTTCTATCGTATAAAGCAACTGATCCTTGAGTTGGGCGATGGGAAGCAATGCTGGCGGTTTGTAGAGTTGGGGTACTAGGAGAGAAGATAGGTCTTCGTCCTCGTCGGTCATGATTGCTTTTTAGTGTTAGGTCAGCTGGGAAGAGGTGTGGAGGGTTGGAGAGTCGAGACGTGCGTGGTGAAGGCGGCAGGGAAGGAAGACGTTAACAGCTAGCGCTAGCCCGCTATATTGTACGCTAGTGTTCGTAGCTTTTTGGACGACACCATATCGACCCGATGGTCTCACTTCGCCATAATCTGTACCATCATTTGCTCTTGGCAGCATCAAATTATCAAGGCTTCTGCACATTAAGGGACTCAAGCCTCCGCGAGATCGACCAATTCGCTGACACTCAACAATGCCAAACGAACGCCAGAGGGTCAGACTATGAATCTCTGGGCTTCAATTAATGCTGTCAAGAGTAACACAGGTAACATGATATCTATCAGCTCAACGACTACGAAGGATAGGGTAGTACTGTCTCGGAGGCCCGCCACATCTTGATACAAATCGTAACCGCCACCCCAATTTACACTACCAACCCCAGAATACAGCATGGACAGTATGCAAGTTTACACCTTTATCTTTTGGGTTACATGAATCATGAATCATGATGAATGTTGAGATTTCGACACCAAAAACCCGTTCAGGATGCGGGCGCAAAGCTTAGTACAGTCGAGTTTGGCGTGGGTGGAGGTCAGCAGTGGCCGCGCACATTGTTGAAATCATTGAAGTATGGAAAGTGTCAATCGGTTTCATTGTATCTGGACAAGGTTGTATAAGAATTCGCTTTGCGAAGAATTGAGAAATCACACTGAGGTATCGCAAGCGAAGCCTTTATTATCATGCTCATTGAAGTATATGACAAGGCCGGATGTGAAGTGTTATGATTTGCGTTCTCCAGTAAAAAGGGCCGTTGATGTCCTTTAGCTGCTCTATGTCCCGCCCTTTGGCAACGTGCTTCCAAATCTTGAACACGCCTACGTGTAAGTGCGGCTCGATAACTGTCTCCAGTCATAGCATAATGCGCTTAGGAGACGCAAGAACAGCCGGGACCTTGATCGATTATAATTGTGGTCCCGAAGACTTTGGAATTTGTTATCTTCACTCTCGCACATTATTCCGCTTCACCATACCCTGCTACAGCACTGTAGTACTAGTCCACGATGATGTCGTTAATTTTGCACGCTTCTCTTTACCGTTATTTATGGCTGTCATAATGAGTCCCAGGTCCATGACTGTCGTATCAGTCTTCATTCATGAGTCCTAGGTCCATGCTTCTGACCTGCACACAGCTCTGACGCAGGCCCAGACAGGTATTTAAATGCTCCACATCTCAGCATACCGCTCTACTACACACAAAATTCTTGTTCGAAATCAATATACTATTCCAACAGATACCATGAACCTTCTTACGACAGTCTACATCACGTTCCTCGCTGTTGGAGCAGCACTAGCTGGCTTTGACTCCAAGTCCAAAACCAACCTCGCAGTCTATTGGGGTCAAAACTCTGCCGGTGGAACAGGAGGGCAACACCAGAACCACTTGTCAACATACTGCGCCGACGCAGATGTCAATATCATCCTACTCTCCTTTCTCGTCAACATGAACGGCGTTGATGGGCAACCAGAACTCAATTTCGCAAACCAAGGCGACAGGTGCGATCATGACACTAAACCTTTCAAGTGCCCGGAGATCGAGGCGGGCATCAAAGAATGCCAGAAGAATGGGAAGACTATCCTGCTATCGCTAGGCGGTGCCTTCAGCGAAGAGAAGGGACCTGTCGATAAAGAGCGTGCTAAGAAAGACGCAGAGAAAATGTGGCAGATGTTTGGGCCTGATCAGTCGAAAGATATCATCCGTCCATTCGGTTCGGCTTCGGTTGATGGGTTCGACCTAGACTTCGAGCATGAAGTGCAGAACATGGTTCCATTCGGGAATGCGTTGCGTGAGCAAGCGGGTAAACACCCCAAAGAGCATGGAGACCGACAATTCTACCTCAGCGCCGCCCCAGTCTGCCATATGCCAAACCCGATCGGTGGAGTACGGGACATACTTGACCAGCTCCCCCTAGACATGGTGTTTGTGCAGTTCTATAACAATCTCTCATGTGATGTGCGGGCAGGATTCAACCTGGAGCAGTGGGATGGCTGGGCAAAGGCAAAGAATACTACGTTCTTTGTAGGGCTCCCGGCGAAAGAAGCGGCCGCTCCATCTGGCGGATATGTACCTCCTGAAAAGCTTAGCGAGCACTTGCGAAAGGCGAAGGGCATGGGCAAGATGGGGGGCGTGATGCTCTGGGATGCCAGCCAGGCGTGGTCCAATGACGGGTATCATCGGAAGATCAAGAGCGCCCTAAACGCGACATCGTCGTCGGGTCGGGCCCGTTTGTTCTGATGAAGTAGGTCATGCTTGGACAAGGGGTTAGCAGATGCGTAGAGGCTTTCTATGTCCAACCTTGTGGGCAACATAGCATCATTTCCGTGCGGTTGGTACTCAATTAGGGGTTCTCGTTGGTGGGACATGGAAGACCCATGTGAGATCGGAGCGATGCATGTTACACATTCCGTAGATGAATCAAATTTGAATGACACCTGTGAGAAGATATGCCGCAAGAAGGGTATACCAACGCCCGACGCGCCTATACACAATCATGACGTTCATTAACCATGAACCTGTCTAAGAGGCCTGGTGAAGGCCTCGTGAGCCATGCACTTGGCGGAACCGGATGCCGTCACCGAACACCGTATCGTACACCTTAGCCCCTCAATTCTGCCTATACTTGGGCGGAATGTTCTTCTCTACGATGCCTCTTAGCTCCAAATTCTCCCACTCCTCTTGCTTCGCCTCCATCTCCTCATGTTTCTTAAAATGCTCAATGTCCTCTGGATGGTTCAAGTCCTCCTCTTTCACATCATCCCCGCTATGGTACTTCTCCCAATGATGAATCTCATACTCGTACTCATCATCTCCATGATGGCCTGGGCCCATGCCAAAGTCCGGAAGCTTGACGTTCTCGGAATCTTTCTTCAGGAATTCGGAGAGAGTGATGCTGCCATCTTTATCGATATCGAACATGTCGAGGATGGTTTGGACGACCATTGCCTTTTTTGTTTCGGAGATGCCGGTAGAGGAGGGGTCGGAGAGGCCGTAGGTTCGGCGGATGTCGACGCTTGTCCAGAGGCCGGTGCTGTCGTAGTCGTGCAGGTTGAAGAAGGTAGTTGCGTCAAAGCCGGAGATGTGGTGCTCCTCTATATAGAAAGTTAGCATTGAATGTCCGTTGTACATCTATGTGCAGGAAAAGAGGTTATGAGAGTTCATACCAGCCATATGTCGCGTCGCCCAGTCCGCGTCCGGCGCGACCTCGATGTTCGCATGCTCTCCGCCGCCATGCGCTGAAGCTTTGAAGGCGCATGAGAGTAGTAAGAATGCGCTGAGAGGTGCCTGGAGTAAGCGGTTCATGATTGCTGCTCTTGTGACGTTGCAATCGAGTCTTGTTGAGCTGGACACCCAGTGTTCCTTCCAGGGGTTCTCGGTGAATTATCCGGCCAACTACCGACGCGATGTCATGGGGGACTCTTCACGTGCTTTCGCTCCATCACCGTACCACGTACACTGTCACCCCGAAATGAACGTCCTGGTACTACTGAGCCTGCTATTCTTTATTCCGTTTCTCTTCTTCCTTGCGTTTCTCGCTGCATCCTCATGCATGGGCGACCAGTTTCGCGCTAGGGTCTCTAGCAGTACGTTCAATCCTCGACATGCCTCGTTTGGTCGTAACTACACGCGCGGTTTCGGTTCGGGTGCTAGTAGTGCAGGGTGGGAACAAATCGAGATGGAAGACATGCTTGGGGAAGACGACAGTGACGAGGATTAAACTGTGTCGAACAATCGATGATATGCATTCGTTACGGATTGAGGGCACATAAGCAAGGCTATGCTATTATAGCAACGAAGCAATGGGTATCTTGCCGACTACCATACGGCTTTCGCAGCCCTAGAATTCGAGATCCTCCTTCTTTGGCATAGCACTACCACCCGCCGCCTCCCTCACAGCCTCTTCCTGCGCTTCCGTATCGCCCTCAACCGGCGGCAGACTGAACTTTGCAATCACAAATTTCCGCCGGCTCAGCGTAAAAGCCATATCCTCGCCTAAACCGTCTGCTCCACCACCGCCACCTTTTTCATGGAACACAGGGAGCTTGTGCACTGCAAGCATGCCCTGCGGTCTCTCCTCGTCCTTCGTTGTGCCAGCCGATTGCGCGAGTGCCTGCATGTGCGAATATGGAAATGGCGAGAGCTCAAGGATACCGTCGGATAGTATCTCCATCCAGCGGACCATGCCTGAGGAGCGTGGATAAAGAGATAGGGGAAGGGTGAGGATTGCAGTCAAGCGTGCGGGATACTGCCGTAGTAGCGCACGCAGAGCGTGTAAAAACTGCAGGATTGAGCTAGGATGTGTAGCAGAGGGCGGATAGAGTGCTGGCGAGAGGAGAGACGGGATTACAAGGCGATGAATGGTATGTGAGGGTGTTGAAGCAAGCTGCTGCTGCACGTGGTGGAGTATCGGGAGGAATGGTGACGAGGACTTGGAGGTGGTTCGAGGTACTGGAACATAACTGATTGCTGTCCCTACTGGAAGGGTAAGGCGTTTTGCAAGGTCGAAGGTATGGCAGAACACCGATGGCTCTTCTGTTGCATTCTCCCCTAGATTCGCCGTCCTATTCGGACTTGGAGAGCCTAGGCAAGGATGGGTCAGAACCATGAACATAATCAGATGGCATTTGCGGTGTTAACATGTATGTACAAGACGCACCTCTAGCACTCTCAAACTGCCCTAAGCCCTCATATCGCCAAGCAATCCTCATCTTCTCTGCCCTCTCTTTCCCTTCCTTTCTCTTGTCCTCTTTGCCCTCCGATATACCTGGCAGTTCCCTCCCCCACACCTCGCCCATGCCTACGACGTGCACCTTGTGGCCCTGCACCACTCCTTCGGCGGCATAGAAGCGTAGTAGTGCACCCGCATAGTCTGTCGTACCGCTTTCCTCGATAAGTACCGAGTTACCGAGAGGTAGGCCTGCGTGGCCTGCTAGGATGCCATCGAGGGAGGGTGTGCCGGTGGATGTGGTGGGGCGGCCATCGATGGGTGAAGGGCGGACGCCGAGTGGTGTTGGCGCCGGAGGGGCACTGGAGAGAGATGAGGGGACATTTGACGCGTCTTCTCCTGCTGAAGCACGCGAGAGGGCTATGTTGCGCTTGCGAAAGGCCATTATGCACTCTTCTCGGACTGCAGGTCGCGACTTGTCGAAAATCGTGCAAAGCGCTTATCGATAACACCCAGTGGCAGACGTCATATTGTCTAGAGTGCTCGCGGCTGTCATATTGCCCTTCCTCTTTTATCTACTTCGCTATGACATCTCCCTTTTCGTTTTCATCTACGCACAAGATAGATGGGCAGTGAAATCCACTCCTCGGGGATTCCCATGATACAGAAGGACAAGGCACGTCATAGAGGGGGGTCACTTGCTGTTCCGGCCAACTCATGCATAGCTCTCATCCCATCATTGAAGATAATAAACCACACAAAGCTTACTGTTTATTAGACTGGATGCCGAACACAACATTAGACACATGTGCTGAAGAGTTAGGCATCGGGGATCCACGTTATACTCGGTGTCCCTAGAATACTCCCCCAACGGCCTAGTATATGACAATGCCACCACAGAGCAAGGATACTCGTGCAATGAGCCGCAAGAGGTATAGCGCCGCCATCACCCAGACGCCACTCTCACTCATCTCAACAGGCAGATGCAGATGTTGGCTTCAGACCATTCATGATTGGCGGGTATTCCGACGCCCGGGGCATATCAGGATCCGACGGGCATACTCTAGTTCTGGTCCTTGGTGTATAAGTCGAGTCGGGGTGTCCATGATGAACAAGATTCTGCAACGCCCGACTCCTACACCTCACAAACCCCAGAGAACCGTGTATAGCCCGGTAGCTTGCCATACTCACCTTTTCGTTTTCAACCATCTTGAGCAACCCATATTGGCAATGGCCACCTCATGCTCAGAGTGCATCAAGGTACGGCAATCGCTGACTAGATCTGCGCGATGTGCACTCACCACGTTCCACAGGGCACTATCCACCAAGGCCAGCCCAAGGGTACGGAAGAACTCGTTCACGGATTGAACACCTACGTGATTGGCAACCGTACCAACCCGCGAGGCATCATAGTAGTCTACTCCGACATCTTCGGCTTGGGACTGCCAAACAACAAGCTCATCGCAGATGCCTACGCCCAGAGCGGCGAATGGTTAGTCTACCTTCCAGACTTCTTCAAAGGCGACCCAGTAGGACTCAAGGTAGCCGATGTCTTGATTCCAGTCGACGCAGCCAAACAGTCTACATTTGCAAAGTATTCAGGCATCCTTGCTAGTATGCCAACGTTCCTCATGTGGATGTCGAGGCACAAGACGGGGCCTACTGATAAGATATGCATGGATTTTTTGACCTCACTCAGACGCACAACGCCAACGGGCCAGAAAGTTGGAATGGTGGGAATGTGTTGGGGTGGAAAGTATGCAATCCGGGCCGGGCTCGAGAGCAACATGATCGAGGTTGATGGCGTAAAGAAGCCTCTGGTGGATGCCGTGGTGGCCCTGCATCCGAGTCACCTGGTCGTACCGGATGATGTCGAGAGTTTGGTCGTACCTGTTAGCTATGGTTGGGGCGTGGAAGATATTGCTGTGAGTTTCAAGCAGAAGGCCGAGGTGGAGGCAGTCCATGCAAACGCCCAAAAGGCAGGAATGAAAGTGCCAGATATGGAGCACAAGACCTACAAGCCCGGACGACATGGGTTTTCTGTGAGAGGTAATCCGGATGATCCCCCAGAGAGGAAGTGTCTGGAGGACTCAGTGGCTCAGGTTTTGACTTGGCTCGATAAATGGCTTTGAGAGCAAGCTCAACGTCGGAGTGGGTGTGTCAAAGTATAGACTTCTTAGCTGCAAATTGACTCAAGTATTTCATCTAGATCTAGTATCAGTCGCCTTGTACCTTTGGATGTCTCAAGATATTATAAGTACCTGAATATCAATAAATACAATTTTGCTTTGCTTGAAGCCTGTCGCATAGGTAATATGTACACTGGTCGAATATGGAAGCTTCGTCTTATCGATACGACTCGTGGAAGCTAACACAATCTAGACCATCAGCCCGTGTGTCGCCAGCTCGCGCACCTCGTCTACTTGGCTTCCCGTCTCTACTGTGTATGGTCCGCTTAACGTTAGTAAGGCTCACAGCCTGCGAGAATCGCCACGTAGCTAGAAGTGCGCCTATACAGGTTACTCTAGAAACTTCGCTTGTGGCACAGCCTCGAGGTCCAGGTTAGAGTTGATATAAACGTTCTATCAATCGTTCTCGATCGTTTTCAAGCGCCATGACCGGCTGGTACACGATACATCAGCGCACTCTCGTCATGCGATGCCGTCGTTGAATGCTCCAAGCATAGTCGTTGACTTGTGTACTGGACAGTGTACTAAACAGTCCTTTTAGGAGGAAAAGGAGAACGAAAGCTGTAAATTTAACTCATTATGTCGTTATGTTAACTGACCAAGACACCTGTGATATTCGCAATAGACCGCTACCTCGTGAGTATACCTACGCCGTATATAAAGAATGTACTGACTCCCGCTTCATCCCGCTTACGACTAACACCCCTTAACAAAAAAAAAGTTACCTAGGACTTGGACACAACGCTACGAATCAAATATCGCCCCATACGCCGGTATACCCCTACACTCCATATCATAAACAATCTTCGTCGTGAATCTCTTATTGCTGATCACACACACGGCCTCTGCGCCGCTCTCTTTGTACAGCTTGTATGCCATAAGACTCATATTCGGTTTACCCTGGGTCCTGGTATTGTGGATAACCGCATGCGGGTCCGTTTTCATCACGCTCTCGACGATGTCCTTGCCAAACGTCTGCTCTGGGTTCGGCGCCGTCCAGAGGATTCGACAGGGTACTTTGCGCGCGAGGATGACGGCCAGACAGGGGCCGATGCCAGAGCCGGTGGCGACGAGGACCACGGAGCGGAAGAGCGTGGCGATGCGGAGCACGCCGCAAGTCGGGATGCCGCGCACCCATATGTGAGTGGGTGCGCGCTCGATAGTGCGGCCTGTGAAGTCGCCCGCTCGGCTCACGATCAGCGAGAAGCCGTTGGGGTTAGGGCCTTCGTTGGTGATGGTGGCGAAGCCGTGCCAGTCGAGCAGTGGTCGCTCGGCGAGACGCACGGATGTGCCTACAACGGGCGTGGTGTAGTTGAACCAGAGTCGCACGGCGTGGTTGGAGAGCACTTCTGAGCGGACAAGGACCTTGCGCAAGAAGAGCCAGGGGAAGATGATGGCCATTGTGGCAATGGTGAGCAGCCAGATGGGTGGAGAATTGAGCCATGCTTTCGTTGGTGCGATGTCCGGATTCAGATCTTTCGTGGCGAGAAATGTTTGTATCCAGAGCAGGAGGAGCGCTGTCCAGCCGCCGAAGCGATGAGTCATTTCCCAGATATTGTGGTACTTTGCGCGGATAGTAGGATGCGACATTGAGCCCATCGCGAAGAAGATGGCAACGACAAGATAAGAGAGGACTACTGGTGCCACAGAAATACATCTCACCCCCAATGGCTTCGTGAGTTCAACACTAGCGCCAATGGTAAAGAAGGTAAACCACACCATGGCAGCGATGGCGCATCCGCTATGTATCCCGCCAATGTGGAAGATCCTTGCGCAGTGTCGGCGAATGGCAAGCGGGAAGCTTGTGGGGACTGAGCAGAAGACGGTGAAGAGAAGGTTGACGACGGGTTCCGAACGCATCAACACTGCTATGCAGAGGTTGGCCGCCGTAGCCGTTGCGAGGTCTGCGAGTATATATCGATCGAATTTGATCCTGCGATACAGAATGAAGCAAGCAGCAATAAGATTGGCGGCAATGACCACGGAGAAGAACCGACGGTACAGGATGAAGAGCCGATGCCGGAACCACCGTTGGCCGTGGAAGCCGTTTTTCTCCGGCAATGTATCCGGGATTTCTACGATGCTACTTTCTTTAGACGACAGGCCCGAATCAGACAACTTGCTTGAGATGGTAACTTGGGCCTTCTCAGGATCTTGGCCTTTCTCAGGGTCCCGAGTAACGTCCGCGTTGTGGCTTGCAGGTTGGTAGAGGTCCAAGGTTGTACATTTTGGTGTTGGCTGGATCGATAGGGAGGTGTCCACAGCAGAATCTTGCTTGGTATGGCGTAGAACTAAAGCACCGAGTCCTTTCCTGTCTACCTTGCCATTTGCTGTGAGTGGAATTGATTCGACATATGTCCAGCACTCAGGGACTGAGTAGTAGGGAAGGTGTTTTCGGACGAAAGCGTCTAGATCCTCCTCGTCAATGAGCGTTTGTGTGGTGTAGAAGCCGTGAAACACATTGTCGATGATTATTGCGGAAGCTCTTGTGACGCCAGGAAATTTCTAAGAAATGTCAGCTTAATCAAAATCGTTCACAGGGAGGCAAATACCTCAATAACAGATGTGACACCGTCCAATTCTACGCGGAAGCCCTGCAGAGGTTAGCAATATTCGTTATCGGGGCACTGCTTCCATACCTTGATCTTGACTTGGTCATCCACCCGACCAAAAGTCTCCAAGCAGCCATCTTCGCTCCAGCGAACGATATCGCCAGTGCAAAACATCTTTGAGCTAGACATAGTTAGTCAGGGGCCGTAGCAATGAATTTGAGATATGTACCCATCATTTGCGAATCTATCGAGTTGGTATCGCTCTGAACTTAATTCAGGCAAGTTGATGTAGCCACGCGAGACGCCCGCACCACCAACCCACATCACACCTTTCTCACCAAAAGGTACGGGCTGTCCATCGTCATTCAGGATATAGCACGTGGTATTCGGTAGCGGCTTGCCGATTGTGAGTGGTGTACCTGGAACATGTCGATGAGCTGAATTGAGAATAGTGATTTCTGTGGGTCCACAGATGTTGAGATATGAAGTGCCTTGTGCCCACTCGTCGGCTAGACTACGGATAGTTAGCGAAATGGTATTTTCCACTGATAAGAGGTGTTGGCTTACGCTTGTGGACATGGTTCCCCGCCAGTGACAACGGTCCTTATGTTGGGAAATGAAGCTCGTCGGTAGTTGGATAGGATGGAGGGAGTCGAAATTAGGGTGTCGATCTGAAAGTGGTTAGCGCGGTGGTGGGATCCATGTCAACCAATCGAATCTCACCTCTCGCAACGTCGTTTTCCAGTCTGATCCTCTTAGCCATAATGTTCCGCCGTTCATAAGACACGCGAGGATTTCCCATGCCCCTGGTCATCGGTTAGCTGCGTGTCAGAATTCAATCGTCCCGGACTTACCCATGTCAAAAGCGATATTGAGCACTTGCGCAACCTGGGCACCAATCGTGATTCCAAGCTTTGCCGGCTCCAGCAGCAAGGCGTTGGTGACATTTCCGTGCGAAACATCAACGCCCTTTGGTTTACCTGTGCTTCCTGCAAGACAAGTTAGGCAAGGCAATTGACTCTTGATACCTAGTGAGGGCTTACCTGAAGTATATATGGCATATGCGCCATCCGCCGATGTGACCTCAATGGTCGGCCTCTCCGTCGAGTAGAACGCACCAGTGTTCGTCTCAAGGGCAACAATGATGGCATCTTTTCTGGCAAATTGTCGTATCTTATCCCAGAAACGCGGCAAACATAAGATGAAGCGCGCTTCAGTGTCGGCGAAGATGTGCTGCAGCGCTTTCTCCGATGTTACACCACCATCGATTGGCACGTACTGGCAGCCTGCTTTAAGAATGGCGAAGAGGCCAATGAGCATCTCGAAAGACCGTTGCACAACAAGACAAACGCGTTGTCTTGGCTTTAAACCCGAGTTAATCAGATAATGCGCAAGGCGATTGGCTGCGATGTCCAACTGCTCATATGTGATGGTGTCCGCGCCGAATCTTGCGGCAATCGCTGTGGGGTGAACATCTGCAATGTTTTCAAATGCTTCATGTACCAAGGAATGAGGAACCGGAAGCTTTGGTCCGTGTCCGAAACGAGTGAGGACATCTTCGGGTGACGATGCGAGACCGGTTAAGCCAAGAGATAAAGTTTGAGTAGTCATGGTGCAACTTTGAGATGAGCGAATGCCGTCAAGCTCCATCGTAGTGATAATGTTTGCTGCGACTCGGCAGGATACCTTTTGTACAATTAGAGCAGACATCTTTATATATCACGGTAACCGCCGAGCTTAACGCCATCTCTTCACTCTTTCGGTAGCGTTGTCCGATTGGCGAGACATAGTGAAATGGACAAGCTCTGGAGGAGGAGTCCTACTCTGGGACGCTAGCCGCTCAGATCCAGGAGGCAAAACAAGTCTCAACATATTCGCAAGCTCCTGCGCCCCCGTGTTTGGCCTCAAATGGAAGGAGGCTCCGAGGGAATTCAGAGAACCGATGCCGGACAAGGGGCGGCTACAATGGATCATCAAACAAGGATATGAGCAAAAAGAAACACCTGCGGTTCTCTGTCTACAGGCTTGCATGCCCTTGCAAAATTCAACCGCAGGCAAGGACCAAAGTGCTCGATAGGGCAAGTGTATCGTTTTGGAAGCTCACACCGACAGCCTGGACACCTGCCAACTCAAGCAAACTTGATAGCCTGGCAATCTACCACGGGTAGATGCTTGTTTAAAACCACGCGGACGCCAATTCTCGGCTCCTTGGCATTAACGTAGTGTACCTCGTATGCCAGGATACAGGGCAAAAGTAGTGTCCGTGGACCCCGAGGTCTGTGTGCTCGTATCTCATAAAACCACGACTGGACAAAGAAGCACGTGTCTTCTTGTTGGTGATAGTGCTTGGAGTGGTCTGTGTTTATAAGCTTAGAAACTATTACGCCACAGGTTCTCACGATCGGCCCGAACACTACTTTTGCCTTGTACCATAGTACGGTCGTCTTGGAAAAAGAACTCCCAATGCAAAGCTGCGAAAATTTCGCAGTGTATCCGTGATATTTCTGTAACGCAGTCTGCCTAGCAGATGCTTGATTGAGCGTAGTGTATCATGGCTACCATGCAGAACCACGCGTTTGGGTTGTGACGGTGGATGGCGCGTACACAGCCAAGAAGTGATGGGACTTCCAGGGCTACGCGTTCAAGAAAATACCTGTAAAATTGTGCATGCGCCGCACGTGTGAACTTGGTGAAAAAGTTGCACTAGCAGCCAGTAGTGGCTGTGTCTCGAGTGATTTTGATCTTGACCGCAAGCGGACAATGTACCAGTGCCATGTCCCAGAAGTTGCTAGTGGAGCTTAGATGACCGCAAGTAGAACGGAATGACGAAATCTTCGAAAATAACCCTCGTTCCGTTCTTGCGTCCGCATGTTGTACTGCGATCGTCCCGCAGGCTCATGCAGCTTTGATGAGCACATGCTCGCAAGGAATTGGGGGGGGGGGCGTAACATGCTGGAATCAGGGATGTACGGAGCCGAAAGCTATCACGCCGCAGCTATGGATGTGATTCGCTCCTCGTATTAACCTGCACAACCGAGTTACAGCCGTTAGCGCAGGAGCCTTTGGTATACAAAGCTATAGGTGGATGGCTTTGATGTGACACATGGTTCACTTGTCGTTTCTTTGTTCTATTCCAACCACCGATCTAGACGAACCTCAGCGCAGTACCACACTCAAAAGCAAGCAAAGTATAAGAATTCCAAGACGACAGGGTGCTGCGCCCTTTCCAGCATCTTTTGTAGCTCCAATGGCCGAGAGGGAATCGATCAAATCCCCAACGCTTGTGACTTCGGTCAAAGAAACTGGCGTAGCAGTGGTTGTGCTTAATCGACCGAAGAAGCGAAACGCGTTATCCCAGGATCTGATAAATGAGCTTACAGGGGCCTTGAGCCAACTCAACAAAAGTCCAACGGTGCGCGCCGTTATCCTGACCAGCTCCGGAGCATTTCCTTTCTGTGGTACGTCGATCCTAGCCACGCTGGTCGGGCCTTCCCGAACTGAAACTTTGCAATAGCTGGAGCAGATCTAAGCGAGCTGGCCGAGTTGTCAACGGCTGAAGCGTATCGTGTCGGATGGCTAAAGGACCTTGAGGTTGCTTTCTCAAGCTTCCGAAAGCCGATAATTGCAGCAGTGCGAGGATTTGCAGTAAGTACTTGGAGACATGCTCGAGATACTACATGCACTTGTAGCTCCATCAAAGAAATAAAGACCGAAACTAACGGCACTTGTTTAGTTTGGCGGTGGCTTCGAGCTTGCGCTAATGGTGAGGAGCCCTTCCCCGGATGCCCCTGCTATGGGTGGGTACTAACCATCTGCCTATGCAGTGCGATATGATCTTTGCTTCAGCAGATGCCCAGTTCGGCTTTCCAGAGATCAAGCTGGGCACCATCCCTGGGGTCGGCGGCACGCAGCGATTGACGAAGACTGTTGGAAAGCACAAGGTGAGTTTTTTTTTTTTCCCTCCCGTGTTGCCAATCTTCGGAGGCGTCTTGGTATGCCGGCCTGCAATGGGCAGTGATCTTAACTGACTGAACAAGGCCATGGAGATGATTTTAACCGGATCGCCAGCAACGGCGAGGGAGATGGAGCGACTAGGTGTGGTGAATCGCATCATGACGGCGGAGCAAGACGTCGTCGATGAAGCGCTGAAAGTCGCGCAAACAATGGCTTCCTTCTCAGCACCTGCGGTCGGGTTGGCGAAGGAGGCTGTAACAGCCGGTAAGCTAGCAAGGGACAAGGGACCCTGATTTCCCCGGAACATGCCGAGTTGACGCAAGCAGCGGAAGCAACAACCCTGCACGCGGGGTTGCAGATAGAGCGTGCATTGTACTACAGCAGCTTCTCGCTGGAAGACTGTCAAGAGGGCATTGCGGCCTTCCTAGAGAAGCGGCCTGCCAAATTCCAGCATCGCTGAGAGTAAGTACGTACCCTTGATGGTAGCTGGCGGGCGAAGTAACGTCTTGGGAAAGGATCAGGCCATCTCGTCTTTTTTCTCGGACCTTCTCTTTCGGGCGCCAAGTCTAGCCAAGTTTGGCACTACACTCAAAGAGTGACATGGCCGTTGCAAGTGCCGTCTTGTTGGTGGATGTTGGTGGGCCCGGCTTTCGCAACTTTTCAAGTCTCTTGGGGTGGGGCGCCGCGTAATGCCTCGCATTGCTAGGAGCCGCAGATGCAAGTAAATTAAAAATCGAGTACGCGACATCGCAAATTAACTGGCATGTGACGAGGTGATGTAAGAGGAAGGACGAACACCTACGAGCTACCCAAGTAGGCTTTCCAACAAATCCTCGCGTGGGGGCGTTGGATGCGACATGAACAGATTAATATACATCCAATGCTTCGAGCACCCTAAAAGGGTTACCAAGTCCGATGCCTCTGATGGCGAGCAAGAAGAAGGTTGTTAGTCGTCTACAAGAAAACTGACGTTATAGTTCAGATTGATGGCACCACTATGGTAGACTTTGACGCACTCTTCGACTATCTGTCGCCAAATACACCGATTCTGTGGACTTTGCATCAAACTCGAGAGTTTGTGCCCTGAGCGGCGTGCGAACCACGTCTTCAAAGAGATTTATAAATTCCATTGGGACAGGCAAATGAGTGCAGCTCCTGGTTCAAAGACTCAAAGCACCTGATGACGCTGACGCGACTTTCTTTAACGATAACCTACCATTGGGCGAAGATGCTAAAAGGCTTGTTAGGTGATCTGTGCAAGCACATGAACAAGAGAAGGTGACGAATAACAAGGCTGAACCTATGCGCTGTTAAGAGGATTTCTAAAGCGCCTACGCCCTAGTTGAGCTATCGCTGGTTCTGTGAAAGTGCTTTGAGTGTGGAGATGTTTGTGATTGTAGTGAATGTCTAGTGTACCAACTAGAGCTAACTACTCCAATAATTGATGAAGCAGCCGTGTTCCTTGAAGCGCGAGGTGATGGCGAGACTGATCTTAGGCGCAATGCTGTGGTTTCGGGTAAGCAAGCATATGTTGTATCTGGTGACTTTAGGACTTATTTTCCACAGTACTCCTTCGTGTGTTTAAGTACTATGACAAAGGAATTCAAGCAGGATTCAAAGAGTTAACAGGATATATTCAAGGCGAAGATGAAATAAAGAAAAAAGAGGAAGCCGCATTATTAGTATATGCTAACAAATGAAGCTTTGTGGTAGCCTAGAAAAACTGTCTGAATTTTGTAGTGATTATCCATAGTTGCCACTGCCTCCTCCTTCTCAGTCGCCTCGTATTGCTCAATACCGTTAGCGCTGCCTAGGTGGCGGCCTTACGCTAACCGCTTGCCCGCCTAAACTCTAGGTAATAACCTCCATTTATACTCTCATGATCTCCTATACAATACCCGCACGCCGTGCAACACCATGATGTTACTCATACAGTCATTTGCAACATTAACAATCTTATTGGAAAGACGAGCCCACAGTATCCTTGTGTATTACTGAAAGAAGAGGAGTCAAATTGGTCTTTATTGACAACACAAGCGACGAACCGACCTCGAATCTCGAATCTCGGAGATCGATATTAGTATTTGAACTGCGCATATACTTTGAAGGGGGAGTAAAAGAGGTGGGATATATAGAGACTTTTAAGCATCGCTCTCGCATTAGAAAATTAGAAAATTGTCCCCGGAACTTGGCTCGTCGCGTCACAACAATTATAGACTATCGAGAACTTCCAACATGCCATCTTTTCTCAGTAGACTCGGCGGCACGTCTAAGAAAATGAATCCCTACACAAACCCCTACCACCCAGGTCACAATCCCATTCCAGAATCCACATCAACCAATACAACCGCAAGCTCCGCCTCACACAATCAAACATCAAATACTCTGCGAATGCGTCCAGCCTCACCTCGCGGCTCCTCCGACCTCCTCGCAGAAGCACGTCAAGTAGCTGGCCGCGACCCTGTTACCGGCCGGCGGCGCGCCGACATGGTTGGTCCAACCGCTAGTGAGAGGGCTTCACTGGCCGAATTGAGGCAAGTGGACGAAGAGGAGAGAACGGCGTATCAGGACAGAGCGGCTGCGAGCAAGCAGACGACAGGAAGTAATTATGATCTTTTTGTGCAGGAGGCGATCAAGAAGAGAGAAGTAGAAGCGAGTATAAGGGCGGCAAGGGGCGGAATAGAGTACTACGCGCCTGAGAGGAGGGTGGAGGAATTTTATGCGGGGGGTGTTAGGGACTGATGGAATGGTCCCTGGGCGATACTACGAGTTTAGATATATTAATCATTTGTGTGATCTCGTTTCGAGAGAGGGAGCAAGAACGGGGGACGGCCGAATAACTCTATGTTGCTAGTTCATTGGCGTTAAGAGAGACAAGAAGACTCGATAATTCTGCCATCTTTTTTTAGCCAAAATATGCGAGCGGAACCCCGAGCATCCGTCTATCTACTACACCCCATGCCTGATTTTGTAGGCCTAGCCCAACCAGTGGGTATCTCTAGACATAAGGTCGCACACCATCCAACGCCATGCCATGCTGAAGTGATGCAAAATTCTTAATCATCAACGTGCACAAAACAGAACAATGCCAAAAGAGTATGCAACGGCCTGTCAAGACCGTCAGTCTCACTAATGCTTGGAAGAAAACAGATGCAACTTCTTCTTTTTCTTCTCTTTGTCCTTCTCATCTTTGCTATGCTTCCCACTGCTCTGTGACGGCGCTGGACTTGGCTTGGGTGTGTTCAAGTTGATCGCGCCCATGGCGGCTGTCGGTGGCTTAGGCCCGCCTACCCTTGGACCTGATGGCAGGCCTCCCGGTATTGGCTTTGTACCAGCTGGAGGCGGCGCTGGCTTCGGAGGCTCTGGTTTTTCGAACAAATGCTTTGGTGCCGTGGGAGGGGGTTGATCGATAGGTAAGTGGAGATTACGGCGATTCTGACCAAGGTCGCCGACTTGGCGCAGGAACAGTTGTGGCTTCACCATATGCGAGGTGACAAGGAAGACATCTCTTGAAGTCTTATGGGAGATATCGTAGCAGGCACGTGCTTCTGAGTATGTTGCGCCGCCGGCCACGAACACAATGACGCGCTGTCGTGGCTCTACGCTCGCTAGACGAGACTTCGCCCACGTGGGCTTTGCGGAGCGGAGAGATGCCACAGGTGCGTTGTCTTGCATCATACTCGCATCATCGGGCGACATCTTTGTAAAAGGAAATACGTCTTGGGGCAAGGTGCCGCGAACATGTTCTTCTAACATATCTTGCAGCGCTGGGTTGAACCTAGACAGACTATAGTCTTCAGCATTCGGTGGTGGTGCTGGTTTAGGTGGGAATAGAGGTGGGGGTGGTTCTCTCTTCTCTTTTAACTGTCTGGCTACTCGCGCTCCAAGGAGGTCGAGGTTGCGGATGACTTCGCCATCGGGAGGAGGAAGCTGTGCGTGGAGCAGCAACTTCTGCAGATCAGCCGGTAGAATACCATCTCTGAAAATGACATAGAGGGCAATGAGGCGTAACCGATCTGCAGGCGTGATTTCACCTTCATCTAGCGTTCGCACGACTTGATCGGCCATGTTCTTGGCCTTGCGGTAGTCTTCGTCGAGACCAGTGGCGAGACACTACGTTAAGACTCATTAGCCCGTCCTGATCACAGATGGCTTTCTACATACCTGCTCTACCGACGCCAGATCGGGCAGCTTGTGTTTTTGGAAAATCTCCATGCATCTCTGGGCCATAGTCAGGTGTAACGAGTAAGCCTCCTTCATTTCTTGAAATTGCGGCAGTCCGGCAATCATGTCCTTGATGGCATTCAACCCATTCATACCGGCGGCGTTTTGAGCATCCTGGTTTGTAAAGTGGGGGTTATCAGCAATGAACTTCTGGAAGTCGTTAATCAACTTGTCGAGGGTATCTTTCATGTGGCGATGTCGGTTTTCGACCCAGATCCTGTCCTTGTCGGAGATTTCCATATCCTTCTCTTCTGCCTCAGGATCTTCCTCATTGACGACGGTCCTGTATGTCACCTTGTCGCCATCTTGGATGGGAAGTAGATCAAACGCCATTGCCTGGTAAGTGAATTCGTGCACAAAGGGTGCCATCAGATCCATGGATCGATCGGTAATGTAGAGAGCACCCCGAGGCCGGTTCGACTGCGGAGGAAAGTCTTGGTTGAATTGGGCATACATGTCCAGCTTATCCTGAACAAAGCGCGCAAGATGTGAGCAGAGGACACTGGCCTCGTGGGTTGGATTCCGTGGGCGGTAGTATCGAATGATGGGGTACTCGCCCAGCGCAACGCAGACTCCTGTGATCTAGACATGGTTGGGTTAACGCAGGTTTGTGGCACGAGATGGGGATGCCCACTTTCTCAGCGATATCCTCCATATGCCGAACAACCAGGTTATTGCACTCTGGGTGGTAGAGTATCGGGAAGCTCCAAGGGTCCCGGAAAGTGATGAGATGCGATTCTTGGGGGTGGTAGTCGAGGTGTACCGTCCTAAAGCTTCTGATTTGCTCTCGAGCCATCTGCGACCGGTCGATGCGCTCCTTGAGCTGGGGCGGGAGTACTGTGATGTCATCAGCCTTGAATGTCTGTAGCTAGGCACCGAGAAGAGCTCATACAGGTTGTCCATATGAGGAAGAAGCCCCTGTACCGCCTCTGATCAAACTCGGCCATTATACAATCGACAATGTGTGCCTTTGGCGTGAGAATGTATATGGCGTCCATGTCTCTTTGAGTGGTTCGGCGCTCCTCGAGACGCTCGATGTCTGTGGGCGGTCAACAGCGTCCGCGTTTGTGGCGATGAGAAGGCGCATACTCGTGATATTGGTATTGAGGATGTCATCTTCCTTGACCACGTTGTTTATGAGCTTCTGGCTTTCTTCGTCTACAATGAGGATCTTCCACTGGGCGGGGCATTAGTGATGCGTGAGCGAAAGGGAGGGAGGGGCATTGGTACGTCGCCGCGGGTAGTTTGGCGAATGGTGTTGAGAATGACTGGAGCGCATGTCAGTTGTGCTGTGTCATGCATGGTACAGTACGCGACGAGCTATAAAACATACGGTCTCGCTGTATGTCTATCATGGAGACGCTCATGTTGGCGGGATACGACAGCAGAGCCGCGTGGGAGTAAGAGACGAGCTCTGGAGGCTGTTTGCTGCGTCGCCGAGAGGGTCAGCGCTGGCTGTGACTTGGGCGGCGGGCAGGTGTGAATTGTGGGGGAGCTCGTCGCACCTCGAGGCCCCTAGCCTGTCTCTGGCAGAGTGTTGGAGCGGGTGGCGGACAACAGTGGCGGCGGTGGCGGCGGTGGTCCCTGGCGCGGACAGCGATGGATGGCAGGGCTGCATATCTGATCGACTGGGCCTTGGCTTCACTTTTTCCTCAAGCCATCATGTCGTTCATGTTGCTGCACCCTATACTAATTCTCCCACTTTTCTAATTCTTCTCCCTCTCCCTCTCCCTCTCCCTCTCCCCTACCATTGGCATGCCTCGACCGCCAGCGCGGCCGAACTCGCTGTGTCTATTTTGCGCCTCTGCTGCCCGCCCACCATCGACACTCAAACGCCTCCTCCCCCGTATACAAGTCGCGCACAAAACTGATGTAGCCAAAAACCCACACCTGGTGGGCAAGAGCCACTTCAATCCCCTCCGAGGGAGTGCCTCCAACCCATTCCGATTCCAAAAGTCGCAAGCCGCCCCGGCCTTCTTCATCACCGTCCGCAACCGACTCCAGAAGCTCAGAGAAGAGTTTGCCCAGCCGCAATTCCTCGAAAGCCTACAGCTCAGTCGCGAAGACTTTGACCAGGAATGGCTCACCTTTGAGCGCTCCATCAACCTGTGGATCAAGCAAGCGACGCCCGAGTTGCTCACTTTGGCCAGAGAAGATTCACGGGGAAAGAGCACGCTCGAGGCGCGCCTGCGATATCTCTTCTATGCCCAGACCTGCGGCGGACGCTTTACCACGGCAGAGCTGGAGAACCAGAAAGAGGTGGCAGACCTGCGCTATCCCGCCGAGTGGTATCCGGCCACAAGAGAAATTCCACGCACAGTGCATTTGCACGTGGGTCCCACCAACTCTGGCAAGACATACCACGCCCTGAAACGCCTCGAGGAAGCTGAGACGGGCATATATCTCGGGCCACTACGTCTCCTCGCACACGAGGTTTATACCCGCCTGAATGCAAAGGGCAAGCCATGCGCTCTCATCACAGGCGAGGAGCAGCGCATGCCCCAGGGCGGCCGACCAACCATGTTCAGCTGTACCGTGGAAATGGCGCCCTTGAATACAGCTTTCGACGTTGCTGTCATCGATGAGATACAAATGATCAACCATCGAGATCGAGGTTGGGCGTGGACCCAAGCCTTCTTCGGATTGCAAGCAAGAGAGATCCATCTCTGTGGAGAAGCGCGAACGGTACCGATGATGCGCGAGCTCTGCGCTCTTGTTGGCGACAAAGTCCACATACACGAGTACGAGCGCTTGACGCCTCTTCAGGTTCAGCCTCGAAGTTTGATGGGGAAGCTTCACACCCTTGAAAAAGGTGACTGCATTGTCGCCTTCACAGTCTTAGGTATCCATGCGCTACGGCGAGAGATTGAGAAAAAGACAGGCAAGAAATGTGCCATCGTCTACGGCAGTCTTCCCCCAGAGACAAGAGCTCAGCAAGCACGCCTTTTCAACGACCCAGATAATGACTACGACTTCCTGGTGGCTAGCGATGCCATCGGCATGGGTCTCAATCTGTATGTACGAATATGTTCGCAAGGCCAACCCAGGCAGGCTAACAAGTGTAGTGCCATCAAGCGAGTCATATTCGAATCGACGATCAAGAGCAATGGCGTGCAGTACGTTCCTCTGCAGATCTCGGAAGTGAAGCAGATTGCAGGCCGTGCAGGTCGCTATAGAACTGCACACCAAGCAGTCAGTGATGATTCCTCACAGAGTCCTGTCACCGATACCACTGTTGACCCTACTATTGGATTCGATGACCAGAAGCCGGAGAAAAAGCCTGGACAAGAGACAGTGGGATGGGTCACAACACTTGACCAAGTTGACCACGACTACCTGAAAATGGGCATGGACCGTGAACCGGAGCAGATCAAGTCGGCTGGCCTTTTCCCGCCGTCTGTCATAGTTGAGCGTTTTGCAAACTATTTCCCGCCTGGCACGCCTTTTAGTTATATCATGTTGCGACTCCATGAAATATCCGAGATCCATCCTCGCTTTCACCTTTGCGCGCTCAAGGATCAACTAGCCATCGCTGACAATATTCACTCTATCAAAAACTTGAGCGTCCAGGATCGTATCATGATCTGCGCTGCTCCCATCAACATGAGAAACGTTGGCGAAAGGCAGTTTCTGCGCGCACTTGCCGAGTGCATAGCTGACGGAAAGTCTGGAGATTTACTTGACTTGGAGCCTTTGCCGCTTAACATAATGGATAGGCCACCGTCTGGCGGCCGAGCGTACCTCTATGAGCTTGAGCAGCTTCATAAGATGGTCGTATGCTACCTCTGGCTGAGCTACCGCTTCCCGAACGTCTTTACAACAAGGACACTCGCCAACTATACAAAAAAGCTAGTCGAGGATAAGATTGAAAAGACGCTAACAGAGTTCTCCTCCGTTGAGCAAGCAAGATTGAGAATGAGGAAGGACAGAGAGAAGGCGAGGAAAGATTTGGACGAGCAGGGTGAAGATGCTGTGATTCAGCAGATGGAAGGCCATCAAATTCCTGCGCCACCTGGAATGCCGGAGGAAGCTAACGATATTATCAATGATGCAGCGGCGTTTGCTAAGCCTAGTCCATTGTCGGACGACGTAGGGGAATATCCGGAGGAGCCTTTGGCTGAACCTGCAGATGAAGTTGGGGATCTGCTAAAGCACCGGACACCTGGTCTATCAAATTCTCCAACGCCGCAGTCCAGCATATGACCGCTGTAGTTGTATGAACACTTGTGATTATTGCATGTTAGGGAGCGTACCTAGCTGGATGTCTGGATTTTGGGCGCATTTCAATCGTAGGTCTATCGGGCGACAACGTATCGAGCATCATCTGGCGTACTCTGGAAGACATAGCGGTATTAGGACCTGTACTACCAACTGTAAATGTGAAATTTTCTCCTCGCTGCAAAGCAGGTCACGAGTACCTCCCCTTTCTTCTCCTAGATCTTCTACGAACTCCCACCAACAAACTCGGCACCTCCATTCGCAGCAACAGGTGAATTACCTCGTTGATGATGGACAGATGGTAGATGCAAGTAGGGGTGGGTTTCAGTCCTCATACACATGCAATCCCGCAATGCTTTGCTGTTACCATGGAGCGGCTGAGGAGCTGTTTGAAATTGGCAGCTGCACGCGAGCTAAAACGTCGTTGATACGTTGGAGCCGAGGAGCATTGGAGGCGGTTTAAGCTGCGGTTTGTAGACTTGTGTGTACATAGCAAAGCGCCAGTGCTCAGTCAAGAGACGACATGTAATAGGATGTAGGTGCGCACGTGCCGTGGTTGGGGAAAGGGGCTTAGTGTCAGCCCTGCGAGATGAGCAAAACTACCGGCGCTTCCGCAGGGTCCAAGGCAACCTCGCGACCTTTTCTTTCTCCTAGGTACACACACATAACAGTCGCAGCTAGCGGAGTATTGCTACCATCATCCTCTTTCCACTACGCGAGGGGACGTCCTTGTACGATCAAACACGACCATGATGGCGCCTTCTCACATCCTCGAGATCCCGCGCCCCAAGGTATGTCAAGACATGGCCTACCAGACCATGGCAGACACTACACGGCAACATGGCGGAGGCTGACTCCCATTCGCAGACGTTTCTTCAGAAAATGTCCCTCCGCACCGGCGCAGAGATCATTACCTTCTTGCAAATCATCAACAAAGCCTCCGGAGTCTATGGACTTCTTGCCCTCCTTACCGGCGCACACATCGACGGCGGGCAACTATCCATGTACCTCTACTCGACCGTCGCCCTCCTTGCCACAGTATATCTATACAAGCACATTCGGTTACAAAGTCCATTCGAGGCTGTGCTGCTGGCGCATCTCTATGCGCTAGATTCGGTCATCAACGCGCTATACACCGCCTTCTTTGGCATCGCATGGTTCTACACCCTCGCCGCGCACCCCGATGAAAATTCCTCCCTCTCACCCGGCATGTCAGATAACGCGGGATTCACCAGTCCCAAGTACAACGTCTCGCATGTCCATGTCGTTGCCGCGCCGACCGAGGGCATCCAACCAGGCCAGAACGCCATCGCGATTGGACAAGGCACAAGAAGCGCCGGCGCAGGACTCGGCAACGCTGTCTTCCAGAGCGGCAGCATCATGAGCATCTCCCTCATCTCCGGGTTCTGGGCGCTGCGCGTCTACTTTGTTTTCATCATGTTGGCTTTCGCGCGCCAATGCCTAAGACAACACATTGCCGCAAACGCTTCCTCCGCTGCGTGGTACACCTCGAATAACATGCAAACTACCGCTAATGACCTGGCCGAGAATCCTTTCGAAGAGGGCAAAGACGAGGGCAATGGCTGGAAGGGCAAGCTCGGACGAGTCATGTTGAGCGGTGCACCCAAGTACTGGCTTGGTGCTGATGAGGGGGAGGATTGGATGCGTGGTGTTGGTGGCAAATTCAAGAAGACTGGACAATTAGAGCAGCCGATTGGATTCAATGAGCGCGAGAGGAGACGTCGGTCTGGAACTGGGCCGCCAGTCCCGCAGCTCAACTTGAGCGTTGAACTTCCGCGGTAGACCAGGCTTCCATAAAGTCCAGAGAAATCACAACGCGGAGTAGGGATGGCTGCGCCAGTTAGTTGCGTGTAATGGGTGATGAAAGGGCGCCTGGAGTGAGCAAAGTGTTTAATTGTAATAAGCAGCCCTCCAGGACTATACGTTTGAAAGAGCTTGGGACATTTTGGAAGAATCGCGTAAAGACGATTCCTTGTATATTTTTTGTGGACACTGTTTCCACCCCAGGCGTATAGCATAGCGTTGGACATGTTGTCAGTATTCCATCACAGTATCATATGCTTCGTATCACCCTGTCACAGAAGCAGCGCTTTTCCGCTATTCGGCATGGATTGGTCACTTCTCCCGCTATTGAAGGGCTAGGCCCAAGTTTCTGTACGTACTTGCTAGCGGCCGATGAGCACGTTGATACTACAGCTCTGCCGAGTCGCCAAAGGTGCGCTAAGTCACTTTCAGCTAGTACACGCAGATCAGGTGAATGACTACCCGGCCACTCACTTGACCGCGCGAGTGTCTCAAGTTAACTGCGTTCCTTGTCGCTGTTTCTAGTATCTTATCTCAGCCGCGACTCGTGCCTGGTTTGCGTGATGCTTAGTGCGCTCATGCTGCTGTCATCTGTCGGCTATGGCGCCGAGGCTGAGTTGCTGAGAGTGGCTGATAAGAACTGTTGGCGCTGTCGCTCCGGTATGCAACAGTTGTCATACCTTCCGTGGTGCGCGCGCTCGAAATTTTTCAACAAACTTCAAGATTCAGCGGCATACAGAGGCATACTCATACGTCTCTAAGGCAGTGCCCTAGATGTCCTATCGTCACTTCATTCGCAATCACAGTCTTGCACTACTATCATACAGCAATTCCATCACTAAGCTATAGATCTACTCTGGGTGGTATAAAGACATTTATGCCATCACAAAAGAGTCGGTACAAGGAACGGCAGTATGGGTCTCTTCCGCCGATCTATGAGCAACTCTTCGAGATCACGCACTTCGATCAATGATTCTGCATCGGACGCCCAGACGCCAAAGACAAGCTCAGAGTCTGACTACAATATGGAGATCTCCACTTCCCTTGCTACTATCAAGCAGGCACCAAAGGCACCCATCCTAAGTCTCCCGATCGAGTTAGTTCAGCAGATTACTTTATACCTTGACAACGCCTCAGCCGCCTCCTTTTGTCTCTCTAGCCGCTTCATCTGCTACGCTGTAGGCATTAATCATCTCTCAAAGTATATCGACACTTCCAAGTCCCGTTTTGAGAAACGCAGGACCATCGAAGCGGTTGTAGAGCGCGCGTTTCCGGGCCACTGGTTCTGCGCTTGGTGCGATAAATTTCATATGTGGAGAGCAAGGGATGGACCGAGAGTTACAGAAAAGGAGAAGAGAAGGGACTGTGCAGAGTTCAACAGCTATCTACACGACGGCAACGACTACATGCTATACTACCACCACATCCGCCTCGCCATCAACCGCAAACTCTGGGGTCCGGAACATGGAATCCCACTTGAAGCGCTCTCGTACACGCACTCGTCCATGGCCAAAGTCTTCAAAACTCCTGTTCCGACTAAACTTCAATGCGAAGCACGCATCGTGCATGGCCACTTCCTCCTCCATTCGTCCTGGGCCGTCACCCTTCCAGCATGGTCTACGAGCAACAAGAATCTCCTACGACACATCTGGCCCGCACTGCCACACATTCTCGCTGGACATCGAGACTCGGAGAATGGGCATACGGGATTGATGGCTGCTATCGACAACGTCGTGCGCCGCGGCTGGAAGTATGCCTTCACGCAGATGTGCTCGACGTGTGCGACAGACTGGACTGTGACGTGTCATCAGTTCCCCCACGTAACTGGTGGGCAGGCGCGACTGGTGATACAGACTTGGCGTGACTTGGGCGGAGGCAGGAATCCGTTCGAAACGGGCTGGCGGGCCCATGGTGTACCGACGCAAGGTCATGGCTACGCGACGACGGATGTACTCCGATTAACGCAACTGCAAGCCGGAGACATCAGGAGGTCGTTTGAGTCCGTAGATGGAGAGGATGGGAAGAGTGATACAAGAGCGCGAAGTGCTTCACGGTCACGAATCTACAGGTCATTTATGAGAACGAAGAGTGAAAAAGAAGCACAACGGCGGGATGAAGACGCTCAGCTTGGGGAGTCGAGCATTGTTCCTGAATAGCTGGTTAAGATGGACGCAGAGAGGAATCGACTGGCATGAGATGCTACTCATCAGGTCTCCTGGACACTCTACCGATAATTAATAGCCATGTTGTAGGCTGTATATATTTGATACTTACTGGATGACCGGATAGATCATTTGCAAGGACGGACAAGGTGAAACTTCACTTGCGTGTGGGAAATGACTTTTTCTAATGCAATCTGTTGATCTCTATATGCACTGTTCTCCTACCACCTGAAGTATATACAAATTGGAGTGAAGCGAAAGTATGGACAAGCGAAAGTCGTTCCATCAGGCAAATTTCAGAGCCGTCTCCAAACCGCCCATTTCATCTACATCTCCTCCCGCTAGTTAATCCATCTATGCGGGCTGAGCGAAAGTAGAGCCGATAGGACCAAACTTGATGTTGGAGTAGATGACCGTCGCACCGGGCGAGTCCTTCTCAACCTGCTCAGGCTTGCCAGAGTCAGTGGCGCAGGTACCACGGGCAACACCAGGCTTCGCGGGATCAGCAGTGGTGGGGTAGGTGGAGTCGAGCCAGAGCATGCTGACGGCATGGTCGTCCCAGAGCGACATGACCAAGACGTGACCACGGGCAAGCGAAGCACCCATCTCGTTGAGACCACCCAGGGTCTTGAACGACGAGGTGTCGCCAAAGGCCTTCTTCTGCTGATCGCAAAACTTGTCAGTGATTGAGTTACCGGTGACGCCTGAGACAGTCGAGTCGGAGTTCTTGAAGACTTTGCCGTCCTGAATGTAAAAGCGCTTGATATCAGAGAGCTTGGAGCCAGAGCCGATGAACTGAGTGACGACTGTCATCTTCTTAGTCGTGTCGAGGGTCTTGCCTGGGCCATAGAAGTCCTGGACACCCATGCGGTAGCTGTTGAAATCACAGCCGTCCTTGTCGCAGATGCCGTTATAGCGGTTGTCACCATCACCGCACGCCGTGCCCGTACATTCTTGCAGACCAGAGCCCTTGCATGGATGGGGAGTGTAAGCAGTGGATATGGAGTTGGCCTCCCAGATGTCCATCTCGGGGCAGCAAGCCCCGATCTCACCTTGTCCTGCGTTCGGGTCATTGGGAGAGGGGTTCCATCCCTTGACGTTGGCGACACCGTTGATGAACTTGATGTCGTGAGGGCACTGAGAATCGCAGTAGCCGGTTCCATACTTGGCACCAGCTTTGTTGTTGCCCTTGTTCAAACCACCATCGGCAGCCATCTCGACAAAGTATAGAGCACCGTTCAAACCGCAAGGCAACTTGGAGACATCAACATCAAACGTGAATTCCTTATTGATGAGGTTGAACATTTGGTACTTGGTGTCGGTTTCCATGAGGTAGGTACGCGAGCCAATGTTGGTCGTGGTCTGGCCCTTGGTGACGAACTTCAAGGTAAGAGCGTCGCTACTGGTGGTGATACCGTAGGTACCTAAACCATGTGAATTTGTGTTCCTCCATATAGAGGGTCTGAATATAATTACCAGAGTAATCAGCACCATCGATAGCACAGTTCTTTGTGCAAGTGGTGCCGTCAGGACAAGAAGTCGTGTTCCACGAGTTGCCATCGAAGCAGTTGGTATATCCGCTGGTGACGTGGGACCATCGCCAGTTGGCGTCGAGGACAACGGACCCAGACTTGGTCGTGCAGCTGTTGCCACCGGTACCAGTACAGGTTTTCCAAGACATCTTGGGGTGAGTCTCAGTCTGCTGCGTGCCAACCTGCTGAGCGCGGGCGGCCCCGAAGAGGGAGAGCGATGCGAGGGCGAGAGACCTGTACATTTTGGCTTTTGGGTGAATGACTGTTGTTGGATGATGGAAGTTTTCGACCGCCGTGGTAGACCTTATATAGAGACCTCAAACCTGTCGAGCACTATACGCGGTACATTGGGAATGTACCCATATGACTGCAGATTATTGCAAGGTACAGCAGATTTGCATCCCTGGCTTCGACCGAGGCCATCGTCACCAATGTCAGGAGAGCTGCGGTTCATCGGGAGTGCAGAAGAGCACTAGAAGTGCCAAAGTAATGAAGAGTAGATGAAGACACCTAGTCGTACTTTGATCGTGGGGTAGTTTGGGGTATTGCGGAGAGATCTGTGCGCCACTATGTCCAGCATTACTGCCTAGAGGAGATAGTCAGTGAAACCATGATTGGAGAGGTATGTGGAGCTCCTCCCTACCATACACTATGGCCTCAAGATCTGATTGGTAGTTGCTATTCAATCCCCGGCCCAATTTGACAATGACTAGCCAAACCCTATGTCAGGAGGCGAAGAAATGAATCACTGCATCCGGATTTCGACTGTGATCTTCGTGCACAATGTTGTAGTTGCCCCAAGTGCCATTGTCTACTCATGAGTTGGGTCCTGTCGGCTGTAGACTGATTATTTGTGGAAGTTTATACCAGCTAGAGACGCATCACGTCTTTGTGAACATCGGCCTTCAACTCATTGACAATGTACGTATCGATATTCCTGACCCTAGTGGTTTCATAGCCGGGGTGAGATAGATTGCTTCGACCACCTCGGTCTACAGATAGCAAGGAAGCTTCTAGAAAGATTCTCCGGTCTGGATGCGGAAAGTAATCTGCGGGAAAGGTCATGAGGCTCATCATCCTTTCCTGGATGACGGTTTTCGGACTAGAGACCAAGACCCTCAGGTAACTTGCTTCTCTTGGGTGGCACAGCGGCAAAACTCACTTGACCTCTGCCTTCATCATCCGGCGGTGGTACTCGCAGATGGGGGTTGGGGGCCGATTTCTACCTGGTGAGGCATCACACTGCACCTACTCGGTAGTCTCCCAAGGTAATCTATGAAGCATCATCGTTTGACTAGGTCCGCGTGGAACGGTGAACACCGGATGATCGAATGATGAGAGTCTTGGTGCGAAGCCTCGCTGAAGCGTAAATCATAGCAAGTGCACCGACGCCTCCGGAGAAAACGGGACGAGATGCCTCAAAGAACAGACCGTGCAATGGGTGAAGCTTAATCGGCGCACCCTGAAATCTTCGCAAAGTGGCATCGTGCCGAAGCCTCGGATACGTTTTAGCGCTCATTACCTTGTTGACCAGGATTCTTTCGCTAGGGATGATCGTTCGCTTCGTGTAGGTACAGCTTGCCGGTTGATGGAAGAGTACATGTCGGATGTTGGAAGTTCTTCCTTCGTGTATATCTAGCTGTTTTCGTGGGCCACCCTTACGAGGTCCAAAAACCCTTATCGTCATTCTGTACAATGTCACTGAGCTGCCAGGTAGTTTGATGTGGACCCAGAGTCGAGTTCAGCCTAATCAAGTATCGGGCGGGCAATATAAATTCCGGCCACTCGATATGAACTTCACACCAGAACGCGAGCGGCATCGGTCTAGGGCAACTGAAATCCAGGTAGGCGGCCATCATCACTCAGAGGCTGGCGAATTACGTGAGTTTACTATACTGTGACCGGGTTCAAGACAGTTGAGCCGCAATCTTGATGTAACCGTCGAGCTGGCCTATTGCTTGTGCGTAGAAGACTTCGGGGTGAATCCCGCGCTTCGGTATTCGTTCATGCTCACCCTCGCTGTGATAATCTTGATTCCTTCCCGCCATTGGAACTTCTATGAGCATGCTATGCATGCGATTGTTCGGTTGTAAGTAGCAGGCAAACCTTGGATAGCACCACACGTTGGATGTTTCCATAAGAGGGTTTCCAAAGCGCCTACGCTCTAGTTGAGTTATCGCTGGTCCTCTGAGGTATTTTGAGTGCGGAGATGTTCGTGTTGAGGAGGTAAGAGGGTGTGAGCATGCCCAAAGAGCTTGAGGCGCAACGCACGAGATCAATCAGAAGAGGCAAGCATGGCGACGTGTCATGAGATGTATCCCGCTCTTGGCGCGTGGGGTCATCGCCTCCAGGCAAAGTTATTCTACAGCATAGGTCAGGACCCATTTCATTCACCCTTTTCTTCGCCAGTTGTATTGTAGCCTCTGATCAATTCCGGCACAGTAGAGTCCATCGCCCTCCTTTGAATTCCATCGATCTCATCGATCCGAAGAAGTAAATGGCCGGAGTTTGAGTTCGTTATGAGATGAAAGAGATATATTACGTCTCCGGCGGTGTACGACTCCTGCATGTGCGTCTCTACAATCCCGTCGAGCGTGAAAGAAATCCGAGAATCATTGCAATGAGAACAGCTCGTCTGTATAACTCTACTATGTGGTGATCAGTCAAGGCTCTAAGAGGAGTGAAACGTAACTGAACCCCTAGTCTTCCGTCTACGTTCGTGTGACGTTGCTACGTCCCACATAAATCATCACATATACTCAAAACCCACAAGATGTCAAACATTCAATGCTATTGCAAAATAACCATCGGCTGATATCCAGCCGCCCGACTCAACAGAGCCTATGCCATAAAGGAATCTTGCCGCCTGTCGCTGCCCCACATATATACACTCTCATCGACACCCAGCTGTCAAGTATTGTCTGTTCTTGAAGTCTATCGCTCCGCCTTTCGAACCTCGTCTAATCTTTCTTATTATCCGGGTCGGGTAGGATTCCCTCCGCTTCGAGCCGTCGTCGCGCTTCCTCTAAAGCCCAGGTTTGGATGCTATTCGGATGTCAGCCTTGTTGACTTTTTGGTCCAAAGTTTACTGCTTTGTGGTCTATGCCCCCAGTCTGCGCCAATTGTCTGCAGCAATTGAGCCATGCACAACCCACTTGTGCAAACTCTCCGTAGCTCTCTAAAACGTACCTAGTATCAGGCTTGAACGCATAAGCAATAACTCCAAATGCACACGCGCCGCCAAACCCCCAGTACATCAGGTTCTCCCACCCCTCCTTCTCATACTGCTCCCCCGGCTTGACGCCAAACAGCCATCCTGATGGGGGATCGTAGTGAGATTCATGGCCACCTCCCCTTACAGCTGATGATTGCGAGAACGTGCGGCCGCCTGTGAAGGATACTGGGTATCGGAGAGTTGACTGGCGAGTGGTGGTTAAGGCACGGGAGCCGCTCGTGGCGGCGCGGAGGGACTGCATTGGTATTCGCGGAATATAAGATCGGGTCGTCGAAGAATTGCAGGATTGTTTGCAGTAACCCGTAGGGCGGGACAGGGTTGGTGAGGTGTATGCAGGTTGGTGATGGCGGTGGAGTCTGATGCGAGGTTAGAGGTTCGCGACCGGGCTTGGCAGCGGAGCTCAATGGAGTTTAGTGGATCGGAAAGAAGCAAGAAGTAACGCCAATTGAGGGACGCCAGAGAGCTCCCTCGCTCCGGCGGAAGCTGAAGGTATACATTGGTTTCAGGTGATAGGACAAATAGATGGGCCAACAAGTGTTGTTGCTCGAACATGGGCCAGCCAGTTGAAAGTTCAGCGCACATTACCTGACGGCCAACTACACTACATTTCAATACTTCAGCCAAGGTAACATCAATCTCATGGGCGTGAATAGTGTAATGTTGGTGGCTACTATGTAGCTCAATTAGGTGCCTGACTTTCGGTATATACTATGTCCATGCACTATCTCGAGGCTTGCCAGTAAACGCCACTGCTATGCAAGAAGAAATGGGCCAGACAAAGATCGATTAGTAGGGATTTACGCTGGCAATGGGACACGCCTCTCTTCCTCAGCATCCTTCATCTCTTCATCCCCCGGCTGATGAAAAGAGAGCCTTGAAAGCCCTAGGGACGCCTCGTCGACTTTCTCCTCCGTCTTGTCGTTTTCCTTCTGCACTTTTCGTTCTGCTTCATGATCCTGTTGTGCTTGCCGTTCTGCTTCTTTCTCTATTCGCTTCTTCTCCGCCTTTTGCAATTCTGCCAGCCTCGCCGCGGTCTTCTCCGCCTCTTTGTGCTCCTGCTTCTCCCGCTCCACCTTTTCCAAGGCTTCAAACTCATCATCAATCTCAGCTTCATCGAGAGGCTGACTAGTCTCATTGATTATATTTGTGATCTCTTCCGTGGTAGCCATCTGTTCATTAACTGCATCAACAACACCCTGTACACCTTCCGCCCCGCCGACCTTGTCATTCAGGCCCTTGAGTGCAGCGGCACCAGCACGCATGGCCTCGACAACTTCGACCTGGTCAGCTGCTTTCTGAAGGTCTGTGTACACGCTTTCAAGCTGGAGGGCGACATCGGAGCGTTGAGCGAGGGCGCTTTCGGTAAGCTTCTTCGAGCGAAGGGCTGCTTTGGCGCGCACCATTTGTTTAGCAGCTACTGCTTCCCGAGCTGCAGCATCGGCAATAGTGATCTTCTCCATGAGCGGTGGTATTTGAGCGTGGATGTTCGCTAGTGTGTCACGGAGGTTGGCGATAGCGGCGTCTTCTTCTGTAACCGGTAGAGGCACCGGTTCGTTCTCAGGCTTGAATTTGATAGCCTGCGCATTGTACGATATCGCTTGTCGGTCTCGGGCTAGAAATAATAGGAGAATATCCAAATCGTTTGTAGTAAGCGGCGCGGCAGGGTTGAGTGCGGTTGAAAAGCGCTTGAGGAAGTCTGTCCTCGACAAGACTCGGTCCGCAGTCGAAGTGTGCTCCTTCATCTTCTTCAAGATCTCGTCCGCAGCAACCTCAATATTCTTCACAACCACAAAGTTCCCAACCTCAAGCTTGTCTGGTGACTTTAGCTGTCCCAGAACGCCAACCTGCCTCAAGCCCCACCGCAGCACAGTCCATGGCGACGGTATCCAGGAGGTCTTGTATATGCTCTCTTTCGAGTTCAAAAAGTCTTTGCGGGGTATCATCTCCTTCTTCTGTACCGCCTCATGAAACACCGCGGGCAAGCATGTCGGCTTCCCATACTGTGGATGTTGTAATGCTCGCGCGAGCTCGTCTGCGGTTCGAATGCTCAACAGGTCGTGTGTGCTGCCTTGCATTGGTATGACGCCTGCCCGTGAAGCGTCGGTAAGTGCCTTCGTCCATGCTGCAATGTTCGCATGGTATCCCTCGGGGTTTATCTCGAGTTGTTGTCGGAAGTCTGCATAGAGAGATGCAAGGCGATACTGGCTTTCCAAAGTGTTAGCTTTCCAAGAATGGGGCAACAGCTCGTCCTCGACTCACTTTTTGAAAGCCTCTTCATGCTGTAAAACAAACTCTAGCAGTTCGCTCATATCGCGATCCTTTTCCGGTATCCACACCTGTTTGTTGTTGTTCTTGGGACGGAAGAGTCGCTTGCGCTTGGACGTCATCGGCGTGCGGTCATCGCCGTATATCGACACGTGGGGGCCGGTTCTAAAGTCATGGGAGGGCTTGCGCTTAAGCATGTGTGCAATTAGTTGAGTCTTTGTAAACGGTTTCAGGCATGTAGAGTAATGTAGAAATATCGCCAAGGGTGAAACATAGTGCTGCTGGCAGACTGCACTAGATTCGATCTATTCTTCTAATACGTTGTCGGGCGCGTACGGCCATTCACCGACGCGACGCGTAGTCTAGGGACAAAAGCGCCCCGTATTTAGGTAGAAAACATAGTTTCACTGCGGTCACTTCTGCCAAACATTAACCTGGGCTCGAGTTTTCACCCTCGACTACCGATATGCCATATCTCAGCATAGTCCACTAGTTTCACCTGGGAACTGTGCGCCACATACGCCCGCCTGCGCCCAATCTTCTCTCTCTTCGTTCCCAATCGAAGCACTCAGGCATACCCTCAATGACTTCAGTCATATTCGCGCCGCGAGTTGCGCGTCTGAAAAGTGAATCCAAACTAAACAGTCCGTACTCTGATCAGTCAGAGGCTGTCGTTTTCGAATGAACACTCTGATTATGGTAGGACATAAATCTAGACCTTGTCGTCTACTTCTTGACGATGTTGATTCCACCATCTTCCCTCTTTTCCATGTACTGCCGCATTTCCTCCAAGTCGTTCATGTCATCGTCACTGTCTTCGTCTTTTCCTCTCCTTGGTGCATTCGCGGTGTGCGATGCGTTTGCAGTTGGAGGTCGCTGGGCTTCCTGCGGCGGCGGGTCCTTCATCATCTTGGTCTCATCCTCCCAGGCTTTCCTCTCCTCTTCATCCAATTCGTCTCGCCTGTCCAGCCACCTCTCCTGCACATCGCGAGCATCCATGGTCGCCCCATTTTCACGCATAGCCATTTGCCAAACTGTATTGTTTGCGCCTTCTACCCCGCCCATTGCGAAACCGCCGGCGCGGTCTATAGCGCGCAAGAGCGTCATCATGCTCTTCTTGTCCTCGACCGCGAGCGTTTCGAAGCCTACGAGGGCAAAGTCTTCCACCAGTTCAACGATCGCTTTGTTGAGCGCAGAGAACTTAGATGTCGGTTCATCATCATCCACGTCCATGTCATGCTTCGTGCCAGCTGTTGTCGGGCCTGGAATACCAGATGTCTGCTCGCGGTCAAGGTGTGGCAATAAGTACTGCAGATCTTGTACTTCGGTGTAAAAGTCCAGGTTGAACGGCAGGTTCGGGTAATTTCGCAGGTTGTCGATCTTGGTAAGGACATTCAAATGAGGGAGGTCCATCTGCAGCATGCTGCGCAGGGCGAGTAGCAGCGATGAAACATATAATGACGGTCGCGAGATGATGATGGAATCGGTCAGGTGTACGACGACGAGCTTTGGAATGTTAGCTTCATGTTGTAGGTGGTGGGCGGTGGCCGAATACTCGATACCCAAGTTTTTGAAGGCGAAAGAAGATGTTCCGCAATGATCCATGGTGCGTGAAGAGCTCGACTTGGCCGGGACAGTCAAAGAGGATATATTCATCTAGCACGATGTCAACGACTCTCCTCCTCCGTATTGTGGTGTTGCCGCGAACCTCCGAGTTCCTTCAAGCCCGCTTCCAGCCAGTCGAAGTTGTGCTCTAGCTCTTCCAGCGCAAACAGGACTCCGCCATTTGGGCCCAGAGACTCCTGCTCCATGATCTCGTCTATGGTAACCAGATCCCGCACGTCCACTGCCGGCTGATAGGAAGTGTGGTCGTTTGCGGGGTCGAGATTGACGACGGAGCACTTGCGCTCGATTGCGCCCATGAACTGCTGCATACCATCGCAATAGGTCGACTTCCCAGAGCCCGGTGGCCCTATCACCAGCTGCGCGAACGGCATATTTTGTGTTGTAAAGACTGGCCTTGAGAGACAAAAAGTAGAGCAACGGCGGGGGCTTTGGAGGGGCTTCGGAGGGGCTTCGGCGCAGGAACAACTTGCCCCGACATTTGTTTGGTTCGCGAAGTCTGAGCTTCAACTCGAGCTCTCAACCCTTACGAAGACGATTCGCATTCCCTCCGTCAATATGTCAAGTAAGTACACGTATCCAGGTCCATAGCATTGACCTTCTAGCACTCGTAGTCCTGCGTTATCTATCATGCATATATTACGTTACAACGTCTTATACTCCTCATACGGCTCATACGGCTACAGCGCTTCCTAAACTTCCAAGCGCAGTGTCAAGAAGGGAAACTAACTGGGATAGGCCAATTCGAGCTTGCGCAGAACCCCACCGAGCCCATTTCCTCTGTCAAGTTTGCGACCAACAACCCGACACGACTGCTAGTCGCATCCTGGGATCGGCATGTCTACCTATACGATACGCACGCTGAACCCGGCGGCAAGCTGTTGCAAAAGTTCCAATTTCCCGCACCAGTACTAGACGTATGTTTTGGGCGCGACGACAACGAGGCTTTCATATGTGGGCTGGACTGGGAGGTACGGAGGATTGACCTCGAGACTGGCGAGCAAACCATCATGTCCACTCACTCTCAAGGCGTCCGCAACATTCTGTACTCAGCAGCGCACAACCTCCTCATCTCCGCATCCTGGGACTCAACCCTACATCTTCACGACCTCTCGCGGCCGGGCGACTTCTCCTCCGTCCGTCTCCCTTCCAAGCCTTTCTCGCTCTCCGCATCCCACACGAAACTAGTCGTCGCAATGGCTAGCCGAGCAGTCAATATCTACGAACTAGATCAGCTGGCAGGTGCAGCGCAGAGAGGCGGAGGACAAGATGTGGGCGTAGAGCCGTGGCAGCAACGAGAGAGCTCGATGAAGTACATGACGCGCGCCGTAGCATGTATGCCCAACGACGCAGGATACTCGAGTTCCAGTATCGAGGGACGTGTGGCAGTTGAGTGGTTTGACCCGTCGGAAGAGTCGCAATCGCGGAAATACGCCTTCAAGTGCCACAGGCAAGCAGTCGACGGGCAAGACGTTGTGTACCCGGTTCACGCACTGGCATATCATCCAGTCCACGGCACCTTTGCCACAGGAGGTGGTGACGGCGTAGTCGCGCTTTGGGATGCCGTTGCAAAAAGGAGGATAAGACAGTACCAGAAATTCCCCGCAAGCGTCCAGACCATCGACTTCTCTAGCGACGGCAAATATGTTGCCGTTGGTGTCAGCCCGGGCTTCGAAGATGGCGTGGATGATGTCCCTGATGGCGTTACGAAGGTCTTCATCCGCGAGCTGAGCGCAACGGAAGCACAAGGCAAGAAGAAGTAAAGGTGAAAAAGATTACTGAAGAGGTGGAGTTTGGCGTTCATGTGGCGCGATCTGGGAAAGAAGACAATACCATACTTTTATACCAAAACATTACGAATACCTTCAAGCAGCCTTCCAACACGTGCATCGCATAAGACTAATACTCCACTTACATTTGACCGCCTCCTGACCCTTGCTCTAGGACTGCAATAACGTCAATGGTTTTACAGTCGCTATCAAACCCCCAAGGTACAGGACACGGTCTTGCGCAATCAGTTTCCTAGTCGCGAAAACAAACTCTTCTACATTTCCGGTCCGTTGGTTGGGGTTTCGCCCCTGCACTTTGTGCATGTCCACATACAAAAGCCCGAGCAAAGAGCGCATGGACTCACCAACTTACTGAGAGAAGTATGAAGAGAAAATAATGAGCTTTCTCTTGAATACATACACATATATATTTCACTATCTTGCATCTAAATCAGGAAAGTAGCTACACTATAATCTGGGATGTTCACTCGGCCTGGTTTTCGGACCAGGCAGCTTTCCTTTTCGCTTTTATAGATGATCAAAAAGTCTTGGGCTCCATTCATCTGCTTGTTGGTCTTTCAACGCTTTGGTTTAGTATGTGATCTTTTTCTCTTGATTGTTGTTCAACGACTCTAAACCAAAATGACCACATGGCAGCTTCTCAAGAGAAATCCCAGCATATTGCCCGCCCCCGGTCATGTTTCATGTATTCTGTGGTATATTGTGGAAGTCTTCGAGCCTCTGTGCAAGTGATAGAGCGACTCGCGTTCTCTTCACAATGGTGTGAGACTAGCCAGAATAGGCTCTGACAATGTATTCTTTATATGATAAGAGTGTTTCTTTGCACGCTGGTACACCTAAGACGACTAATAGTACGGTGCATCGACAATCGCCCTCCACGACGAACTCGTAATGAGGTCCTTATGTACTCTATCTGTAGCCATTTCCTAGTGTGCCTCTTGGAACCTTTCGAGAGCGCAGATATCCGTGTAAGCGTATGTGCTGCAAGAAAAATTATACACGTGAGCTGTGTTTGACTCTACGGATGGTGGATGTTGATGTGATGCACCATGCACAGCTTAGTCATCCACCATCGGATCGGCATCTCGACAAAAGTTCCATCACGAACCTCGACACCGCGACATGACACCAGCCATGCCTCTCACATTCCTACGATGCCTGGTACGGCCCGCCGTTATCTCCAAAGCATCGTTCGCACCTGCGCGACCTCTCCGACCCTCAATTACCGCCGCAGCATTCCAAAATGCCACCTCCTTCCTTCCCGCTCGATCAATACCTTCATCACGAGCCCACAAATGCACACTGATTCAAGTCCTCCGACAAGGCCGCATAGCACGAAAAGCGCGTAAACTACGATCGCCACAGCTGAAAGATAGACCAGAATTGAAGGGCGTGTGTTTAAAAGTCGGCACAACGAAGCCTAAGAAACCCAACTCGGGAGAAAGGAAGATTGCTAGGGTGAGATTGAGTACAGGGAAAGTCATCACGGCGTATATTCCGGGAGAAGGTATGCTTGATTCGGAGAGGGATAGTGGTTATGGAGCTACGAGGGCTAATAGGTGGATCTAGGTCATAATGTGCAGCAGCATTCAGTTGTCATGGTACGAGGTGGACGAGCACAGGATTGTCCCGGTGTGAAGTATCATTTGGTCAGAGGGGCCTTAGATCTGGTAGGTTGCGACGCGCTCAAAAGCCTAGACATTGACTAACAAAGCGTAGGGAGGTGTCGGCAGCAGAATCACGTCGAGATCGAAATACGGGACGAAGAAGCCCAAGACCGCATGATCCGATGATTTATGGACGTGTATATATATGTATCATATCATTCGCATCAGTGGCGTTCGAAATACTGCAAATACAAACCTGGTTGAAAGTCCAATCTTATGTTTCGCAGTAAATGTACAATGGGATTCAAGTTCTTCTCGGAAAATAACTCCTTACTTCATATGAAGTCCGTGTTTCATTCAAGGCTTCATCTTGAAGATCGAGTGCTACCCAGTACCTCCGTATGATGGAAAGAAACTCCAGGTCCTTGCGTATGCAGTCGTGGTACAATGTTTACATCTATCTCCATATAGCCTGGATTCCGATGCAGTCCAATACAACTCGTTTGTCGACACACGAGGATGGCCACCGGATCAAGGAATGTAGCCTAGTGGAACATTTCCAGCCACCCTAGCGGGTCACGGCCACTATTTAGCAAGCCCTACATTACACTCTAACTCTATCAACTTCCCGATCCTGTCGAGTAATTGTATGTTTCACATTCAGCTTTGCATACTTTCGCTCATTCTACTTTCTATAGGATCGATAACCACAAACCTTTACCCGACCAAGCGGGCTCGCGAGGTGCAAAAGCGGGGGAAGAGCGTAATGCATAGTCTCTTTTGATATGAGCGTTCTTGACGTATACCAGGGTAGGCCAAGATATATATACGTGTATGTATAGGATAAATTATGCTATATCCGCTCAGCGCTATTTCAACTTCTTATCTTTCAGCAAAGCTACCCATATCAAACGATAAACATGACGAATCTACTTTCCTCATACATTCTACTACTACTAGCATTATGCTTCCGCAATCGCGTCGACGCTTCTGAACTGTTACCACAGGCATGCCCCTGTTTCACAGCGACAGCCTACATCTCTAACCCAGCATGCCCATCCTTGACACAACAATGTTTTGCAGCTGCCTGCGTGACGATTAGGTACATACACTTATCCTTTCTACTCTCTCTCTCTCTCTCTCTCTCTCTCTCTTTACTCTTCCCTTCCTCAACCACAAACGCTACTTGTGTCCTACACACTTACAATTACTAACGCCCTTTCGCCGCAGCACAACAACCATCCCCACCATGAACATACAATGCTACCCCACTCGAACGATGACTTCATACCGAAGCTGCCTGACGGCCTGTCCCAAGGGCTGCGCCACGTCTACAGCCACCCAGACCGCGAAAACAACGTGCTTACCCAGCACTATTACGTCAACAACCACCACCACCACACCGACAATGACTTCAGCGCCATCGACAACTCTACCGTGCCCTACGTCATTCGTTTCCAAGTCCGTAACCTGTCCCGAGGATGATGATAATTGCCCGCGTGGTTTTTGTACTGTGTCGAGCACGTTCCTGATTCCGAGTGGGACGGTTAGCCGCTGTCCTGTTACTCCGACACAAACGGTCACGAGGCAGTGTAAGGGCGATTGCGACCTGAGTTGTGAAACGGTGTGGGTTACTCAGACTACGGCTTGGTGAGGAGGGATGTTACTCTTCAGTCCTGAATCAAGGGGAAAGTGTTATTGTGGACAACAGAAGATAGTATTAGCATTTATAGAGAGACTGAAAGGTTTCGAATATATCTAAATCCAACATTGTGGAAGTGTTCAGATCATTAATTGCCCTCCGGTTCTTTGAAATTAAGTAATAAGAAATGGGAACAAGCAGCTTTACATACTCACCAACTATTATTATCGCACTGTTCACAAACCTTGCGGGAGAGCAAGTGCGAATAGTTATGCGACGATCAAAGCTCGTAATACCGGCTATGCCTTTCGAGGAGATACAAACGGTAGTCGCAGAAATAGCAAGTAGCTATCGATGTCGACCATCTTCGAGGAAAAGAACGTTGAAGGCTGAGTCGACTCTCTTCACCATCAGGGACAAGAGCGATCGAGGGGAAGAGACAATTCATGCCAAACACCACTCAATGCCTCAACTCCACGCTACCACATCCTGCCCTTCCCCTTCCCATTCCCACCACCAGGCGCAGGGCTCAGCGGCGGGAAGGCATCTTCAGCTTCTTTCCTACTCGCCTCCTCTGCAAGACTCAACTGCATCGCAAACTCCAAGTCTGAAAGCTCATTTTGGTTACTCGATCTAGCAGCCACTTTGCCCTTGCTTGAGGAGCTGTTTTCAAACCTCGTTGGCGAAGAATTCTTGCCCTTAGCGTACTTAATGGGGATATCAAATGCAGAAGGAGGCGTCGAAAACGGCTCGTACATGCCAGATGCGGGATCATCATTGAGCGAGAGACGGATGGCTTCAGCGATGTCGGCGTCAAGGTCTTCGGCGTCAAAAAGAGTGGGCGAGGAGTGACCAAAAACGCTGGGCTCTGGCGTTACGGTCTCGCTGCTAAGAGCACTGCTCTCGCTCTCGCGGCGGCGCTTCTCCTCCGCCTCCATGCTTTCTTGAGATAGCATTGCTGCGTAAGCCAAGGCTTCTTCATCACTCAATAGTTCGGTACCGAAGCGGCCAGCCATGCGCTCGGCCAGCTTCCGCTGTTCCTGCTTGTCACGCTCCATTTCGTACGCTTCGTTGGCGATGTAGTCTTTCAGATTCGCTCGGCCGGTACCAGAAAAGCGTTCGACGGCATTATTACTTCCTCGTTCAGAACGTCGAAGTCTACGTTTGCTGCTCTTGTACTGGTCGGCAGCAGAAGAGCTGTAACTCCAATATCGAAGCTGATTTCCAAGCGATACAGCGCCTCGCAAGACCGTAGAATCGGGGTCCAGACAAATAGCACCTGCAGCGAACATGTTGATACCGACGCCTTGAACAGAAGCCTGAGCTTGCACGAGACGTCGACGCGCACGCGATGCGTGACGTGAATTCAGCGTTCTGATGGGTGACAAGGTCGATGCAAGCGGGTCCCAAGCTTGTACCAGCCCATCGTTTCCACCGACCACCAAATGAAGGCCGGTTAGAGCCAAGCATGAGATTTCGGGTGACTCCGTATAGATGATGCGGACAGGGTCAATGTTGTTGGTATATTCGGATGAGCGTGAGACGGGTGATCGAATGTTCCAAAGGATCACCACGCCTGTCTTTGTTCCAGCAGCTACGAGGCGTGCCCGTTGGCCCGGGATATCAGAAGGAGAAGCTGGCTGACTTGCGACAGACAGTGGCGACGCATAGGGCGAGGAAGCGGTTGACGTCGTAGAGAATCCTAGGGCAGGGTCTTCGGACAATGTGAGAGTTGCGAAAGTAGATATGTCTACTGTAGTTGTGGCTAGCTGAATGCCCTTGAAGCCACCAAAAGTGAGTTTCGAGCATCGCCACTCCTCTACCAGGTAAGTCCGCTCCGGAGAGCTTGCAGCAGATGTATAGGACGAGCTACGAGCACGTGGAGGCGCTCTTGCTAGATTCGGCGTGCCTGTTCCTGAGCCACCAAACAGTGAAGCGGTTTGAGATGGCTGTGGGGTCGAGATTCGAGTGGATGTAGTAGTACTCTTATCCTTCTCGTTCGTCTTCCATCTAGTATAGCGCGTAATGTCAGCGACATCTTCGTCAAGCCCACACTTAAACACAAGCATAGCCTCGCCAGCATAGTTGCCATCATCGGCGGCGAAATCGACTTCGAGACGTCTGCGCATGTCCCAGCCAAGGCAAAATTTTCGAAAATACTTCGGTGGCTTGCGCAAGAAATGCTGGACCTCTTTGGTTTCCGCAATGACCTGCTCTTGGGTCAAGCACATGCCGTCCCATGACGTCCGAGGGGAATAACTGGCGTCAACTTCAGCGTCGCCATACGGATCAGGCCTCGCGGCGCGTCTACTGGGCTCAACGAGGTTCCAGTAAGCGCTTCGGCCAGTAAGCCAAGCTAGGTATTCGGTGTACTCCTCGATACTGCCCTTCGAGGCCTGACTGCGGGTTGGAAACTTGGTGAGGTAGAAGAGCTCACCAAGGGCGTTGAGAGCGACGGCCCAAATGCGGTTCTGTGCATGACGTTTCGAAGAGTAGTTCTCATCTACAGTAATTGCGATGATGGGCACGCCAGGGCTAAGAACCCAACGTGCAGTCAACTCGCCACGCTGTACACGAGAAGCACGGAGGCCGTCAGTGCCGATGCTGCATGCTGTAACGATGCCAGCAGCGGACCCCGTCATCATGCCAATTAGGCCTTGCGAGAGTGATGGAATCGTGTTTGATTTGGCAATCCAAACACTGCAGATAGCACCGCCATCAACGCCTAGCTTCGGAATTCCAGCCTCAGGCATAGTGAAATCGGTGGGTTCAGCAACGAATCGTCCGCGCAGCTCGTCTGGGGATCGGTAGTAGCAGGAGCCCTCCGGACAGCCCTGACCGTAGATCATGCCGTACGGTTGCGACACGTCCATGACATTCGGGCGCCCCACAACCTCTCCAGACCCCAAGCCCCACTCAGCAACGCCCGGAAAGCGCTCTGAGAACTGGCCATAGAAGTTTGGATCCGTCTGACCCCAAGGATCCACTTTGCCAGTCATCGGGTCGCTGCTGGTGACCATCCCAACGTCATCTGCACCATGAACAAAGCGCGGCATACGTTTATTCAGGCCTGAACCAAAAGTAGCGTGCAGGTGGTTGATGATGGTGAAAGTGCGGACGTCGTACGTTATCGTTGGAGGGGCGGTTTGCAACTGGCCGGCACGAGAAGGCGTAGAAGAAATCTGGACAGGCTTGCCTCGAGCTAGAGAGCGAAGAAGCCGGGTGCGCAAGATGTACTCGCTTCGCCATGACGCCAACGCGGTGAGCCTGGTAAACCTTCTCTTCTCTGACCGCACAACGGAGCCGTTGTTCTCCAAAGCTGACCGGGATACTGCGTCTTCGAGCGATTGTGGCCCTGGAAAGTAGCGGGCGAATGCAACTTGCCAGGCATGCGGAGTGGTGACGACATCGTTGAAGCGGCGAGATACGAGGGAGACGGCGGCAAGATCGTTGGGCGAAAGATGGGCAATGGCGTGGATCAAGACCTCTGTATGAAGTCAGACGCAAGTTGATGAGAGAGATAGTGACCAAGGAGTGGTCATGAAGCGCTTTGTACTCACCATTAGGCAGCTTCGCAATGGGCGAGTTCTTATCGTCGAGCCTCCTTTTACTCTTGATGATCTCAAAGAGGGGACCGTCAGAAGGCCTCCGTGGTGAACCTACCAGCGCGCTCTCATACTCGGCGATTCTATTTCTCGGCGGTGGTGTAGCAGTAGAAGTGTCCTTCAGCCCAACGACTTCGACCGTGTCGTCGTCTTCAATGACGCCATCTGGGCGCGTCGCGTCACGACCATTGCCGCCTGTTGGCGGTTCAGGCGCTCCCTGCAGCTCACCAGAGTGAGGCTGCAGAGAGGCCTGTAGGTTGTCGTCGCGATGCTGTCCATGCTGGAAGGATACTTGGGTGTTGGGGGCGCTTGGTAGTGGGGAAATGTGTTTGGGTACGTTGGTGGGCGCTGGTTGCATAAAAGGGTTGGAGAGTCTTGTAGAGGGGACAGTCGACCGAGCTTGATAGCAGTGCTCAGTCAGAAAGGGTGGATAAGAGGCTTGCGCGGGCGATGTCTTCTGGCGTCGTGTTGCTGTCTAAAGGAGGCGCTGAAGTTTTGGATGACTCGCATTTCGCCCGCCAAGACAAATTTCCGCATGCGATACGACGATAGCCCACTTGCATGCGGAAAGGGACCAACGTGGGGCTACAGTAAAGGTGATATTACTCCGATAATTCCTGAGCATACCTATCGCCGTGTATATGGCAGTGCAACTACATGTACAAGGAAAAGTAAAACGTCGTTCAAAGGCCCTAGCTTCCATTCCTCATGGTACATAAAGCCGTGAATACGCCACAACGCTCGTCCTACAGCATACACAAGCCGTGTAGTTCTTCGATGCCAGGCCTACCCGACAGTCATCGCAAAGCGACAGACATCCACATGGCCAGACGAGCACTGTCCTTGGGGCAAGCTGACAAACCACACACTGTGGCCCTTCCGAACCCATGCCCTCTGCGCCCGTGTCCCAGCTGCCAGCCGCGCTTGAGCCTTGTGGCGCCGTCGAGGTGCGTTTACTGAGTATCAGATCCTCGAGAAGTTGCTCTTCCTCTTCCGCTGTCATCTTGACAGCGTCGCCCATTTTATAGCGCGAGCTAGTCAGAACCTTGGCCTCGTCTCGCTCTAGAACTTGGCGGTATTGCGAGCGTGTCATCATGTTCGAGCTCTGAAGGTGACGCGCCAACAGCCTAGCTTCTTCACGGTCATCCTTTGTCTTTGGGTCGAGCAGTTGCGAGAGACGAGAGAAATCAATAGCATCATCAAGTGGGGGAGTCGCTTCTCGACTCCGTTGATATGTGTCTCGAGTTGGCGTGCGTTGCCCGTCATCATCATCCGACCATTCCTCGTTATCTGTCGTCGTAGCGAATGACACCACGCTGGTCGTATCGTCATCATCTTGGGGGGGAATGTAGTCGCTACTAGTATCCATGTCGCCCCATCGGCCGCCATTGCGCCACCAGGAATACAGGTAGTCGTTAAGACGGTCTTCGGAATCCTTCGTGTCTGGACTGGCGTAAAATCCACTTTGCCGGAGTCTCTCCTTTGCGAATGACTCCACATCGAAGTTGCTGTCCGGACGGATGCGGGTTCGGTCATCAAGCGTCAACCAATGCTCAGTTGCTACTGCCGCCGCCCGTTGCTGCGACCTCTCTGCGCCTAATTCTGAAGTATGAGCTTTTTTGCTTGGTGGAGGACCGGCAAGACGCCTTAGCCACCTAGGTCGGTATGTTATCCGAAGCTTTCTTAACAGGGCAATGGTCAGTCTTGCGTGAATTAGCCCAATTAGTCTTGAGATGCTCTTGAAGAACTGATAAGTCAAGAAGAAGCGATTTCTGCGTTGTTGAAGTCCAGCTGGGTCGTTTCGTCCCGTGGGTCTAGTGGCATCTGAGGCTACGTTTGAGCCCCGAGCCTTCCGTTCGTTCGCATAACCAGATGCCCCGACTGGATCCGCAGCATCGCCATTGACGTTGTCTACGATGTCGACACCTGTCGCTAGTGTGTCGCCCCTCAGCTCCGTGGGGATATTGGTGAGACTCTGCCGGAAGCGCCTCCGTCGGGCGAGGATGTCCTGCAACCTCTGCTTCTCTAGCCAAGTCATGGAGTGTACGTTGATCTTAGTGCCCTCGTTAAGAAACACAGCTTCGCTAGCGGCAGTCAGGACTGTGAAGCCCACTTTGAGAATAGCTGTGTAGAAATCCTCGTTCCAATTGATTGTGAGGGGTGTAATGGCGGAAAGATGGATGTTAGCGTGGAGATTATTGTAAGCCGCCGCAAACCTCTGTTTTAGAGTCATGGATTCCGACCGTCCTGGCGGTGGAGACAACACAGTAATGAAGAGAGCCAAAAGGTAAATGAGTCCACAAGCAGCAATGCCCAGAAGTATCAACAGATGGGGAATGAAGCCTACAATGCAGACGGTGGGGAATCTCAAGATCCCCACATGGTGATCTGGCTCTGTGATCATCGACGTAAGGCGGCTAAAGCTCCATGCAAACGTGAACATGTACGCGAGTCCCCAGATTGCAGTTGTGATGAGTCTGCACCTCGAACGAACCCCTGCAATGGCCAAAATGTTGCTCGTAAAATGACTGACGCTGGAAATGAGAGATATTAGCAGTACCTCAGGCGGTACATTGGCGATCTTTGAGAGCCTCGACCTAGGGATCAGGAACGACGTGCCGTCTGGTGTGAAGACGGACTTGGGCTTGAAAAATCGCGTGCTGTCTACTACTAAAGGTCTAGTAACGACTGCCTCGGCTTCGGCGAAGGCTAGTGAATGCTCGAAGATGGTCATCCCAGCTTCCTGAATTGGGTGACGGCCTTGCAGTGCACACGATAATGTCTCGACAAACTGACCGAAGCCTATGGACAAAAATAAAGGCCATAGAAGGGCGAGTGATCCAGTGGGGCGAGTTGACTCAGGGTCTGCGGGAAACATATTGGCAGCTCTGCAGGAGTCCTCTGTCGTCTCCCAAAACAAAAGAGCGGATGCAGCGCGCCACATATAGCCTCCGTCTCCCCCGAAGTCGGTATCCAGTTGTCTGCCAGGGGCTCCATATTGCATCTCAGACCAGCCTGGTGATGTCTGGCACCGTATAGCCTGAAGCACGCTCTGTATCCGGAATAAGAACAGGAGCAGTGGGGCGATGTAAATGGCGACACGCAGGTACAGGCGATCGAATGAGAGGGGTACCCGGCTGGACGCATAGAAGTGCGTGCGATTCAAGAGGATAGCCTGGTGATACATTGTCAGTAGAGCAGTCCAGTCCTTGGCTACAAGGCGCCCATGTGATTGCTAGACTCACGATGGCGAACGTCGCAATGGCCCACTTCGAGGTGATATAGCTGAAGAAGCTGGCGATATTCTTGAATGCTTGGAACATGCCAATTTCATCCCGAGACCCTGCTGCCGAGGCTACCGCCGCAACAGACTCCTGTACGAACTGTCCGGCGGTAGAAGTTATAGTACTATTGGTGAGGTTGGCGAGAGTTGGCTCCGCTATCACGCTACCACCGGAACGAATCATATCCCCAATAGAGCTGGCCTTGGATAATAGACGAGGAAGAGCCATGAGGAGATCCGCTGGTGACGGAAGGAAAGAGCTGGCGTTGGTGAGCGCGGAGGACGTCTCCATTGCTGTCAGCTTGCGGATAACCGAGGATGTCCAGAAACCAGAGGTAAAGGTGTCGAAGGAAATGTAAACGCGTCTATCAAACTGGCTGCATGGCGGTGGAGTATACACGCATACTCAGCGAATGTACGCCGACAATGGTGTAGCGATGAGCGTTTGAGGAGTCTTGTCGCGAGTTTGGTGCGGGAGTCGCCCGCATCGTCATCTAGGCATGGAGAGACGCTAGCCGGCCATTCCTCCTTGGCCACATCACACTCTCTGCAACCTTCACGATATTAGGTACCGCACAACTTGGGACGGATCCGCGCAGGTTGAATAGTTCGAAGAAACATTGAACGATGAGCTAAGTCTTGTAATCCATCAGTATTCCGACATGCAGTCTCGAGTGCCCAGAGACCTTGTGTAATATGAGCTACACCCGATACATCGACCTCCCTAGATCTCGACCCTTACATGGCGAGAATAGTTAGCCTTGTGCAACGGGAATCGTGATCTGGCATTTGGCCGCCAAGAAGATGTCTCGAGGAGTCCAAGTCTAGGAAAGCATAAGCCATGCATTACAAGCCCGAGAATCCCAATTCCATGGCGAACAATAGTCAGCACAAGTATCAAGAGGTCATATGAAACACAGTCTCGACATTCGTTCTGGTCGACCAGTGCTTGCAGAAATGCCCCCTTGCATATCGCGCGTATTGCGCGACCCCCCTTGGCATAGGAATGCCGTTCTCCTACCCATAAATACGTTCGCGAGCGTCAAGCTTGCTCTTTACTCTCTTCATTCTCTCTTTTGCTCCGTCAGCTCACTGAGTCACTGACACTCATTACGCTCGCCCTTGTCGATCCTTGAGTATCTCCGCACCTGTTTCGTTCGTTGCAAGAACAGCTCGATTATTTATTTTCTGCCCCTGGTTTTTGTGTTTTTTGCTTCCACTCTCGTTCTCACGCCCCCGATCCCGTTTCTCTAGCTTTTGAATCGACCCTCGGTTCCTCCTGCGACCATGAAAGCCTTCGGCTACTTGCTAGCTGGGGCGGCTTTGCTCCCAGACTTCGTTCTCGGTAGCCTTAGTCCCGCTCCGCATGCCAATCTGCCTAATGGTTGGAGGTATAAGGGATGTTATGCGTAGGTCTTCTCTTCTACTGTAACTGTGATTAGGCCTGACATATCACAGCGACAAACCTTTCGATCATCAAGCCGCAGACCATCCCAACCTCGCTGCCAGGGGTGCCGCCGCCATCTATCGTCGTGCCTTGGGCGGATATTTCTATCAAACGAGACTGAATGGCGGATCCCATTGCATCAGTCAGTGTACTGCGATGGGATACAAGTATGCCGCTACCAATGACAACCAGTGCTGTACGCTCTCTACTATTTCCTTACTGCTCCAAAACAGCCACGTAATGTCTAACGATCTACTCAGGGTGCGACAATGCCATCGCCTCCAACGGCACCAGTACCACCGCCCCTGCATATGGTGTACCGGATCCGGACAACACTTTGTGCCAAACTCCCTGCAGAGGCAATAAACGTGAGGCCTGCGGTAACTATCCTTCGGGCAGCAACAACACTCATCGTCTGTCGCTTTACGAATACTTTGTAAGTCATCTCTTTGCGTTGAACGCCTGTGTGCTTAAGATCAAAAATTTGTACTTTCGTTTTCTTTTCTACTACCGGAATACGACTCGAAACTACGACACGGTGGGGGAGGAAAGGTGTATGGAATACCATGGGGTGGAGGCCAATGGTGAAGGGGCAAGAGGAGGAAATGTTCCCGCTGCGCTAGATGGTCTGTGGGAAAGAATAGTACTGGTGAGAGACCGTATTGCAGGAATACTATTAGTCCTTCACGACTCACTCAAACGATACCATGCATGTCTTTCTGAATTTAAAGATACAAAAAGCACAAGTTTACAGCTGTCTAGACTGTATACACGATAAGTCATGACCCAGTGACTGAACATGCAACGATGCCAACGATCCCCAGCATTGTCACACACTGCGCAGCTCACAGAGTTCACAACTTACTCCTCGCAAAGATGAGGTTGCTAAGTGGGACAGCACAGTAAAACCATCAGAGATTCAAATGAACGTTAATTTGTCTAAAAATTGGCAAATATGGGCAGGAGTGAGACATTAGGATGCGAACAATATGCTAAAATTCACTGAGAATAGGACGAGTGGACGGCATGGCGGCAGCCTGAAGTTTTTAACGCCCGGAGATGATGATTAAATTTGCCTTACGTAATAATAATAGCTTCATAGCTACTGTGCCACACGCGTAGCTCACTATATATCCTGTAGCTGCCCGCTCCCAACTTGAAATTGCCCATCACACCGTTGTTTCCTTCAAAATCGCTCACAGCATTACCTTCTCACTACCCCATTCTCGAAACTTCTTCCTGTTGACACCTCTCATTTTCAGCACACTCTTTCTTGTTCCAGCTCTGCCTCTTATTCTATTTCATCTAAACTCAAACCTCAAACGAAGAGCTCCGATTTACATAAACCAAGCCCCTAACGCAAACTCTGTTCACACGGTGGGTCATGGCTAGCACTCCAAAGTATGAAATCGGAATCACTGGAAGCAGCGAGTCTAACACAGACGTCGAATTAAATGTCTCTGTAGGCGACAAGCACTTTCGCATCGACCTTTTCACCGCAAATTTTGAAGCCGATCCAAAATTGCTAAAGACATACCTGCGTCATGTTGAACAGTCTGATCCAACGTATATACCACATTTGCCTGAGGATCCTGATTTGGATGAATTTATCGATCCTCTTGAGGAATTCTACGACTGGGCCACGGAACCTTTTGCTGAGTTATTCCGCGAAATCCCGCCTTTGAATCGAACTCGATTGTACACGCTCCAAGACTGCCTGTTTCCTGAACAGTTCGTATATACCCTGCAGGTGGATGGCGATGAGTTGGTTCCAGTCCAGCGCGATGGATGCCCAAATCGTCGTTTGGTTGGTGTGCTACTTCCTGCCTCCAAAACCCTCGACAAGTCTACGCTCCCAGTCTATCGTCCTAAGGATATCCACGTGCGGCTTAACGACGATGCAGTTGCCTTACCACCAAACCCCCGTAAGGTGTATATCAAGGGAAAGGATGTCAGCTTTTTTAAGCAGATACTGGCAGGAGACATTGGCATGACCGTTACAGAGCTTGCTACCTATGCCAAAATTCATTCGGCAGAGCTTGGAGAAGACGTGCGCATTTCCCGTCTTCTCGGGGTAGTAGAAGATGAGCACACATCAAGGATCGTTGGACTACTACTGTCGTATATCGATTGCGAGAACACGACACTGTCATGTGCTGCATATGCTAGCGAGCACATTTTACGCGAAAGATGGCTGAAACAGATAACGCATTCTTTAAAAGAGCTTCATACACACCAAATCGTCTGGGGAGATGCAAAGCCTGACAACGTTCTTATCGACGTGCATGATGACGCATATTTGATTGACTTTGGTGGTGGTTACACAAATGGTTGGGTAGACAAGGAGTTAATGAATACTCAAGAAGGCGACTTGCAGGGTCTTCAGCGCATTACGGCATATCTCGCTAGATTGTCTGTATGATGATAATATAGCTACTTCGAAACTGAACCTGACCAGTCTCGTGGTTTATTAGAGAACCATATGTAGTACTCACGGGATTAACTAGCCAAGTTATTATTTTATTTGAGTTACGGTCAGCTTCACTCTAGATTCACATATTCGAAGTTCTTGTAACGCTCCGTGACCATTATTTTCTAACTAGCTAAATCACAGCTACATCAGATCATTTGCCATGGTCTCATATCGGAGAAAATATACATAAATCTCAAGCGTTTGGAGGTATAGTTAGCCGCTCTTCGAATCCCATCGGTGTCTACGAGGTCCTTTTGCTGTGCCACCGACACGAACAAAATGGTGAAACGGAATGATCCGCCATTAATCAGTCTTCGTCTCGATAAACGGCCACCTCACTTCATTATGCTACGCCGCCGACACCAATGGTGGTTAATATTGGAAGATTGGTAACGATGGTGTCGCTAGACCGCCTTTCAACATATCAAAAATCTCCCGGTATTCATTCAATTCAGATCCTTGCGCAATCTCCTCAATGCTCTTTACGTTGTACCACTACTTTAATCCATTACATCTTTCTCGCACTGTACCATGTGCGGCCGCCAGTACAGAGTCTACCGTTGCAGGCATCGCGTCTTGATGCCTAGCATTATATATTGCTCTCAGGCGAGAATCAGTTCCAGAACTGTAAGGCAAACCATGTGCGGCCAGGACAGGACTGTCACCGAGGTTGCCGATCCAGACCTATGCGGGGATATTGATTACTATCAGAGGCCCTTGTGAAGTAGGGCTGGCACTGTCACATATGCGATTACGACAACCGTCCCAATACCTCCTATACTTTTCAGAATCGGTACATGATCTACAAAGAACCGACTATATGCAACCATCCTGTCTGTATCACACGCTGCAGGTACTCCTGAAATCAGCTTTGCGACGCAAAACTTGATATTGAATAATATTCCGCTTGTCTCGAGTTAGACAACGGTTATATTGTTTATAAATGACGACAACGAGTTACGTAAAGCAAATTACGTGTTCAAGGGAAATAAAAGATCTCATTGGAGGAGTACATAGAGAAACATTTGTTGTGTTGCTCAAAATGGTTGGCGTCTATCTTACTTACTTCCTCCCTTAGTTTTGTATGTTTGTCCTCTCGCCTTTAGATTTATATCCTTCTTGCATTTCTCTCTTGTTTAGCTTCTTACCTCTCTCTGTATCTCTTATTCCAGATTATACTGCGTTCAATCGCGTAATACTACGACATGCAGTTTTGCAATATAGCGCTCCTTAGCTATTAAAGAATCCAGTTGTATGAACTATTACATCTATCTCGTACCTGCGACGAATGAGACCCTGATTGTTCCTCGGTGGAGCGTCCGGTGGTTTTGCTACTTGAACGATTTGTATAGTGACATGCTCACTGAAGGCAGTCATTCTAATTGATAGACAGGGTTCTTGTGTTACTAGGGGGTTTCCAACAATCGGGACGCATGCCACTGCTCAATACTTCGTCTGATAACCTCGTGCGAGCCTTACGGCCTGTATCCGCCAGGTTATGCTGCAGATCAAATTGTGTATAATCGAACGTCAAGCAACCGCGGAAACAGTAGGGCCAATTTGAGTGTGGACGCTTGCCAGAAGGGTCTATGATAGACAGCACTGAGAATTAAAGGGGAGATGGTGTAGAATAGGAAAGATTGAAGACTTTGGAGATCGACTGGCAGACAAATGGGCTATACCCGAATTAGCTTGGTGCGAATTAGATCCAGTCTTACTCTCCACCCCTCCACCTTTCTACGTTCTGTTACGATCTCACGTGCAGTAAATCTTAAAAGGCACTATCATACCTCCCATTTTTTCTAATCTCGTCACATCTGCAAATCTGTCTTCCTTGCCCAAGCTTACTTACATCAATCAAAAACAGCAACAACCATGGCCGACTACCCACGCCCCGACTTTATTCACGAAGACCTTACATGGACCTCTCTTGATGGCCCATGGAACTTCCTGTTCGACGACAACGATGTCGGCTTAACGCAAGGCTGGCATCTGAAGGGCCTCCCAGCTGAAGTTCCTGTGAACCCAACCAACACCAACAGCGCTGAGAATACCGAAGCGCAAAGCATCACGGCTAAAATCGCGACCGGAACTCAAGATTTATTGCAAGGCAACCAATTTTCAAGACACGAAGCTGTAGTGCACAAAAAAAGAGACATTCAAGTTCCATATGTGTTCCAATGCCCCGCTTCTGGAATCAACGACAAGGGTGTGCACGAGGTGTTGTGGTACGAGCGAGACGTCGCCGACCTACGTAAAGACGAAAGTAAAGCCGCTGGTAACCGTGTGATATTGAGGTTTGCAGCGGTAGATTATAAAGCGAAAGTCTGGGTTGGTGGCCATTTCCTCGGTGGTCATCGTGGCGGCCATGTTCCGTTCGACATTGACATCACCGATGCGTTTGCAAGTGGCACTGTTCAAAGACTTACTGTAAGAGTTTTCGACTCGGCACATGACTTGTCACAACCTCGGGGCAAACAATATTGGAAAGCACAGCCGGAGAGCATCTTCTATACACCAAGTGGAGGTATTTGGCAGAGTGTATGGCTTGAGCTCGTGCCTGGTGTGAGGGTTGGGGACGCGAGCGCAGGAACCGTGCTGAGGAGTAATGACATCGAAAGTGGGCAGTTGCACGCCAGTGTCAAAATACTAGGGCGACCTGCTGGGTACGATTACAGCGTAGAGCTTGAAGCTAGCCTAGGAGGTATCCTGGTGAGCAAGACTGATAAAATCCAACTCCCGCGCGACTCAAACACCGTGTCGCTTACGGCAAACATGCGGCTCTCCGACGAGCAGACATCGCATTTACCGAACGGAGTTATAGAGAACACGCCATTAGGGGACGACTCCTGTTGGCTCAAGGGCGTTGCGCTATGGTCGCCCGAACATCCAACTCTGTATGATCTCGTCATTCGCCTCTACGACTCCGCCGGCAACCCGATAGACACAGTAAAAGTTACTACGGGTATGCGCTCTTTGCATTGGGACACGAATACCTTCCGGCTCAACAACCGCCCCTATTTCCAAGCGCTATTTCTCGACCAGGGTTACTGGCCCGAAACATTCATGACGCCGCCCTCTTCAGACGATTTGAAGAAAGATATCGAGCTGAGCAAGCGCATGGGTTTCAACGGCTGCCGCAAACACCAAAAGGTGGAAGATCCGCGATTTCACTACTGGGCCGATCGTCTCGGCTTCCTGGTATGGGGTGAGATGGCGAATGCATACGCTTTTAGTGCAGAGTATATGGAGAGGTTTGACGCGGAGTGGCGGGAAGCAGTAATGAGAGATCGAAATCATCCATGTGTGGTTGCGTGGACGCCGGTGAATGAATCATGGGCCTACACTGACCTGGCCGGAAACAAGCAACAACGAGATCACATCCGCAGCCTATATTTCGCGACAAAGGTCCTCGATCCGACAAGGCCCGTCAATGATAACTGCGGATGGGAACACGTCTACACCGACCTGACTACCTTCCACGACTACTCTGATGGCGACCTGCTTACCAAAACTTGCTCCACATTACCTGGCATCCTGGCGCCAAAATCTAATCGACCAATTTTTCTCCCCCTAATTGAGTCTTCTGACCCCGGCTCATCGCATCAAGAAGGCGCACCAATTCTCTGCACAGAGTTCGGCGGGATAAATATTGCACGCTCGGCCGCCGACAAGGACAGGAAACGAGACTGGGGCTACACCACCGCGACCTCCTCCAGCGACCTACTCACGCGCATCGAGAAGATGATGACAGGGATAGTCTATGGAGGCTATATATGCGGGTTTGTGTACACGCAATTGACGGATATAGAGCAGGAGGTGAATGGGTTATATACGCCGGAAAGGCAGGAGAAATTGGATGCGGGGGAGGTGAGGAGAATTGTGGAGGGTGTCAAGGAGAAGTATACTGAGATGCATAAATAGCTTCTTGTATGGGGATTAGTGAAGTTCGACATAATCATATGACCCTTCAAGGATATGACTGCTCAGAGCTTACCAGATCTCGAAGTAGAAGTCGCGGAGGTCGATTCTCACAGTAGGAGTTGAATCAAGTGTAATGCAAGTCTATTGTATTCTATAAGGCGTCATGTCATCGCCTTTGATGTATCTTCGTGTTGAAGGAAGTGCACTCGTGGCTATCTATCCGTTCCTCAGCCAATAGCCAATGACCATGCTTCATACAAGTTTGCCTTGATGCATGTTTAAACCACGCCCAGGCATTCCATCCCTAAGTCCCCAAGATGCCACTACGCTATGAAGTGAAGCAAGATGCTAGAAACGCTAGACCCAAGGAGAACAATCGTTCTCGAGGATGCGAGATAGGATAAACACAAGGAAAAGGGTATCGTCCGTAAGAAATCCGTAATAACTCCTCCGATCGTAGTCATGTTCCAACTCAGTGCAACTACTAACCGCCGTATTTCACTCCGTTTCTCAAATACCGAGCATCCTGGTCTTCAATACGCGGTCGCTCATCTCTCAAAGGAACGTAGTCATGGGCTAGTGGAGCGCGTCTCTCATACATCCTATTATCAGGCATGTAAGCACGAGTCGCCTCCTCAGCGGGTACTTCATAATGTGTACCTCTCACCTCGCGCATAGGCAATCGGCGAGCTGGCATAGGGATGTATGTATAACCATTGGGGTCAATCGGATATGACCGGACAGGCAGATGTGGACCTCTGCCGCTGGAAGGAGGTCGGTGTGGACTAGATGTTAGATCTATAACCTGTTGTGGAAGTTGTGCCCCGGGACGATTGCGCGTATCCATGGAGTGATATGAGAGCGGTTGAGGCGGGCCGCCTTGGTAGGTGGTTGCGCGGGAATACACCTCATCCTCGCGATACACCGGTCTCAGTCGCTTGCTGTTCTGATCAAATGGAGCTTCTCTATTGTCTGAGAAAGTAGGAAAAGCTTTCCGTTTGGAAGAGTGCAACTCAGGACATGCTCTGGATGGAGTATTTTGGTCTTGGAAAGGCCATTGACTCTCTGCAGCATGTCGTGGTGAGGTCAGATCGACAGTCTCACGCTCAACAGAAGGAAGAACAACATCCTGTTCTGAAGGACGTCTGGTGTGTGCTGGTGGCCTGTCAAAAGGACTGAGTCGAGATTGGGGTTGTACATATCCTTCTGGCGCGCGCTGTGGAGCGACGCGGCGCGGAGAATCATACTCTACCCTTGGACGACCACGAGAATCACCAATGGGTTGGAGCTATGCATGTTAGCTGATGACAAGGGGTCGTGAAGGAATACTGTGATGTCAAGCTCTGGAGCTTGACCCTCCAAGCACTCACGTGATATAGTCGCCCATCCATCATGACGGGCGCGCTTCTCGGACCAGCCTGAGATGCTGCGGGTCTCGTTCGCCTGTCAGGGTAAGTGGCAATCTAGGCGTGTTTTTGATTTTTTGCGTGTCTTCACTTACGAATCCACTGGCCTACTATGAGCGAGTTGGAATGCCTCACCCAGCGACGGCGGACGTGACTCGGGATTGGGTATGAATTGGCGAGCCGGCCGATAAGACTGTTGTAGGACAGGGCGACTATGTGAGGTTCCAGACAAAGTGGTAGGCCGGGGGGCCGGGGTATAAGGCTGAACAACAATGGTTCTTCTTGGTACTTGTCTCCTATTATGAACATCGATGCGTGGATAGTCAGCATAGCGCTCGGGCTGTAAGTCTCGTGCAGTGGCACGACTAGACACGATCTCCATGCTCTGTTCACGTTCATCAGGAGTGGAAAGCGAACCATCGTCGCTAGACACATCATCGTCATCGTCAAGAACAATGACCTCGCGGAAAGTCTCCTCGACTTCATTGCTCTGCTCGCCGGCCTCGTCTCGCCACTCTTTGAGCTTGGCAAGGGAGACATGCTCCACTTTCGACCTGGCTTCCATCCAACCACCAGATTTGAGGAGCTTGTCATAGTCTGTATAAGTATGGCGGATATGAGCGACGACAGCAAGTTGAACTCTACGAGCCAACGAGAGTTCTTTCGCATTACCTACCCTGTTCGTTCCCTATACCTCGTAAGCGAGCTACTCACTACTTAGATTGTCAGCTATACCTCTTGGAACGCATGGTTGACAATGGACGACAAGTCTGCTTCGGGAATTTTGGGGAACATCTCCCGAACAGCACCGTGAATATAGTCCTTGGTTTCTTTCTCCGTAGTAGGACGTCCATGAAGAAGCTGCCGCGACGAATAGTCCTCCACACGTTGAGCAATCCAATTTGTCCTGTCGCGGGCTCTGGCCTTTCGAAGGCCATGCGCTTCATCATATGTGTAGCCAAACTTGCTGCATGCCAGCTGGATGATTTCGAGGGGGAAATGATGCCCAACTCGGTGGACGTGGTGCGACAACTTCTCGGGGTCTGTATGCATCTTATTCTTCGGTTTCGCCTGTGCTGTTGTTAGTGAGGGTTTCGCTAAGGATTGGTGGGCATAGTGTTGACCGAAACAATGTGCACGTCAAGGTTGCGCTGTCGGCACTGCTCTTTGCACCATTCTGTGAAGTCCGGGTGTCCGGCAGGAATAAAGCCAAACCCTGTGGGTGCATTTGAGGCATATGTCAGCTGTGTTGAGGTCAGTACAGGTTTGATGATGTGATGAGGCGACGACGGACGATCGAGTGAAGCTTCTTCTTCTCTTGCGTGACGGCTTCTAGCACGATCTTGTACGGCTTCTTCTTCTTCAGCGCAGCTCGCGACTGCTCAAGCGTGATGCTGCGCCGTGGCGCGTGTGTCGGGCGCGCAGGATGTACTCTTGTCATGATGCACTTGTGTGGCGATGTCCATAGATTCGCAGCGGAGCGTGATATGACAGACTGGTTGAAGTAGAGTTTGAATGTTGATTATGTGGCCTCAGACTGCGCGGTTAGTAATTAGTAGGAGCGGTAGTATATCTACAAGTGAAGTGCAGTCGCGCAGATACGTCTATAGAGCGCCTACAGGCCCCAGTTACTGCAGAGAAGAGCAGGCGGGGTGAAGGGTGCGGGTGGAGTGAACAGGAAGCGCTTGGAGATGACGGATAGCGGCATCCGGCTCGACCTTTATCCGCTCACCAATCATTTCACAGTGAAGCGCGCCTCTCGAGTTTCGACGACCATGTCGAACGAAGCTATTCTTCACGCGTACAGGCACTTGTACCGCCAGAGTCTAAGGGCTATTCAATTCTCGAAGCCCGCCCGCTACACGCTACGCGACCGTCTGCGCCTAGCCTTTCGCAAGGGCTCCATCGTCGACTTCGAACCACAGAAGGTCCAAAACACCCTCGATTTCCTACAGTATGCGACAAGAGAGAATGGATTGGAGCACAAAATCATAAAAAACCTCTTATTTGTCTGGTGGACTCAGAGCAATGGGGGTCGCTCGAAGCCCAAAGCCAGAACTCTGTGAGTGTTTTATTCGGTAGGATGCTTCTTCACCTGCTAACATGGCATAGCACCTGGGAAGAGCACGAGATCAAGACCACTGCATACGACCCATTCAACCACAACATTCGCATGCTGAACGAGAGCATGGGTCTGTGCCTCCCCTCCATGACCGTCCGCGATCCTAATTGAACCCGCTCCGTTGCACCGAAGATCTTTCCAAACGACATCCTATGAGTACGATGCCATGCTGGCCGAGGCGGTGGATATCGCCAATGACATCTCACTGCATTGTAGCTATACTTTGGTGACAAGGACGAGCGCTGGAGCTACATGAAATCATCGAGGAAGTCCTCGTCGCGATCCTGGTTGCTGGACTGGGCAAGGTTCTCCTCGGTCATCACATCGTCGTAGGCATGATCTCTCTGCCACGCGAGCTCCTTCCGCTCCTTGGCAATACGGGCTTCTTCCTTTCGCTACGTGATGTTAGAATAAATTCTCGTATAGGGCGTGTCTGAGGGAAATGGAGGCACTGCGGAGTCGCAATAACTCCCTAAGGACGATTACAGGGAGGAACGGTGGCGGAAGTAGAGCGTGTGTCGTTGCAGTATTAGGTAAAAGAAGCTGTAGGTGGAAGGAGACACGAATGAAAGTTTCACTGACCCTGGTCTGTAGAGTATCTCGATCCCGTTTCCTAAGCTCGCTAAGTCTAGCTTCCTTCTCTTCTCGTAGATCGGGAAACTTCTCAACCTTCGTCTTGTTCAGGCGGTTGACAATAGGATTCTCCCGCTGTATAACGTGTATACGCTTGACCTAAACAATCAAACATGGTCAGACGCTATAGCCACGGGACTTGAATAATGGCACAATGCACTTTGTCTCACTCACCTTCTTTTGGTCTTTGAAACTCACTTGTCCCACCGCCATACTCCCGTCTTTTTTCAGATTCGACCACGGCGTGTATATAATCGTGACGTTATCTTTCTTGTTGCCTGCAGCGCGTCAACATTGTCAACCTTTGAAACCCCTGCCGTGTCCCCAGTAAACTGGTTCTCAAAAACAGCTGCACATACCTTCGATACTGTTTGCCTTGGTCAACTGCGCGCAATCAACCAATAGCTCTGGGGTTATCTTCTCCCAGTCCTCGCCCTCTGGCAACCGCACGTAGATATGCGCCGATGAGAGGTTGTCGACGTGAAACCAGACGTCTTCTTCCCAGCCGAATTTGATGAGCTCTTCATCTTTTTGAAGTGTTAGTCATTTAGTTAGAAACAGCTTGCGGAGTTGCAATGTAGGAAAGCTCCAAGATGGTGCTGGGTACTGCATTCTGCTTACTTTCAACCTTGTCCTTGCCGACGTATATGAAAGCGGCTGGTGACACAGTGTTGGAGGAAAAGTAATACACCATTTTGAACTACCTGCTGGAGGGGGTAGAATATCTAGTGGCGGGTTTGTAGGGTATGATTGGGTAGTTGCGAAAATGTGAATTCTCGAGAGCACTTGTGGGGTCAGCGGGGCTAACCAGCCAGCCTCAGGGTCCACGAGTATGCGACGAACAACAAGATGTGACGATGAATTCGGAAAGATTATGCCTCGTGGGACTGGAATGGATCGTGAAGCATATTGATACAAGTCCTTAGTAGGGACATTCTACAGCAGTAATTGAATATCTCAAAAGTCGTTCAGGCCCTCATGACAGCTGTGGATTAGGGTGCAAAGAGAAGCGCAAGCGTGCGAGCTTCATTTTACAGACTTTTCATTGCTAGCTTGAGCCCCAACGGGATATTTAGCATCATAATAGCCGTGATGTCCTGAAGACTGAAATGCAGAATCTCAGAGCAGATGGACCATGAACTTTCCACCGATCGAGGGGCGGTTGGTTGCCAAGTCCTCAAGCACGCGCCGCGGGGAACGTCTACAAACACTCAGGGAGTCACTCGACGAGAGAAGAGCAACTACAAACAGGCAACACCAACACCAAAACTGATAAGACAGAACAGCACCTCACGAGCATACAGTCAGGAACAATGCCAGCCGAGCAGACATCCGCCGACGCGCGTAGAAAGGCCGCCCGCGAGGTCATCGACATCCTCCATGAGATCGCAACATTGCTGGTATGTCAACCTCGTCTCGCCGCAATACTAGACACCCAGTTTAACAGATCTGCAGAACACCCACCTCGACCGCCAGCAGCTCTCCTACTGCGTATCGCTCATCGAGAACGGGGCGAATCCAGAGGCGTTAGCGGTACGTACTGAAGTACTCTCTTGATTGTGGCACAGCCAGCTGTAACAACGCAACGCAATCGCGCGCGGTTAGGTGCCAAAGTCTATTTATACTAATGTCGCATAGAAAGTGATATTGCAGCTGCGCGAGGAGTACCCAGCATCTTCTGACGATGGCGACGCTTAAGATGGAGGCGCGTGCTGAGTGAATCGAAGTCTGAAACCGCTTGTGCAGTCTTGCACTGAGCGCTTGCTGAGCAGCCACCTTACTACCAACGACCATCTATGTTGCACGGGGGATTGCCGAAGAAGCTCAAGGGAGGCCTAATGAGTCTTTTCAAGCAAGAAGCTGTGCGTATCGAATGCATGAGGTCGTATGGCGTGTCGATCATTTGGTCCCCGGTGCTGATTCCCGACATGCACTATACCTGCACCTTGGCATGCACCTCTCGCGAAAAGCTTGGGATTGATTGCGACGGAGGAGGTAGGATGCGGGGCAATCGACGAGTCGGATTACGCCGCCAAGTTGTTGCTATCGAGCATTATGCATCCGTTATCAGTATCCCCAGGATGCACGCTGTATCTCTAGGATAAGCAGCAGAATAGTAGGCATGCTGCGATAAGACATTCCTGGCTAAGTTGAATCAAGTGGGTGTGCAGCAGTCGGGTGGATGGGACGGTAGATGGTATTTAATCTATTTAGCTTCAAGAACAAGGGACATCGTGGGTATGGTGCGGTAAAAGCCAGGTCACCGGGTATATGCAACTAGTAGTGTAGATATCGTCATTGAATCTGCCAAGTTGGACATCTATGTCTTGAACAGTGATACGAAATGCGAATTTCTAAATGCAAAACGCGAACGCTGAATGCCAGGAGCGATAGCGATCGTTTGGGGTATCTCAACGACAGAATGGGGTATCTTCCAAAAGAAAGTCGTCTGGGTGACTGAAAAGAAAACGCCACACTCTAGATAGTAAGAAACTCCCTCTATCTGCTTCCCCAGGTTGGTGAGCCTTGTCGCTGGCGAAAGTTGCCCTTCTCGTCAGCAACTTTGCGGAGCGTCTTCTCTGCTTTTGCTTCCTGCTTGTCGAGGAAGCCGTTGAAGATGGGAGGGAGGATCCGCTTGGAATCTGTTGGGCTGTAAGACGGTGATAGCGTGGAATTGATACTGGAGACAACTTACTGGCATGATCTCCGTCAAAAATAATGCCGTCTGCACCCTTCTCTCCAGCAACTTTGACGGCCTCTTCCAACAAGCCCTCACCAACGCCTTTCCCGCGGTACTTCAGCTTGACCGTCCAAGCCCTAACAACAGCCTTGCCCCTTCGTCTCCTGCCCCGCTTCTTCGCAGCATCATCTGCCCAGCCCAGAACCAATGCACCAATGATATCCTCGCCCCACTTGACTACGATGAGCCTGTCTTCTCCTAGCCATTCCATGTTGATATCTTCCGCGACGCCAATATAGCCGCCAGTCATCCATCGGATGAAGATGAGAAACGTCATGGTGATGCCGCCAACTGTCGTGCCAACCATGAGCACATCATTGTACCATCGTAGCATATACTGCGCTGCAATTGCAACGACAGCGAGGTATGCGGCGAGGGAAACTGGATGGACCATCATAACTTTGCTCGAGACTTGGCGTTGTTGGGCCACAGAATCGGCGACAAGACGTAGTCCTTCCACGCGATCATCTTCTGATTCAGCAGTGTACGTTGACAGCTGCGGTAGCCCTTCGGTGATTGACTTGGCCGGTGCGGTTGCTTCAGTCGACGACATGGTGATTGTTTCCGCAGGCGACGGATACGATAGCGGCGCGGGGAGTGTGGAGAAAGACAGCGGCGTTGGCGGAAGCGGTGGAAGCGAAAAGCTATTTAGACGAAAAGTAGTCGGAGTACCCAACGGCGACGGTAGATCGGGGTCAATTCTCAAATTGGCGCTCAGGGACGTCAAGAAGGCTACAATTGTTTGTTAGCCACAATCTTCAAGAAAACCCAAAACTACTTTGAGCGAAAGTTGACGTCTGTCTTTAATCGCGGTAATCGCGGTAACCAATCACGCGACCACCAACAAAGGAAAATGAAAACATACCAGCGCTTGTGCGAAATCCAGGAAGTGATGGAATCGCCGGAATCGACTTCTCAATACCCGAGTAATGGTTCACAATCACGGTACTTTCTCCCAAATAATGTCGTTGCGGAAAAGCATGCGGACCAGGCGGAACCTTCAAGTGTGATGGAGGGAGTTGGCGACGCATTTCTTACTTATAAACGCCCTTCTTCAAGCGTACCCACAAGCCTAAATTTCTTCCAATTACATATACGAAGAAACAACCCAATGTAGAAAGCGGACCAGCCAAGAAAGGGAAAAAGCAGAATATTAAATGAGTTAGAAAAGGCAAAGGGCAAGTGTGTATTGTTTGAATTTGAATTATGGGCGAGCCAGAGAAAATATGAGGCACTGGTGGGAAACGTGCGTCTAAGTATTGGCTCTCAGCCAAGCCTTGTAAGCCGCCTGCGAGACCATGGCGTTCCGCTGGGGCCATGTCGTCGTCGTCTCCCGGGTGAGAGGCGCGATCTTCACAGGCCCTTATCCACATATCCACAAGAGAGCTGGGTAACATCAGTCAAAGCGCACTTCATTGGCCTAGGGCAAACTGGAGATAAGGCGCTGTCCCTCCAACGGCATCGCGACGTTTGGCCTAGACCGCCCAAAGGCGAGTGGTGGCATCCTGTTCTGGATGCCTTACGTGCATGGGGGTGGGGAGCCAGTGTTGGTGTCGGACAAATACTGACCAGGAAAGGAGAGGCCTGCAGAAATTTTGCTCTGCATCTCCGATTTGATCTACCCTGCCTTACGCATCCTTTTTCTTCTTCTCATATACCATACTAACAAACGATATGATCCACACCATCTGTCATCATTCATCATGACAGCCATCACTCCCCAATGCAATCCAGCAAGCAGCGGCGTTAAACCCACCCCAGGCAAAGCGCAAGCGAGAGATCCCCGACCCCTCCATCCCGTCTGGGCATGCTTGGTATTCAATCCCAAACGAACTCCGCATGCGCGATGAAACGAACTAACGTACGTCTGCTCGTCTCACGCCTTTCCCTGCCTGAATAATGCGCTATGTACGGCCAAGGTTGACGCATTTGACACCCCACATGGCAACTCACTTGCGTACAACTGTGGACGTCTCCGCATAATCGTCACTGCTAGTTTCAACCATTGCTTGAAAACAGTAGTTCGCTGCCTCAAAAATGCCTTTGTTTTCCACATGTTGATAGGCTTGATATAGGTGGAGATAGCGGCTAGTTGAGGGAGGGGGGGGGGACCCAGGTGATTAGGTCTTAACATACTTCTCTATCGTGAGATGCAAGCCCATCGCAGCGTTGATACGATAACGACCTCGAGAGGCTTGCACTACTGCTATCGGGCCTGGAAACCTTGACCTCAGACTTTTTCTTTCGCATGTGCCCTTTTCTCCGACCAACCAGCGTCTATGCCTATGCAATGCCAGGAATCTGACGTATCACGCCTCCACACACCCAATGACGAACCGCTGCCCCTCCGCTTGAGTACGGAGAGCGCAGAATCGAGCACTTTTCTTCCTCACATGCACAGTTGCGTCTTCCTCTTGCGTGTTGCGTTGCTTCGCCACGTGTACAAGCAGCCGCCTCCTACTACTAACCTTGCGGCCGAAACGTCAACGCTCAACAGCATGGCTGGGCAACGCGCTTCGTAACACCAACGGGGGATCCATGTTTCATGTCTTGTCATGCAAATGTTTCAACTGTCAGGATTGGCGTGCCGGTTTAGGCGAGGATAGGCGACGGGGATGGAAACGGTCAATGCACAGTCGCTGGTCTCACGGGTCGAGGGTAGAGAGATCTACCTTCTTGCTCTGCCATATGGCAGTTTTGCCTAATGTCTATATTGATGGGTGACATGGTGAATCCAAGTGTTGTTGGTCGTGAAATTCATGCTGCTTTGAATGAATCGTATATGGATTTAGACGCATACGATGGGCATATACAATCATATATAATCGAAAAACACTTCAGAATAAGTGTATACGCTCGCTTGTTAGTTCTATTAATCTAATACATCTACACCCGACTCAACCTAAAAACTCAACGACTCAACATCTTTTTCCTCCCTATTTGCATTCACGGGTTGCACTCATCTTGAACCATCCTACCACTCTCTGCGTAGAATGTATACCATCCAAAGTAAATTACACGAAGCGCTACAAAGTGCCCAAGATCGAAAGAGGAGAGCCGCCCATTGTCTACCCGTCTACCTAAATCAAAGCAAGATCTTCCAATGCAAATAGTAATGAACTTTGCACGCCCGCCTGCTATATGTCAACAACGCCAAATCGGCTAATCAGAAACAGGCCCCGAGGGCTTTTTTGATTGAAAGTAATCAATGAGCACGGGATTTGAGCCTGACGTTCTCCTCGCGTGATATCTCGACTCAGCAAGGTGGGCTTTCTGATCTCTACTGTTACGACGACACGTGCTCGAAGCATTCATGACACGAAACGGAAGAGATCCTGTCATCCACTGTGCCTAGTGAGGCATGAAAGAAAGTGCGCCCGACTGCTCACTTCTTCTGCTGTGTGTTTGGCGCTGATGCTGCGCCTGCACCGGGCTCAAGCGTATGCTCGTGATTGTCGCATCGGAGCACCCTACCACCTTCCTCTTGCGAGCATACGGCACTACCTGTGGCCCACTTGTCTTCAATTATTTCATCCAGTGTTGCACGCTTCTTAGGATCGACCTCTAGCATCCTACCAATAATATGCCTGCTTTCTCGTGGTAGTAAGCGCAGGAGGCGCCATGGGCCCTTGATCACTTGAGGCGGCTGCTGAGCGCCAGTTGATGATGACCCACGCTGGTCGTTGGTATCTGATGCATGGTGGGACACGGGCTCGGATTGCGGCCCGGACTGGGCTTCAGCGTGGCTAAGGTCAGGCGTCGACTTGGAAGGACCAGTGATGGACCTTGGTCCATCGTTAGGGGGGGACACGAAAAGTTTGTACGAGTTGTCGGAGATTCGCGGCGCTTTCCAAGGGAATCGACGTAGAGTCATGCAACAAAAGATAATCGCAAGCGACCAGATATCCGTTGGTTGCGGGTCATACTTCGAGACGTCATACACTTCCGGAGCCAGATATGGATCTGAACCAACAATGCCTGAAAAAAGTAAGTAGCCACACTGACAAAGTGTCACGGAATATGCTCACCACTGGCAAGAACAATTTCGTTCTCGAACGGATAGCGGAAGACAGCGGCACTGCCGAAGTCAATGATCTTCATGATACCATGCTCATTGACGACCACGTTGTCAAGCTTCAAATCGCGGTGAGCGAGACCCATGCTGTGGAGGTACGTCACTCCGTTCAGAATTTGCAGGGTACAGCAAGTGACCTCCTCGCGGCTCATCTTCCCGGTCATTACTATCGCGAAAAGGTCAAAGGGCGCGTATTCCATGACAACAAAGTAGCTGCCCTTTTCGTTGACCAAATCCATGGTCTCGATGATATTTCCGTGGTGGAGCGTTGACCCGATACAGAACTCGGCTGTGACCTTCTTGTTGTAGTCTCGTTCCGATTCGTACGAATGTCGGGCTCGGAATTGTTTTACTGCAAACGTGACTCCATCACTGCTTCGCTTCATCAATCGAACAGAGCCACCGGCACCAGAACCAAGGACCTTTCCGAACTTTCCATATCTGCTTTGAAGTCCATGATCATCTGCAAATGGGACACTCATGGGCCCATTTATCATTGGCGGGGTCATGGTTCCTGATTTGCTGGATTTGATCTTCTCCTTCTTGATGGACGATGCAGGGGACCGAGTGCGCTTTTCCTTGTCCTTGTCCTTGTCCTTGTGTCTATGTCCAATTCTGAAGAAACGCTTCAGCTCAGACATGGATCCATGGTGGTGCTCTTTGCCAACGGCAGCCTTCATTTCGCTTTCAACATCAGAGCCAAGACGATTGGAGGCTTTTCCATTGCCACCAAAAAGGCTCGTTCTTTTGCTATCCTCTTTGTCTGACCCAGTACCTTTGGAACGTGGCAGTGAATAAGTGGATGAAGCCGCCGACTGCCGCCCGTCGCGGCCACCGTAGACGAAACGTGCTTCGAGTGAGTCGAGATTTCTCGCTTGTGCAGCACGTTTGGAGCGTTGGTAAGGGTCATCCCTTTCGCCCTGGGGGGTAAAAGGACGGCTGACAGTGGTTGGGGTAGTTGTACCTGAGGAATGATGTCCTGGAGTACGCTCTCCGCCTGATCCGGAGGGGCTGACGTCCCTAGAAGCCGGCAAGGAATCGCCGGTAGGACCAATTGTAAATGACGGGCCGTGTCTTGGGTGTGGTTGGATGACACCAGTTACGTCAGATGAGGATGACGGTCGCGATGAACGTGGTAGGGTCTTGGGTGACGCGGGGACTGCCAATGCTGGTTGGGCTGGATCAGAGCTTTGCACAGAGGAGTCCATGGACGTCGGCGGGGTCTCATGCGGCGGTGAGACCTGCGGAGTCATCATACCGGGATCACTCGGCCGCTTTCTATGTCCTTCAGCACCGGATCTGTCTTCCCGAGACGATGTGCCCGCAGGAGTCAATGGTGGAGAGTGCATGGCGAGTGCGGGTGAGGACGGATTTGTGCCAATAGACGCGCGAGAAACGGAATGTCCTGAGGGTGTTCGTGATGTAGGAGCAGGTGATGCAGCCTGGTGTGGATTAGCGATGTCTCCACGGCCATATGCCTGGTGCTGCGCTTACTCGTGATGGCGGGAGGGAGACGGGCTCGAAGGAGAAGTTCTCCATGCGTCTCGCCTGACAACGAGAGTTCTGGAGAGTCGAGGACAAATTGCGCAGCTCTTCTTCGGCCTGCGGACTCAAGGCCCCATCTCGCGCCTTGCCCGTGCCCGTGAGGTCGGAGACAGTCTGCACGGCCTCCTCGGGCTCGATTTCTTGAGTGATGTCGCTGAAGCGGACAGATTGGGGCTGATCCTGGGGCGTCGACGGCATGATGGAGGCTGGAGCGGGAGAAGTGAGTGTGGTCTGCCAGATCGAGGTCAGCTCTAGTCTAGTAGGAGGCCATGACGAAAGACGCGAAATGCCAGACGGGGGCAGCTTACCTACTGGGAGATGGATGCGTAATCGGCAATTGGTCGGCCTGGACGCCGTGACAGAGCCGTATGTATAGCGTTGGATATGGGGTCAATTCAGGGCCGGCGGAGACACCGGATGGGACCAGGATAAGAGCGCGCTCAGCGGCGAGCGTGGTGGGAGGAGGGTCTGGGAGAAGGTCGTGTGTCTAGCTATGAAGCATCCAAACTCGTCATACTCTGCCCGTAGTAGTTTGGTACTGATGCCCCGCGCTCCGGAACTGGCGGCATAGACAGCTCGTGCGGAATGCCGGGAATACGGGCGACTAGGAGAAACGAAGGTACAGACCCAAGACTGTATGGACGTTGACACGGCGGGGTGCAACGCTCTAATCGTCGTCGACGTCGTCGAGGATCAGGCAGAGGAGCGATGGGATGCCTTGGAGGGGTGGCAGATATCTGAAAGGCCGGATTACTCCTTCGGTTGCGTCTAGGCGCGCGCACCTGGCCGCGGCTTCCCGGGCAGGGCGATGCGCATCTTCAACAACCATCAGCGTTGACCTCTAGAGCCGCAACGCCTCAAGCACCACATCCTCAACAGCTAGTTGCCAGACCTGCATCGTCATCGTCGCCGGTCCACAGCATCGGCTGCCCCGTCCCTCTCCCTGCAGCAACTGTGCCGACCGCCCCTCTCGACGCCCACCGCTCGCTGCGTGCGCCTTCTCTGCTTGCGGCCCATCTCTCACTCGTCAGCGCGAAATTTTCAAACCCTGTTGAACCAAGTCCTGCAAGAGTTTTTCTGCCCTCCCCCAGTCAGGGCGCAGTTTAGACCTTTACTCACGCACGCTTTTTTTGGATAGTGCGACGCCCTTCCCGCAGCATGTTCAATTGGGCAAAGTCAACGTGAGTCCGCCGCTCTTCACCCGGCACGTGCTTGCGCGACACGGCCGCTGTTTGCGTGTCTGTTGGGGCTTCACATACTGACGCGCCTCTAGACTGGCCGCCGTTGCCGGCACGCAGGAACCCGAGTATGGCCCCGAAGCCATCCACCCCGTTGGCAAGAATGCGGGCGACCCTGCATACACGGAATTGGCCAAGAAAGACCTGAAGTGGGTGACCCTCGACTACACCAATGTTGAAACACAAACCTTCTACCTCTTCACCGACTCTGGACATGTTGGCTTCCTGCAGGTCATTTACAGCAACGTAGCGTAAGCAGTATCCCTCGCCCAAGCCACAGACCCCAGTACTCACAGCTTCCAGTGGCCTACGCGTGACCGTCCAGTTCAGCTGCAAGCTCTTCTACCCCAACAACGAGAAGCCCGCGCTATGGGCCACCGACCCCCTTTCCAACTACGGATTCGATGAGGAACAGCACTCCTTCTACGCCGACGGCATCTCGCTCGAACTCTCCGAGGATGGCAACGCGTACACAATCAAGGCAGCGGTCAACGACAATAGTCTGATCAATGTCAAGTTCACTAGGACCGCGCCCGGCTTCCAGGGTGGCAAGGACGGCACAACCAACTATGGCACAGACCCAAAGGCCCCGTGGGGTGCTATGCACCACCATTTCTGGCCGCGATGCAGCCTCGAGGGCTCCATAATCACCAAGGAGGGAGAGATTGACGTCAAGGGCCGAGGCATGCTCAGCCATGCCCTACAGGGAATGAAACCACACCATGCGGGTAAGCACTTGGAGTCGTCTTGGAGTCGTGCTAGAACTAACGCCTGTAGCTTCCCGTTGGAACTTTGCCAACTTCCAGTCTCCATCCTACTCTGCCATCTTGATGGAGTTCACCACGCCCGCTTCGTACGCATCGACTGTTGTCCGAGTCGCCGGTATTGCTACAGATGGCAAGCTGCTCATAGCCAACACCGAAGGCGATGTCCAGCACACCGCAACAAAGCAAGATTCCGACAACGACTGGCCAGAACCCACTGCGGCAACCTATCACTGGGTAGGCAAGACGGAGGATGGCAAGGACGTGACCGCAGACGTTGCAGGTTCTCTTGGAGACAGACTGGAGCGTATTGATGTCATGGCCGAAGTACCAGGCTTCATCAAAACCATTGTTGCTAGTGCAGCCGGCACAAAGCCGTACATCTACCAGTTCGCGCCAAAGATGACCATCAAGATCAAGGTGGGCGATGAAGTCATCGAGGAGGAAGGTACCCTGTTCACTGAGGCGACCTTCATCTCCTAGAGAAGATTTGACTTTTGGTTTTGGATAAGGAACCCCTCCAGCAACATGGATACCCTAGCTTTAATGATGATCCTCCAGGACTGGCACCTGAGAACCTAATGAATAACGGTCTTTAAGTCATAATACGCCTTCAGCTTCTGTGGTGCATGTCAATAACCAACGCGAGGAATCGCTCTTGTGACATGTTTCAGTAGGTCCAGTGAAACTCTCGCCCCTAGTTTGTTTAGCGATTGTTCCTACTCCAACCGCTCCACCTTCACTTGCGATATTGCCCCGCATCTTTTCCACATTTCCAGCCCTTCAACCTTCACCTGATACCGTGCCTCTGCAAACGCGTGTGGACGCGTTTGCGCAACGTAATAAACAGGCAATCGGCCCGTGCACCCCACTTTAGCTACCACGTCTGCCTCCCGCTACTGTAGTTACCAGACAAACACCACAAACAACGCCACCATGGTCAACGAGCGGCCGAGGCAATTCGGAGGGATTCAGCGCTTCGGTGCCGCTCCTAGACCTGGAAATGCTCATCAACCGCAAGGGTCAGCTTCGCCTGCCGCATCTAGAGCGACTAAGCTAGGCCTAGGTTTAGGCAAAGGAGCGCAGGGACTCGGAAAGGCCAAGGGACTAAAGCGCCATACGTTAGTCTTTATAACATGTTTCAAGTATCTGGGCTAATAATGTAGGAAAATCCGACGAGATAACATTTACGGTGTTACTAAAGGCGATATTCGGTGAGTGCATATACTCTCACCTCTACAAGTATCCACGGACTAGCTTGCTCATCCGTTCTTAGACGCCTAGCCCGCCGCGGCGGAGTAAAGCGCATCTCAGCAACTCTTTACGACGACGTGCGCTACGCCCTGAAAGAACGGCTCACTTCTGTACGTCTCCTTTCAATCCAGGCGAAGCGTGTAACTGACCCTTCTATAGATCTTGAAAGACGTCGTCACGATTGTCGAGCTAGGCGCCCGCAAAACTGTAACCATCACAGATATCATCTTCGTTCTTAACAGGGTATGTTTCCTAGCCAAAATCGAGTTTCAAACCCTGACGAGTTTTCTAGCAAGGGCGTACGTTATACGGCTTCGACCCGTCATTTACGGGCAGACGCTGAATACAGACTTGGACAAGGCAACTGTTTACTACCGTTATCAATGGCCTGGCAGCTACTGTGAGCGCTGTGCGCTTTTATAGCATCTAGAGGCTTTTGAGCGAGTGTGCGTTTTGGATTTGAGGGCGTTATAGCGGCCTGCTGGTGTTTGGTGGTTTCCAGGTTTTTAGCCGTGTGATAGCGTTCTTTACTTGATGGTGTTTGCAGAGACAACTGCATTAAATGTCCGTGAACGGATGAGAGAGGCTCATAATCTTTCTAGCCGATCATTATAATGATACCCAACGCTCGCTCAATACAGTACGTTCAATCATCATGATTCAATATCCAGGAGCTGCACAACCGCACCGTTCCAGCCATAACATTTGACCCCATATACAATACTACACAATCTCTACTCTACCACTTCTCTACAACTCCTTTGATAAGACCCATCTTCTCTCTCCATTTACTACTCACTTGATCCGTCGGCGCTTTGGCAATCTGCATATACCATATATCCAACGCCTCAAGCATCCTCGATGCCTCTTTCCTCATCCCAGCGGTACCAGTATTCTTTATCCAAGCCTTCCGCACACAAGGCGCCATCAAAACAGAAACATGGTCCTCTAGAAAAGACAGTAAAGACCTCCTCCGGTAATGCTTCATAAGGCCATTCGGCGCCCAATCTTTGCAAAACAAATAAGTCCACTGTATATTTCGATTGACATACTTGTCGCACCAAAGCCACCACGCGCCGAGACGGCAGAAGATAATAAAGTGCTTGCGATGCTGATCACCGGATACAGCGAACAAGTTCCCAAAGCGCTCGCAAGCCTTCCAATGTGACTCGATAGGGGCGTCAATAAGGTAGTTGCTCGGCGGGTAGGCGAAGTGGTTGGAGATACGGGGTATGATGTCTAGCTTCATGCATCGATTTCGTGGCAGCAAGGCACGGTGTTCTCGAGGTAGAGTATCTATCCATGCGATTACAGGGGCGAAGTTGAGATTGCGGACTGTCCATGTGAAGGGTGTTGAGGTGTAGTATGTATATGCGGCTTCGATGCGAATCGCGCGGCATATGTGCAGTAGTCGCGGCCAGATGTAGCATGGCGGACGGTCTTTTCTGGGCGAGATGAATTGTTGAGGATGTATGATGGTGGAGGCTTGGTCTAAGACGTAGGTGTAGATTTCAGTGCGTAGCTCAGACGGCAGAGTGGCCAATGGACATGGTTTTTTTGCATTGAGCGGCTTGATGGGATGGAGGTCAGCACTGTAGATGATTTCTTGACGGTCCTTGATCGTCAGGGTTGAGGGCCTCTTGAGCTTTTTTGGCGTTCCTTTAGGTACTTCTACTGCTTTCTTTGCCTTTGATGAGTTCAGGCCTGCTCGCAGTGTGGACGAGGCTGTAGCTCGCGCATACGATGGTGGGACCATGTTTGGGAATGAAGTACAATTGTCTTGATCTGTAATCTATCGTGTGTTATTGAACAGTTTAAAGGGAAATTAAAAGCCATTCCTTCTTGTGTGAGGGTTGTAGGTAGTCAAGAAGTGCTGCACATTTGGCCTAGATTTGGAGTGGTTGGACTAGCACGTGAGCGCGCGTTGGTGGGGTCGCGTCATCGCGCCGTATCATTCGCTCTTCGGTCTTTTCTCCCATCACCGCCCCAACTCCGGCTTCGATGCTCACTTCACCACACAGCCATGGCGGAGGATATGGACCTATCACCACCGTCGTCGCCCCGTGGGACGAAGCGAAAAGCCGATGACAGCCTTTCGCTTCCCGCGCCACGCCGCATCAAAGCACTCGCGCAAGATGTTGTTAACAAAATCGCCGCCGGAGAGATCATTGTCGCTCCTGTTCACGCACTGAAAGAGTTGATCGAGAATGCTGTTGATGCAGGATCCACCGCGTTGGAGGTCTTGGTGAAGGATGGTGGGCTCAAGCTCCTTCAGATCACAGATAACGGACACGGAATTGATGTAGGTTCTGAGGTATCATCCAAGAGATGCCTATTGACATGCGACTAGAAAGAGGATCTACCAATTCTCTGTGAGCGCTTCACGACTTCAAAGCTCAAATCTTTCGAGGATTTGAGCTCCATCGGCACGTATGGTTTTCGTGGCGAGGCGCTGGCGAGTATCAGTCATATCGCGCATCTCAAAGTCACGACGAGAACGAAGGAGTCAAGCTGTGCATGGGAGGCTCACTACGCTGATGGCAAGCTCGCCAGCCCGAAGCCTGGTCAGAGTGCCGAGCCGAAACCCAAAGCTGGAAGGGGTGGAACACAGATCACCGTACGTTAGCCGCTATCTGGCTTCTGGTTACAAACGCTGATTTGGTGCAGGTCGAGGATCTGTTTTACAACGTCCCATCGCGACGTCGAGCTTTCCGCTCAGCAAGTGAAGAGTATGCGAAAATCCTCGACCTGGTCGGGCGCTATGCGGTCCATTGTGTAGGTGTATCATTCTCCTGCAAGAAAGCGAATGACAACTCCGGTAGCAGTGTATCAGTACCTGCTTCCGCGAGCATTAAAGATCGCATTCGCCAGATCCACGGTAGCGCAGCAGCCAATGAACTAGTAGCTCTAGAAGTTAAAGACGACCGCTGGGGTTTCAAGTGCGACGGTTGGGTCAGTAACGCGAACTACAGTGCGAAACGGACAAGCATGCTGCTGTTCATCAACCATCGATCCGTTGAGTCACCTACAATCAAAAAAGGCGTCGAACAGACGTATGCGACATTTTTGCCGAAAGGAGGGCATCCGTTCTTCTATTTGAATCTGGAGATTGAGCCGCAGCGAGTTGATGTCAATGTACATCCTACCAAGCGGGAGGTACACTTTCTGAATGAAGACGAGATCATCGCCATGATATGCGATGCGATTCGTGAAGGCCTCAGCAAGGTTGATACCAGCAGATCCTTCATGACGCAGTCCCTGCTATCGAATCCGAACGTTCCCTTCGCAACGCCAATGAAGCAAACAGCACCCACAACGCCAACAACGGGCACCTTATCAGATCGCAGCGGTTCGAAAGCGCCGAAGACGGTGACCAAGAAGCCTTACGAAAATAATCTAGTTCGGACAGATGCTTCAGCACGCAAAATCACATCGATGCTCCAGCCACAGCGCTCAGTAGACGAAGCTAGTAATGTCGAGGAAATGGACTACGAGTACACCGAAAAAGAGCCCGTAGTATGCCGCCTCACGTCAATCAAAGATCTCCGTGCTGAAGTCCGGGACGCTATGCACAATGAGCTCACAGACATTATCTCAACACACACCTTCGTCGGGATCGTTGACGAACAGAAGCGCATAGCAGCCATACAAGGCGGTGTCAAACTCTTCCTTGTGGACTATGGTATGCTGTGCAATGAGTACTTCTACCAAGTTGGTCTCACAGATTTCGCGAACTACGGTTCTATTCGCTTCAATCCACCGTTACCGCTGCACGATCTGCTCAAAGTGGCAGCAGAGCAGGAAAGAAGCAGTACAGGCGATGCAGCAGATGAAGTAGACTGGGATGAGGTTGTTGAAACAGTTGGAAATTTCCTGATCAGCAAAGCTGCACTGCTGAGCGAGTACTTTTCCATGGAGATTACCGAAGAAGGCGAACTCGGTTCCATCCCGCTGTTGATGAAGGGCTATACCCCTTCTCTGGCAAAGCTTCCGCAGTTTCTCCTGAGGTTAGGACCTCACGTCAACTGGGATAATGAGAAAACCTGCTTCCAAACTTTGCTCCGCGAGCTTGCGGCCTTTTATGTCCCCGAGATCTTACCGTTGCCGCCGTCTACGGAGAACGAAGATAGTAGCAAAGGGAAGCAGAAGGTTGCAGAGGAAGATGCAGAAATCGCGCTGAGGCGGAAGAAGCTGCGGAGAGTCATCGAATATACGATCTTTCCTGCATGTAAAGTAAGACTTGTGGCAACGGCGGGGTTGCTGAAAGGCGTCATGGAGGTTGCGAATCTGAAGGGCCTTTATCGGGTGTTTGAGAGATGTTAGGCTAAGGAATCGAATATTCGATGAATCTGAATCGATAAATGCAAGCACTAACCCTTGTAGCTTTACGAGATGTCGTTGTTGATAATCTATATTCAAGTTTCGTGCTGGAAGATGAAGAATCTTGAGCCACTATGTAGATGATAACCTCCAGGGCTGTTGTGCACCACTATGACAAATGGGGTAGGTCCAAGCGGCGTAATCCCAAGTCTCGTCTCGTCTCGTCTTATCTCATCTCATCTTTCCCCGCACGACTCCAAAGCGACACGAACATACTAGAACCGAGACGAGGAATCAATGTCGTAATATTGTGTCACGGCATGGCCTATGTGCGAGGATGTTTAGTAACTGAGACCGCTACAGATATCGACGGCTACGACGTGGAAAAACGAAGATTATGAGTGGTCAAATCCGGCAACATAGCGACAAAGGCAAACTAAATAGAGTGGCGAATATCCGGGCCCTCGTAGGGCGTGTGAGTCACCTTGTGTCTGTAGTTGCTGATGTGGCTGAATACACATAAGAGCTAAAGACGTGCTTTCTTCACCCATCCAAATCCAAAAAACCAGAACAGTTGTAGCGATCACAGTAAAATCAAGTGCTGCTACATTAGTCTTTTTGACACTTCTATTTCCTCTCCAACAGCCTCTTCACAATTTCATAAATATGTCCACCCAGAACGACACAGCCCGCGCCTTCAAAGCCCTCCACAAGCCCGGCGACCCCCTCGTCCTCACAAACGTCTGGGACGCCATCACCGCAAACGCCGTCGCCTCCCTACCCGCTACCAAAGCCCTCGCAACAGCATCCTACGCTATCGCCGCTGCCGCCGGTCTATCAGATGATGAACTCACACTAGAAGTCAATCTGCGCGCTGTATCAGCTATTGCCAAAGTCGCAAAGGCACACAACTTGCCCCTCACCGCTGACTTCCAAGACGGCTTCGGTGACCAGCTTGACGAAGGTGTGCGCAGCGTGATCAAATTGGGTGCTGTGGGGATCAATCTTGAAGACTTCAGCCGCGAGCTCGGTGGCTTGTATCCCGTAGCGGAAGCACAGGAGAGGATTCGGCGCGTCCTGGCCGTTGCGGGTGAAGAAGGGGTGCCAGACTTCGTAGTCAATGCGCGCACTGACGCGCTGTTCGCAGGTCAGAATGTCGACGAGGCAGTTCAGCGCGGAAAGGCGTATCTGCAAGCTGGCGCGGCGAATGTTTTCATCTGGGGTGGTCCGTCGCGCAAGGGGTGGAGTAGAGGGGAGGTGGAGAAGGCCACGGAGGCGTTAGAGGGCAAGTTGAATGTTATTTTGGTTCGGATGAAACCAGATGGACTTAGTGTTAAGGAATTAGCTGAGATGGGCGTGGCGAGGGTTTCAGTTGGGCCGCAGCTTATGTTGATGACGGCGGGTAGTGTGGGCGATGCAGCCGCGAAGATACTCGCTGGCGAAGGAGTCTGATGTCTGAAGAGGTTGGATGCCTTGAACGATCAAGTATGAAAAGAGATGGGCGCAGGCACAAGTTCTTATTGTATACTTGTTTTGTGTGAAAGATGGGATCTAGCCTTTCCCGCAACCCTATTCTTGCCTCCACGGGCCAGTATTCATGCACGCTTTTCTGGCTCTTCTATCCTGTATTAAGTCAGTATAGCCTATGGAACTTGGATTTTTGAAGCAAACTACTCTGAAACCGATAGCAGAACGGGAAGAAAGCGGCATTCACTGCACTCTAAGCGATCAATATACGACTTCCTTCGACGACTGCAAAACTTGTTAGTAGCTACTCCAGCTTATGTTGCTACAAGCTTGACAAAAGAAGTACAATGTATACGTACTCGAATGTAGGGACCACACATATCCCCATGGATAAAACTTAGGTGCAATCTCGATATCATAAAAGGCAGTTGACACGTGGGTGATAACCCAAAAGATAAGAAACAGACCCATCTTGTTGTCCATATAAAATTCTATAAAAAAGTAGTAATTTTTTTGCAAGCCAGGCCAATTGTGGTCATGCCGAAGCAGTTGAGCTTTCAGTAGACGAGGCATGTGCCGTGGCCGTACGAAATCGGATTGCCATATTCAATCTCGGTGATTTGCGTGGTAGATGTTATGGGATTGGTGTATTTGAAGTTGATCTGAAAGACCATGCTGACGAAGGAGTAGACGAGGGAAAGGAACACGTGTGCGGATATAGTGGCGAGCCATGATGAGTTACGGAAAATTGAGCGGCGGCGGATTATCCAACTTGAGGTATTGCATGTGGCTGGGGACGTAGAAAGAGAAGCTGAAGAAAGAAATGATGATGAGGTCTGTGAGGTTGGTCAGCCGCTGCCAGTATAGTAACAGTACAGCAAGGATAAATATTATCAAAAACGCGGTAGTAACTATCCATATGGCAATTGCCAGATTCCTTACTTGTTTCAATACCGCATGCCTGTAGAACTAAAGAAAGGTAATTATATTAATAATATTCTATATATAAGGGGAAGCTATATTTATATATAAAAAAGAGTAAAATTAAAATAAGCTAGTCTATATATAGACTAGCGTGTTAAGTATATAATAAATTATATATTAAAAATTTAAACTAATAGCCCCCCTAAATCTTAATACAGGATAAAATAAAAAAAAATAATAAACTTATAATATTATACTATAGTAGAAGTATTTTATATTAAAATTATAATTTATATGCTGTTTATTATAGCAAAGCTATATAAAATTATAATTATACACTTTTTTTTTATAGTTATAATAATTATAAATTTTAATATTATTAAACTATACTTTTATATAGTTTTTTATAATACTAAAAGTAATATAAAGCTATTTAAATTTTAAAAGCTAAATGCACTTAGTATTATTTTAAGCCTATTTTTACTATAATATATAAATAAAAAAATATTACTCTGCTTTATAAAGCTAGTAATTATAAATAATAATATTATTTATATTTATATTTAGTAAGTTAAAAATAGTACTTATAGTAAGTACTTAGTTAATAAAACTAATATTCTAGTAAACTGCTTTAAATTTAATAAAGTTTAAAGCTTTTATAAGTATATTAGTAAAAAAAATTTTACTACTAATTTATTTAATTATAATAGAACTTTATTAAACGTAGTTGCAGAAAAAGTAGTAATAAAAGTTAATATATTTACTATATTAGTAAAATTCTAGGTTTTTAGCTAGCTTAATAGCTAACTAGTTGTTAATATATATAAATACTATATTAAAATAAATATTAATATTTAAGTTATTAATAAATAACTTAATTTATATAGCTTTTTTTATAGCTTTATTAAAAGCTATATATTCTGCCTTATATATAAACTAGGCTATAATTTTTTGTATAATAAATAATTATAAAATAAGTTTTTTAGTAAAAATAAATATATAGCTAATAGTAAAGTATTAAAAGTTAGAATATCTAGCCTAGTTAGCATTAATATAACTTAAAAATTAAAATTTTTACTTTTTATATATAATACTAATTTTATAAGTACTATATATATAAGCATATACTTTAATTATTATATTTATATAATACTATATTAGATTGCTATTAAAGCATTTATAAAGTAAAGTAGTATAAGCTAAGTTAATATATATTATAACTAGTAAGTAATTAAAAAAATTAAATTTTTAAAAGTTTTTTTTTTTTAAAAGTAAAAGTAGTAATATTATTATTATTTTGCATTAATTTAACGCAATAATTATATAAAATTTTAATAGTAGCTATATTACTAAAATTATAGTAATTAAAAAGTTGCTAAATATATTTAGCTTAGTAAATTTTTATTATATTTATGCCTTATTTAATATACATTTCTAAATATAAAGTATTAGAATTTTCTAATATAATAGTAAAAGTATTAGATAGTTTACTTTTAAATATATTAATGCTATTTTAGTATAAAGCATAGATGCAAATATTATTAATATAAACTAAAATAATTAGCTTCTGCGCAGTATATATATAGACGCAGCTATTATAAAGCAAAATATAAAAACTTATTTATATAAGTTTTATAGTAAGTATTTTATACTATTTCTATAATTAAAAGTAAAGTTAACAGCAGAGCAGATTATATAACGCAGTAGGAGAAATTAGTATAAAAATTATAGTTTAAGTACTATACCTAGCACTTTAATATAGTATTAAGGTAGTAAAGTTTATATAATACTAGGTTAGCTAAATAAATTATTAAAAAACTTTTAATAATTGCTATTAGCAGCCTTAATATATTATTATTTAAAAATTGTAGTAATAGAACTATAAGTTCCTAATAGTAACTAAATTATTTAAGTATTGCTAGGCGGCTTTAATTTTTAACTATAAATTATTATTAAAGTATAAATAAATTTTTAAACTAAAATTTAAGTAAGCTTTAGTTTAGTAGTAAGCTTATACTTTAATAGCTAATACTTTTTTATAATTAGTAATAGCTTGTGCAATAGACATAGTTTTTATAAAATAAATAAAATAAAATTTATAGTTAAAGCTTATAATTATATATTATTACTTATTATATAGTTATATTATTGCGCGTTTTATAGTTGTATATAAGCAAGAAATTAAAAGTTTAAATAGTAAAAGTCTAAATATATAAGTAGCAAAGCATATATTTGCACGCTTATTTTATAAATTATAATTTATTTTTATTTTTATTTTTAAGTTTTTTATTTTTTACTTTTATTTTTATATTAAATATAAATAATATAACGCTAATAAATAAACTTATGCATGCAAGCTTGCAAGTTACTATTATAGCTAGTAATACTAGCTATAAGCTATTAATAGTTGCTTAGTATAAATTACTATTTTTTAATTATTTTAAGCTAGTAAATAGTAACTGCTAGTACTATAAAAAAGTATGTAGATACTTTAAAGTTAATTTTTTTTTTTATAATAGGCTTTTTTTACTTTGCTTAATTAATTTTAATTTTCTAGTATTTTTTTACAATAAGCTAGTTATAACTAAGTAGCAGTAATATATAACTTTTTCTATAGTTAGCTGCTATATAATAATGCGAGACTTTAACTTTAGCTGCAACTAGGCTACTTTTATTAAAAATTAAAAAAATAAGCTTTTATAATTTATAAAAAATATTAAAAGTAATGCAAGGCTTATAGCGTATTAAAAAAAGTTCCTTAAAAACTATAGTTACTAGTAGTATAATAATTAAAAAATATAGCTTTTTAAAATAGTTAACTTAGTATATAAGTAGATGTAAGCAGTAAAATAAGCAATAAAGTAAAAAAGCAAATAATAATAATTTAAATATACTATAAATAATAGCTTGCGTAGGCAAAAAAGAGGAGTAAAAAAGTAGTTAAGCATTAAGGCTAATATTGCAAAAAAAATTATTATTATTATTATTATTATTATTATTATTATTATTATTATTATTATTATTATTATTATTATTATTATTATTATTATTATTATTATTATTAT